CCCCCCCCCCCTTGCAAATGTGGCAGACTGGGGAGGCATCTTAGGTCTTCTGCTGCCCCTCCTCTTTCCCGACCTCATCGGCTATCTCGTCGTGATGAACACGGCGTTGGGGCTCGGCGTGCCGCCGACGGCGGCGTGGCTGGCGTTTCGCGACTACATGCAGCGCACGCCCAACTGCAACATCGGCGCGCTGCTCAAGCGCGGCACGCCGCTCAGCGCGCACGAACAGGCCATGTACGACGCGCCGTTTGCGGCGGGCGAGGTGAGCAAGGCGGGCGTCAGGCGCTTCCCGGTGAGTAGGGTTGCGCAAAATCCAGAATGAGGCGCCCGGCACAAGCTGGGAGGGCAAAAGACAACGGCGGGCTGATTGCCAAGCTTGCCCCCTTTCACCCCCCCCCCCCCCGGCCGCCGCCGCAGCGACTCGTGCCCATCACCGCCGCGCACCGCGGCACGGCCGAGTCGCGCGCGGCGCTGGCCTACTTTCAAGCGCTGCCCCCGGTGGCGCACCGCTCCAACCTCTGCGACGCCTCGAGTCCGCAGGCGCAAGGGCTTGGCGCCAGAGTGGGGCAGCCGCTGCGCGTCTTTGTGTGCTGCGGCATGGCCGATCCCGTGCTGGGCGAGCCGGTGATGCGCAAGCTGGCAGACAAGCTGTGGGGAGCATCGACGGGCTATCACTGGCATGCCGTCGAAGAGGGAGGCCATTTCGTGCAGGAGGTGCGTTGTGTGCACGCCATCAGCCCCCCGCTCTGAGCGTTTCCTACCCCCCCCCCCCGCCCTCCTCTCCGTGTTTGTGCTGATCACAGGCGCCAAATTGCCGGATCCCCGCAGTGGTGCGAACACGTGCCGGCTCTGGTGGAGCAAGCATGGGCGGGCCCCGACCCCGCCGCCTCTGGCCGCACGCAAGAGAGTCCGCACGTCGTCGAGTGGGTGGCTCCTTCGAGCTCGGCCAAGCTATGAGGACGACGTACGCCTTCTTTCGCTTCTCTCTCTCTGTCCCCGCTTCTCGGAAATGTGGCAAATACAAGTGACATTGCAATCTCAGCCCTCAGACCGCGCGCGCGCCCCCAAGACCACCACCTCCGCTGCGAAACTCTAGACGGCACCAGCAGCCTTGCGTGCCTTCTCCTCGGCGAGCGTCTCGACGAAGGCGGCGCGCATCTTGCGCGCCCAGCCGTACAGGTCGCGCGTGCGGTTCAGCTCGGCCACGTACTGCGCTGCACGCTCGGCGTCGCGCAGTGGCGGGGCGATTGCTTTGACTGGGCGTCGTCGCGGAGAGAAGGCTATCAGCACACATGGGGGGAGGGGGGGGGGGGGGCGTTGCAGGGGTAATGGAGAGGGAGCAGGCCCAAAGCCTCGTCAAATGGCAGGGAAGGGGGATCAAACTCACGCAGATACACATTCTTGCCTCGCTGCTTCGTGTCCGAGATGACGAGCGTGGCGCAGAACTGCCGCATTGGCTCGGCCTCGTCCAGCAGCGTCCATGCAAAGGCAAAGCTATTGCTCTCCTTTGCGCCGCTGATGCGCAGGCCCGTCAGGTCTTCCAGCTTGGCCAGCTCGTCGCCATGCTCGCTCTGCCGTGCGTGGATGGCGTCGCGGTCGGCGCTGCGCTGCGCCTGCTGCACCGCCAGCTTGGCACGCACGTCGGCCAGGTCCTTGGATGCGCTCGACGTGCTGGCGCTGAGCGTGACGAGGCGGCGCTCGAGCTCCAAGAGCGCCTCGCGCGCCGTGGCATCGGCCTGGCGCTCCGCGGCAATGGCTGGTGTGTGTGAGGGCCATGTTCAGCATGGGGACAGCAACCGCCAATCATGGCGCCACGTCCTCTACCGCCAGGGCTTGCCTCTTGGATATACTCACTGGCATAAAAGTCCTTCTGGCTCTCCTTTGCCTCGTCAATGCCGCGCTCGCGCTCGCTGCGCTGCGCCGCCGCCGCGGCACGGGCGCGCTGCGTCTCGTCGCGCTCCGCATCCCAGTCCGCACAGCTGTCGGCGACGAAGCGCTCGAGGGCGAGGCCAAAGGCGCGCATGCGCGCCGAGAGGGCGCCGAAGTCGAGCGACGGCGCAGAGGCGCCGCCGACGTCGAGCAGCGCGTGCGCCGGCAGCTCGTACGACGGCACTACCGCCGAAGATGCCACGTGCGAGCGCGGCGTAGAGGCGGACAAGAGCGTGTGCGTGGAACGACGGGGCGTGGTGCCCGGCATGGAGACGCGCTTGGCCATGACGAGGGGTGGGGATGAGCGGTGGAAGAGGAGGTGGTGGTGGTGGTGGTGGTGGTGGTGGTGGTGGTGGTGGTGGTGGTGGTGGTGGTGGTGGTGGTGCCTTTGCGCCAGTGGAAGTTGAGGCGCGTGGGAGCAGCGCCGCCCGGTGCGCCGAGACGCGCGGTGTTGTTCTCGCGCCGCCGCCACGCGCGTCGCAGCCAAGCGCACGTGGCGACGCGTCGAGCGCCCCGCCGCCGCGGCGAGTCCAACACTTTTGCCGCGCCGTGCCGCTCTCTCAATCGCTGTTTCCGCATGCTCAAGTGCCAGTGACTTTGCTCCTGTGACTCCGTAGAGAAGCTGCAGCGGTCGTCGCACATTGAGTGCAGCTGAGAGACTGGCACGGCCTCGAGGCGCAGAGCGGGGCCGCACCCGCGTGCTGGGGCAAGCTGCTGCCGCCCCGCCGCGCCGCCTTCCGCATGCCGCGCGGCGCCGACGCGCCCGCCGAGCGGCGCCCGCCCGCCGCGCCTCGTCACTCGCGAGCGTGCGAGCCAAGGCGCGCATCGCTGCATCGCTGGGCTGTGGGCTTGGATCGCTCTCTCGACACCGCCACCGCACCCGCCCGAGCCGCCAACGGCCACCCGCAGCGCGCAGAGCACGCTGCCAGGCCGAGCCTCCGTCTGCTGCGTCCGCTGCCGCCGCGCTCCTTGCGCTCCCGCCACCACCTCGCGTGCCCCTCACCGCGCGCGCACTCACCTTCTCCCTCGCCCAGCATGCCGCCGTCTGCCGCGCCGTCGTCGCGCGTCCTGCTGCCCACCTCCTCGTCCAACTCGTCGCTGCCCAAGTCGGGCTCCAACGGCGCGCTGGGCGGCTCGGGCAAGGAGCAGCAGCCGCTCCTGTTCTCCTCGCCCGCGCGCGCCGCCGCCGTGGCGTCGCAGCTGCTGCTGCGCCCGCAGCCGGCGGCTCCGGCTCCGGCTCCCGCACCCACGGCGCAGGAGGAGGAAGAGGCAAAGGGCAGCTGGCGCAGCTGGAAGCGCGGCGAGGGCCTGCAGCCGTGGGAGATGGACATTGCCAACTCGCCCGAGGTGCAGCGCAAGGCAAACGTGGCGCAGATGTGTGAGTGTGGGTGGCGGGGGCAGTACATGGCAGGGAGCGGTGGCGAGGGCAGGTGCGAGCCAGCGCCACGATGCTGGCTGCTGCTGCTGCTGCTGGCCCGTGCTTGGACCTCTCTACGGCTGCGCTGCTGACGCTCCGTGCGGGGGGCGACAGACTTCCTCAACCACTACTTCGACTCGCTGCGCTACCTCTCCGACCGCCGCCTGCGGCAAAAGACGTTCCGTGCCGCGCACCCGCACACGCCGGGCGCCCTGCACGCGGGCGCCTCGGCCGAGGCGGCGAGCTACCTGGGGCGCGAGCGGGCGCTGCTGCGCAAGCGCCGCACCAAGCTGCGCCTCGAGAGCTTCCACATCATCACCCAGGTCGGCCAGGGCGGCTACGGCGAGGTCTTTCTGGCGCGCCGCCGCGAGACGGGCGAGGTGTGCGCGCTGAAGCGCTTGCGCAAGAGAGTCCTCGTCAAGATGGACGAGGTGAGTGCCCCCCAAGCGTTGGCAGAAGCAGACGACGCAGGCAGGAACTGACTACTCCCCCGCTACATAGGTGCGCCACGTTCTGACCGAGCGTGACATTCTCACGGCCACGCGCACGCCGTGGCTGGTGAGCCTGCTGTATGCCTTCCAGGACACGGAGCACGTGTTCCTTGCCATGGTGCGTTAGCACGCGAGAGAGCCGCGAGAAAGACACCGCACGGCAGAGCGCGGCTGACGGTCGCGCGAACATGGCGCCAACAGGAGTACGTGCCCGGCGGCGACTTCCGCACGCTGCTCAACAACAGCGGCGTGCTGCGCGAGGAGCATGCGCGCTTCTACATGGCCGAGATGTTTGTGGCGTGCAACGAGCTGCACAAGCTGGGCTACATCCACCGCGATCTCAAGCCCGAGGTGCGTTTCGCATCGCAAGGCGGATTGCGCACCTTGCCATGCTCACCACGTGTGGCCTGCCCCCCTCGCGCAGAACTTCCTTGTCGACTCGACGGGACACATCAAGCTGACTGACTTTGGCCTTGCGGCCGGCGCTCTCAACCCCGGCCGGCTAGAGTCGCTTCGTGGGCGGGTGCGTTTGGGCAGCTGTGCTCGCCCAGCGTCTTGCGCATGATGCCTGACACGTTTAGCTGTGTGCCCTTAGCTCGAGGCAGTCAAGGACACGTCGCTCATCTACCGCACGCCGCACGAGCGGTCGTCGCTGTACAAGCAGATGCGTGCGCAGAACGTCAAGTATGCCGACTCGATCGTCGGCAGTCCGGACTACATGGCGCCCGAGGTGCTGCGTGGGCGCGAGTACGGCGTGTCCGTCGACTACTGGTCGCTCGGCTGCATTCTCTTCGTGCGTATAGCTCTCGCATCCCCCCTGCGGCGCAAGCTCTCGTGTCCTGTGTGTGTGTGGCAGCCACGCTGATGAGCTGCCCCCCTTGGCACACGCGTGCGCAGGAGTTCCTCTGTGGCTTCCCGCCGTTCTCGGGCGGCAGTCCCGACGAGACGTGGGCGAACCTGAAGAACTGGGAAAAGGTGCTGCAGCGGCCCGTGTACGACAAGCCGCAGGACCTGCAGTTCAACCTCAGCGACACGGCCTGGAATGCCGTCACGCGGTGCGTGTCACGGTCTTTGCGCCGTAGCCAAGGCTCCGCTGCTTGCGCGCGCGCTTGCTGAACCTGACGCTCTTTGTGCTCTGGCCCGCCCCAGGCTCATCGACGCGCCCACTCGCCGCATCAGCAACCTGGCCGGCGTGCAGGCGCACGCCTTCTTTGCGCCCCTCGATCTCGCCGCGCTGCGCAGTCTCACGGCGCCCTTTGTGCCGCAGCTCGAGGGCGACGCCGACACGGGCTACTTTGACGACTTTGAGAACCCCGAGGACATGGCCAAGTACAAGGAGGTGCAGGAGAAGGCGCGCAACGTGGAGCGCGTCGACGAGGGCGGCAAGGGCGCCGGCGGCAGAGGCATGTGGGCCGGCTTTACCTTTAAGCCCACCACCAAGCAGGAGATGCAGCTGGCGGCGGCGACGCCCAAAGACGCATGCGACGCCTTTTCGACGATGTTCTAGCCGCCGCCCCCGCGACGCTCGCTACATCGCACAAGCACCAATCGGCCTCGCCTTCTTCTCCGCCCTCACTGCAGGCTCTCTCTCTCTGTAGATGCCCCCCCCCCCCTTAGACCCGCAGCTTGTACAGCACCCGTCTGTCTTTTCTCTTCTCTTCTCTTCTCTCTCTCTGTTTCCTCGCTGCCGATTCCCATACCCGCACCTGGCACGCCGCTCCTTGTCATGGCGCGCTTGCCTTGGCCCGTCCTTGCCCATTGATCCCTCCCCGCCGCAGCGCGACCTCTTACTTGTCCGTTAATGACCACGTCTGACCTCCTAGCAAGGACATGGGCATTGCGGCACCTTGCCTCAGGCATACACGCTCGCCGCGCCCGGTTGGAATCTCGTCGAGTGCGGCAGCACGGCGAGCGGCACGGCGCACTCGACGAGCTCGAGCTTTGTGCCCTGTGGCCATTCCTCGCCCTCTTGCCGCTGCAGCTGCGCGTGTCTGGCTGCGCTTGCGGGGCCCGAGAGCGCGTCGACGGCGCAGAGAGAGAGATGGTAGTGCTCGTACCCATCCTCTCCTACTGCCTCGAGATGCGGAGGGGGAGCGACCCGAAGGGCAGTGGCAGAGGCCTTGACGGTGGAGAGTGTAAGGAAGGAGAGGCGCACTGTCCAGTGCAGCTTGACTGCGCAGAGAGCCAAGGGGTGAGCATCGGCGATGCAAAGCACGCGAGGCAAAGGGGCGCGACGCTCACCGGCACTCGTGACGAAGTCCGGCGTGGCGCCGCTGGGAATCGGCAGCTGGAAGCCGACCTGTCCCACATCCAGCGCACATTCATGGGCCTCCGCATGCACGACCTTCGTCATCCGTGCACCTCTCGCAGCAGGCAGTGTAGCCAGAGTCGGCTCGATGCTCTCATGCGTCTCCAGCGCCGCGGCCACGCGCACCACGCGCGCCACGGCGCCGGGGAAGTTGGTCGAGACGACGCCGAGGACGGTGTCGCCGAGGCGATACTTGGACTTGACGAGCGTGAGCACGGCGGCGAGTTGGCCGTCTTTGGCAATGTCGTACGACACTGCCCCGTCGAGAATGTGAGCTGCCCGCGCGCGCTGCAGAGGAACGAGGGGAAGTGGGGTCAACGCACCTTTGCTGGAGTTCCGACTGAGCAGCTCTACAGCCTGCATCGTACTCGTCGGTCCTCCTTCTTCCTCCTCCTCCACGTCCTCCTTCACCGCGCCTACACTCGCTCTTCTGCCCAGCGGCGAGTTAGGTCTCGGCTCGAGCTGAGTCGGCACAGCCAGCGTCTCGGCTCCGCTCGAATGCGCTGCCGTAGAGCCAGGCTGTTGTTGTTGTTGCTGAGCGACGAGCAACGAGACGCGCTCCAGGTCCGTCGCTACGTCTTCCTCTCTCGTCTCCGTCGTAGCAGGCGTACACGAAGCAACGAGCGAAGTGGCATACGCATCGAAGGCCTTTCGGTCCATCTGCTCGTTCTTGCCTGTGCCTCCGCCGGCCTTGCGTTTCTCTCCCGACTTGCTGCCCTCTCGCACTGTCTTCTGCTGCTGCTGCGCTTGTGACTGCGGCGCTGGCGGCTTCTCATCGGCCTCCTCGTCGACGTGCGCGCTGCTCTTCCACACGACTGGATTCTGCAAGTCGAAGAAGAGCGTCGTGCCCGTCGGCGCGACGTGGTTGTAGATGCGCAGTGGGATGCGGATCAGACGCGAACGTTGTCGCCCACTGCTGCCGCCCGAGGAAGAGGAGGTGTCGAGACGATTGGTGCCGAGCGTGAGCGTGTAGTTGAAGGAGATGGAACGCCCGCTGTAAGAGGGTGGGAGATCGGGAGGCAGCGGCAGACGGAACGTGTCTGTTTCGCGCGCGCAAGAAGATGCAAAGGTCAGCCCAGCCTCCTCTTTTTCCCATGATCCATCTTTGCCCTCGACTACGCCCCCCTGGGCACCGCTCTGCAAAGACTCACAGCTCCGCCTCTCCCCCGGCTTCAGATCCACATCGACGAGCAGCACGCTCGGCTGCGTCACAAAGAGCGGCACCGCTCTTGATTCGCCCAGCTTTCGCCTCGTCTCTTCCAGCGTCGAGCCTTTGCGCGCATGTCCTCGCCACGCGCTCGGACTCAGATAGCTGCCCCACGAAGCTCTGCGCTTCACTTCTTCCGGCGCCGCCGCAGGTACTGCGGCAGCAGTGAGGCCGGCAGGCGCAAAGAGGGAGCCGCCGCCGAACGAAGAGGTGGAGAGCAGCCGACGCTTCATGTCCTCGAACTCCGCCGGCTTGATCAGACTCTCGTCGAGCCGAAACTCGCCGCCGAACTGCGCGTAGGCCCAGAGGAGACGCACACTGCCTTCTGCCGGAGCGGCGCGTCTCGAGGAAGAGGGAGGAAAGAGGGGCGATTGGACTGGTGTGTTGCTTGTGCTGCTGGAGGAGGCACGAGGAGCAGACCAGTTGGTGATGTCATCGCGAAGCACACTTTCAAGCGTGTCGTTTGCCGCCTCGCCGGCGCCGTAGAAGGTGGCGCGCGAAGTGGCGGGGTGCGCGAGACGAGGAGTAGAGGAGCCAGAGGAAGTGGAGGAAGAAGAAGGCTCGGAGTCGAGAGCAAAGGCGGAGGAGAGATCTTCGGCCTGGATGGCGGCGACGGACTCTTTGCGCGCGTGCGGGTGCGCCGCTGGTACGCGAGCGGAGGGCAGACGCGAAGAGGAGGCGCTGCGAGGGACGCTGGAGGAGGCGAGAGCGGAGGCGGAGGTGGCGCTGCTAGCGGAGGCGTGGCGCAGCTCTAGTGCCGTGTTGTGCGAGGAGACCCCACCCGAGGGCAGAGGCGTGCGGAACGCTCCGCCGCTGCCGCTTGCTGCGCCCGATGCGTCGTTGACAGGATGGCCGATGCCCAGGCCAGAGCGAGCATGAGAGGCAGACAGGCTCTGCGAGACGCGATGGCCCTTTGTCTGTGCCGTCGTCGATGCTGCTGTGCCGGCCGCAGCGCCCGAGAAGGCGCGTCGTCCGACCATGCCTCTGCGTCTCGGCACGGCTTGCTCCTCCTCCTGCAGCGAGGCGCTCGACGGCAGGCGATGCAGGCTCTCCGATGCGCGATGCAGGGCAAACGAGCGTCGAGGCACAGCAGACTGACTCAGCAGCTTCTCATCGCGCTCCCGCCGCTCCGCATAGTAGCGCGCATCCTGTGCTCCCTCGTCGCGCTTCTCCAGCGCCAGGTCGCGCGCGAACGTGCGCACGTCGACGGAGTGCGACTTGGCGTGCCCATGCCGGGGGAAGTAGCCGGATGTGGGTGTGGGAGTAGTGAGAGGTGAAGAGGGTGGAGGTGCGGGGAGCGTGTTGATGAACGTCAAGGTGCAGACGAAGGCTTCGCCGGCGAAGAAGGAGGAAGAATGCGGCGCGATCTCGACGAGCAGAGGCGTGGGAGAAGCACTGCTGCTCATGGTGGCAGTGAGGGCAGACGCCAGAAGACGCAGCGCGGAGTGCGTCGGCTGCGGCTGCGAGAGCTGGACAGAAGCGGGGAGGGGGATGGAGGCGGGAAGCAACCGAACGTCGCGCGTTGGCGGCACAGCGCGCGCCAGATGTTGGTGGCGCGCGCTTGGGCCACCCCGCCGCTGACTTTACCCGTACCCGGCCGCCGCATCGAGCTGGCGCGCGAGCCCACAGAAGAGGGCGCTGGCGGCGCCTGCGAGCATCACCCTCTCTCTCTCGCTCCCTCCCTCTCGCACTCTTCCAGCCCGTGCCATTCAGCTGATCAGCCACCCTCCCACCTCTCTCTTCACGCAGCACGTCGCGGTAATGGTCATGACGGTTCAAGCACATCGCACTGGCGCGCGTAGGAGAGGAGAAGCATGTGACTCGATGTACATCCGGGCCGAGTCGTCGTGAGGGGGTTCGTTAGGTGGGCAGCAAATCTGGAGCGCGAGATGATGTGGACAGCGAGGGAGTCGGGAGAAGAGTCGTGCAGAGACTGACGCTGAAGAGGCGCGTTTGCGCCTCTACTCGCTGCTGCTCGGCGCAGCCCCAGCCGCCGCAGGCACAGCAGGCTGTCCTTCCATCTTGCTGCTGCCCGTCGACGTCGACGCCTGTCTCGCACGCACAGAAGTCGAACGAGCACCAATCGTAGGCGTGCCCGGCGCAGCGCGAGCCGCAGAGGAGGAGGCGGCGCGCTGAGGCGTGCTTGGCGCTGCCGCGACGGCGACGGCGACGAGGGGTGCGTCGACGAGGGGCGCAGAGACGGGCGCGGCGATGCTGGCAGCAGGCACGGCCTCGACGGCAGGAGTAGCTGGGATGAGAGTCTCGTTGAGCGCTGGCGTCGAAGGCTCGATCGGCATCACTGTTGGCGTCGGCGCGGCTGCGACTTGCGAATTGGGCGCCTCGGGAGCCGCAGGAGCCGCAGGAGCATCAACCACGGGCGCTGGCTCGACTGGAGCTGGTGCCGGACAGGAAGGCGGGCCCTCGAGATGCGTGTCGGGCGCCGGTACCGGCGCCGGCGAAGGCGCTGGAGCCGGCTGCTCGCTCGGCTGTTCCGGAAGCGGCGTGCTCGGCAATTCGTGCACCGGCGCTCCATCGGGCACGCCATCGCCGTCCGAGTCGCCGGGCGCGATGGGAGCGTCCCAGGCGCGTGGGATGAGCGCGATTGGGAGGAGCCATGTGGCAGCGAGGATGACGCCCTTGCCTTCGTCGTTTGACTTGACGACGCTCCAGGACCAGCCGATGAAGGTCGCAATGTACCCTGTGAGAGGCGCCAGAGTGCGCAGCACCGAGCTGAGGAGAGGAAACACGCGCGTCAGTGGGGGAGTGGGACAGGATTGGCAGCGAGGGAAGGGGCGAAAATTGGAATACGTACAGCACAGCGAGCAATTGCGGCGGCATAGGAATCGTGCTCGCCTTGTCGATGATCGCCACGAGCATGGTATGCACGGTAATGGCAATCTTCTCGGCGCTCGCCATGTCTTTGTCGAGGGCCTTCATGATGGGCGGAGGCAGATAGAGCTGATAGCCCCACCATGTGGCGTGGATCGAGAAGGCGGACGAGGAGGGCAGCCAGACGCGCTTGCGCCCCGGGCGCGGAGAGGGGGCCGGCGCGGACGGAGGAGTGGGAGAGCTGGGAGAGCCGAAGTAGGGGACCCAAGAGGGCAGAGACCAGAAAGCGGTGGTGGGCGTGACGTAGTAAACGAGACCCTTCGACGCGGCACTGGCGGTAGCTTGACGATCAAACTCATCCCTGTTGCATGGCTCGTCAGCCTCCCGCGCTTCTCTCCGACGCTCCTCAGGCTCAGCACTCACCACTGATAGTCCTTGCCCTTGCCCACCTTCTCCGTCCAGAGCGTCTGCGCCTGTCCTTGACCCTCGTAGTAATGCGCTTCCGCAAGCACATGCGACGGTACCACGACGCTCTTGCCAAGGCACAGATTCCCACCATGCACATCACACGAGATCGTCACGCCCGACCACAGCCCATCATCATCTTCGTCGTCCTCGTGCAGCGCGTGCTTGAGCGACTCGGTCGCTGAGGGAGCCTGCGAGTCGTGAGGGATGGCTTCGGCTTTGGGACCCGAGGGGAGGGCGTTGAGCGCAGACCAGACCGTGCCGCCTCCCGAGGGCTGGCTGGGTTGAGGAGCGTAAAGCAGAGCAGTGGCGCAGTTCATACGCGCCGCATCTGTGCCTAATGCCATCAGCCATCTTTGTTCCCCTCTCTTTGCCCTGGTCTCGCGACTGCAACTCACCACCGAGCGTATCGATCAAATCGGCGCTCGAGAGCGTGCTGTAGAAAGGCGGGCCCGGGCGCAGCATGCTGGCGACCTTGTGCGCAATGGCATCTGCAGCTGCCACGACGCCGTCGATTACTGCGTGCTCGGTGGCGGAGGCGACGGCAATGGGACGCGTGAGGAAGCGCGAGGTGGGCGAGAGGAAGGCGGAGAGCTGGGCGGCGCGCTCTGTCTCGGAGGCGGCGGAGGAAGAGGGAGGAGAGGCGACGAAGGAGGGAGTGGTGAAGGTCACCTGCGGCTGCGACGCTGCTGGCACCGAGGTGGAGCCGTCGTCGGCAGACGCAGCGAGCTTGCCGTCCTCGACGCTCTCGGCGGCGGCCGCTGCTGGCGCGGGTGCGCCCTGCAGCTGTGCAGCGGCAGCCACCGCTGGCTCAGGCGGTGCCACTGCCGCTGCGGGCGCTTCGAATGAGGCGGGACACATGGCTGCCGTTGTCGTCGTCGGTGGTGCTGGCGCGGGGCGCGCTGCTCTGGAACGAGAAGGCGTGCGTGGGCGCGTCGCGCGACACTTCGTCTGGCGGTGGACGCGAGTGTGGGAGTGGCGATGCGGGTGTGGGGATGCGATGAGAACGGCGGAGGAGACGCGGAGAGCGGAGAAGTTGTGGTTGTGGTCGTGAAGAGGCGAAGCTGGGAAATCCGGGGAGAGAGAGGAGCGAGTAGGGTTGCGGCGCATACAAGGCTCGCGCCAAGGCGCGCGGACGGAGTGATGCAGGTTCGTCAGAAGCGTCGTGAAGGCGTGAATGATTCGTGGCGTGAAGGGTCGAGATGTGCGAGGCGAGCCAAGCGGCGCTCGAGGCGCAGGCGTGGGCGGCAGATGACGGTGCAGAGCCAAGCTGGAGGCGCAGCGCGCAACACGCGCGCGTTCCGAGCGGCGCGCGGCGGCGGTGGCGCGTGGGGAAAGGTAGCCCCTGAGCGCGATGCGGGCACTGCAGCAGTCTAGAGTGACGCGCCGGCGGAGCGGGGTGCGCATGAGGATCGACGGCGTGCATGACGCTAGCCGCACCGCCGTGCCGGCCGCCTCTCTGGATCCCACGTGGGCTGAGAGCAGTGCTCGGCTCGCTCGAGCCGATCACAGGGAGGGGAGAGAGCCCTTCTTCTCTCGTGTGCAGCAGCCGGCAACGGAGACGAGATTGGCAGAGGAGGGCATCAGGGACAGTGCTTCCACGAATGCACTCTTACTTCCGCCTCGCTTCTATGAGCGCAGAGAGGAGCAAAGAGCGGGAACCCCGCACGAGCTGCGCTTGCAGGAGGCAGCACCCAGAGCGAGGTGAACCTCAGCAGGCCGCTTTCGCGCAGCAGAGCACAAGAAAGCGGCGCAAGCGTGGTCCTGCTCTGCGCCTCTCTGGGCAGACTCGAGAAGGAACAGCCGGGCAAGGGCCGCAACAGGGGTATCATTTCCTTCTCTGCTGCAGAGATCAGAGCGAGCAAGCTCGCCTTTCTCTCCTTGACCAGACGAGCAAGATTCGTGACCCTCGGCGCCTCTATGTCCAAATGGCGATCTCGACGAGGCATCTACTTCGTCGCAGGCGGCTCGGCGCTCGTACCGCCTGCGGGCGCGGCAGTCGTGGCGGTGACAGCCGCAGCAGTCGCAGTGCTCGCAGTCGCTTCTGCCGCCGCAGCAGCTGGCGGTGCCGGACTCGAGCGCCAGCCGAGCAGACTGGCGGTCCACGATGTCGTCGCTGTGGCAGTAGAGGGCGTCGTAGCATGCGTCTTGAGCGTCGAGGCCTTCGTCGCCTCGTCTGCCGCAGGCAGCTGCCTCGCGGCCTCCTCCTTCTTGCCCGACTTGAGTTCCCTCACCGTCGTCCCTTCATTGCCATTTCTCCTCGGCGCGTTGCGTCGCGCCGAGTCGCCGCGACCGGTCGCTTCATCTGCGCCGGAGGAAGAGACGGTAATGATGAAGTTCTTGAGATTGCCGAGCGTGTGGCGAATGTCAAGCACGGGCACGCGGTGTTGGTTCATCAACTAAAGGCGGCAAGAGGGGGGTCAGCGAGGCGCGAAAGAGTGAGGCCAAGAGGGGGCAGTAGTACCTGCTCGATGTTCTTGTTCAGCAGAAAGACGGCGTATTCGAAGCGATAGGACTCGACGCCTTTGGCGTACAGCGGGAAGCTGCGGTAGTAAAGAGGGGCTCAGTCATCTCCTTTGCGACGAAGAGCGTTGCCAGCCAGGAGATGTGAGAGGAAGAGAGACAGCCAGCAGCCCAACTCACGCTCGAGGGCCAGTCATGCAGCTGATGCCATCCTGCACTACTGCTCTTGAGCCGGCAGTCGCAAGGGGGTAATGCAACGGCGTGTTCGTATACACGCTCAAGAGCACTACCACTTGCGCCACGAGGCCTAGCGCCGATGCTCTTGTCTCTTCGTCCACCGCCGCCGCCGCTGCTGTCGACGGTGAGGCGGAGGAGGAGGGATGCTGAGGGTTGTCGGTGTTGGGCAGCGCGAGATTGTTGATGCTGAAGAGCAAAGAGGAAGCATCGAGCAAGTCGATGGGATAGATGTGCTCCAGCTCGCCCAGGAGTGTTGCTCGACGAGCGTGAAGCGCAGCAGATTGGAGCGCGTGTCTGTCTCTGTTGGGTCCCGTCAGAGAGCCCTCTTGAGTGTCAGCGAAGGGCGGGGCGCGCGGGCGCAGAAGAGAACGAGGAAAGGGATGCGAAAACGCACGAAAGGGAAGCGATCGAGGTGGACATCGCCTCGATTGTGGCGCGCAGGGACAGGTTGCCTCGTCGAGCAGTTTCAAGCCTCGCCTTCCGTCGCGCCAGTACCTCACGTCGACGCGCCAGGATGGCTCTTGCTGTGAGTCGCAGTGTCGTGGAGCGAAGGGTGCCGGAGAGTAACAGAGTAAGAGAGCGCACGGGGCGGTGAGTTGTTAGTGGGCGTGAAGACTCGGGGAGAGATGGGAGCCAACGTGGACGAAGAAAAACGAACGCACCGCTCTTTGCTCCTTCTCGCTCCGCTTCTTCCGCCTCTTTCAAGCGCTCCACTGACTCTCTCAGTTCGCCTCTCTTCAGTCTCTGCGCGTCTGCCTATCAGCACCCTCTCCTTCTCTTACGTCTCCGCCCTTGCACTCACCAATCTCTCCGACGCCTCCGCCCACTCCCTATCCGCCTCTGCAAACGCCGCTAGCGTCCTGCATCCCTCTGCTTGTCGCGCATGAAACACCTCGATGAACAGCTGCATCTCGGCAAACTCGACGCCGGGGACCATGCGTTGTTCGCGCATGCTGCGAGCGAAGACGTCGGATGCTTTGCGAGCGGAGGTCGGACGAAGCGGAGGAGAGAGGGCGGAGGGAGAGGAAGGAGGAGAGGAGGAGGAGGGAGAGAAGAGCGCGAAGACGACGTCTTCGGCGTCGGCGCCGCAACGGAAGTGCAGCAGCAGAGTGTTGTCTGGTAGCTTTGGCGTCGTCTATAGGGGATACGTCAGTCTCCATGAGCTCCCTTTGCCCTGCCTCTCTGCAACCACCTAGCGCAGAGGCAAAGCGACGGCACGAACGTAAGGAAGGCCCACTCACCGACAGATCCACCCTTCTCAAGTTCGCCTCGCTCACCTCCCTCGTCCACACCTTCACCCACTGTCTTTGCCCTTCCTCTGCCTCGCTCCCGTCTCCCTCTCGTCCGCCCGCCGAGGGGCGCACCCACAGCGTCATCGTCACCCGCCGCTCCTCGCCTTTCTCATCCAAAGGCACATCGAGAGAGATGTGCGGCCACTCATGGTGTGTGCGATGGTATGAGCGGAAGCTGCGCTGCGCTGCCGCTGCCGCCGGTGCAGGTGGTGGTTGCACTTGCGCTGCTGCTGTCGCTGCCGTTGCCACAGCACCCGCGTCGGCGTCGCCGCCAGCGGCGCCGGCCTCTGGCCCGTGCTGCGCGTCCGCACCGCAGCCATAGCTGAGCTCGATTCGCACATCGCCAACGCGCTGCGCGTTCAAGGCGCGCAGCTGTGCCGCCGAACTGCCTTCTGCAGCATCGGAATGCGAGGGAGGCGCGTGCCGCGAGGAACGGGCGCGCCGGAGCTGGGGCTTGAGAGAGGAGGAGGAGGAGGAGGCTGGAAGAAGCAGAGAGGAAGGTGAGGAGCTTGAGCGTTGAGCGTGATGCGCAGGATGTGCAGAGGAAGAAGAAGGGAGGCAGAGCGAACGCAGAGAGAGGGAGGTCAAGGAGGAGAGAGGCGGCTGAGAGGGTTGCGCAAGCGAGGTCAGCGTCAGGGCAAGGCGCACAGCGCACGCCTTGGACAGCACGGGCAGACGTACCAAGTCATCATGGCTCGACATGCCGCCCGGCTTGCGGACTGCGCGAGACAGAGGGAGAGGGTGGAGGTGAGAAGCCACGTCGTGACGGCGAGCACGGGAGCGGGCCGTGCGCGAACGGCGGAGGCGTGCCGTGCGAGAAATGCGCGCGCGCGCGCCGCCCTTGCCGTGTTCCTTCCTCGCCTGCCTGCTGCTGCGCATCGTGCTTCTCTTTCCCTCCACCTCCTCCTCCAACCCCTCTCCTCATCAGCCAGAGCCGCGCTTCCGAGGCCATGGCAGACGCCAATGCCATTGCTCCAGCGCCGCCGAGCCCAGCTGCCTTTCCCGGCATGCCTTACGCCGCCGACGCCTCGTCGCCTGCGCCCGACGCAGCCAGCATTCTGCGCGCGGGCATGCCGCCTCTCGCCGCGGCCGAAGCCGAGTCGCTCCCTGCCTTCGACGACTCAGCAGCCTCAGCATCTCCTTCCACCTCTGCCACGCCCCCAGCAGAGCCCACGGCGGCACCGCACAATCTCGAGTCCGCCCAGGCCGCGCTGGCGGCGGGTCAGATCCCGCGTGATGCTTTGCGCCTCTCTTCCATTCAGCTCGAAGGCTGTCCTTCCCTCCGCCGTTCCTTCCTCCAGCGCCTCATCTCTCCCTACATCACGCCTGCGCCCAGCAGCGCGCCCATGAGCGTGACTGCCGCGCTGCAGCGCGCGTGGGCGGCGCATCGAGCCGAGCTGCCGAGGGCGGGCGAGGCGACGGAGTTGTTGGCGCTGCTGGCAGTCGCACGCAGCGTTGCGGGCGACCTGCAGGCGCTGGATCTCTTCGACTCTATAGATGCATCTGTCCTTCCTTCCTCTTCTTCCTCCGGGCCGGAAGAAGTAGACCTCCTCTTTACGCTGCGTGAAAAGTCACGCGTGCTGCTGAAGAGCTCGACGGACGTGGGCAATGGCGAAGGATCGGCTAGTATTCAGGGGAGAGTGCGGAATTGCTTTGGCGGCGCCGAGTGCCTCGAGGGCAACGCAACTGTGGGCACTCGGACTCGGAGGAGCTTCAATGTGAGTTGGTGTGCTTGCTCTGTGGAGAGCGAAAGGGCGCAGGAAAGGGAGAGGAGAGAGGCTGGACAATCTGAGCGGGGCGAGGCGGCTTCACCGCGGTGGACGTAGCGCTCGTGCGTGCAGATGCTTCTGTGCGTTGCGGCATGCCAGATCCAAGGCTGCATCAGCCAGCTGCACACGTTAGCAGTGCAGCATTGCTAGCCGCAAGCAGCTCTGGTCGAGCGGATTGACCTCAACCCGCATCTTTGTTCTTTGGTGCTTCTCATCCTCATACCTGCTTCAATGACTACTCTTCTCTGCTCCTCGACTGACCTTCAACGCCTTGTTCCCGTTCGCCCAGGTCTCTCTCTCCGCCCCTCTGCTCGCCAATCCCGATCATCAAGCCTCCCTCTCCGCCTACGCGCTCGATCGGGACTGCTCCAACTATCTCTCCTGCAGCGAGGGGCTACGCGGCGCTCGTGTAGCTCTGCGAGTGAGTGTCTCTATCTGCGGGATACACGGATGGCGCAGAAGCTGATGCACCATGGGCAGTCAAGCTTGGCGCCGGGCGTCTCGCATGAGATGGCATACGAGTTGGTCTGGCGACAGTTGGGACGCTTGGCTCCTTCCGCCTCCCTCTCGTACGTCGCCTTTCCCTCTCCCCTTCCTTTCTCCCTACTCATCTATTCCCACTTTCCGCACTCGCGTGCTCTCTCTCGCTCGCAGTGTGCGCCGCCTGGCTGTGCCCACTCTCAAGTCCAGCCTCAGCTACACCTACGCGCGCGACACGCGTCTCGATGCTCTTCTCCTCAACCCCGCCGGCTCGTCCTTCAAGTTCTCCTCCGAGCTCGCAGGCCTCGGCGGCGACACAGCCTTCCTCAAGAGCGAAGTCGACTATTTCCGTCCGAGAGCCTTTGGTGCTGGCTGGGTGAGTCGTGTTCCTTCGCTCTGCTGTTGCGCAACTCTGAGGCGAGCGGCAACAGGCATACACGATTGCGGCCCGGGCGGGAGCGATGAAGAGCCTGGATGCAAGAGCCACGCCGCTCGTCGATCGCTTCCATCTTGGGGGGCCCATCTCGCTGCGCATGTTCCGGCACAACAGTCTCGGACCGAAGGATGGCCGTGCGTACGCCCCTTCTCGCCTTCCTTGCCGCCCAGCGACCGCTCACCCTCAGCCCCGTGGCACGCGCAGTGGACTCATTAGGCGGCGACGCCTACTGGGCAGCCGGCGCCAGTCTTCTTGCGCCAATGCCGTATCGCGCAGAATGGCCGCTCAAGCTGCACGCCTTCGTGAATGCCGGACAGGTCTGTGCCCTCGATCAGTGTACGTTCTCCCTTGCTCCCTCCTGGCCTCTCCTCGCTGAGACATCATCCGCCGCAGCGCAACCACTGCGGCCAGCAGCCTTTGCGCCTCTCGCGCAGCCTTCCTCCTCCGCAGGCATCGGCATCGTCTACACGCAAGGTCCGCTGCGCGTCGAGCTGAATGCGGGCCTGCCGCTCACTGCGCGCATGGGCGACGGCACGAGGAAGGGCTTCCAGCTCGGCATCGGGCTCACTTTCCTCTAGTCTGGCCGTGCAGCTCTCCCTTGCCACTGCTGCCGCAAGAGAGAGCGAATGAGAGGTTTTCACCGCTCACATCGATGCCCGACGCAGAGGAGAATGAAAGGGGTATTTGCGGCAAGGGCGAATGGAGCCTGCGAGTCTCGTCCGCGTCTACAGGCAGCGCGGTGGCGGCGATGGGGAGAAGCCAGACGGGAGGAGCATGCTGCGGCGCCAGCATGGGGCCGCGGCGGCGAGGCTGAGCAGCGAGCTCAGATGGGCCCGCCAGACCCCGATCATGGCGCGCTCAGCGAGAGTGCTGCTGCAGCGCTTGTGGCCGTCGAAGCGCTTCACATGATCGAGCATTCTGAAGCCGCCTCACTGTACGTGCGTTCGCGTCAGTCAATGAAAGGGCGAGAGATGCAGGGGCAGAGGAGCAGGCGGACAGCTCTGACTCACTTGCGCGTCGGCCTGGCTCCGCGCTTGCCCGCCTTGCCGCCCATCTTCTTGAGTTCCGTCAGGCGCTGCATGGCGCGCTTGTTGCCTTGCGCTGGCGCAGGATGGTAGGTGTCAGTCTCTCGTTCCACAGCGCCGGGTCGCTCGCTCTCAGGCACTCACCAGCAGCGCGCATGTACCACCTCTTCGCCTCCTCCAGGTCCGCCTTGACACCGATGCCCACCTCCGAGTAGTAGCCCACGGCATACTCCGCTTTCGGAATGCCCTTCGTCGCCGCTCTTCTGGCCCACAGATACGCCTCGCTATCCGACTGCTTCAGCACGCCCTCGCTGCCCGTCAGGTACCAGCCGCTGAGCGCCAGCTCGCTCTCGCCGTCGTTCTTGCCCGCCGCCTTCGTGTACCACGCAATGGAGCGGCGCGGATCGACGGGACACGTCAGTGCGCCATACTCGTACGCCGAGCCGAGCTTGAACTGTGCCGGCGCATAGCCCAGCTGCGCGGCCTGCGTGAAGAGCTCGCGCGCGTACGCTTCGTCTTGCAGCACCACACTGCTGCTGCCCGGCTTCTCGTGCAGCAGGCCCAGCTCGTGCAGCGCATGCGGATTCTCCTCGTCTGCCTGGCCCGCGGCGCGCTTGAGCCAGACGATGGCTTCGCGCACGTTGCGAGGCTGGCCGAGCAGCCCGTTGAGCAGAATCATGCCGAGCTTGTACATGCCCGCCGTGTCGCCCAGCGCCGAGGCTTTGCGGTAGAAGAGCACGGCGCGATGATGATCTCGGCGCGTGCCTGCGCCCACCTCGTTGCACACGGCCGTGCGATACGTGGCCGCCGGGTGGTTTTGCTTCGACGCCTGCACGTAGAGATTGTAGGCCTTCTCGTGGTCGACCTGCAGGCCGAGCGAGCCGTTGCCGAAGCAGTTGGCCAGGAAGAACTGCGCCTCGCTGTACGGCGGCTTGCCGAGGCCCATGCCCGTCGTCGCCAGGCGCTTGATGAGCTTCAGCGACTCGCCGAGGAGATGATCGCGATACTTGCGCGCCTGCTTCGGCCCGTCTTTCGGATCCTGCACCTTCTTGGCCGCCTCGATGAGATACTTTGCAAACGCAAACTGCGCCTCTGCATCTGGGTCGCCCTTCATGCGCTGCCGATACTCCTCCACAAAGGCCTTGTTGAACGGCAGCGTCTGGCGCTGAGCCTCGGCCTCCTTGCTCTTCCGGCGCGCATTCACCGCCGCCGAAGAGCCGCCGGAGACGACACTGGCCATGCTGAGATGCGTGTGTTGCCGCACCAGGCCGGCCATGCCGGGCTGCAGGCCGCCGCCCATGCCCATGCTCATGTGCGAGCCCGACGAAGGCGCGCGCATGAGCTCCGGGTGCCCCGCCTGAGCCTGTTGCGGCGGAAAGCCCGGGTAGCCCGCCTGCGCGCCGTAGTCGTAGGCGCCCGCCGAGCCTGGAGGCGCATAGTACGAGCCCTGCGGCGCATCGTAGCTGCCCTGCTGCGACTGCGCATAGCCCGCACCTCCACCTGCGCCGCCGTAGAAGGCGCCATGATGAGCCGTCGGGTTGAAGGGCGCAGAGCCGGCGCCGCCGCCGTAGTAGGCCTCTTCGGGCGGGTAGTAGACGCCCTGTTCTGGCGCATAGCCGTCTCCCGACCAGCCTCCGTGCGGCTGCTGCGGCGGCGGGTGCTGCTGTCTCGAGTAGTCGTAGCTCTGCTGCGGGGCGTAGCCACTGTTGATCGAGCCTGCACTCGGTCGTCGATCGGCAAGGTCCGCCGCTGTCGCATCAACCTCCTGCGAGATGGCAGCAAGCGAGTTGGAAGCATCGACTTCACGCGCGGACTGGTAGATCTCCTGTTGCGCATAGCGCATGCTGGCGCGCTCGGCCTCGGCACCGCCGAGCGGAGTCATGGTGCGCGTGGGCTGCCCGAGTGAGAGCTTGTCGAAAGGCACGCCCAGATCATCGGCCAGAGGCGGCCCGCGCGACGCTCGGCCGCCGTGGTCGATGGCGGGCGCGGAGGTGTTGGACTGCTGGTACAGCGGCACTGAGGCAGGTGTCAGACACGCACAGCACGGTATGACAGCGGCGGTGTGCGCTCAGTGCCATGCCTTGTGCTCCAATTACTGGCAGAGCCGCCTCGTCCTGCCACTCCCTCGCCTGCTCGCACCACACTCACCGCCATTCGCGCCCTGCGGCCTGTACATCTGCGGCTGCGGCTGCCGCATCTGCATGACGCCGTCGGCCGTCGGGCCCCTCCGTCGCTGCGGATTGAAGTCCGGACTGGGATGTGCCGAGTGGCCTCCTGCGCCAGCGCCGTGCCATTGCTCCGAAGGCGGCCCGCTGCCGCCGGGTGCGCCGCGCGCGGTGCCGCTCGAGGAGCCGGAGTATTGCGCGCTGTGCTGCGGCTGCTGGTGTTGGTAGTAGTGCGCGGACGAGGGGAGTGCAGAGGAGGAAGAGGCCGAAGGCGCGTCAAAGCCTTGTGCGTACGCCAGCGAGAGAGAGTCGTGAGATGCCGACGACGACATGCTGGGCGAGCAGCGTGCGCAGAGCGGCGCACTCGCAGCTCAAGAGACGTGCGCTTGACTGAAGGAGGCGCAGCGCAGAAGAGAAGCGCAGTGAGGTGCAGAGAGGTGCAGAGGAGAACGAGGTGCGAGGCCGAAGAGAGAGCGCGCAAGGGTGCACGGGCGCCGCGCGGAGCGATGAGCGGAGCGGCGAGGCTCGGCCGACAAGCGCTAGCCGGCAGAGGCAGTTGCAGCCTGCTGGAGCGGCTGCGCGAGCGCTCAGAGAGAGAGAGGGGGGGAGGAGGCGCGCGAAGAGAGGGACGTGCAACAGCGAACGCCAGCTGTCAAGAGTCAGGGTGCTCAGGGTTGTGGAGAGACGGCTGTTGCTGTGGCTGCGTGAGTCGACGGCGCCGACGCCGCCGCGCCGCGCGCGCGTGATGCGCACAACAGCGCCGCCGCCGCCGCGCGCCACGCCAGCGGCAGCGTGAGCGCCGGCCTCGCTTGCGCTGCTCGCGCGCACGCTCAGCCGCGGCCTCCAAGCTGCTCCACACCACGTCTCTCTGTCGCAGCGGTGTCCTCTCTCCCGAACAGCAGATGCCCTGTGGCCAGCATTGCATTGGATCTTTTTGCGCTGCGGAAGCTAGCCTGCTTGGCAGAACGCAGCGCCAGCTCTGTGCGCCATGATGGCGCGCGAGGCTTGGTGCTCGGCCGGCGTCTCTGCCAGAAAAGGGGCACAGCCGTCGGCTCTCGCAAACGACGTGATGACCCACGGGCTTCATGCTTGCCTCCAAAACAGCAGTGAGCGTCTAGAGGAGAGCTGGCTGGCTGGCGACGGGACGTTCGTCAGGCACAAGCCAGCAAGCCCGCGCTCGTCGCAGCGCAGAGATGGAGAGAGGAGAAGCTGTGCGCCGCTCGAGCAGAAGATGCGTGTTGCAGCCGCTCCAGCAGAGGTCAAAGGCAGAGCTGGCTGGCTGCCGTGCGGTCTGAGGTAGCAGGGCGCTTTGGCCTTGATTGCCTCACACTCTGCTCTTCTGCCAATTTTGGTGCCAGATGCAGCCTTGCACTCGATAGACAGAGAGAGGTCCAGCGACGCCGCGTCATGAGCATGGGCTGCGCGCACCACACATCGCAGCGCTCACCCACGAGCAGCAGCGCTCTTCTTTGCGTGCGCTCGCTCGCCCAAAGGCGCCGCTCAGCAGCTGCAGAGTGAGACGTCGGAGGTGCTGGTCATCCGCAGCATCCGCGCCCGAGTGCTGCAGCTGGTCTCGTTGCTCTGTCCTCGAGCGGAAGCGGCACAGACGAGGACGAGCGGACGGCACCCTGAGCCGCCCCTCTGCTGCGCCGTGGCTTGAAGGGATGATCTCATCAGCGACGCGAGGTGTGCATGCAGGCGGCGGCCGGCGTCGGCTGTGCAGCGCCGACGCCTCGGCGCAGCCAAGACGCCGCGCCGGCAAAGTGGAGCGGCTCGTCCGCCCTTTCGCGTTTGCTGCTCGGCAGGCACAGCCCCCGCCGCCCAGAGCTGTCCTGCAAGTCGAGTCTTCCCGCCCGCCGCCCGGCGGCAGCAAAGCAGAGGCGTTTGCAAGCTCGCAAGGGTTGCGTGCCTTTGAGCTGCCGAGGGATGAGAGGTGCTCCCGCGGCCGTCGAAAATGCGCCGCAGGACTCCGCTGCTCGCCAAGAAACGCCGGACGAGCGCTGCCGGCCAACGGCGTTGAGCGTGTGACCTCGTCCCACCTACCCACGCAACGCCTGCGCTCGGCTGCTCCTTGCTTCAGCACCTCCTCCTGCCGCTCCATCTCCCTCTCGCACCCTCGTCCCTCGCACTGCCGCATCGCCGCACGGCCTCGCCTTCCCCTCTCGCCTCGCTCTCCTTCGGGCGCGCGCAGCACGCACTCCTCCACTTGCGCGTCTCTCTCGCCATGCGCTGGCCTCTCGCCTCGCTGCTCGGCGCCAGCGTCCTCCTCGCCTCGAGCGCCGCCGCTTCGCCAGCAGCGCCCGCAGCGCTCTCGCGCCGCGCGCCGGTGCCCGCAGGCGGCGATGTGGACTTCTACAACCCGCTCAATCGCACGGGCGGGCACATGCTCTCGGTGAGTTGGGCGAGAGGCGGCGCAAGAGGCGCGAGAGAGAGAGGAGAGCCAGAGAGGGAGAGGGAGAGGGAAAGAGAAGAGTAGGGACCAAGAGGTGGAGAGCGTGGCGAGCTGCGTCGTGACCTGGCGCAGAGCATAGCTTCTCGCACCTGTCTGCGTGACGGCGGAGCGAGCGTGGTTCTTCAGTCAGGCGGAGCGAGCGTGGTGCTTCAGTCTAGCGCAGCGTCACAGAGAGAGGCTGACTGGGAGACGTTGTCAACAGATCCTCCCCGACTCTGATCTCGGCGAGCCCATCAACGTCATCATCTCGGGCCGGAGCTCCAAGAGCGTGCTCTCTGTCGAGGGCTTTTTGCTTTGGGCTACGTGGGTCTCCCGCCTGCCGCCGCGTCCCCTCGCCCAGCTGACCAGAGAGGGCGATGCAGATCGGTCCACTTCGGCGTCTCCTGCCTCGGCCAGGCGAACGGAACGCAGCAGCTTGCGAATCTGGGCGATGGACAGGGCAATCAGACGCAGGGCTCGGGGGACGGGAACAATGGCGTGATGCGGTGAGTGGCGCGCCTCGACCGGCAGGCAAGAGAGAGAGCGAGAGAAGACGCTCATGCGGAGATGCCTCAGGTGGAACTACTACGACCCATACATTGGCACCTGCAAAGAGACGCTGATTGGCGGTGAGTCTGCCGTCTGTGCTGTCTCCCTCGGTGGCTCACTCATGGCTGGACGCTTGCAAAGGCAACCACTTCCGCTGGTGGCAGCAGATCGGCCCTGACGCCAACAGCGGTGCCTACTTCCTCGCCGTCTCGAACGAGGCCAACTTGGCGCGACACCACGAGATCGTGGTGAACGGCTACAACACGGGGCGCGACGAGCTCGGTGCGTTTGCTGCCAGGCGCTGACGTCGCTGCTGTGCAACTGACACCTCGTCTGCAGTGGGCAACGCCACCTTCCCGAACGGCACGACGTGGGAGGGCAACTACTACCAAGCGACGGTGGAGTGGATCGAGGCGGGCGTGTTGCTCAATGACTCCAGCTTCGGCATCAATCATGCGCCGCGCGTCAACCCGCCCGGCGGCGAGGCTCAGGATGGCAGAGTGGCGCTGCTTACCGTCATCCAGACGGTTGTCTCGCCTCAGGCCACGTGAGTGCTAGAGATGCCTGCTGCTCGCGAAGAGGCGGACCGCTGACAAGCGAGCCTTGCCTCTCGACGACTGTAGCAATCTGGGCGTCGCGACGGACGCAGCTGCGCGCGCTCTGTCGCCATCGATGCTGGCGCTCAGCGCCTCGGCTGCGCTCCTTCTCGGCGTGGCGCTGCTGCTGTAGAGCGGCGTCTGGACCTGTTCGCACGATGACTGCACGAAGTACTCTGCCCTCTTCGTCCTCGTCGCCATGCTGTGCTTTGTACGACCCTTTTACCCCTCTCCGCTCTGCGCATGCTGCGGCGAGCTTGCAAATGCTAGACGTCCCAAATGACGGCGGAGGAACAGCGGCTGCCGCCGCCTTTCTCGGCAAACACTGCATGCTGTGGAGTTCGGACGCAGCGAAGAGGACGGGAGAATGCGTGATATTGATGCGCGTGAGACGGGTCATGGGATTCGTGAGGGTCAGTGTGTGGGCCAAGTCGCGCGAGGGAATGTCAGCTAGAGCAATGGGATGGAGGTGTTGGAGAAGCGATGGGAAGCGAGAGCGAAAGCAGCGGATGGATGGGATGAGCGGGAACGAAGATGTGCAAGAATGAACGGGTCGCAAAGGAGGAGGATAATGAGAACAGGTCGTGAGGTATGATTCGCGCCGAGAGGTCGAGCTGCGGAAGAGAGGCGAAGAGCAGAGAGCGGAGAGGAGGGGCGACGTCTGGTGCGCAGCTTGCACTCTACGAGCGACTCGACGACGACGGCAGTACGCGAGCCGGGCGAAAGTTGAGTCTCGTCGTCGCCGCCGTTTCGCGCAGCAGTGCTCTTCCAAACGTGACAAAGTGCGGCAGCGGCGTGACGTGTTCCAACGGCCAGGCCCATCGTGCCGCACTCGAGTCTTCCTTGCTCGTCAGGCCGATGGCAGCAGGATCAAGGCGCGAGGCGTCTCGCCATGCCTCCATCTGTGAAGAGGCGAGCGAGGCGGCGTAGACTTCCGGATAGTGAGCCTCGAGCACCGAGGCCGAGAGCGCCACGCGAGCTTGGGCGAAGAGCTTGTTGGAGCGCTCAGAGTCCGCGACGGACTTGGCCATGCTGCGCGCTGCGTCTGCCAGGGCAGAGATGAGCTCGGCGGGCACAGTTGCGGCGGTGGTGTCCGCCGAGTGTGCGGACGCGGGCGAGGGCGCCGTCACTTCGATGTTGGCGGAGGGACTGCCTGCAGCGCTCGCACTGCCTGCACTTGAAGCGGCTTGCGCGGCGAGCTTTTGTAGCCGATGAGAGAGGAGACGTTGCTCGTGCTCGGCCAGTCGACGGAGAACTACCGCTTCGAGCAGCCGGCTGCGAGCGAAGGGCCAGCGTTCAGCACTGCACTTGTCGCGGCGGCACAAGATGGTGACTCACCACAGACCAGCAAGCGCCTTCGTCCCATTCCTCTCATGGCAAGCATGCACGTACTTGAGCAGGCCAAACAGACTGGCCCAGTTGTGCGCCACACACGCATGCGGCACGCTGCCGCTCGTGGCAGCTTGGTCTTCGCACCAGAAGCCATAGACGTAGAGCAAGAGGGCATCCGTCTGCTCGAGCGCTGCGAGGAGCGAGGCTTGCGATGGCTGAGTGAGCGAGAGCTGCGCCGACGAGGCTTCGCGGAGTCGTTGGTCGCCGCGATGCTTGAGCTCTCGGCCATGCGTGCGGTAGCTGAGAGACGGCCGTCAGGACCGACACGACCATGGTGCCTGAAGCATCTCGGCACTCACCTGGCAGCAACCTCCAGGAAGCGCTCCTTGGACCATTCGCGCGGCTCAGGCGGCTCAAGGCGGACCGAGGAAGAGCTCGCTTCTCGACTGCGGCTCTCTCCCGAGCTACTTCGCTTCATGGCCGCGTCCTCTTCTCGCCCACTGCGCATCGAGGAAGCATTGCTCGTCGTGCGCCGTCGCCTGCGCACAAGGATGGACGTGTTAGATCTCCGCACGCTCGACGTTCCTGCCAGCCCCAGCTGCTCTCCCGGACCCGCGTCGCAACACTCACTTATCAGCCCCCGCACTCCTGCTCTTCTCTTCCACGTCACTGTCATCGCTATAGTCCACACGCGCCACGTCCGACTTGCGCTTCCTCGCCGCTGTGCTCGTGGAGGGCGCCTTCAGGCTACTGCTCGTGCTGGTGCGGGCAGCAGCGCCATTGCTGCGCCGCTCCTCTTGCCGCGACGTGCTGCCCTGCCGCTCCCGCTCTGGCTCGTCCATGCGAGCGGCCTTCTTGCGTGCAGCGGGACGAGGTGAGGAAGGTGGAGAGGGGAGTGCGTCGCTCATCAGCTCGGACGGGAGTGTTGAGAGCAGCTGCAGTCGCGAGGCATGTCAGTCGCTGCCGGGTGTGCTACGCGACGAGGCTTGCCGCCGCACGCAGCAACGCACCTTGATGCGCTTTTCGATCTCTGCGATGCTCAGATATCTGCGCGACGCTCGTGTGAGCCACCATAGAAACGCTTCTGGGTGCGCATACGACTCACGCAGGCGGCGGCGGCTGTTTCTCGAGGCTATGCAGTGCGCCCGACTTCCAGGCTGTGGCCATAGCCGTCCCATTCAGGAGCAGGTCGGGCGGCGTCCTCAGACTGCTTGCCGTCGAGGTGGACGAGGTGGCAGGCGAGGGAAAGGTGCTGTGTCCGTAGCCTTGCTGGTGTGACGCCGCCACGGCGTAGCGCCGCGAGTCGTCGTACGCTGCGGAGTAGGCGCCTGCTCCGCCCGCGGCGCTGCGTGAGGGAGAGGCCCAGCTGGAGGAGCTGGTGTAGTTGGCACTGCGACTGCCGCCGCCGCTGCTGCTGCTTGAGCCGCGAGGATAGGAAGAGGCGGCGTCGCGGTAGCTCATGGCCTCGGCGCGCGGTGCGGGGCGCTGTAGGGTCGCCGGGCAGCGTGCGGAGAGGGGCGCGGCAGCGGGCGAGCGAGCAAGCGGCGGCGACGCGAGTCTCGCGCGTGGATAGAGAGGAGGCGAGGTAGAGGCCAGGCAGATGTCAGACGAGCATGGAGGGAGGCGGGGGCTAGGATGGTGGAGAGAGCAGAATGCCGGCGGCGGAGAGCGCAGGGCGAGGCCGTCGAGACATCTGATGCTCGGTGGATGATGCTGATCCCGCTCCGCCCGCCGCAGGGAGGCAGCCTGCCGCCGCGCGCTGTGCTGCCGTGCCGCCCCGCGCGCGCCGTGCGGCGTGCGTCCCTCGCAGCAGCACGCCGCCCGTGAGCTTGCTCCCGCCGTCGCCGCGCCGAGCCAAGCCCCAGCTCCCGAACCGCACTCGCCGCCGGGCGCAGCTTTCCCACCGCCGGTGCGCCGCTCACAGGCACATCGTTTCTCAGGCAGGGGTGGCATCAGAGGGGGACCGCGAGAGGGGCTCGCACGTGCGCGAGATGCTCGCCGGCGAGCGGAGGCACCGCATCTCGTCACGATCACATGGCGCGACCCACGCGGCCTCGCCACGGCTCGGCATCTGACGTCCCACGCGCCACCTCGCCGCGGCCGCCGTCGGCCTCCTCGTCGAGGCCTCCAAGCGGCAGCGGCAGCAGCCAGCCGTCGGCTCTCGCGGCTCCTCGACGCCGTCCGCTGCCGCGCGGCTCGCATGTCCGGCGCCCGTGCAAAGTGCTTCTGGCCGCGCACTCTAACACCCTTCCTGGGCCCCCCTCACCCCCTATGCTGCTCCGCCGACGCCGGCGAGGTGTGTCTCGCCTGACGCGCCGCGACAGGGCATCGCCGCTAAAACCCTCCCTGCGTGCGTGCGTGGGCGTGCTGCAGCGCGTCGGCTCGGCGCAGCATCGGCGCGTGATGCCGTGCCTGAGAGAACCCGCACGAGATGCGCAGGGTGTGCTGGTTCGGTTCGGCGTGGGAACAGGACAGGGCAGCGCCCTTCTCGCGTCCTCGCGAAGGTCGCACGAGCTCGCAGAGCGACGCCGGCTGGCAGAACAGCGCTCGGTTTGGGAACAGTATCTGGCGTGGGAGGTGACGAGCTGATTTTGGGCGTGACTGGGTCTTCATAGAGCGGTGCGAGCCGCTTTCAGGAGAGTTGGCGGACGCAAGGCTCGTTCGGAACAGCGTGTGAACATTTCCGAATCTTTTGCACGCTCACTCGACGTCAAGAGACGCTCTTGCAGCTCTTGTCGCTGTAAGCTCATGACTGCCAAAGGCGTCTCGTCGGGCCTCACACCGCTTCGCTGTGTAAAAGAGGGCGGTGGGGCAGGGCATGCCTGCCAAGGGCCGGCCAGCCCTCCAGGCACGCGCGCGCGCCTCGCCCAGCCCCGGCGCGCGCTGCCTCTTGTTCGTGCTCCTCCCGATCTCGACGTCGCGCTCCGGCTGCAGCCATCACTCTGACTTTGACCTGCACCTGCTTGCTGGCCTCTTCGATCGTTCGCTCTCGTGCTCTTTCCTTCAATCAGAGTCCATCAAAGATGAGCCCAGCAGCACGCCGCGCAGGCGAGGTGGCGGGCTGCTGAGTGACGCGCGAGGCGCGCTGAAGCCTTCGCCTTGAGCTCGTTGTTCGCGCATCGACGCCGCGAGCCGCATCGGTCTTTGACGCCGCCTTGCTTCGCCTTCATGCTTATTCGGCTTCGTTCAGCGCAGCCCTGCACCCTCTGCAGATGCCGAGCGAAGCACACGCTACGGCCGGCTCCGGCGGCGGGCCCTGGCAACCGTTGCGCCCACAGCCGTTGACGGCCGCACGCCTTTGCTCGCCTCACCTTCCCTTTGTGGACATTCGCCACCCGCGCCGCTCGGCTCCCAGGGCAATGCGGCGATGAGCAGCGTGCGACGGCGCCTCGCTGGTTGCCTGAAGCAGCAGGCAGGAAGGCTGAAGAGGCTCGAGCGTTGCATGGCTGCGATGCGCAGGACGCCGCAGTCGGGGCTGTGCCGCCCTCCGGCGCAGCGGGTATGCCGTATACGCACTGCGCCCGCGGCACGCTGCGGCCCGCAGCGCCGGCGATGCTCACGAGCTCGTCGCTCGAATGCTCGAATACTTCCCAGCGCTCTGGCTCCCGCTTGGCCTGCGGTAGCGTCGCGACATGCACGCTGGCGATGCGATGCGATGCGATGCGCCGCGATGCTGCAGGTGCTGGCAAGGGGCCCAGGGGCAGCGGGCGTGTGTTGCTTGTGCTTGTTCGCGCGCCTCGCTTGTGGTTGGCGGACGCGCAGCGCGGCGACAAAGGCGCAGCGGCAGCAAGAAGAGGAGGCAGGCGGCCAGCAAGCGCGCGGCGCTCGGAGGCAGGCCAGGTGCGGCGCGGAATCAGGGGCATCAGCCACTCGAGCCCCTGCGCGTGCGAGCCTCGGCACCGCACGCCGTGCCGGCACAAGACGAGAGCGGCGGCACGGCGCGCGCGGCACGCCAACGGCCTTGCAGACGGCGCTGAGCAGAGTGCGCTGGCCTTGCATCGGAGGCTCGGCTGCCGCGCTGCCGCTGCGCGCTGCTGCACGGCGGCACCCTCCTCAGGCGCGCCTCGGCACCCCCGTTCTCGCAGCGCGGCCGCTCTCTCTTGTGCGGCGTGCGTGCTCTTGTATCCGGAGCAGGTCTCGCCCCTGCCCTTCTCACCATCACCTCTCCTCTCTCCCTGTCTCATCCACAACAACGTCCACCGGCTTGGACTTGTCTCTCTCTCGCGCTCTTTGCATCCCAACCACATTCTCGCCCTCTCACACACGTCTCTCTCTCTCTCGCCAGCACCTCGACGCTCGCTCTCACATCGTCTCGACCCTCTCTCACACACACGACACCCGCTGTATCACTCTCCTCTCTCCACGATGCTCTTCTCCAAGTCGCTCGCGCTCGCAGTGGCGCTGCTGGCCTCCAGCGTCGTTGCCTCGCACAACGACATCCACGCGCCTGCCGTCGCCCGCCACGCTGGCTCGAAGCGTGAGTATCTCAGATCCGTCGGAGTGTCGTTCTCGCACGCGTCAGGGGGCATTGCCGGGCCTTGTTGCGGCGTCTAGGCCTCTCTTGGCTGACACCGCTACTTCTCGCAGGCGGGTCGAAGTGCAAGGCCAAGACGTCGGCCAACTACGTCGGCCACAAGAAGCACAAGTCGAGCAAGAAGGCCTCGGGCTCGGCCTCGACGGACAACAAGACGGCGGCCAGCTCGGGAGCCAAGCAGAACAATGCTAAGCCGCCGGCGGGTGCGCCCAAGAACCTCAAGGGCAAGGCCGGTCTGTGCTGGCCCAACGGCGACTCGATGAAGATGAGCAACGTGAGTGTTGCGGAGTGTCGTGCGTTGTAGCTGCGGCTGACATTGAGCGTAGTTCGCAATCGGAGATGTCTCATGGTACTATACCTGGCACCCAGCGCCTTCTGCAGGTGCTGGCGACATGATGTGAGTCACTTGCGGCATCGACACAGCGTTGTCGCACTTGCTCACGACGCTACCACAGGTTTTGCTCGATGCTGTGGGGCACCAAGCAGATCGGCGACTACCAGCAACACGTCATCTCGCAACCCGACTCCGACGCCAACAAGGATCGCTGCACGATGGGCCCCAACGAGGTGCAGGAGCCGGGCCAGGCCAACATGAGCCCGCAGGCGACGTGCGACCTCATGCGCAAGTACCAGGTTCCCCTCAAGGACAACCACGGCTACTACCTGATGGGTCCCTCGACGTCTTCCAACCCGAACGGCCTCAACGACTGGTACCCCAAGGTCAGTACAGCGCGTGTGTCTCTGACGTGTGCACCGGCTCACCACGCTTCGCTCCACAGTTCCGGAAGGCGTGCCCCGACGTGCTTGACAAGCTTGACGCGATCAGGTGAGCGGCCGCCTGCAGCAAGCCTCGACCTTGCGCTGACATCGGACTTCGAAGCCTACACTGGTATGACGTGAAGCTTTCCGACTTCAAGAAGTACATCCAGGACTGGGTGGACGCTTTCGACAAGGATGTTTGGGTGACTGAGTACGCTTGCCAGAGTGAGTATCCACCCAGTCTCGCCACCGTGGTGCACGCTGACGCCCTCGGCAGACTTCAACGGCGGCGCTCAGTGCACCAAGGACGAGGCGTGGGCGTTCCACCAGGGCGCCGTCGAGTTCATGGGTGAGTGAGGACGCTGGCGCCGCTCCCAACGCTGCTGACCGCTCTTGAAGACGCGCACCCCCGTGTTGTCGGCTATTCCGCCTTCTCGACGATGCAGAACCTGCAGGGCGTGGCCGAGGTCAACCGCATGAGCGTCGGCAGCCAGCCCAACGCTCTCTTCCGCCTCTACGCCGGCCTCAACTAGGCGCCCGCCGTCTTTCGTCGACGGGAGCGATCGCGCAGACTGGCTTCTGCGCGAGGCTGATCGCTCTGGAGCATCAGCCATCCTGTCCGACGCATCCGTCTCGTCCTCGCTTCTCCTCTGTATTGTCCTCTCATGTCCCGGCTCGCTGTCACCGCGCGCGCATGGTATGCGCGCCGCAGGTCTCGCATCCCTTTCGTCCCATCTCCCTCTCCTCTCATTACGACGCCCTCTCTCTTCGCCCGGTCGCGAAGAGAAGGGCGAGGCAATGCATTGATGCGCTGCCCATCGAGACTGACGAACGAGAGGCTGGACGTGACGTAGTGTCGGCTGAGCGACGTCAGATGGACACGGTGCAGCACCGTGGATGCTATAGATGGTCCGAAGAGCGAGGCGCTACGCTTCGTGCTCGCAAGTCATCGACGAAGCCACGGCTGTGCGACGCTCACGCTCGCCGTCGAAGCTCGCTCTCCGCTCAAACAAAGCGCGAGACGCTTAGGCAGCAGTCGAACGCTGCTGAATGAGCGCTGGCTCGAGCAGCGCTCATGAGGGTCGTCCAACGCCGTGATGGACATAGCGAGCGAGCGAGGTGGGACTTCTACCACATGTCGAGATGTGGTACTTTCGACCTCTGAAGCATACGCTGTCAACCTCAGAAGGAAGCAATTGCGGTGAGCGACGCTTCCTCGCCGAGCGTCGAGCTTGCCCTCAATCGGTCTGATGAGAAGCATTTCTCGCTCTTGTGACGGGAACGCTGGAGCAGCCGTGCTCTCCCGCTGTCTGCCGTTCCTGCTAGACATCGCCCAACAGCAGCTTCTTGCGCTTCGCACGGAGCATCAGGTGTGCGATTCCTCCGAGCTCGCTCAGCCAGCAAAGGCGGTGCTTTGTCTCCTTCTCACGGCTTGTCACGGTCTGGTGCGAAGGGAAAGGCTGTGCGAGTGCACGAGGCTGCGTCTGGTGATCTCTCGCCGCTGTCGTCGAGGGCAGAAGCAGCTCGTGCGATCGGCCGAGCAGCGCAGCAATCTCTAGCCAGCCGGGCACGCTGGAAGCATGCCTGGCCGACAGCTTCCTGGCCGCGACATTGGGCCAAGGGTGAGCGAGGGGAGCTCTCGCCGCTGCAACGGGGTCAGGCATTGTCATGCCCGCTGCCCCAAGCGTTTGCTCGCTTCCGTCACTCCGGCACATGGCGCTCTCAACGCTCTGCCTCCCTCGCTCGAGCCGCGGTGCCTGTACGTCAAGGTGTCGACCACGTGTGTAGAGCGTACCAAACGACGCTTGCTCGCTCGGGAGCTTTTGCTGTTCTGTCCTGCGCCCAAGGCCGGCTTGGACGGCTGCGTCCGGCGAGGCGTGCGTTGTTCTCGTCAGGAGGATCTCGAGCTGCCCACGCTTTGCTCACCGTCGCTCTCTAGACCCTGGTCCGGAGCGCCGAGCGTCGATCTCGGCCCTCGGCCCTCGTGCGTTGCTGCTGCAGCTGCATCTTGCTTCGGCGGCGCGGCCCCGCGCCTTGCGCCTGCATCGGCGACTCGCTTCGGCGGGCATGCATGCAGCGGCGCAGCGGCGCGCATGGGAGCTTGCCGCGTTGGCTCCCTCGACGTCGGCGAGGACACGGCTGATGTGCTGCCTCGACGACGTCGAGCTCACCTCCTGCGCTGCTCGCTTGCTTCTCATGTCCGAGGAGAAGCAGCGTATTTCAAATCACGCAGCGCGTCCCTCCCATCTTGCTGCCTCGTCGGACGAGCCGAGCCACGTGTGCGCGCGCCTGTCCCACTCCTCCGTCATGTCATGCGATGGCCGCAGCCTGTCTCCAACGCCCTGCGTCTAGCTCAAAAGAGCGCTGCATCCGTCCAAGCGAGAGAGGCAGACGTCCTCGTGCGCTGGCAGCCTGTCAGACAGAACGTACCATCGAGCGCGCTGGCCAGCGAGTTGACCCTGTTCTACCGCCGAGCTGCTGCGCGTGCCTGGCTGTCCGTCTCTGGGCGACGTGGGCCAACATGCACCGCTGCGGCCGCCGCCCGCGTCTGGGCTCCCAAGGCAAGGAGGCAGAGGCAGCGAGCGCTGCTGCGTGCCAGCGAGGCAAGGCCAAGCCCACGACGGCAAGGCGGCTTCGCCCGCTCGCCCGTCCGCGGCATGCGGAGAGCGGCTCGGTGCTCGGCGGCGCGCGGCGGAGCGAGGTGTCGGAGATGGGCTGACTTTTGCAGCTCCGGCCAGCGGGTGTGCGCCGTGCGTGTCGGCGCAAGCGGAGCATGAGCCATCCCACGGCAGGCGCGCGCGGCACGGCGAGAGAGCCGCGAAAGCGCAAGGCGAGGTGGAACGTTGTTCTAGTGCGCTGCTGAAGGGACGCATGTGGGCCCACGCGACGAGCTCGACGAGCAGACACGTCCTCCGAGAGGGGCAGCGAGCAGCACCATATCGGCCGTCGGCACGGACAGCGCCAGCCGCGTCACTTCTTCGGGACCACGGGGCCGCCGGGCGAGAAAGAAGCTTCGACAGGAGCGGCAGAGCGGCAGCTGAGCGGCGATCCTCGGCGTCGGCTCCTTGCCCACGGCGCGCCGGCAGGAGAGGCCAAGCGTGTGGAGAAGCCGAAGGGCACGGCTGGCCTCCTCTCTCTCTCTCTCTCTCTCTGCTGCTGCTCTCACTCCAGGGCCGAGTGCCAGAGCCAATCACGGCGCGTCCATTTGCACCGCTGCGGTGGAGCGGCGGCTGAGCGACGGCCTTGGCGTTTTAGGGCGGGCATGAGAGGAGCAGAGAAGGCTCTCATGGCTGCCGAGAAGCGAAAGAACGGCACAGCGAGCGCGGGTCCAGAAAGGAGCGGTTGGTGCGCTCAGAGCGGCATGCGAGCAGAGGAGCAGCGGCGGTCTCAGCTGCAGGTGCGTGGGCGGGCATGGCATGAGGTGTGCGCACATCGACGTCGCGCTGCAGCTCGGCGGGCGGCGACAGGAGCGGGGATGGAGGGAGGCAGGGCAGGCAGCGGCAGCCGCTCAGCCAAACCGCCAGCGGCCGCGGCGGGCAGCCAGTCAGTGCGTCGGCATTTGGCGGCACCCGTTGGGCGGCCGCTCCGTGCTCCGGCCTGCATCTCGCTGCAAGCGGCGACGGGCGAGGGCGGGCAGCGGCTCCAGTGCCTCAGGGGGCATCGCAGCGCCCGTCCGCGGCGCGTGGATTTGTCAGGCCATCGCAGCCCCACTCGGCGTGCCGCAGATCGAGCCGCCGCTGACGCCGCCGCCGCCGCTGCCGCCGCCGCCGCCGCTGCCGCCGCCCGCGCCGCTGACTGCCGCCCTTCGCCGCTCTGGGCCTCTCTCAGGCACCACGCCGCCATCAGGCCACTCGCGGCCCCGCACCAACCTGACCTGCCGCCGATCATCACACGGCACGGCGTTCGACAGGGCAGGCGCACGGCAGGAGAGCAGCACAGCGGCCTGGATCTCGCTGCCGCTCGGCGTCCGTGCGCGCAGGCTGGCGCAGACCCGCTGCTTGCGCTCTCCTTCGGCTGCTTCCGTGCAGCGCGTGCGCAACAACCTGCGCCGAGATCCCCTTGTTGAGCGCCAGGGCAGGGGCCGAGCACAGGCCGCTAGGCGGCACTCCGATCCCCAGCCCGCCAGAGTGCGCCGGCTGCTCCTGCGCTGCTGTGAGGTGCCTCGTCGGTGCCCTCCGCCCGCTCTCGCGCTGGCCCCGGCGCCGCCGTATAAGACCTCGTCGCTCCACCGCACTCCCCGCTGCCGCCCACCTCTCCGTCTCCCTACCACCACACGTGCACCCCCACCCCACCCTCCCTCGCCCCTCATGAAGTTCACCGCTGCCCTCGTCGGCGCCGCCGCCGTCTTCGGCGTCACGGCCGCCCAGTCGTCGAGCAACCAGACGCTCTGCGCCAAGTACGCCTCGGCCCTCTTCAACGTCAGCAACTCGACGACGCAGCAGACGCTCCTCACGGCGCTCGTCAACACGGCCGTGTGAGTAGCAGGGCGAAGACGCAGCAGAGGCGCACATATCTTCGTCGCACCGCATGCTCACACCATCCACGCAGCATCGGCAACTACTCGGCCGGCGCCATGAACGCCGTCACCGGCATCGTCAACCCGGGCCGCACCACCAGCGGCGAGGAGGTCAACCTGCTCGGCTACTTCAACGGCTCGCTCGTGTCCACGAACCGCAACGGCCAGGCCGTCGCCATCAACTTCCTCGACGACGGCGGCGCCACGCCGCTCAAGGAGAACAAGCCCTGCTCGTCGGGCGACAACAGCAAGAACCAGTGCAAGCTGCTCAACCACCTCTACCAGTACTTCGGCGCCCTGCTCGGCTGCGACGCCGAGGGCTTCCCGAGCTACGCCGGCTCCACGTCGCAGTCCGCCGTGCACCGCTACATGAACCTCGACACCAACGAGGTGACGTACTTCATCGAGCAGGTCGGCGCCGCTGCCGCCTCGTTCGGCGTCTCGTCGGAGGACATCACCACCGTCGCCACGACGCTCGGCAACGTCTTCAACGTGCGCTGCGCGCCCGCCGCGAAGGTCCCGTCGACGGCCGAGACGGCCTACTCGCAGTCGATCTGCGTCGCCTCCGACTGCCCGCTCGCCGAGAACTCGGACTGCTCGGCCACGAGCGACATGAGCTTCCCCAACGGCACCAACGGCGTCGAGCCGCAGCGCGCCTCGGCGAGCACCAGCTCGAGCATGTCGGGCGGCTCGTCGACGACGCGCTCCGGCTCGGCCCCCACGGGCTCCACCACGACGCGCCCCGACGGTGCCTCGATGCTCACGGCCGTCAACGCCTTCGGCGCCCTCGCCCTCGGCGCCGCCGGCCTCGTCGCCATCTCCCTCTAAGCGCACGCACCTCGTGTGCCTCCGCCTAGCGGCCTACCTCCCCTTCACCTCACTTAACTCTCCCTCTCCACCCCATGCTCGTACCCATCACTTGGCTGCGTGCTCGTAGTTGAATCGTATTTTACCCTGCGCACCGTGTCTGTTTGTGTGATGCTGCGCGAGTTGATGGCGTGAGGTGGCGGATGAGGTGCAGAGACTGGGCGACGGCGGCGGTGTGAGGGTGGGCACGAGACGCAGCGGACCCCTGACGCGCGCCCGACGCGACTGACTCCCGCACGCCAGCCGCACGCTAGCCTCGGCGCACGACACACCAGCACCAGCCGCGTTGATGACGACGAGCTCGCTGCTGCTGCTGCACAGGACGCAAGCTGTAGGGATTGGGCCACGGCGTAGAAGTACAAGCGGCAGCGGCAGAGGCTGCTGTAGGGGACCAGGGAGTGAGGAAAGGGCAGGAGCAAGGGTGCGGCGTGGGTGGTGAGGAGCGCAAGAGTGCGCCGCGCGGCGGTAGCGAGCAGACGGGGCAGGGCAGGGACGAGTCCGGCGGCACGGGCGTCGCGCGTGGGCGGACAGGTCCTCGGCTTCTTTGTAAGGGTGGTCGGTGACGTGGAGAGGCGCGAGAAGCGAGACGGGAGGCATGGCGGTCTTGTAGAGTGGGTATGAGCAGCAAGGCGAGAGAGAAGGGTAAGAGGACGCAAGAGAGGCGCGCGCGAGATCACTGGTTGATGTTGAGTAGCCAGATGCGCGCCTTGTACACGCGGAAGAGATCCTTGACGCTGCGAGGAAGGAATGTGAGCCACGACTCTCGCAGTTGGGCCACCTCGCCTGACGCACAGATCGCGGAAGTCGATCCTGCCCGACTGCGAGACGTAGTAGCACGTGAGTTTCCTGCGGTCCCTGCGACAGAGAAGCAGTGTCAGCCTCGGAGCAGCAGCAGCACGACGCCTCGACGCACCATTGAAACTCGGCGGCGACGATCTGCATGGGCAAGCCGCGCTGCAGCACCTTGGTCTGCACGAGCTGCAGTGCCCGCTCCTCGTCTTCCGCCTTGGACGGCAGCAGGCTCAGCTCCGTCGACGTGGCCTTGTAGTAGAGGCGCTTCGGGTTGATCAAGCGCGCCGGACGACCCGTCGCCAGCTCGCCCTTGCCTGCCAGCGCAAGCAGCTCATTCTGGTGCGCGAGGAAGCTGCAGGGCACAAGGTCAGCACGCGCCGCTTTTGACTCGTGCGCGCGACTCACTGCTCGACTTGCTCGACGGTGATGCTGCAATTGACGACGGTGCCGATGTCCTTTCCACGATCGCCCTCTACCACGACATAGTCTCCCTTCCGCAGCTCCTCCTCCTCGCCTGCATTCTTGCCCGGCGCCGGCTGGCGGAAGTAGATGTCGGTGCGATCGGCCTTGAAGGCGCAGAGGTAGAGGTTCTGCGAGCGCGGCAGCGAGTGCAGCGGCACGCCCTTGCCGAGCTCCTGCAGCGACGCCGGACCGTCGGCGGGACCGCCGCCGCTCAGCGGGATCGGGCCCAGCGTGGCTAGCCCGGCGAGCGCGGCGTCGGAGAGAGGCACGAGGGGAGCGGCACTGCTCGGCCCGCGCATGAAGCCGAGGCCGCTGGCAGCCGACGGCTGACGCTGGTGCGGCGCATCGCTCGCGCGCGGATACGAGCCCATCTGCGCTGCGTGCTGCTGGAACACGGGCTGCGGCGGCTGCGCGCCCGAAGGGTGCGCCGCATCCGAGCCGATGGTGCCGACTTGACCGAGGTTGAACGCCTTTGCACGCGGGCTGAGCGTGTAGCGGCTCTCCGACCGCGAGCTGGCGTCGGATGCGACAGAGGCCGAGCGTGCACGATAGTCCTGCGGCGTCGTCGGCATAGCGCCGATGGGCCGTGCGCCGGAGACGAGGCGCGGATCGACAAAGCCTCGGCCGTGCGAGGGAGAGGATGCGGCAGGCGTGTGCAGGTCCCACGACGCCGACATGTCTCCGCCGCGAGGGCGATTGTCCCATGGACTGGCTGCGTGCGTCGGAGAGGCGTACTGCTCGAAGCCGCCGGCACGCTGTCCGAAGAGCGGAGGCATGGAAGCGGCGTGCATGCCCGTCGCCGCTGCCGCAGAGGAAGGCACGCGCATCGACACGCGTCCTCCACGACCGGCTGCCGCTGCGTCTTGCGCCTGCTGCGACTCGGCGACCTGGTCGAGATTGAGCTGCAGCGTGTTCAGATCCGCCGCTAGGTCGTCCTCAGAGATGGCGAGCCCTCCTCCGCCGCCAAAGGCACCATATCCTCCTGCGCGCGGCGTCGGCGCCTGTGAGAGCTGCTGGCGACCGACAGAGCTCGTGCGCGAGCCGATGCCTGCAGAGCGCGGCGCCACATCGAAGCCTACCGCACGGCGCTGACCGACTGGCGGACCCGCTGCCGTGGCGATGGAGTGCCGACGAGACTCGGTGCCTCCGCCGGCGTAGTACTCCTGCTGGATCGCATCGGCCGACGGCTCGCCGAGCGTGTCACGCACGAAAGGTGACATCTTGGAGATGTCAAAGGCCGCAGGCCCGCCCGGCGCGCGGTAGTCACGACCGCGGCTGACTGGACTCTGCATCGCCGTCTTCTCGCCTGAGCGATCCTCGTCCAGGTCCGAGCCGGCCGACGGGATGCGCGCACGGCCGCGCTGCGTCTCGCTGGCGTACGCGTAGCGTGGGCTCGCGCTGTCGGCCCAGGGACTGCGCTGCGCAGCGCTCGGCGACGGGTGGAAGGGCAGGGCGGCTGCGCTAGACGCAGAGCGATGCCGATGCAGTCCGCCGGAGAGGTCGTGGTCGCGGCCGCGCGCGTCGAGCCGCGCCGACTCCTCGAGGCTCGCTGGATCAAAGCTCCACTCCTCATGCATCGTCGCCAGCCCAGGGCTCGGCGCGATGCCTGTGCGCGGCGACGCGCTCGCAGCCAGCGAGCCGCGCGGCAGAGCATTGGTGTCGATCGAGAGGTGTCCTCCGGCTGGCCTGCCGTCGTACGACGAGCCGGCGTAGCCGTAGCCGGTGCCAACGCTGGCGGACATGCTGCGCTTTGCGAAGGATGGCCGCGAGGGCACGTCGTCGTGCGAGGAGTGGCCGCCTGGGTGCAGCGGGTAAGCGCACGTGGGCGCGGAAGTTGGCGCTGACGAGACTCACTCATGTCGCCCGTACGACCCCACGAATCTGCGCTTCCGTGCCAGCCGTTCTCAGACCACGGCGAAAAGGAACCCGGTGCCTGCTGCGCTCGACTGGCGCTAGCCGAGCGGCCTAGAGGGATGGCTGCGCTGTGCGGCTCGCTGTTACGCCCAGCACGCTCGCCAAAGCTGTAGTCAGACGAAGGAGAGGAAGAGTCGAAGGCAGGCGAGAGGTCCGGCTGGCCATTCGACCACGGCGAGAGGCCGTGAGAGCGCACGCCGGACGGCGGACGAGCCGGCTCGCGGGAGAGAGAGCGGCGCGAGGCGGGGTGATGGATGGGATCGTGCTCCTCTGCGAGGCGCGAGGCGAAGCGCTCGTCGGTCGAGCTGGCGGGACTGCCCGACGAGGGCACAAAGTTGAGAATGGCGCCGTGCTGCCGGCTCAAGGAGGAGCTCGGCGGCGGCGCGCTGTTGCGCGGACGAGCCTGCTGCGTGCGTCTGTGCGGCGAGTCCGAGGGGCTGCTGTCCGTCGAGCCCTGCCGAGCCGCAGCGCTGGCGCTCTGGTGCGCCGCGCGAGCCCAGCTGTTGCCGCCGTGGCTGCGCTCAGCGGCGGCACTGGCGGGCTGCTTGAGAAAGTCGAGCGAGATGGAGAGGTCCTGCGGCTGCGGCTGGAAGCCGAGCTCGGCAGGGCTGTCCTGCTGCTGCTCCTCGGACACGGGAATGGCTGCGAATGCGCGGCCGTGCGAGCTGAGCCGGGAGGCGGGGTGCGTGGCAGTGCGAGTGGATGAGGCGGACTATGACGAAGAGTGAGCATACGTTGCGGCACACCTGCAGGGCGAGACTCACCGGTGCCATGCAAGGCCACTGCTGCCGGCTCCGCGAGCGAAGACCCACTCGCTCTCTATGCGCTCAGGCGCGGTGCTGCAGCCAAGCGCGAGGCGAGACAGGCGCGGCAGAGGCAGCACCAAGCGAGGATGCGCAAAAGGTGCTGTGGATGCAGCCGGTGCAGAGGGCGTCGACACGGAGCGCGCAGAGGGGTGCGCAGCAGCCGTGCGGGGTATGCGAATGCGCAGAGGAGGCGAAGCGCGCGCGGGCTGAGGAGCAGAAGCGGAGCAGCCGCAGTGGAGGGCGAGCGTGCGCAGGGGAAAGAGAGAGCAGCGAGCACGGGACAGAGGCGAGGGACAAGAGGTCGACGGAGCTGGAGGTGCGGACGATGGAGGCGAGGCAGGCAGCGGCGAGCGAGGCGCCGCGAGTCGCGTGGACAAGCACAAGGCGCGAGGCACCAAGGCACAGCGGGGCAAGGCAAGCGCGCGGGCACGGCTCCGCTGGGCCCGGCTGCCGCGCCGCGCGTCGCTCGCGGCGTGCATCCTCCAACGCCGCGCCGAGGCATCAGGCGCTTGCTGCTGCTGTCGCACGCTCGCTTGTGTGACAGCTGCAGCTCCGCCCCACAGGGAGCTGCGCATGCATGCACGCACAGCTGGCCCGCAGCGAGCATGCGCATGCGAGGGTGCTCGAGCGTGCGTGCGCGTGGACCGGCCCGCGCGGCCCGCAGTGCCGCCGCACATCAAGAGTGCGCCGGCCGTCGGCGAGACGCCCCCTGATCCGCGGCAGCATTCATATTCTGAGTTGTGCCGCGCTCAGCAGCAAGGTCATCAGCAGCAGGCGCTCGCTTGAGCATGGCACGATGATTCAGGCTGTCGAGCATCATCTGCAGGTGCTGCCGCTCTGGGCCCGCCCCGAGGCTGCGGATGGACGAGCCCTCGACCCCACATCGCTCGCGGCACGGCCGGCGCCCTGACGAGCTGTCAACTAGAATGTGACCAGTGCGCCGGGCCGAGACTGATCGCTCTGCTCCTCAGAAGGTAGGCTGCAGCGGGCCGGTCGCCGCGACGAGCCCGCTGCATCGCTGTCGATGTCTGCGCTCTGGACCCCATTTAGAGCTCACCTGATACAGTAGCGGCGGGCTTCGAGGCCGCCAGCGCCGCGAGGAGGCCCCGCCGCGGCCCAGCACCCGTCAGACGTCGTTCCCCGCCGCGGCAGGCGATCAGCCAGTGGGGATGGGCACGTGACTTGACATCCTGAGAGGAGGCCTTGCCCTCGTCCTTGCAGACCTGTCGAGTCGACCATGTACACCCTCGACGATCTGGACAGCACAGCTGCCGCTCTCGACCGCCTCGCTCCATGGCTGCTGCTCGCTAGGACGCTCATCGCAAAGCGGCGCCGCGGCCAAAGCAACCTCTACCACGTGCCGCTGCCTCTGCTTGCGCTTGCTCCTCTCTCCGCAATCAGCACATCGCGCATCTCGCATCGCGCTTCTGGCGCTTGCGAAAGCTGCCTCCGCTGCAGGCCGCACGTCGCACGCCGCTTCCGCTCGCTCCACGTCGGGCCCGGAGCGTTGGGAGCGGCCGCGGCTCGACCGCGCTGCGCCGGCTGCCGGCGGCGATGGGGCTGGTGCGTTGCGCCGAGCCGCGCTGCATCGCGCTGCGCGACGGCCCCGATGCGTCGTGCACGCGTCATGGCGCATGGCAGGCGGCACGCGCGCAGCGTCCGCAGAGCAAGCGAGCGTTTCGCCGGCGACTCGGCGGGCGGAGACGCTCTCTGCGCGGCGCAAGCGCGGACCCGGCGTGGAGGCGGCTGTGCCTTGAGCGCAGCCGCAGGTTCAGCGACGGCGCCCCGAGAGCAGCCCGCGGCAACCAAGCAGCATCCAGCCGTCGAGATGCTGTGCTTTGGCCGCTTCAAAATCAGAACAGGGCGGCCGGCAGCCGGCAGCCGGAGTTTGCGGGCCTGCGCGCGCGACATGGTGCGGAGTGACGTCCTCGTCAGCGGCGCGTCCACAGAGTCGGCTGGCCCGTCCAAGGGGCCCTGACATCCTTCCGCCTCGTCGACGTCGCACGAGCTTCCTTCTCCACCACATCCTCAAGCGTCTCACTCGTCGTTGCTCTCTCGTCGCTCTGCCTGCTTCGCCTTGCGTGTCCTATCTCTAGCCCAGCTGCACCCATCTGCTACGCGCCGCCATGAAGGGCCTCCACGGGTGAGCACACCTGAGCTCGCTGCCTCGTGACGCACCACGCTGACACTGCGCGCAGATACTACTTCCTGCTGCCGCTCATCACCTTCTCGCTGTGGATCACCGACATTGTCGGCCTGCTCGGCCTGTGGGCCAACGACGACTTCAACGAGTACAAGCCGACGAACGCCAACAGTGGGTTGCCCTGTTCCGCTATTTCCAATCGCACAACCGCTGATGCCTCTTTCTCCAGTCGTGTTCATCTCCAACGTCGGCGCCGTGCACAAGACGTTCTTCATCATCTTCTCCAGCCTCAGCGCCGCCTTCTACATTGCCACGACGCTCACGGAGCGGCACCTGCGCCATGCGCGCCGCATCCCGGGCTCGCTGCGCAAGCGCCAGACGGTGCTGGATGTGTGCAGCCTGATCTTCGCCTTCATTGGCGCCGCCGGACTCGTGCTGCTTTCCGTGTTCGATGCCAACAAGTGAGTGTCCGCGTGCTCGAAGCAGCGCACGCAAGGCTGACAGCTGTCTTCCAGCTACTCGAACGTGCACTGGTCCATGACCGTCGTCTTTGTCGTCGGCGTCGGCCTCTCGGTGCTCTTCCAGACGCTGCAGATCTTCAGTCTCTCGAAGAGCCACGATGACGAGCTCTGGCACCTGCGCGCCATGGCCATCGTCAAGACGTGCCTGCTCGCCTTTGCCGTGGTAGTGCTCATCGTCTTCGTCTCGTGAGTAGGTGCGGAAGAGGGGGAGGCGGACGGGGGTATAAGGCCTCTGGATGGGCTGAAGGAGGAGCGTTGGGCGACTTTGAACTTTGAGCTCAGCTGACCGCCGCTTCCTTCTGCCAGCACGTACGCCACCTGCCGCGGCGACGCCGACCCGGGAGACACGCGCTGCGACCGCATCACGTCGGCCGCCGGTGTGGCCGAGTGGGTGTGCGCTTTCGTGCTGGCCTTCTTCTTCCTGACCTGTGAGTGCGCCGCGGGCTGCAGCGGCCTGAGCTAGCCGACTAACACCTGTGCTCCAGACACGGTCGACTTCATGCCCGCGCGCAAGCGCGCCAACGCCGGCCTCAGCGAGGAGGGCAGCATGGTCGAGGACCGCGCGCGTGCCGAGGCGCACGGCGAGGGCCACCACCCCAATGCGCCGTACGCGGCTCCCGCCATGACGCAGCACAGCAACACGACGCTCACGGCGCAGCAGGTCAAGGACCAGGAGAAGGCTGCGGGCCAGGCTTACTAAAGCGCGCGCCCGCCGGGCGCCTTTCTCGACGCGCCGCTCGATACCTCCTCTTCAGCTGCTGTTCTTCTTATCTGTACATTGCGGTTCGTCCTAATCATACACTTGCAAACAGGAGCCAGCACAAGCAGAGCGAGGGGGAGCGAGGGAATCGGTGCTAGCAGAGGGAGAGCGGGAGAAGGAGAGGAGCAGCAGAGCGAGAGCGCGAGAGAGTCGGCCACGTCGAGAGCGGGCAGTATGCAGGTATCATCGAGCAAGCAGCTGAGCCCGATGCGACTAAGGAGCCACGCCCCAGAGCCACTCATACGAACCCTGCGGCTCCTGCGCCTGACCCATGCCGTCCAGGCGCCACGCCTGGCCAGCCCAGGAGGCGGCGTCGCCCATCATCTCGGAGGTTCGCGGCTGCTGCATCACGGCAGGGCCGTTCCACTGCGGATCGACGTGGCCGCCCGGCACGGGGCCGCCGCCGTGCATCATGCGTCCTGCCGGATGCTCGACGTTCGCAGCGGTGGGGCCTCGCAAAGGCGCTTGCGGCTGGTGCGGCGCATTGCCGGCCGTCAGCTGCTCGAGCCATTGCGCGTCGAGCAGCTCGGGCGCCGTCTGGCCGCCGTGGCCCATGTCGAAGAGCGCGTCGGCGTTGCTTGACAGCGCCGCGATCTCGTCGTTGGCTTGACGGGACGGAAGGCTGGCCGGCTGCGACATGTCGCCGTCCGGACCGCAGACGCTGCCGAAGCCCTGCGGCGGGTGCCACGGCGTCGACTCGCTGCGGCCTCGCTGCGCCACTGACGCCGCAGAGAGGTGGTGCAGCGCACCTTGCGGCGGCGTATTCGCGTCTGGGCCCGATGGCGGAGAGGCGGTCTCGCCGCGCATGCGCTTGCCGGCCTCAACGCCGCCCGGGAACTTGTGCAGAATGTCGCGCAGACCGCGCACCATGATGTGCGTGTCGCGCACCGAGTCGACGCTCGCCACGGCCTCGATGAGCGAGGCGATGGCCTCGATGACCTGGTCGTAGTGCACCTGTGCGCCGAGACGCGGCGCAGCGATGCCCTTGAGAACGTCGCTCGCGAGCGAACAGCCCCACATGGCGTACGAGCACGTTATGTCGCGCATTACTTGGCGGCTCGCTGCGGCACAGAGCGATGAGCCAAGCCAGCATCTCAGCAAGCGCCAAACACTCACCACGCATGAAGCCAAAGGCGGCCGCGTTGCTGCACAAGTGTGCCATGCGGAAAAAGCAGTCGGTCGTGAGGCCCTGCAGACGGGCGTGCAGCTCACGCTCGGCATCCGGCGCAGCATGTGGTCCGACGCCGTCGGGGTGGATCGAGCCGGGCGTGGTGGTGTGCGCTGGAGATGAGCCGCTCGCATGTCGTTCGTGCGGGTGCGGCTCGCTGATGTTCAGTCGCGAGGCAAGAGCGCCGGCAGCGTCAAGGACATCCGTCTCTGCACGCAGGCCGTAGTCCTTGACGGCAGCCCATAGAGAGAGCACCTGCGGGTTGCCTGTGAGCAAAGGGGCAGAGACGGCTTTGTGCGCGTCACTCACCTGGCCCTTTGCGAGAATTTCGAGCCAGGCTGAGAGGACGAGTGAGTCAAGGCCGACACGGCGCTTTGTCGAACGACTTACCAGTCTTGAGAGCATTACGGAACGTGATGTTGTGCAGGGGAGTCTGGTCCGGGCGCTGATCTGCCATTTGCACCTCCCAGGTGATCTCCTGCGGCAACTGAGCCATCCACAGACCGTAGGCGGACATGGCATGGTCCAAGTCGCTGAGCAGCACGCCGCGGCCCTGCGCTCGAGCAGACACGGTCCGCGCACCGACAGTGCGCGTGATGAACGTGAGGCGGAACAGCGCCTCGAGCCACACGGCATCGAAGCGCGAGAAGTGCGGGTACTGTGGCCCTGCTGACGCCGGATAGGGATCACCCTCGCTGCCGGGCCCGCTCGTGAGGCCGCGTCCTTGCGGCGAGAAGAAGGTGTCGGGGTTGGCTGGCATGCCGAACGTGGTAGAAAAGGCGCCTTCGCCTCGGTCGCGCCATCGCGGCAGGTCCTGATCGTACTGGTCCTCCGAGATCAACGGCGTGCGATGCGCGCCAAAGGAGCGCAGCGAGTCCTGGCAGAAGACCGCCCACCAGCTCCTCACGCGCCCTGGAGAAAATCGCAGGATGTCAGTGCTCAGTCCGGCTCAGATGCTTACGGAGCCTGCTCACGGAACATCTCTCGGTCGTCGATGAGGTCGCCAGTGGCCGTGCGCCACCGCGGGCCATTTGGCGCGGCGCCAGGCTCGGCCTTGGGCCGTCGATGCAAGCAGAGAGCCAGCGACAGGCGGACGACAGACTCATGAGACGTTGGCTGCACGTGCAGCGGGTCGGTGGGCAGCGTCATGACGCCTTGCTTGTGCGCATGCTCGAGGTCGTCGGTGACGCTGGGCGCCGTCGGGTCGACGAGAATGTAGACTGCCTCGACGAGATCCGTGCCCTCTTCCTTGAGCCGCTGTGCCCAGCTGACACTCTGCAGGATCTCATGGCAGCGCTGCGCGAGTCTCTCTTGCAGCTTGAACTTGGCTCTCGGGTTCGCACCCGTGATCGGCGGCTGGAGCAAGCCTGCACCAGCGCATCCGACGGCGAGGATTTGGCTGTTTCGCGGATCAGCTACAGCACGGGCTATCAAGCGCAGCAGACTCACAGCTCGGTAAGCGGAGGCAGCGAAGCCAGCGCAGGATCGACGTGGCTGGCAGGCACGTGTGGCTGGCCCGCGTACTCGGCAAAGTAGCGGGCATAGCGGGCCGAGAAGGTGTCGGCGTGGAGCACGGCGACGACTGGCACGCAGTACTTAAAGTATGCCACGACGCAGGCGTCCAGCAGCGACTGCAGAGAGGTCAGCTCGCTGCAGGCGCCGCGGCTGAGTCGACTCACTCTTGTCAAGCCTGGCACTGAGAAGAGCCCGAGGGCCGTCGAGGGCGTCGATGAGGGCGAAGGATACGAGCTGACATGACGCGTGCGCGGCTGCCGTCCATTCGCATCGCCCTCTGGCGCCGCAGCGTCCGCACTCGGCGCCGCATTGGCCTGCTGCTTCTGCTGCGCCTGGATCTGCACGAGACGCCTGCCTCTGCGCTTCTTGGGCTCGGCCTGCGTAAAGGTGCAGCGCAGGCCGTGCGCCACACACACGCTGCAGCTGACGTCGCGATCCTCGTCGGCGGTCAGGCTGCTCGGCCCGCCCGCCGACACGAGCTCGGCCAGGCGCTTCTCGACCTTTGCGCGGCGGTCGCACTTGACCTGCAGGATGCGTGAGACGGCGCAGACCAGTCAGCGCTGCCGACCGGGGCTCACCTTGCGGAACTTGCACGCATCGCACGACACGCCCTGCTGGCGCCGCTGCGAGCTGGCCGACGAGGCGCCCGCTTCAGCGCTGCCTGCCTGCGCAGCCGAGCCGTTCTGCTGCGGGCCCGACGCCGCCGCGCCGTTGGACGAGGTGCCGTTGGAGGAGGAGGAGGGAGCCATGGCGCTGTTCAGCATGCCGGGGCAGTGAGGCGGCTCATGCGTGACGCGAGGGGTGTGCGATGAGTGGGAGCACGGAGCAGCTCGGCGTGCAGGGCTGCGGGTATGGAGGATGGAGGATCGGAACGTCGAGAGCCAGTAGCAGCCGCCGCCGCCGCAGCTCCCCCTCTCCACGCCTGCCGGGTGCGGTGCCGTCCTGCGCCTCTGCGCTCTGACGCTGCGGCTGGCATCATGCATGCCGCGCTCGAGCGTCGCTGCGCTTGCGGCCGCATCTTGCCCCGCGTTCTGCAACCTCGCGCTGCTGCAGCTTGCGCCTTGCGCAACGGCTCCGGCGGCAGCACAGCGCCCACGCGCCATCGTCGGAGATCAGGCTCGGTGCCTTAGCGTGCCTTGTGTGAGCCGCATGGGACTGCCGCCGTGAGAGGTGAGCCCGCCCCTCGTCCGCCCCAGCGCGCTCCTCCGCCAGCGTGATTGCTGTCTTTGCAGCGCGGAGAAGCAAGTGCGTTGCGCCGCGCTCGCGACGTGCGATAGAGGCCGCCTTCGAAGTGCCAGCGAAGAGAGCGCAGCACGAGCAAGCTGCGACGCTCGATGCTCGGTGGGTGCTCGGGCTGCGACAGGCGAGCACGTGGAGCTGCCTTGGCGAGGCACTTCTCGTGGGGGAAGCGGGGCCAAGCGAGAAGAGCGGCACGAGCGTGCGTGAGACACCTGCGAGACCGCTTCGACGATCTGAGCTTGGGCAGGACCTGGCGCTCGCTGGGCCTACGCTCGCGTGGCGCTCTGTTCTACACCGCAGGGGCCGTCTGCGGCTCAGGGCGATTCGGATTCTTATTGCCGTCCTCAGGCGTCCGAGAGGCCCACGGATGAGAAGCAAGCACAGACGGCCGCTCGGCCGCTCGGGTCTATACGGCCGCAGCAAAAGCGCCGGCCGGACGATGCGTGCCTTGCGCACGGCCGCGGATGGAGGGTCGGTCAGCAGCGGCGCCCTCCACATGCTGTGCTCGCCCTCAAATACGCCGCAGCACGCTCAGCTTCTCACCTTCGCCCTCCATCCCTCGAATGAACGCTTTGCGCAGCCTCACACACGGCACCCGACTCGCTCACACCCACCTCACCCACCGCACCTTCGCCTCCACCGCCTCCGTCATGTCCAAGCCGCTGCAGCTCTACACGGCCGCCACGCCCAACGGCCAGAAGGTCAGCGTCTTCCTCGAGGAGCTCAAGCAGGCCTACGGTAAGAGCTTCCCCGGCGTCGAGGTGCACGCCGTCGACATCATGTCGAAGGACGAGCCGCAGAAGCAGCCCGATTTCCTCAAGATCAACCCGAACGGTGCGTCAGCTGTCCATGCGCGTGATGTGCGACGTCGCGCTGACTCCCACGCAGGCCGCATTCCTGCTCTCGTTGACCCCAACCACGACAACTTCGCCGTCTTTGAGTCGGCCGCCATCCTGCTGTGGCTCGAGAAGGTGCGCGCGGTGCCAGCACTGCCTGCACGTCGCTGTCGCTGACATACTGGCCCATCTAGAACTACGACCCGGACCACCTGTTCTCCTGGCCGAGCAGCGACGCGCAGGCAGACAAGTACCGCTCGGAGGTGCTGCAGTGGGTGTTCTGGACGCACGGAGGCCAAGGCGTGAGTGGAAGTCTGCTCGAGATGCCCATTCTCGCCTCGCTGACTTCTCATCTCTTCTCGCTTCATAGCCCATGCAGGGTCAGGTGAGTCGACGCTGTGTGCACTGCAACGCCGAAGTTCTCGGCTGACTCAAGGGCTAGGCGAACCACTTCCGCATGCAAGCAGTGGGAGACTCCAAGAATGTGGTTCCCTACGCGGTGAATCGCTACGTCAACGAGACGAAGGTGTGTCGCCGCAACGGCTGTCGCATTGCGCTATGCTGGGAGCTGTGCTCATCTTCTCTGCTCAATAGCGTCTCTACTCGGTGCTCGAGACTCGCCTCGAGGGCCGTGACTGGCTGGTCGGCGACGGCAAGGGCAAGATCTCGCTCGGTGAGTGGGTCTCGTCCTACCTGAGACAGCGACGTGCTCACGCGTGCTCTGCGCAGCCGACTTCAACGCCCTGCCGTGGGCCGTGTGGTCCGGCTTCGCCGGCATTCCTCGCACCAGCCTCGGCGAGAACACCCAGCGTTGGATCGAGAAGTGCGTTGCAGGAGATGCTAGATTGCATCGCGTCCGGCTGACACGGCCATCATCGCAGCTTCCTCTCTCGCCCTGCCACGATGCCCGGCATGAAGGTGCCGTCCGAGTCGCCGCTGCTCGAGAAGGTGCTGGACGCCAAGTGGGCTGCCGACATGCCCGACCTCAGCTAGGCCTCAGATCTGGCCGCAATGAAGTGATGACACTCATGACTGTTGGTGGGAAAGGAAGCACCAGGGGCGCGCCGCCCTTGGGGTGCCGGCTGGACCCCTGACTGTGATAGTGATTCCATTGACGAGCTCGAGCCTCGTCGATGGCGCCGCGAGCGCCGGCCTGCCACAGCTGTGACCTTTTGCCTCAGCTCCATCACAAGCCTCACGTCGCGCACACGCCTTGTCTGCTGCCGCTGCCATGTCGCCTTCTCCGCAGCCCTGAAAGGGCGAGGCCGTCATACCGAAGCAGACAGCTCGTCGCTCACGCACGTTTGTGTCCGAAAGCCTGCTTCTGAGCGACTCCAGCAGCGACGAGATCACGAGCGGGTATGGACGGCGTCGTGCTGTGTGTTCAGTTGCGGCAGTCGCTGCAAGCACCTGACTGACATCTCTGCTGCTCACAGCAGCTTGCTTCCGCCAAACGCACTGCGACAGGCCAGGCGGTCACCAGAGCCGGGCCGCCGCGAAGTCTGGAGTCTTCACACGGGCAGGTGCGGCACGCGGTGTGCAGCAGGTCTGTTGAGCGAGTCAGCTGATCAAAGCAGGCGCAGCAAGGAGAGCAACAACTTGCTGCGGCCCCTGGACCGCTCGTCCCCGCACAGCGAGCTCAGCTCGTCGCGGCCCCTATGCCGGCAGTGTCCGCACAGAGAGCTCAGCTTGCTGCGGCTCCTGCGCCCGTCGTCTCCACACAGCAGACTCAACTCGCTGCGGCTCCTGCGCCGGTCATCCTCTCCGCACAACAAGCTCCGGTCAGCCCTAGCCAAAGCAAGGCTCAAGACTCTTCTGTCGTCGACAACGACACACTGGAGGCAGCAGCCTATGCCGCACGTGCATCAATGAGTGCTCGCAGAGCAGCACAGTCTGCTGAGGCAAATGTCCGGAGACTGGAGAAGGAGCTTGCTCATGCGCAGAAGGTCCTAACAACGTCAAACACGCTGGCTCGAGCAGCCCAGGAAGCGCTGTCAGCAGCAGCAGCAGCTGTTGCCGCAGCAAAGGAGAAGGAGCAGCAGCAGGGAAGAGGGCAGGACACCGGCAGCAGCGGGGTAGCTCCAAGCACTGCGCCCATTCAAACTGCTTCTACTGCAGCGCCTGCATCCGTCGCTGTGAAGGCGAGACCTGCGCCTCGCCCTACTGTGGATGCTGCTGCACCTACCCGGACGTGAGCAAGTGGTGTGACCCCATTCTCGCCGCTGTCTGTGAGTCATCGTCTCGGTCCGGCAATCCTGGGTGAGCGCTGACTTTGCGCTGCAGCACCACGTCACGCCTTCAAGTCGTCTCACTCCGCCAGGCTGCTTCATCTCGACTCACAAGCTCTCACTCTCACGCTCTCTAGTCTCCCACTCCACTCACTACTTCTCTGACGCAACGAAGCGGCCCTTCCGTGACTGATGGTATCTCATTGCCCGCCGCATCCTCGCTCAATCTCGCGTTCCGCCGCCTCGAGTCTCCGCATCGTGGCCTCCAGCACGACCTCGCGGCGATCCTTGCCGCCGGCTGTAGCGCCTCCTAAAACATGTGACGTCGCCGGCCCAGCATCGGGCGCCGCGGCTGGCTCGTACGCTTCTCCCTCGATGAGCGTGCGTGTGCCCTCCTTGCCCGCGCGCTCATACGCCTCGAGCTCAGCATTCAGCTGGCTGTTGAGCACCTTAAATGCGCGCGGATGGCCCGAGACGTGGTTGTGCGCCAGCTCGTGCAGCAGCACGCGGCGCACGTCGAGATAGCTGCGGAAGCCGACGCCGTCGTCGGTGCGTATCCGCAGCGAGATGCGCTGCCCGGCGTTCTCGTTGAGGCCGAGAAGCTCGGGATTCTGCAGGAGCGTGAGACGACGAAGCGATCACTGACGTACCCACCAGACTCACCTCGTGCGGCAGCAGCTCCGTCAAGATGCCGACAGTGAAGTCATGCAGCCGACAGACGTGCACGACGCCCGAGTCCGCTGCCAGGCGGTGCAGCACGGCGAGCACGCGCTGGCCCTGCGGCGAGTCGGGCGCCGTCTGCGGGTGCGGCACGATGGAGGCAAAGGGCGGCGGTGGTGCAGCAGTAGCTGTAGAGCGAGGCTTGGTGCCGCGCAGCATGCTCGGGTGGTAGTTGCGAGGCGCCTCGCGGCGACGCTTCTCCTCCTCGGCAGCATGCTCGCGCTCGAGCTCCTCGGCGCGCGGGCCGAGCGCCACTATCCGCTCTGCGTCGGCGACGCCGAGGTCTGAGAGCGAGCGAGAGTCGGATGCATCGAGGCGCAGGCCGCGGCGTGGGAGTAGCTTGAGGTTGGCCAGTGGCACGGCGAGCTCCGTGGCGGCGGCGCTGCGCAGCTCCGCGACGCTCGCGCTGCCGTCGAGCAGCAGCTCCTGCGGCGCGCCGCGGTAGACGAGCTGGATGCGCAGCGTCATGTGAGGCCTGTTCTGGTGGTGATGAGAGATGGTGGTAGCGCGTGAAGCATGCTCGTCTGGCCTGCGTCGAGGAGAGGCCAGGCGAGGGGAGCGGTGGTGGTTGAGGCGAGGCCGAGGCCGCGTCAGCGAGGTGGAGGTGCTGCTGCGCAGCCAGGCAAGATCCGCGGCTTGCTTTGGCAGCGCTTGCGCGGCTCGCCCGTGCACCCAAGCTTGCATGACAGGACGCGCGTCGTCCTTCCGACACCCATCACGAGACCTGTTCCCCCTCCGCTGCTCGCTCGCTTGCTCGCTCGCTCCGATCACGAGCAGTGCGCTACGCCTGCACGCACCGCCCGACGCCAGCGCTCCTTGCGTCGCGCAGCAGGCCGCGTCAGCTGCCAGTGTCGAGTTTCCTCAAAAGCCGGCGGTGCAGCCCAGTCCACGGCGCACCCCGCACACCACCAGCATGGACGACCTCGGCGACGTCGACTCGCCGCTCGCACACGCTGTTGACTACGAGACGTCCGACGAAGATGAGCCGATCCCGACGCTGGCGCTTGGCGAGGCGCGCGCCGTGCGCGCCCGCAAGGCCGGCAAGCGCGAGGACCGCAGCAAGATGATGGACTATGCCCGCAGCCTGCCGTACGACTGCGAGACGCTTGAGGAGTTCGACGGCCGTGTCGCTGCCATCGTGGCGCGCCTCGTCGCGTGTGTGCGAGCCAAGGAGTGAGCACACCTCGCGGCGCGTCGTTGGCGCCCGTCGCTGACCGCCGCCGCGCAGCTGGGATGTGGGCTTTGTGCAGTGGAATCATAGGCTGCAGTGTCTGCTGTCGCTCAAGTAGTGAGTGTACCGCAGCGCCGCACTTCCGTCGCCTCTGACATGGTGCAGCCCGCTGGAGCGAACAACGCGAGCGCGCCTCGCCCGCATCTACTTCCACGTCGCCGTGCTGCCTGGCCTCGAGACACGCATCGTCGAGCTCGCCGCCAACACGTGCATGGCGCTGATTGAGTGAGTAGCAATCAACTAAGCCGCCGCTGCTGCAAGGCTCACGCCCTTCCGCAGATCCAAGAAGCGCATCAACAATCACGACCTCGTGCTGCCATGGCGCCCGCTGCATGCGCTGCTCGTCAAGGAGCTCTTCCCCAAGAACCGCCGGAGCGACCGCTCGGGCATCTCCGAGACGCTGCTCGACCTCGCCGAGGTGGCGCAGCGCTTCTTCGACCCTGATGCGACGGAGGAGATGCTGCAGACGTTCCTGCCGCGCCTCAATGGCGCCTCGCTCAGCTCCGTGATTGCGACGCAGGCGTTCCTCGTGCACTTCCTGCCGCTGTCGCACCCGCAGCGCTGGCTGCCGACGATGTTCCGCCTGTGGCAGTCCTTCTCGTCGTCGCTCTTCGACGACCAGATGCTCGACCTGCTCGCTCGCCTGGCCGAGCTGCACGTCGCCGACCCCAGCGCCTCGTCTTCGGCTGCTCGCCGCAAGGTGGCGTGCCAGGCCGACTGGGTCGAGGGCATTGGCAAGGGCAAGCGCCGCGAGGTAGACGAGACTCGGGCTGCTGAGGACGAGGAGATCGAGGAGGACTACTCCGGCCTGTGGTCGGACGTCGGCATCTTCACGTCGGAGCAGTTCGCGCTCATGATGACCAAGTGCCTGCGGAGCATGGGCGTGCCGGTCGGCAGCAGCAAGGCCGCCAGCTCGGCGCTGATGGGCCAGTCGGTCGGCACCGCGCCGAGCGGCGCCGACGCCGCTGCGTCTGGCCTCACGCTGCAGATGAAGAAGCCGAGCGACCGGCTGCATAGCTTCAGCGTCATCATCGCATACTCGATCATGCCCGACGGCCCCGTCTCGCCGCCGTCGACCGCCGCACCCACCCCGGGCGTGAGCACGCCAGCGCCGGGCGGCTCCAACGGTGGCCTCGGCGCCGCCTCGCCTGCACAGACCACGTACCTGGCCGGCTCGCGCGCCCTCGACCAGCTGGCAAAGCTCGTGCAGGCCACCGAGACGTCGTACCACCCGTCCAACTGGGGCCTGTGGCAGATCAACCTCACCAGCTTCGTGTCGAATCTGACGTGGGAGGTGCTGAAGCGCAGCAAGGAGGAGCAGTCCGACTCGTGCAAGACGCCGCCCGAGCGGCGCCTCACGCCGGCGATCCTCGGCGAGTTCGTCAAGACGCTGCGCACCGTCACGCTCATGTCGATGTTCTCCAAGGACCCGATGAGCGTCGCCGGCTCGCAGTCGAGTCTGAAGCGCATGGCGCTCCTCGAGCCAGATCTGATCTTCCCAGCGGTGCTGGAGCGCTCGTTCAACAGCCTCGAAGCGCTCGAGACGACCGCACGCACGACGGCCATCATTACCGCCCTCTCGACGCTCTCGATGGGCATGGTCTCGCGTGAGCTGTGGCGGCCCGGCGGCAAGCACCTGGCGCCGCTGCTGCACGCCACGCTGCTCGGCCTCGACATCAATGACCCGCTCAAGAGCATGAGCAGCTCGCTGTTCATCCTCAACTCGTGCCTGCTCGTCAAGCTCGACGACCTCACGCGTCCCGAGCTGGTCTCTGCCGCAGATGACCTTGCGCGGTCGGCGGGCGAGAGCTCGATGCAAGTCGACTCGCCGTCTGCAGAAGACGGACGCCCGACAGCCGCCGAGGAGGACGATGCGCTGCGCATGAGCACGGCCGAGTTGGAAGACTGGATCGTGACCTTCTTCCGCCGCGTGCTCGCGCTCTTCGAGGCGCTGCCCGAGGAGGGCAAGGGCGGCAGGACCGGCGGCAAGAGCGAGGAGCACGTCGTCAACACGCTGCTTGCCGCGTGCGACACCGTCTGCTCAGCCATGTCGGGTCACTTCTTCGACCTCACCTTCCGCGTCGTGACGGAGTACTGCGCCACGACCGTCAACGCCACGGCTGTGCGCGTCATTGGCGCTCTCGTCAGCTGCTTCGCACGTGCCGACTCGGCAAAAGTGCTCAACCGCCTCGTGCCGCTCTGTGCGGATCAGATCGAGAGCGAGCTGGCCTCCGGCGCGAGCTCCGAGCGCACGACGAGCACGAGCATCCCTGTGGCTAGCGACGCCGCTCTGCACTGGCATCTCAGCATCCTCATCGGAGCAGTGGCCAATGCCGGCACCGCCCTGCTGCCGCACCGCCAGCGCCTGCTGGCTCTGCTGCGCGTCGTCGCGGACAAGACGCAGACCGAGCGCGGCTACTCGTTTGCCGCACGGCTGGTGCAGCGTCTGATCACCTCGCTCGTCGGCATCTACCCGGGCGAGCAGCGAGCCTGGAGCCCTGAGCAATGGGACAGCGCCGAGATGCAGGCGCGCAGCCACCTGCAGTGGGGCCAGATGTGCCTCGCCAAGGACGCCAACCTGAGCTGGCACGTGCCGAGCGCCGAGGAGATCGACTTTGCGCTGGAGATCCTGGCGCAGGTCGGCGGCAGTGCACTCGACACCGTCGAGCGTCTGCAGCAGCCCGACGCGACGCGGGACAAGGTCTGGTCGAACGACTTCTGCCGCGCCCTCACGCTCGCGCGCAGCTGCTTCATGAGCGTGGCCAACATGGCAGAGGAGGACGAGGAGGGCGGCGGAGCAGCGGCAATGGACTGCGGCGACGAGGTGCCCGAGTTCATCGCCATTCCGCCGCGCTTCAAGGCCGGGTTCGTCCTCACTGACCGCGACGACACGCGCTACAAGACCGTCATGGCGTTCCGCAAGCGCTTCGGCGAGACGCTCCATCGCGCCGCGCAGAGCACGCAGGAGTCGGCGGCCGAGGACCAGATCGACTGCGTGAAGCTGCTGGTGCGCTCGATTCGCACGTTCATGATCACGTACGCATACTACGGCGAGGACTACAAGTCGCACGCGCGCTCGCTCGCGTTCTTCCGCTCGATCTCCAAGATGTACGCCAAGCAGCGGCTGCACCCGCGTATCTTCTGGATCCGCCGTGCCGCGCACTACCACAGCAGTCGCGCTCGTCTGGCGTCGTTCCACCGCCGCCGCACTGCGCTCGACGATGCGCTCATTGCCGATGTGCTCGAGCTGTGCCTGTCCAACTACGTCGGCATCCGCAAGACGGCCCAGGGAGCGCTCGGCGAGATTGCCTCGTACTACGACGGCACGCGCGTCCTTTGCCTGCCGAAGCTGCTCGACGCGGTGAAGCTCACGGCCGCACAAGGCACGAGCGACAAGAGCGACGACCGCTTCAAGGGCGCGCTCTACGTGCTCGGCAGCAAGGGCATGATGAACATGTGTGTCGTCGACGCACGCTTCACGACGCGCTACATTCTCGCGCTGCTCTCGGCGCAGAACCACTCGAAGCCGTCGATCCAGAAGCTCGTGCGCATCAACCTTGAGAACGCCCTGGCGCGCTTCCACTCGCCGATGCGCATCCAGCTGCAGTCGGACGAGCTCGACGAGGCGCTCTCGCTTGCCGAGCAGGTGCCGCAGTACGAGGCCGTTGGCGCGGAATTGCTCGACGCGGTGGCGACACGGCGCACGCAGCGGCTGGACACCATCAACAGCATGCATGCGGAGCTGACGCCTCGCTTGCTCGAGCTGGCCAAAGCGCCCGAGACGCACTGGGCGTATGCGCTGGTGGCGCTACGCCTGCTCCGTGCAATTGGCGTTCGCAGCGATCAGCCGCTGCATGCCGGCCTCGCAGCCTATCTCGGCAGCCAGGTGATCAGCGAGAACCCCAAGACGCGCCGATCTGCGCAGCTAGCCGTCACGAAGGTCCTGTACACGCTCAAGCTCCGCTCGCTGTGCAAGGACGACGCGGCCCTCGTCGCCGGCGAGCCCACGAACCCGCTCAAGCACGAGGAGCAGCTGCCGCTGCCAGTGTCGCGCGAGTGGAACGACGCACACTGGGCGAGCTTCGCCGAAGGCTCGATGGAGCCCGGCGTCCGCCTCTTCGACAAGACGACGTCCGGCTGGCTGGTCTGGGGCAAGAAGCTGTCGTACTACTCCGCGCCGCCGGAGGACGTGCCGGCCTTCGCCTGGGAGGAGGCCTCGATGGGCGCCGTCGACGCGCTGCGCGAGTGCATCCGCAGCGAGGCGTGGTGGGAGTCCTTTGCGCGCCACCTCAGCCAGGAGAAGGACCGCGACTACCTCAGCGGCGAGAGCGTCGACCTCATCAAGTCGCTGTGCCAGGTCTTCGGCGCCGAGGTGCTGCCGAATCTGCAGCCGCGCGTGCTCGCGCTCATTGGTCAAGCCGACCGACATGGCCACCGCGCCGCCGGCGAGCTGCTCGGCGGCTGCCTGCGCGGCTCCAAGCACTGGCCGCTCAAGGCGCAGCGCGAGCTCTGGAGCTTTGTGTCCGACCTCCTGCCCCGCATCTTCCGCGAGAGCACACCCGACAGCCAGCCGGCGTGGCAGATGATGGTCGAGCACTGTCTCAGCGGCCGCGACCCTCGCCGTTCTGCACCGCTGCTGCACTTCGCTATCGAGGCTGCGCGCGAGGCTCTCGGCGAGGACGCCACGGGTATCAGCCCGTGGGAGCAGTCGAAGCGCCTCGGCATGCTGCGCGGCGTGGAGCGCTCGCTCGGCACCAAGTTCTTCGCCTGGGCCTCCGAGTTCACACAGCTCTACACGGACGCGCTCTCGTCCGACTACGCCGAGGTGCGCATCAACATCAGCGAGGGCCTGGTGGACCTCGACCTGCTGCGCGTCTCGCCGTCATTCGGAAGCGTGCCGCTGCTGCTCGACTCGTGCGCGACGGGCTCCGGCTCGCTCTTCGCGAAACCGGAGGTGTACGCGGGCCGCTTCGCCAAGATCCAGGCGGCGCTGTCCGAGTGGCGTCCGCAGCGTGTGCCGATGGCCACCGGCACCTCGAAGTAGTGAGTGCACAAGGCTCACGCCGATCTTGCGCTCTCGCTGACACTCTCTCGCCACAGCGACCGCGGCGCGCTCACGACACTGATGTGGATCAGCGCCTCGATGGGCGACCACCGCGTCTCTGCGCTGCCGGACCTTGCCATCGACTTCCTGCCGCACATCTTTGAGATGCTCGAGCTGCAGGACAACGTCGAGCTGCAGGCGACGGCACGCCGCGTGCTGTACCGCATGGCCTGCTTCCCGTGGTCGGCGGCCAGTGCCGCACGCTTCGTCTCGGCGCTGCTCTCGGTGGTGCGCGCCTCGCGCGAGTCGTGGCGCACGCGGCTGGATGTGCTGCCGGTGCTGCAGGTCGCCTTCTTCCAGAATCTGTTCAGCCTCGAGCAGGCGGCGATCCACGAGATCGTCGAGCTGCTGTTCGAGCTGCTGGCCGACGCGCATCTCGAGGTGCGCGAGATGGCCGCCACGACGCTCGGCGGCATCGTGCGCTGCAGCCAGCGGCAGATCATCGCGACGCTCCGCAAGCGCTTCACCGCCACGATCCTGAGCGTGCAGCTGCCCAAGCGTAGCGACGCGGGCTTCGCGGCGGCGCTGCTGAAGCTGCACTCGGGCATCCTCGGCGTGACGGCGCTGCTCTCGGCATTCCCTTACGAGGTGCCGAGCTGGATGCGTGAGTCATCAACGCCTTTCCTGCTGACCGCTCGCTGACGTGCTGCCCTTCAGCCGCCCTGATCTGCGAGACAGTGAGTGGCCCTGCTGTCTCGCTTGCCCTTGCCTGTGCTGACCTGCCTCCCGCAGCTCGTGCACCACGACGACTCGCCGCCGCCAGTCTCGACGACGGTGCGCAAGGCGGCCGCCGACTTCAAGCGCTTTCACCAGGACACGTGGGAGCAGGACGCGCCGCTCTTCGGCGACCGGCTGAGCGAGGTGTCCGAGTGGGCTCGCGGCAGCTCGAGCTACTTTGCATAGAGAGGCCACGGCCGCGACCATGTAGCATGAGCACCGCGTAATGAGACTCCGTAGACAGCAGAGGGTGTCACGGGAGGCAGCGGCGCTAGCTTCCACCGTCGTGGTCCGAGAGCCGGAGCAAGGCACTCGTCCATCGCAGCCGAGTTCCTGCTTATTGCCGTCTAGCGTAGCGGCGCCAGGATGAGGCATGGGGGAATGGGAGAGGAGTCGAGGGGAGCTCAGGCCGCACAGCGGCGCTTCAGACAGCTGCTCCGAGTCCCGTGCCGGAGGCGTCCAGCCGGCTCTCCCGAGTCCCTGCATATTGCCTCCTTGCCCAACCTCGTTGAGCGGAAGTCGGCATCAGGGGTCCAGCAGTGGTGTAGGGCCTCCAAGCTGCTCTGTGGTGACCTCTGCGCTGCGGGGAGCCGTTGCGTTTGGCGGAGCAGGGCCGTGCGTGGTCGTACATAAGCAGCCTGCAGCCGCGCCGCTACGACGCGTACCGCATGACCCTTGGCAAAACGCCGCTCCCGGCTGACCTTTCGAGCCTGCCTCCCGACCACACCAGCAACACTCGACGACGCAACACCATGGCGCCGCCCGCCGCCGGAAGGACGCCTCAGGCGCCCGGAGCACCGCTGCTCGTGGCTTGCACGGCGGCGCTGGCGGGCGCGTACTGGCTCGGTACCTCGCCGCTGCAGCTCCGCACGGCCGGCGTCTTGGTGGCGGCGTCGCGTGTGCTGCCGCTGCTGACACGCCCGGTGCTGGCGCCGACGTCCGCCGTGCTGCTGTTGCACGCCGGCATCAAGGCGCTGGGCTATGCCGTGCCACCTCTGGCTGTCGTCTTGCCGGCCTGCCTCTTCTTCCTCGTGGCGCGCCTCGACCTGCCGCAGCCGCCCGGACGCACCGTCACGACGCTGATCCTGACGCCCGGCGCGCCCTTCACCGTCGGCCCCTTCAGCTGGCTCGCCGGTCTTCGTGCGCACTTCGGATGGCAACGCCACGTCTTGCAGCGCACAAAGCTCGGCAAGACGGCGGAGATCTTCGAGGACACGGACTTCCACTGGGGCCTCGACAAGGAGAGTGGGCGGCGCAAGCAGCCCGAGAACGGCGAGCTCGTCCGCAGCTGGGACCGCATCGTGGTCTGGGATGACGACTGCCCGCCGCTCGACGTCTTGGAGGAGTGCGTCGTTCAGAATCTGGCGTACACAGCTTCATTGCTGACCTGCGCTCGCACAGGTGGCGCTCGATGGCCGACGAGCCAGCTGACGCAGCAGTCCGCGCGCTGTCGGCGCATGCAGTGAAAGGCGACGCTCTTTCCGCCCTTGCGAACGCGCTGCAAGATCCAGAAGCGCCAGGCGAGCTGCGCTCTGCGGCCCAAGCTCTCTTCGCGTCATGCGCTCGCAGGCCGCCGCCCGGCGCCGGAGCGCTCAGCCTCGACTACTACGCGAAGCGCAAGGGCGCTGCCGCGGCCAGCAAGACGGAGGCTCCGGGATACGAGTCGTGGGATACGGTGACGAAGCTGGCACGGGAGGACATGGAGGCTGAAGAGGCGGCAGACGAGGAGGAGCTGCGCGAGGAGGCGCGCATCATCGACGAGGGCCAGAAGGTGTACTACCGCTACGGCCCGCCGATCCTGTGAGTCGTTCTGCTCTCACTGCCGCCGTCCAGCCTGCTGACCCTGCCGCAGAGTCTCGCTGCTGCACATGGGCCTGTCCGGCGGCTTCGCGTCTGCGCGCATCAGCGCCGTTCTGACTGCAACAGACTACCTCATGCCGCGCGTGGCGGCCAATGCGGCGTCCGGACGTATGATGACCGAGGCCGCCGCCAACCGCACCTTCGTCCGCCTGCTCGAGACGAACGTGTGGAACCTCGACGTCATGGACCGGCCGGCGAACTTGCGCCCGCCGTCGGAGCGCTCTCAAGACAGCGTGTCGCTGGACAGTGCCGGCGCCGGCTGGGTGTCGAGCGCACGGGTGCGCCTGCTGCACGCGAACGTGCGCCTTCAGTGCGCGCGCAGAGGGACGAGCTCGGACGCCATCAATCAGGAGGACCTCGTGGCGACGCTGTGCGCCTTCGCCATCGTGCCGCTGTGGAGTCTTTCGGTGAGTCGTACTGCGCTGCTCCTTGGCTGGGTCGTGGCACTGAAGAGAGGCGCATCCAGCGTATGGGCATCGAGCTGTCCGAGCAGGAGCGGCAGGACTACGTCGCCGTGTGGCGCCACGTCGGCTTCTACATGGGCTGCCATCCAGCGCTGCTGCGCCGCACGTTTCGCGACGCAGGCACCGCCGAGCGCTTCTGTGAGTGGCAGCGCAGCTTCGCGGCGAGGCCCTGCTCACTCGCTCCTCGCCAGTCTGGTCGGTGGCGTGCCACCACTTCATGGACGTCACGCCAGCGCGTCTCTGGGATGCGCCGCCGCCGTTGCGAGGCGACGAGGTGCCGGTCGGCGCAAAGACGGGCCCAGCGCTGCCGCTGCTCTACGCCATGTCCAACCGGCCACCGTCGGGCATGAGCTTCGCGGCGAACTGCGGTGAGAGCGTTGTGCTCTGGCGTCGCAACTGCGGCTGTGCTGACCTCTGCTGCCTGTTCAGCGCTCGCCCGCTTCCTCATCGGCCCGTCACTCTCCACGGCGCTGCACTTGCCGAGTTACACGGCCTGGCGCGCAGTGCGGCTGCGCATCGCGCTCTTCGTTCTCATTCTGCCGCCGCTCTTCGCACGCGCCTACCGACAAGCCTGGGGCGACGAGCTGCGCGTCAACTGCCAGATCGTGCTGCGGCGCCTCGTGCTGTGGAGCCTGAAGCAGCAGGGCAGCCGCAAGGCCACGTTCCGCACCAAGACGACCGACGAGGCACACAACGCCGACGGCGAGGAGATCGAGCTCGACCCCGCCGAGGGCCAGCGCATGGTCAAGGCGTACCGCAGCCTGCTGCGCGAGATGGGCCTCGTGCTGGCGTGCGGCGGCGCGGCTGGCGGCTGGCTCGCCTGGCGCGTCCTCTCCGCAGCGCTCCGCCAGTGACGAGGCTGGCGTCGTGACTCGACCCCTGCTGCTGTACACTACACCCATACCGCCCAATCTAGACGAGCCAGATGATCTCAGCTGACTGACCGAAGCGAGGTTGGCGACAGCGGAAGCGTGACAAAGGAGTGAGCTGCGATACTTGGATTGCCTCGCGTCAGGTAGCACGTTGCACACAGAGCACGATCACAAGCTAAAGAGTTCACGTTTGCGTAGTCTGCACGGCGGCGGACTCAAGCTTGCGTTGCTGATGTGCTTGCGCGGAAAGCTTTCTGCGGCGCTCGTCCAAATGGAGGCTGCAGCCCGCACAGTGGACTCGGACGTCGCGCGCTCGGCAGGCTGCAGGACAGGCTGATGGACGAGCTCGAGGTCGACGGCTGTCAAGTGCAGCATCTGGCCGAGGAGACGCGGCGGCCGCAGAAACGCAGCGGCGCATCGATACGGACGCTTGTCGCCTGCTGTCCTTTGCTTGCCATGCCCACCACCAATGCGTCTGCTTGCATCGCTGGGTATTGACGTGGTCTGGACCTTGTCTGAGGGGTATGCAGCGCAGCGCAGGCCGCATGGACACCGCGGGTGCGCAGAGGCGCGAGACTCGCGAAGTCTGCCTCCCGCTGAAGCAGCAGAGTCTGCGTGACAGGTGTGCCGGGTCACAATTTCTGCTCCGATCACTCCGTCTTGACCCGCTTCTCCGTCGCAGCCTCCTCGTCGCTGCGTGCGCGCTTTCGCCGGCCAGCATACGCGGCACCCGGCGGCGGCGGCTGCTCGGCCAAGTTGCGCACGGCCGATGCAGCGGCTGAGGCGGGCTGCTGCGCCTTGGCCTCGCGAGCTTCGGCGATGGCTTCGATCAAGTAGCTGTGCAAGGTGGTCAGGATCAGGGCAGCGCTCGAAGCCGAGACGGTCGACGCACTCGAGCTCTTCTTGCAGCTTGGCCTGCTTCGCGGCCGACCTGGCTAGGTTGTCCTTGGTCTCGACGCGCGCCTGAGCCGTGGTGGTCAGCATGGCAGACGAAGGAACATGTACAGGAGTACAGCGCGAAGGTCACGCTCAAGCGGGGTATAGCGAGAGCCGCCAGCAAGAGGACGGCGGCACACCCGTCCTGACACCGGCCGAGCCGCTGCTACTGAGCGACAGGCCGCTGCCCTGCCCTGCCGCACACACTGCACACGTTAAGCTACACACTCACCTGCTTGGCCTTCTCATAGCGCTCCTTGTAGTCGTAGAAGCGCTGCGCGTAGTTGACGTTGGGGTTGGGCTGGCCGCGCGGCGTGGGTGCGACGGGCGCCGGGATCATGGCCGCGGGCGCTGCTGCCGCCGCGGCCGTCGGGGCGTCGGGCGAGGCGGCGCCGATGCTGCTGCGGCGGCGCGCGGGCATGGCGGCTCTAGCGACTGCGGCTGCAGCAGAGAGATGCGATGAGAGCTGGCCGAGGTTTAGGGAGATGGCAGAAGGAAGGCAGGCCAAGACGCTGCAGCGCGGCTGCTCGCCGTCGAAGTCGCGCGGCGGCGTCCTCGAGACGTTCCCACGCCGGTCTTGGCGCTAGCGCATGCAACGCACGTGCCAGCCTGCAACGGCCGGACCTTCGCTTGGCGAGCACGGCTGCTTTCCGACCACATCACCCTCAGACACCATGGCCGCCTTCAATCTCGACGAGACGCTGCAGTTCGCCATCGACCTGGCGCACTCGGCCGGCGCCATCATCCTCGACGGCGCACGCAAGCGCGAGCAGATGGACGACGTCGACTGGGACGCAATCCTCAAGAAGAACACGGCCGACCTCGTCACCGAGACGGACCAGGCGACGGAGCGCCACGTCAAGGAGAAGATTGCAGAGCGCTTCCCGGACCATGAGTGAGTGTAGCAGAAGAGGGCTTGGCTACTGCGCTCGCTCATGCTCGCCCTGGCGCCAGGTTCATTGGCGAGGAGTCGTGGGCCGCCGGCGAAGAGCCGAAGCTCGGCGACAAGCCGACGTGGATCGTCGACCCCATTGACGGTGAGCTATAGACTGCGTGTGCTGAATCGGACGCTGGCTCATGCGCTTCACTAGGCACGACCAACTTCGTCAAGGGCTTCTCGTTCCATTGTATCTCGATCGGTGTCTGTTACCAGCAGAGGCCAGTCATCGGCGTGATCTTCAGCCCTGCCCTCCAGACGCTCTACTACGCCTCGTCGGGCAACGGCGCCTTCCGTCTCTCGCCCGCAGACGGCGGCAGCCCGCGCCGCCTGCCGCTCGCCAAGCGGCCGGCGCCGCTGCCGAGCCTCAAGATGGCCGTCGTGGCCGTCGAGTGGGGCAGCGACCGCAAGCGCGAGACGATCGAGAAGAAGACGAAGGCCTTCGCGACGCTGTGCGGCGATGCCGATGCGGGCGTCGAGGGTGGACGCATGGTGCAGGGTGAGTGCGCCGAGTGTCTGCCATGCTTCTACATCTCACGCGCCTCTCAGGCGTGCGGTCACTCGGCTCGGCGGCGCTCTCGATGTCGTGCGTGGCCGAGGGCAGCATCGACATGTGGCAGGAGATTGGCTGCTGGGCCTGGGATGTCTGTGCTGGCACAGTCATTGTGCAAGAAGCGTGAGTCGCGCCTGCCAGCCCCTCGGCGTGCTGCCAGCTGACAACTTGCGCAGCGGCGGAGTTGTGCTCGGCTCGAAGGCCGACGCCCTCTCGTCGCTCTCGTCCCCCGACTTCGGCCACGTCACGCCGCAGATCCTGCAGGGACGCAAGTACCTCGTGCTGCGTGCCATCGGCGACACGGACAAGGAGAGCGGCAGCGACGCTCAGCGGCGCATTGCCGCCGAGTTCTACAACGCCATCGACGACTGGGAGGCCGCATGAGCTCACGAGATCACCAGCATGCGCAGCGCAAATATATCAATGGACGTGTGCTGGCCAGGGTCACCATGAGCGAGGAGCGGGAACGTGTGTGTGTGTGTCAGAGAGAGAGAATGTGTGCGTGAGGTCCGTTCGGGAGAGATGAGGCAGGGCGAGACCGGAAGTGAGGAGACGAGCGGTGGCAGTGGTGAGTGGAGGATGGTAGCGCGAGCCCGTTGCGGAGTGTGCGTGTGCTGGGTTTCCGAGAGACTGGGTGAGACCGGGGATGCGTGGCGGAAGATAAGTGAGGGCGTGAGGGAGCAGATGAAGGCGCGGCAGATGCTCAAGCGAGGACATCCGGGCTGGCACGCTGGGCCAGACGCTCTTGCTGCGATAGGTAGGAGACGTACTGTCAAGGAAGCGATCATCAGCGGCTGGCCCTGCGCAGTCTCGACGCCATGCTCACCTCATACAGGAAGGCGACCTGCTCGGCCGTCTCGATGGCCTTGGGACTGCGACGGCGGCGCACCGTCTGCACGAGGCGGTCGACAGCAGCGAGGTGCTCGGCGCTGTACTCGGGGCGCAGCTCAAAGGGGCACTGCTCGTACGGCAGTGTGCCGGTGCGCACCAGGCCGAGCTTGTACATCCACGTACAGGCGATGAGGCCGGCGCGCCCGACGCCGCCGCGGCAGTGCACGAGGATGTGGCGCCCTTGCAGCGTGTACTCGGCGACGAGCGACGTGATGATCATGTCGATCGTCTTGACGCACGTTGGCGCGAAGCCCTCGGCCATCGGCAGCCGCACCACGTCCATGCCAAGCTGGTCTGCCTCGCGCTCGTACGTCTCCCATGGCGCGCCTAGGTACGCCAGCTCCTCGTCGTCGAGGCAGCAGACGACGGCGCCGACGCCGAGACTGTGGATGCGCTTGAGGTCGAGCCCGAGGTCACGGCAGATGGCACCGCGGCCGCGAACGGGACCCGTGAGGCGCACCTTCTTGCCGGGGCAAGACGAGAGGAGCAGGTTGCCGATGGCGCGCGGCCCTGGGCGTCCGTCGGTGGCGGCGCTGGTTGACGGCTCGTGCGGTGCGACTGGCTCGCGCTCGTAGTCCTTCGGAAAGACTCCACCGTTGGCACGCGCGGCCGCTTGTGCGTGCTGCACGGCCTCGGTCTCAGCCTCAAGCGCCTTCTCGCAGAGATCGACGCTCGGTCGGCAGCGGATCAGGCGCAGGCCGTCGCGCTGCTGCTTGCAGTGCAGCTCCGGCGTGATGGACACCTCCTCTGCGGCGGCCGGCTGAGAAGCAGCGGGCGCGTCGCTTCCGCGCGCCTTGGCTGGTGTTGTCAAAGAGGCAGACGTCTCGACCAGCCGAGTCGGTAGCGAGGGCATCACCTCCCGCAAGATCGTCTCGAGCAGCTCCGGCGGCACAATCAGGCTGATGCTGCGAGTCGAGCACATGTCAGCTGCGGTCGAGGGTCACGCGGACGGGACACTCACTTGATCGGGTGGGTGTCGCTCGTCTTCATCGCGAGAGCAACCTGCGCCTCCTGCGGCATGGATGCGACGGACTGCGGCGGTGCAGACGAGCCGCTCGCCTCAGGCTGCGGCATGCCCGAGATACGCTCCTTCTCCTGCGTCATGACCACCTCGCGGTCCAGCTGTCCTGTGACGACCACGCCGGAACCATCGCGAGCCTGCGGAGGCGCGCCATCGGCACTGCTCGTCGTGCTCGCTCGTGTGCCTACCACTGTAGCATCAGCCGCCGCATCGGCAGTGCGTCCGGAGGAGCTGCCGATGTTCTGCATCATCGCGTCCTGCATGTCTGCCTCGAGGCCATCAGGGCGGGCGCGGTCATGTCCCGCATCGCTCTCCACCTCCTCGACGCCGTCCGAGTGCGGGCGCTTGACGCCGCAGGGGGAGGAACTTGGCTGCCGTGCCGCCACCTGCGCCCTGGCAGCCGCACGCTCGGCGGCGCGGCGATCGCGGCGCATGCGCAGCCAGGCAGCCGCTCGCTGCTCGTTGTACTCTTGCTTGTGTAGTGTGTCCTCCACGAGGCTCGGGTGCTGCACAGATAGCGGCAGATAGGCGTAGCGCGAGCCTGAACACGCGCGTCAGCACGGACGACAGCGCATCGCACACCGCGCGGTTGACTCACCCTGTGCGCCAAACTTGAGCCGGCTGTACGGACTCAGGTGGTGCTGGCTGGCAAACCAGCTGAAGTCAAGCAGGTTGAGCCACTTCTGGTACTGGCGCGCCCGCGCCGCCTTGTAGACGTGCTGCACCAGCGCATCGCGCTGCTCGTACGTCGGCGGCGGCGGCGGTGCCTCCTCTTGCGGCTGTGCCTGCTGCTGCGTGGCGCTCGCAGGCGCAGGCGGCTGCTTCGCTACAACAGCAGCTGCCGGCGGAGGCGCGGCAGCCCCACGTCCGTTCGCAGCTTTGGCCTCAGCAGACGGAGCACGCTCGAGCTGGGCTGCCTTGCCCGACTGGAGCGAAGCTGCCGGTGCGGAGGCTGCGGCCTTGGCCGGCTGGACGTGCGCCGTGACGACGTTGCCGGCGTGTGAGGGGCGCACCGGCTCTGGCTGCCAGGGAGCAGGCACGCTGACGGATGCCGGCAGATTCTCGGAACGGGCAGAGACGCGGAGCCGCGAGCCAGAGGCCGGCAGGTCGGGAGACGCCTCGACGGCGCCGGACGAGAGCAGCGGCGAGCGCGCCACGCTCGGCTGCGACATGGCGACGGCGACAACGGCGGACGGCCTGCAGCGGCGCCGGCGGCTGGAGAGGAGAGAAGGGAGATTAGAGGAGACGCAGAGAGGAGAGAGTGTCGAGAGGCGGTCGAGGCGCGAGTGCAGGTCCGGGTGAGAGAGTGCGTGTTATGCCGCTGGCATCGAAGGGTCGCCAAGGAGTCGCAGGAGGAGTCGAGAGGAAGCGTACACGAAGAGCAGGCGGAGAGGCTGCGCGCAACAGGCCTTGCTGGTGCAGTGAGGCGTGACGGAGAGCAGAAGCAGCTGACCGTTGCACGACGAGACGCTGTGCTGCACGGGCGGGAAGGAGGCGGCCCGGGCACGCGAGTGGTGACGGCGGAGGCGGCAGCGGAGGCCTGGCGCAACGCCGAGAAGCAAAGCGCGTGCGGAAGGGAGCGAGGTGTGCGTCAGGAGTACAAATCGGCGGCGAGAGAAGGCGGAGCGGCGGGAGCGTTGGAGAGGTGTGGGGGACGGCCGCCGCTGAGGCCGGGAAGGGATGGCGGGGTGGGCCAGCGTGAGCGTGTGGGCGGCGCGGCGCGGTGGGCGAAGCGCGCGTCGAGCGCGGCGGCGCCACGCGCGCGCATGCCCCGCGACGCAGATGCAGCTGCTGCCTCAGCCGCACAGTAAGAGTTGGGCAGCGCGCAGGCGCAGCGGCGCTGCGGCTGCATCTCTGCCTCGGTGCGGCGCCGCCTTGCCTTGCCCTGCATGCTGCAGCTGCTGCAGCTGTGGTGCGCCTTGGGGCTTCGACGCACCCGAGCAGCGACGAGCGGCGCGAGCGCCGATCTCGCGCGCGCAGCTCGCCGACGCCGACGCCGCCGCGTACCCCTGCCGCTGCAGACGCAGCAACGTCGCGCCAGCGAATTGGAGGTGCTCGTGCTGCGGTCGACCTCAGCGTCGTCTGCGCTGCGGCAGAGGCCCCCTCTGCCGGCTGGAGATGTGCTTGACGATCGCATCCAGCAGATGCAGCAGCACCTGAGCTTGCAGCCCTGCTTACGCTGCTCGCCGCCCCTCTTACTCTGCTGCGCGCGCACCTGCCCACGCAAGGGGCTTGCGCGACGGTTGCCGGCGCCCGCACACGCTCCGCCAACGAGGCTTGGGCCGTGATAGGCAGCAGGAGCTGCTGTGCGCAGAGCATCGGAGCAGCACGAGACCTTGCGAGTCTGGGCATCTGACACGACAGGCTGCTGGACAAGCGGGTGTGTCCTCTGCGCGGTCACGATGGCATGCGCCGGAGGCCTGCGCGCACAGAGGACAGCCTCTCTTGACCGCTGCAGCCGGCCGCACCGCCTGGGTGTGCGCATCCGCCCAGACGTGCGCCTCTGCAGCTCTGACGCCATGATTCTGGTGCCGAAAGCAAGGCTCCAGCCACACGGAGCGCCGCAGCCAGCCTGATGCTCGAGAGCGACGATGGGCGCCTCGAGAGCGCGCCCTCGCGCGCGCCTCGGCGTTCTCCTGCGGCGGGCGCTAGACGCGTCGCGCCAACGTTTTCTGGTGCTGGGTGGGCAGCGACTTGGCTGCCACATCCGCCTCGACCCCTGCTACGCCAGGCCCTCGTCGACGACACACATCCTGCATCGCATGCGGACCGCGCCGACGGTGCGGCTCAGCATCAGCCAGGCTACGCTCCGGTGTCGGCAGCGTGCGGCAGCGGCGTCGTCGGGGGCGGCGAGGGCGCCTCCGTGCGCGGCTGCCGGCGGCCCCGAGCGCGGAGGCTCGACAGCGCCAAAGTGCAACACCTGCCGTTTAGGGTGCATCCAGGCACGAGAGCTGTGTCCCGGCTGGGCGTAGCTTCGCAGCCTGCGCTGCACCTGCTTGCAGCGGCGCATGGCGGCAGGAGAGGAGAGGATTCGTAGCTCGCCGCGGCCCTCGCGCGTCCGCGCCCTCGCCGTGCGCCTTTGCTGCCGCCGGCAGGCCGAGGGGCGCGCCGCCGCCTGCGCCGCCCTCGCCCTTGCGCGCCAGCAGACCCAGATCCGACGGCGGCGCCACCCTGGCCAGCTCTGTCTCCTGCACCAGCACCCCCTCACGACCCCTCAAGCGTGCGCGCCCGGAGCCATCCACCCTTGCTCTCGCTCCCTCTCTCGCCGCCGCCCCGTGTGCAGCAGCAGCGCTGCACCCTCCGTGCGGCCCGAGTGCCCCTCATCTTCGCGCCTCGCCCTCGTCTCTCCTCTGTCCCCGCAACGCCTCTGCCTCACGTCTTCCGCACCTGCGCGCCAGCTCGCTCGAGGTTGCTTCGTGCCTGCGCCTCTGCCGTCTGCGACGTTCCCATCTGCGGCGCGCTCCTGCATCCGGCCGGTCCCAACCTGCCCATCCACGCTCTCTGCTGTGGCCTCTTCGCTCCTTTCACCTCGGCCTCGCGTCGCCTCTCACCCGAGCGCCTCTGACAGTCAGGCATCCGGCAGCTCTTTGCTGCTGCCTTGCTGCTTTACATCACAGCACATCTCTCTCGCATACGCCCTCCTACATCGCTCCTGCTCTGAGCTAGGCCTGCTCGCGCTCGCACGCCAGCCCCTGCCGCCCGAGCCCGCGCCGCCAGCGCCATGGCGCCCTCGCGCAATGCCACCTTCAGCAAGTCATTCGTGCGGCCGCGCAACGCGCGCGGTCCCGGCGGCGGTGGCCTGCCCGTCTCGTCCGAGGCGCCGCCACCGCTGCGGCAGCCGACGCGCATCGCACGCGCAAAGACGCTGACGCGGCCAGAGCGCGGCCAGCCGCAGGTGCCGCTCATCAATCCGCAGGGCGTCGGCCGCAGCGCGGGCAAGGAGGGCATCTCGGTGTGGGCGGGCTTCAGCAAGTGCATCACCTGCTGGGCGCCCGGGCCTCTGCTGCGTGCCTGCGGCGGCCTGCGCGACGGCTCCAGCCAGCAGGCGTGGCGGGAAAAGTGAGTGCGACCCATCGAGACGAGCGCCACGATTCTGCGCATGTGCGGAGCGCTGCTGACGCCGATGGCATTGCAGGGTTGCGCTCTGCTTCATCGCTCTGCTGCTCGGCGGCTTCGTCGGCTTCGTGACGATGGGCCTGAACAAGGTGCTGTGCCCCGCTGCAGCGGCCTCATTGCCAAATCAGCTCGCGCGCATCGGCAAGGACATGTCTTGTGAGTGCAGTGTAGCGACAGTCGCATGCGAACCTCGCTCAGACTTGCGCTGCTAGCTGCGGTCGGCATCAATGGCTGGGACATGGGCATTGAGCGTGCCAAGCTGCCGGGCCAGGCCGAGGTCGGGTACAACATGTACATGCGCGCAGGCACCAATGCCGGCTACGACATCACGCCGCTTTTCCGGCGCACGGCTGCAAATGACTTTCCGGCGTGCATCGGGCAGTCGGGCGCCTATGCCACGAGCGACGACTGCACGCCGGCGCAGGCGGGCCTGCCCGCGTGCCCCCTCGGCGCTCTCAGCCAGGCGGCGCTGCAGAACGCGCAGATCACCAACTCGACGCGCAAGGTCGGCTATGCGTGGGAGGACCTGGCAGAGGGCGCGTATCCGCACTTGATCGTGAGTGGATGGTGGAGACGAGACGTGTGGCTGTGGGGGTCTGCCCCGCACGGGCGCCGGCGGGTCGCTGCGATCACGAAGGCGGCGCAGCAGTGCTGACCCCGTCTGCAGGTCATCGACGGCGCGGTGCTCAACATGCAGCCCTACCTCAACGCGAACCCGACGAACATCACCGGCGACGAGGTCGACATGGCGATCCGCCGTGCGCTCGACATGGACGTCGTGGGCGGGCGCGACGCAACGCGGCTCTTCCAGATCCGCGCCGACCTGCGTGACGCCGTGCCGTGTCTCAAGCAAAAGTACCTGGCGGGCCGCATCAACAAGATCACGCCCGGCTGCTTCGTCTCGAACCTCTTCCTCTACGCGTCGCTGACGATCATCCTCGGGCTCGTCTTCGTGCGCTTCCTCATGGCGATCTGGTTCTCCTGGTTCCTGTCGTGGCGCATGAGTGCCACGCCGAAGGACTACGGCACGGGCCGCGGCGCGTACAACCACATGCCCGAGGGCGCGCTCACGACCGTCGACCAGCGCGGCACGGCGCCGTGGGCGAACAAGGAGCGCCCGACGCCCTCGAAGCCGGCGCGCCTGCGCCACGACGACACGGGCCTCTCGTCGCAGACGACGATGCAGAAGATCGGCAACGAGCCTTACGTCGTCTGCCTCGTCACGGCCTACTCGGAGGGCGAGGAGGGCATCTCGAACACGCTCACGTCGCTCGCCGAGACGGACTACCCGGACTCGCGCAAGCTGCTCTTCGTCGTTGCCGACGGCATGGTCACGGGCTCGGGCGAGTCGATGTCCACGCCCGACATCTGCGTCGGGCTCCTCGACGCCGACGTGCGCTTCGGCACGCCGATGCCCATGAGCTTCATCAGCGTGGCGCAGGGCGCCAAGATGCACAACATGGCCATGGTGTACGCCGGGCACTACACGCGCGGCAAGGGGCACCGCACGCCGATGGTCGTCGTGGTCAAGTGCGGCACGCCCGGCGAGGCGGGCGAGAACAAGCCGGGCAACCGCGGCAAGCGCGACGGCCAGATGATCCTGATGAACTTCTTCCAGCGCGTCACGTACAACGACCGCATGACGCCGCTCGACTTTGACCTCTTCCGCAAGCTGCACGCGCTGATGAGCGTGACGCCCGACTTCTTTGAGCTCTGCATGATGGTGCGTCTGCGCGTGCGTCTGCGCGTCTGCCCATGCTAACGCCGCCGCCGCCGCCGCCACAGGTCGACGCCGACACGAAGGTGTACCCAAAGTCGATGCGCATGCTCGTCAACGCCATGACGCGCGACCACATGATCATGGGCGCGTGCGGCGAGACGCGCATCTCCAACAAGCGCGCCTCGTGGGTCACGGCCATCCAGGTGTACGAGTACTTCATCTCGCACCACATGGTCAAGGCGTTCGAGGCCGTGTTCGGCGGCGTGACGTGCTTGCCGGGCTGCTTCTCGATGTACCGCATCAAGGCGCGCAAGCCGTCGGACGACGACTGGGTGCCCGTCATCGTCAAGCCCGAGGTGACGCGCGAGTACAGCCAGAGCGTCGTGACGACACTGCACCAGAAGAACCTGCTGCTGCTCGGCGAGGACCGGTTCCTGACGACGCTGCTTCTGCGCACCTTTCCGAACCGCAAGATGGTCTTCGTGCCGCAGGCGCGCTGCCGCACCGAGGTGCCGCACACGTTCAAGATGCTCCTCTCGCAGCGCCGCCGCTGGATCAACTCGACGATCCACAACTTGATGGAGCTCGTGCTGGTGCGCGATCTGTGCGGCACCTTCTGCTTCTCGATGCAGGTGAGCTCGCGACGACAGTTGCTGCGTCTCTCGCCTCGCTGACGTCCCGCCCGCGCAGTTCGTCGTGTTCATGGACCTCATCGGCACGGCCGTGCTGCCCATTGCCATCGCGCTGACGTACACATTGGTCGTGACCTACTGCCTCGATCCGCCATCGTCGTTCACCGAGGCGATCCCGCTCATGCTGCTGGTGGCGGTCATTGGCCTGCCGGCGGTGCTGATCCTGCTGGCCACGCGCAAGATCGTCTACGTGGCGTGGATGGGCATCTACCTGATTTTCGTGAGTGCGGCCGCGGAGCCAGCTCGCAGAGCACAGCCTGATAGTTGCCCTTGCAGCTGCCGGTCTGGAACTTCATCCTGCCCGTCTACAGGTGAGCAGGCCGGCGCCCACACCGCTCTTCTCCCGCTGACTCCGCTGCCCCTGAAGCTTCTGGAACTTTGATGACTTCAGCTGGGGCGAGACGCGCAAGGTCGAGGGCGAGGGCAAGGACACGGGGCACACGGCCGACGACGGCACGTTCGCCGCCGCCAGCGTGCCGCTGCGCCGCTGGGAGGACTGGGAGCGCTCATCGCGCAAGCGCGCCGCGCGCGAGGAGAAGCGGCGCCGCGAGATGGAGCGGCAGTTCGGGCGCGGCTTCTACAACGACAAGGCGCACCCGGACCAGCCCGAGCCGGACAGCGACTCATTCAGCGACATGGCCTCCAGCTTCGATCCCGAGGAGGACCAGTGGGGCCTGCACATCAGCGCCTTCGACGAGCATGCGCCGCCGCCGCTCGCCATCGTGCGGCACAGCATCTGGGTCGACGGACGCGAGGTCGTCATCGACGGCCAGGACATGGAGGCGATGATGGAGAAGGGCTGGGCGGACGAGGACAGCCTCTCGCCGATGAGCGCAGCACGCGGCGCATCGCAGCCGCTCGCGCCCAGCGCAGCCAACGCGCGCCGCAGCGGGCGCTGGAGCAAGATCCACACGCCTGTGCCCGCGATCCCGCACCGCTTCAGCCAACATCCGCAGCAGCAGACGCCCGGCCGCGCCGGCATCTCGCTCGACGTCGTGCCGCCATCGCCGAACGGCGACGACCCGTACGCGCCGCTGGTGCGCGGCATGTCGCAGCCGCCGTCGCCGTCGTTTGGGCCTGGTGGCACGCCGCACAACTACGCGCGTCCGAGCTTCCAGTCGGGCTCGTCGGGCGCCTCGTCGGCCGTGTCGGGTCGGCAGATCCTGCCGCAGCAGCAACAGCAGCAGCACGCGCGGCAACGCTCGCAGGGCTCCGGCACCCATCACTACCACGGCATCGCCGGCGGGCCGCTGGGCTTCTCAGACCACGGCCCGCCGCCGCCGCGCTTCTAGATACCTCCCTCCGCTTGCTCCGCCTCTCTTCGTGCGACCCCGGCCCCGCTAGTCCTTACATCAGCCTTACAAACATTCCGCCTCAGCACTCTCTCTCTCTCTCACGCTCAAAGTCACTGACCTCGCTCCCTCGCACCATCGTCGGCCTCTATCCCTCATCATCACCCTCTCCCGCCATCCATCAGCCCTCTGCTCGGAGCAGCCTCGCGACAATCAGCCTCTCTAGATGCCGCGCTGCTCCGACCAGAGTCTCACGCGCCCACGCGCCTGACCACTCATTTGCCTCTGCTGTCTGTAGGGATGCGTCTGGAAATTGACAACTCTCGACAGCCCGCGTGACGTGCTGCGACGCAGGTTAGACGAGCGCCGCCGAGAAGCTGTGCTCGCTGAGGTAGTCGGAGCCCTTCTCGTCGTAGTCGGCCCGGCTGATGGCGCTGTGCCGCGCCTCGTCCGACCCACTCCACAGCGCCATGCCGCGCCAGGCATCGAAGCGCGGGTCGCGGGCGCGCTGCACGCGCACGCGGATGTCGGTGCTCTGCGTCGCCTGGACGGAGCGTCGCAGCCGGTCGTCGAAGCCGGCGTAGCCCGTATGCCGGCCGGTAACGAAGATGTTCTGCGGCGGGCCGGGTGAGCGTGCATCGAGGCAAGTGCTGCTGCAGCTCGCACTCACGCTGGCGAGGCTGCGATGCGTGTCGAGGTCGAAGCCTTTGACGATGTGCGAGCACAGCTCGTCGATGCCCGCCTGGTCCACGCCCGCCATGCTCGGCTGCCAGAAGACCTCGGGCACGCGCGCACGCTCGATGTTGAGGTGCAGCTGGTGCGCCTGCGCCACGTCTTTTGGGTCCCATGGCGGGTAGTAGCCGCGCAGGAACGTCGTCGTTAGCCGATTCTTGCGGGCCTCCTGCGCAGCCCACGTGTCGTTCTCGGTGAACGTCGGGTCGTGCTCGAGCAGGCGTGCTTCAAGCCGAGCCAAGTTCGCGGACTCGTCCTCTTCGTCCTCCGAGTCGTCGCCGCCGCGCTGAAGCACGCCTGTGTCAACCTTCGAGCCGGCCATCTGCCACGACAGACTCACGATCTCGCGATACACCGCCCAGTCGGCATCGTCAGCGCCAAACGTATCCGCTGGTGCCGCAGCGTGAGCGAGGAAGGGCGGCGCTGCGCCATGGGCCGGTCTCACCATCAGCTCCGCCTCCGCCGCGCCCTCGTTTCCGCTTGCCCTCGGGCTTGTCATTGGCGAGGTCGGCAATCGTCTTCATGCGCTGCTGTGCGGCCAGACTCTTGCGGTCCGAGAGCATCTCCTTCTGACGACTGCGCTCCTTGGCGCGCGCGATCGCGTCCTGAGAGGAGCGGACGTGTCAGTCTCGCAGCAAGAAGGCGTCGCAGCTGCTAAGCTCACCTCGTACTCGGCCCGCGCCCGTTGTGCCCAGCCCTGAGGATCATTCGCGCGCTGCTCCGCGTCGAGGCGCGCAGCCTCAGCCTCGAGCCGCTTCTCCTCCTCCTTCTCGAGCTTGGCACGATTCCGGGCGTCGTAGCCTGCCTTGAGCAGGCGCTGTCGCCGCTTCTCCTTGATCGACTCCTCGTCCAGCTGGTGGTCCGGAATGTCGACCAGAGGGAAGCTCGGCGGCTCCTGCATGCGCAGTGATCAGCGCTGTGGCTTGGCCACGGGTCTGCGTCGCGCTCACAGCTGGCTCTTCGGCATCCTCTCCAAGCTCCTTGGCGCGACTCTTCTTCAGTGACGCCTCAATCTTCTTGACGACGTTGTCGAGCTCCTGCTCCGTGTCAAAGCCCTCGCCCTCCAGGCGTTTCTGCAAGGAGGTCAGCAACGCACTGAATGCCGACCGCCTGCTCTCTACTCACGAGATACTCCGTCTTGCGCTCCTTGGACTTCCACTCCTTCAGCCGGCTGTAGTACTCGAGGTCGTTCTCCTTTTGCACCAGCTGAAGCAGCGAGTGTGAGCAGCCAAACCTGCACGGCGGTCTGATGCGACTCACCTTCTCGAGCCGCATCTTCTGCGCCTGCTCCAGCAGCCGCCGGCCAGACTCCTTCTTCCGCTCGACCGCCCGAGCCAGCTCCTCTTCTGTCTTCTCGTTCGCCTCGTCGACTGTGAATGGGAACTGCACCACGCGGTCCTCGCGGGCGAGCTCGTCGGGCTGCGACAGGCGGCCGATGAGCTCCTCGTACGAGTCTGCCGCGTCGGCATAGACGTAGCAGAACTCCTGCACCATCCAGCTGGCCTGCAGCGGAGTGACGCGCGTTGGAAACGCCGGATACTTGAGCTGCATCAGACGCAGCAAGTAGTCCGACGCCTGCTGTCCACTCCAGCTGAGCCTGCTGAAGCGTCAGCAGAAGGCTCAGAGCTGCGCAGGGAGACCTCCACACGCACCGCTTGGCGGAGGATAGGATGCCCTTGCCCTTGACCATCGGCACCAGCGTCGTGTTGGAGCGTCCAGAGCTCAGCACGAGACCGTTGCTGACGCCATTTGCGTGTGCAGCGAAGAGCGAGTCGAGGCCGTATGCCACGCTCGGCACGCCATATGTCTCGAAGAGCAGCTCAGACACGGCTGGAGCGGAGCGCAGGGCGTGAGGAGGAGTATCGAGAGGACCGCTGGCAAGACTGACCTGTACGCGACGTTGACGGGCTGCACAGCGCTTCCGTCATGACAATTGGGTGCTGCACCGAGCCCTCGCCGTCCTGCCCTGCATTGACGCCTAACCGCAGGAAGGTGTAGTCCAGCACGTTCTCCTGCGGCAGCCGCCAGCATGAGCACGGGACATTCAAAGCGAGCGAGGGTGCACGGACGAGGACTGCAACCCCCCAGACTTCCTTCCCATGACCGGGACTTGCCTGCAGCACTCACCAGAATGTCCGGCGCAGTGAGCACGTCTCCATCAAACGCCGAGCGGACAGAGCCGCGGCTCTGCGCATCGGAATACGCCTCTGCGCCAGCGACGATGAAGGTTGTGTTCGACTTGCGATCACGGAAGCGCGAGACGACATTGTCAAACGCGACGTGCGGCTGGGCCGCTGCCAGTGCAGTGAGGTCTGGCGCACCGGCGCGCATGGCGAAGCCGGCCCGCAGCTCGCTGGCGCCATTGTCGATGACGAGCGGGCGTGCCGAGTCGCGGTACGATGCATACGTGGCCGCATCGAGCGGCTCGGCCGCCTGCGCAGAGGCGAAAGCGCGCTCGGACACGGGCACGGGCTGCTGCGGCGTGAAGCCGGGCAGGTGCGCCCACGGCTCGACGCCGGCCTTGGGGCGAGGCAGTTCGGCACGCACGACGTCACTGACGCGCGGGCGTCCGGCGAGCGGGCCGTAGAGGAGCTGCATCGCGCAGACGGCCGCGCGGGCAAGGAGGCGAAGAGCGGGCAGGTGCGAGGACGATGAGAGTGTGCGGTGCGGAGCGAAGCCGCCGAGGCTGGAAGCATGGCGGGGTCAGTGCACTCTGGGAGCGGCGCTGCTCCCACGGCTCACGTGCGGCGCCACTTTTGGCGGGCCGGAGCGCTGAGCAGTCGGTGGCCTGCGCCGGCGCCTCCTCGCCGCTGCCCTCCCGCACACCACCACCCGCTGTTCTCTCTGCACCCGCCGTCGCTTCTCCGCACAGTGCTCAGCTGCATCGCTCCGCACAGTAGTCTCTGCGCCGGTCCTGCTGCCTGCCATCATGGTGCGCCCTGCTCGGCTGCGCGGGCCCCTTGTCCGCCTGCTGACACTTCAGTCACCGCGCAGTCTGTGCCGAAGCTCCTCGCACAGGTGCGTAGGCCTTCCAGCGCCGTACAGCCTTACACGATCTGACATTCATTCTCTCGGCTGTCAGGTCCTGTTCCTGGGTGTGCAGGCCGTCGGGAAGGCCTTTGCCGAAGCAGGACGTCAGGCAGCGCGCAGTGAGTCGCCTCCACCATCGCCACGCCCACAGCCCGCGCTTCTTCGTGCTCACTCTCTGTGCCTCAGATGCACGCGCTGCGCCTGTTGAGGCGTCGGCAGCTGGCACTGGCAAGCTTGGCAGCTCGCCGACTGACAACCTCACAAGGACACATCGCATGACGCTCGATGAGGCGCGCATGATCTTGAATCTGGACGCCAAGGGCATTGCAGAGGCGAGCGAGGAGGGGCGGGCAGCGCTTGAGAAGGTGAGTCGCGGTCCTCAGTGAAGGCATCGCATCGATCTGGTCGCGCATATCTGCGGCCGCGGCATTCTCGGACTGCGATGAAGCGCTGCAGCTCCAGAATGTCCCGCGTGCGCTAGCTCGGGAGTGATGCGCTTGCGAGGACCCACTCGCTATGCTGAGAGTGCGATGCGACTTGCGACGAGCGCGGTTGCCATCGCTGGCTTTGGTGCATTGTCTCGCGCGAGGGTTGCCCAGGGCTGAGTGATGCGGGAGAGGCGAGACGTACTGCGCGAGGAGCGCATGGGCTGCCTTTCCACTGCTCCTCTGCGCTGCTTGGGGCATGCCGCCGTCTGATCAGTTGGCACGGCTCTCCATGTCGCATGCTTACGCATCTGCCGCTGCTCTGCAGTCCTACGAGCACCTGTTCAAGACCAACGCGCCGCCAGCGCCCAAGGGCGCGACCGGCGGCGGCGCTGGCTCGTTCTACATCCAGAGCAAGGTGGTGCGGGCACGGGAACGGATCGAGGCGGAGTGGGCCGAGGTGCTCAAGGCGTCCAAGGGCCCACCACCGCCGCCGGACGCGTCGGCGCCCAAGGGACCCGAGGCGCAGCAGGGCCCGGCACCATGACGCGCTGGCTGGACTGCAGGGAAGGATAGACGTGCGCTGGGCGCGGCGCACGACGGTAGTCTGCTAGAGTCGCGCGAGCATGTCGTCCGCGGCGGGAAGTGCACGGCGTGGCTGCCGACTGCGCTCATCAGTGGCGAAGCATTTGGAGGAACGAGGGTGGGCGGTGCCGCGTAGCGGCGGCGCCGCCAGGCCTGACCCAGCGGCATGGCCGAGCATCTGTACAACAACAACACCAGCGGCACTCGCTGCGTGCGCTAATCAATCCACTGCTCAATCTCTTCTCCAGACTGGCAGTCTGCGAATGAGAAGTTGCCGGATGGGTAGGGCGAGACCGCTCCCACGCTAGGCAGCGTGCGCTGTGCACTGAGCCACGTTCGCCCGACTCAGACTCGTTCCGAGGTCGGGCGGCTAGCTCTGCTCTTGACCACCAGCACCGTAGTGCAAGATGCAAGTGTCGCGGCTGCTACTCGCTCTCGGCAGCGCGGCAGCTGTCTGCGGCGCACCATTGGCGACCTCACTGCAGCAGCCGTGGCGAGGCGCGGACAAGGTCGATCTGCGGCCCTCGCCGCACCTGCCGCTGCTGAGCTTCCGTCCGGACGGCACCTTCAAGCTCGCGATCGTGACGGACACGCATCTTCTGGACAACCAGCTTGCGCCAGGAAACGGTGGGTCGTGCAGCTCGACTGCGCTTAGCAGCGCGACTGATCAGGCCTTTGAGCCGGCAGAGTCGGAGGTCAATGGCGCCACAATCGAGGAGGTGCAGCGGTACCTGGAGCGCGAGCGGCCAGACTTCGCGGTCCATAACGGCGACGTGATCTCGTAAGCCCGTGTGCTGACTCTTCGCGAGACGTTGCTGACCAGGTCTGGCGCTGCCGCAGTGGCGAAGCGGCGAACAACACCAAGAACGTAGAGGACGCCATTGCGCAGCTCTTCTCGCCCTTCGTGCGCGCTCGCGTCCCTTTCGCTGTCTCGCATGGGAATCACGAGTGAGCTTGCGAGGACCTAGTGACGGAACACTGCGTCTGACATCGCAACTCAGCAATGATCGCTACTCGACTCACGCTTCGCTGGCGCGCCTGGAGCGGGCCGTAGCTCCCCAGCTCTGCTATTCTCGCCCTGCCCCGCCAGGGATTGGCGGCGGACGCTTCGGCGATGAGGTCGGCAGCGACAACTTCTGGATCCCCATTCATGCATCTCGCAAGGCAATTCGCGGCAGCAGGTGAGTACCTAGAGGCAAGGCATGGGGCTTGCCGTGCTGACCGCTCGCAGACCGGCGCTGCTGCTCTGGTTCCTCGACTCTCGCTCCGGACACACGACGCTCGAGCGCGGGTGAGTCTTCCTCCGCGCAGAAATGAGCGTCCACCGCTCACGACTGCCTTCCGAAGCTACCAGCCGATCGACTCCTGGGTCGACCCGGCGGTGGCGATTTGGCTGAATGCCACAGCTTCAGCGATGCAGCGGGCCTGGGGCACCTTGCCGCCGTCGGTCATCTTCACGCACATCCCGAATCGCTACCACCTTGTCGCGCAGTCTAAGGCGCCCTTCAGGGCCAAGCTCGGCGGCGTGACAGACGAGCGACCTGAGCACTTCCCGGGCCCGAACGGAGACGCCTCGCGCCCGCACGCAGGCCTCAACATCGACGACCCGCTCGACGTGCAGGACAAGGCCGCCTCGCGCGATCAGGCGTATCTCGACGCCATTGCCTTCGGTCCGCTGGGCAGCTCGCGCATCCACGGCATCCACTCGGGCCACGACCATGCCGCTGACTGGGTAAGCAGCTGCCCGTGCGCTCTGCCGTGCGTCGGCAGCTCTGACGCGGCTCTGCGCAGTGCTCGCCATCGACGCTCGTGACGCATCTCGGTCAGACTGTGCCGCTTTGCATGTCGAAGAAGTCGGGCAGCGGCGGGTACGACGAGCCAGAGTGGAGCCACGGTGAGCCCGCAGAAAAGGACCGGCTGATCAGACCGCTGACGCTGTCGCCAGGCTCCCGGGTGCTGAGCTTCAACCTCAGCAGCGTCGAGCGTGCCATGCGCAGCTACATTCGCTTCCAGACGGGCGAGACGCGCTACGACACCATCATCGACGACGCATGGGCGACGCAGTGATGTCCTCCAGACTGCCTGTCAGCCAAGATATATGCCATTGCAGCGCTGTGCAACGCGCGGCCCGTCGGCGGGCGGGGTGCAGGCTGCGTGCAAGGAGTGTGTGGTGTGTGTTTGGTGGCAGGTGCGCCGCGCACGAAAGGACGGTCGGCGGCAGCAGGCGGGCCTGGAGCGCAAAGGAGCGGCGAAGGAGCAAGCGAAGGTGGACGCGCGGGGGAATACAGGGCACAATAGGGTACGGGGCAAGGAGAGAGCAGGAGAAGCGGGACACACGAGCCAGGACGGGATCACCGGCGCTCGGCCATGTCCGGGTTCTGCTCGTCGGACGTGAGCGAGCTCTCAATCGTGTCCTTGATGCCCGGGTACACGGTGCGCCAGCAGTCGATGCCGAAGATGTAGTCGAGGTGCTCGTAGCCGGCCAGCTCGACGGCGTGCACCACGTCGACGTTGCGCTCGTAGCGCTCGAGGCGCTGTGCCAGCGGCTTGCCGATGACGAGGAAGTCGAGGTCGCCGTAGTAGACGGAGTGGCGCGGGAAGGAGCGCGGGAACCACGGCTCCGTGACGCGCGGGTCGAAGATGCAGCCGCGGTGCGAGAAGGAGGCCATGTACCAGTACAGCAGCTCGGACGACGTGCCGACGGGCAGCGAGCGGAAGATCTTGGGCTTCTGGCGCCCCACCCAGTTGTGGTCGTGGAAGGCGAAGAGGAAGTGGAAGATGACGTAGGCGAGGTGGCCGAAGAGGTAGGCGGGCAGGTACTTGTGCGCAATCGAGATGGCGGGGATGAACTCGCGGATGCCGAACACGAGCGACCACCACTTGCGCGAGCGGAACTTGCGCATGATCGAGAACGGGAACTTGCGCAGCACCGGGCCGGCGTACACCGACGGGCCGATGGCGGTGAACGACGAAATCTTGTGGCCGATCTCGGGGCAGATGCCGGGGCTGAGCGCCAGGTACATGCTGCCCGAGCCCTGCGAGTGGCCGATGTACGCGAGGCGCGGGCGGCCCGTGGCGCCGGTGATGAACTCGACGGTGTCGCGCAGGTCGAACGCCAGCTCCTTGATGCCCCACGCCCAGAAGCGCGGGTCCCAGCGGTCGTACTCGGTGTGGCCGGCGTCGAAGTTGGCGCGGATGTTGGTCACCCAGACGTCGTAGCCCTGGTCCACGAGCCAGAAGGCCATGCTGCGCTCCTCGCACATGAAGAAGTGCGACGAGTTGCAGAGGATGCCGTGCTGCAGCACGACGGGGTAGCCGGCGGCGCCCGGGCGGCGCGGGTCCGAGATGCGGTGCGCCTTGAGGATCCAGCCGCCCTCGGTCACGATCTCGTGCTCGTCGCAGCGGTAGCCCCAGAACTGTGGCGGTGTCAGAGGCGCGCACATATCCGGGCATCGCACCACACACTCACCTCGGAGTAGTACTGCGGGCGGCCACTGAGACGCTCGCCCGTGATGCGCCGCTCATACTCGCGGTCGGCGTGCGCGCGCGGGGGCGACTTGTGGAAGGGGTTGAAGTAGTTTGCAAAGGCGACGAGGATGACGAGGCCCATCGTGGCCGTGGTGAGGCCGAAGGAGACGATCTGGCGGAACTGCACGCGCAGCTTGCCGATGGTGCCGATGCTGCCGTAGTTCTGTACGACGTGGTCGAAGAAGACCATGTCCAGCGGCTCCTCCTCCTGGTACGACGGGAACGTCGGGTCGAAGAACGGCTCGCCATCCTCCTGCTCGCGCTTGGCCTGCGCCGTGCCCGAGTGCTCGACGTCAAAGTGGTGGCCGCGGCCGCTGGTGGCACGCGGCTGCTGCTCGTACTGCTGCTGCGGCTCGGCGGCGTAGGCCTGCGAGGCGTCGGTGCGGTAGGCGCTCTGCTCCTGCTTGGCGCCGTCGTCGGCGAACGGGTTCTGCGACTGCGGCGGCGAGGGCGTGGTGCGCTCGCGGCGGCGCGCCGAGTAGTCGATGAAGCCGTCGGACATGGCGGCGGCGACCCGGAACTGCGGCGGCGAAGAGGAAGGGGGTTGGGGGTCGGAGGCCAAGCACGCGCGAGGGAGTGAGCGCGCGAGGAGGTATAGACGAGGCCGCCGGAGGGAAGGGGAAGGAGGGTGAGAGAGAGAGAGAGAGGGCCGGAGGGAGCGGGATGCGGGGGCAGACAGAGACAGCAGGGCCCGGCGGCAGCGGCAGAGCGGCCTTTCGCGCTGCTGCGGGGCGCGCACGCAGCGGGCAGCAGGGCAAGTCTAGTTCTGCATGCTGTGAGTCGCTGCAATTCGGGCACGGCAGCTCTCCTCTCTCGGTGCCTTGCTGCACCAGACAGCTGCGGTCTGCACCAGCAGATGCAGAGAGCGCTGCCGACGGCACCAGAGCTGTGCGAGAGAAGCCGTCTCGTATGCGGCCGGAGCTAAAGTCGCAGTCTCAGCAGCAGTCACCGCACGCCGCAGCGCGGCAGCGGAGCATGCAGCGTCCAGCAGCAGCAGGACACCGCGCACCCCGAGGCAAGGCGAGGCCCCCGGCACCGCACGGCAGCGACAGCCAGGCACGGCAGCCGCACACGAGCGCACGCGAGTTTTGGCGCGCCCGCGTCGTGCGTCGATCGCAGCCATCGAGGCAGCAGACCAGCGAGCGGCCGCACTGCAGATGCGGAGCTGGGCGCCTGCCTGCTGTGCAGCGGCTCGCGCCGTCGCCGATGCGGCCCCACGCCCCGACGGGCGCACGAGCACTGTCGCGGCCACTTCGTACCCCGCAGGCCGCGCTACAAGCGCCGTCCGCTGACGAGAGTCGGCTGGTGCGGGGCGGAGCAGCATGCTCTGGCGGCGGCGCCGAAAGGCAAGCTCGCTGAAAGCCGTCCACTGCGCTGGACAGCGCCAGGAGCGCGCACTCGGCCGGTCGCCTCACGTGCGCAGTTCTCACGCCCGCGCACAGGCCACGGCTGAGGTCGAAGGCACAGGCAAGTCGTTTCTCGTCGAAGGAGGGGCATAGAGTAGGCTCACAGGCGTGGCCAGCGGGGGGCCGTCGTCAAGCAGGAACGGGGGAGGCGGATGCAGGGTGCAGGGAGAAGGCAGGCCGGGGGAGGCCAGCTCAGGCGTCCTGCTGGGCCTGTACGGTAGCGTCAGTCACCGGCGACACGCCTGCTGGACTGCTGCGACTCACCGCCAGCCGCGTCTCGAGGTTGCGCAGGCTCTCCTCCTTGGCCATGAGCTCCTGGCGCTTCTCCTGGATCTCGCGCTGCACCTTGAGCTCAATCTCGCGCAGCTTGTCCTCCTCCTTGCGCAGCTGCTCCTCCTTGAGCCGCACGCTCTGGTTCGCCAGCTCGTCGCCCGGGATGCTGGCGTCGGCGTAGTCCGAGTGCACCGTGCGCGAGAGCTTCTCCGTGCGGTAGTTCTCGTACAGGAAGTCGTGCGTGATCTCCTTGAGGTCCGTCAGGTGCGTGCTGGAGGGCGATGGTGCATCAGTGGCAGATCTTGCGTGTCGGCAGCACGCCACACTCACCTCAGCAGCGCACTCCGCAGCCGGGCAAAGTCCGAGTGCTTCGGGTTGTCCACCTCGACGACGCCCCACGGGTACGTCCGTGCGCGCACCGCCTCGCCGCCGATCACCACCTCCTCCTCCGAGCCGATGATGGCAAAGGGCATCAGCGCGCGCAGCTCCGAGTTGTCGGCAATCGTCTCCTCGTCGTCCTCCTCGACGTCGTACGGGAAGTTGTACACGGGGATGCCGTAGTGCTCGATGTCCTCCATGACCTGCAGCAGCACGTCAGCCAATGCACCTCCATGCCGCACACCGCCGCACGCACGCGCTGCTTGAACTCCTTGCGCTCCTCGTGCGTCATCGTGTCGGCCTTGCCGATGACGGGGATCACGTTGACACGCGGGCTCAGGCGGCGCATCAGCTCAATGTCCATCTCGCGCAGCGAGTGGCCCGTGGGCGTGATGAAGTAGAGCAGCGCGTGCACACGGTTGTCGCGGAAGCGCGGGTTGCGCTTGATGCGCGACTCCTCAGCGAGAATGTCGTCGTACTGGCGCTCGAGGAAGCCGACGATTTCTTGGAAGCTGCGAGAGTGGTGTGAGCCGGGGGCCCGGTGCTGGGCAGCAGCCGCGCCTACTCACGCGTACTCATTGTCGATGTTCTCGCCGAAGCCCGGCGTGTCGACGATGGTCAGGCCGATGCGCATGCCGTCCTCGTCGAGCTCTGCGGGCGCTGGCGGTCAGCACAAAGCAAGCAAGGTGCTAATCTTTAGGCGCTCCGCAGTGGTCTCGCTGCGAGGGCAGCGGCCCAACGGCCTGCGGATGCTCCTATGCAAGTCACAACGTGCGCCCTGAGCCCACGTCCTGTGGAGAGCCACCACTACGCTCCATGCGATCTCAGGCCGCCTGCCGTGACGCAGTGATCACATCCGCCTGCTCTCTAAAGCTCCCTGCGTTCCTCCTTTGACCATCGCCTCAGCGGCCGCAGACGGCAGCATGCCAGCCAAAACGCGCACATCCAGCGTCGAACTGCCTCGCGAGGGCCTGCTCTCGCGTGCAAGACGGACACGAGCTGGCCAAGACACTGAGCCGCGCTCGCGCTCACGCAGCTTAAGCATCCGTCCGCTTGACGCTGACCGCCAGCTTGAGCCCGGCGCAGACCGCCAGAGCAGCGGCTCTCAGCACCTCCTCTCTCAGGTCCGTGCCCCCCCCCCCCCCCCATCCGCATCGGCAGCATCCGTCCAGCATCCCCACGCGCCCGTCGCCGCACAGCTCCTGCGCCATCTCTGCGGTCTGCAGCCGCTACGCACCGACGTTGACGGGCTTGATGCGGATGCCCTCCTCAATGTGCGCCGAGTCGGCCTGGTCCGAGACCTTGTGTGCGATCACCTCGCTCTCGCACAACGTGTTGACGAAAGTCGTCTTGCCTGCGCGCGCGCCAGAGACAGGTCAGCCATGGCTCTGGTTGTGCTGCAGTGCAGCGGGGCCTGCAGCACGACGCACCGGTGCCGGATGCGCCGACGACCATCAGGCTGGCAAGGGGAAAGGGGCGGCAGTCAGCACGCGACGCCATCGGGACGCCCAGGGCCGGGCCGGCAGCAAGCCTGCGCACCAGAACGAGACACCCTTCTTCGTGGCACGGCGCATGCGGGACGTCATGATGGGCAGGGGATGGAGAGGGGGAGGGAGCGGGTGCGGGAGCGGTGGGAAGGAGCGGCGGATCGCTGGCATCACACCTGCGAGCGACGCGCGCCGTGCGGCGACGGCCGCGAGACTGGCGGCGCGCCTGGGGCTTCGTGGCCGTGTGCGCACGGGTGCACAACGCGCGCCGGAGTCGCTCGCGCGGGCGTGGGAGCTGCCCAGCCACCAGACCTCAACACTCGCCCTCTCCCCACTCGACGAGCTGGCCTGAAGAGGGCATCTAGCTCTGGGTGTGCTGCGAGTGAAGAGAGCTCCTTGATCCGGCATGCTGTCCGCAGCGTCGCACGCCATGCACCGGCAGGGAGGAGATATATTAGCCGCCTGGCGCGAGCAGGCCAGAAGACTGAGCAGGGCCGCTGCGAAGGCGGCCTCTTTGAAGTGAAGGAGTGTGGGCTGTGGCGACCATGAGCTCGCCCGGAGATATAGGAGGCAGCTGTGCGACAAAGCGCGCAGAAGCGGAGACGATTGTGCAGGCGTTTGCTGCCATGACGTGCGTCGATTAGTAGGTGCCGGCCGGCTGGTCCTCTGCAGGGCACAGGCGTCAACAAGGCGTGTCTTTGCGCGCCGCCGAGCGCTCCACTCACTCTCGTAGGCCGCCATGACGCGGGAGCGCGAGTCCATCGGGATCTGGTCGCCCGTCTCGCCCGTCGCATTCTTGTTGCGGCGGAAGCGCGAGAAGCGGCCGGGCGCCTTCGCGCCCGTGTACTCGGACGAGGCGGCGTAGTCGTCGCCGCGCTTGCTGCTGCGCCAGCCGCAGCAGACGGTGAAGGCGGCGAAGAGCAGGAAGGGCAGCGAGATGAGCGTCATGTAGAACGCGGCACTGCAGTGGCTGGTCAGCGGGAGTGCGCAGCGATGCGTGCGCGGGCAGCTCACCCCGGCATGACATTGGCGCCCGACGAGACCTGGCGAATCTGGCGCCGGCTGTAGATGTAGAAAGCTGCACGGCGCCGGGTGAGCTCGCTGCGGCCAGCGCGGCCCGAGACACGCACCGATCTGAATCGCGAATGCGATCAGAGTGAGCAGGAAGGCGAGGAAGTGCAGGATGGAGCTGACGAGCTGCAGCGTGAGGTGCGGGAAGAAGGAGAGGGCAAATGCAACGACCGAGACGACAAATGCGACGACAACGACGACGAGGCTGCGCTGCGCTGTCAGACATCTGGCCATGCGCAGCTGTTCGACTGTGTCCCTCACCCGCGCGTCCACGACTGGCCGATCTCGGACGTGCCAAAGGCGGCAGAGTCGAGGTTCGTCGTGGCGTTGAAGCGTGCGCTCCAGGCATTGTCGTTGTCGCTGCAGTAGCCGTAGTTGCCGTCGACGCTGCCGCGGCTGCAGTAGCCCCACATGCCGAACTGCGCAGCGCGGCATCAGCACAAGCCTACGTGCGCGTAGCAGATGACACTACAGTGCGATGGACATGCTATGCTCCGCAGAGGCCTTGCACTGCCCCTCCAGGCATAGCCAGTGCCGCTTGCGTCCTCGCCGCACCACACTGCCCAGGTCTGCAGGCCGAACGCGAGGCAGCGAGGCAGGACCAAGCTGAGCAGCTTACCAGGCGATCGCTCAGCACCTCGTGCATCTGCAGTGCATGCTCCCTCCCTCCCTGCGCTGCCCTCCTCCGTCTTTGGCTGCTGCGCCTGCGACTGCCTCCATCTCCGCCTCTCGTCTCATGCCCCGCGCGCCGAGCATACTCACGCGCAGCGCATCAATCTGGCGGTCGCGGTTGGCGTTGGGCGCGGCGTCGACGATGTTGTTGAGGCCGGTGCCCGAGACGAGGTAGAAGGGCGTCACATTGCCAAACGTCGTCGGCGAGCCGACGCTGCGTGAGGAGCGGCGTGAGCAGGGCAGGGGCGCGAGCGCCACAGCGGCGCCGAGCGCGGCACACGCACGTGGCCAGGAGCAGCAGGGCCGTGGCGATGAAGCTGGCCACGAGGGCGGGCACGCAGAACGTCTTGCGCGACGGCATGGCGGGAGGCAGCTGAGGGTGGTGGTGGAAAGGAGCGTGTGGGTGAGCGAGAAGCGCACGTGAAGGACAGAGGACGGGCCCAGGGGCAGAGGAGCGTGTGGTGGTGCAGCAGCGTGTGACGTCGGCTCGCGGCGCCACGCGGCGCTTGGCGCGCAGGCACGGCAGCAGTGTGCCAAGTTGGCCGCCGCGCCCAACACACGGGTGCGCCGCCGCGCGTGCCGCTGCCTTTGCTCCGCGAGATCTGCTGCAGCGGCGATCCTCGGACTCGACTGGCCCGCTCCGCCCAACGCTCCGCTCGCCGTCGGCACAGGTAGAGTCGCCGTGCCCTCATCACCTACGCGCCCCGAGCCGCAGCTGCATCGACGAGGCATTGCAGGCGATGCAAGTGGCTGCTCCGTGCCTGTTGAGTGGTGCTGCTGCGGCGCGAGGGCAGCTCAGTCTCGCCTGCGGCACACGTCGGAGGGCATCTATGGTCATTAGAGCATCTTGGGGCAGCGTGATATCCGTCTATGAGGCCGGGACATGGTCCGCACGGGCCCAGCCACTTGGGCTGCTGCAGCGGAGCGTCGACGAGCCTTATGCACCCGCGTGGCCGTTCTTCTCGTCGGCCTGGCGGCGGCGCCACGCCTTGACGCCCGTGCGCGCGTCGGGGTCCTTCGACTTGAGACTGTCCTCGGGCAGGATGCCGTCCTGCTCCAGCTCCTCGCGCACCTTGAAGTCCGGGCACGGGGCAAACTTGGAGTGCTTGCGGATGCGGCTGCCGTAGCGATAGAAGAGGAAGGGCGTCGGCGCGAGCAGGATCGCAATGCCGCCGAGGATCGAGCAGGCCACATTGGGGCCGAGGTTCGTGAAGAACTGGCGCGTGAAGAGGGGGAACGCGGCGCCGAACTGTGTAGCTGAGAGCGTCAGCTGCAGGTCAGAGCAATGAAGCACCGCCCTGTACTCACGGCGCTGCGGAAGATGGTGTTGCTCGCCAGCGCCGACGCGGCGTACATCAGGTACGAGTCCGTGATGTAGGTGAGCAGCGTGATGAAGATGAGCGTGAAGCTCATGCCGATGGGCACGAGCGCCACGGCCGGAGCAGCCCAGTGGATGTCGGCGCGGAAGCCCGTCCAGCCGAGCCAGAAGCAGCCGATGGCCAGCAGCCAGCCGGCGATCATGGCGCCCGTGAGGCGCTCCTCCGGCGGCACGGAGCCCTTCCAGATGATCTGCAGCTCGCGGTACTTGCGCGAGAGCAGCACGTTGAGTCCAGCACCGAGCGTCGTGCCGACCAGCACGCCGACGAACGGCAGCGCCGCCAGCCCGAGGCTGAAGCCGTGAATCTCCTGGAAGATGACGGGCAGGCCCTCGAACAGGCCGTACAGCAGGCCGTACACCTAAGACGGAAGAGTCAGCAGGGATCGCACGGCGTCACGCGTGCAGACTCACCACCGAAAGGTAGATTGTGATGAGCAGCAGCATCGGCTCGAGGGCGAGAATCTGGAAGGGACGAAGCAATGTCCGCTTCGCGACACCTCCGACGCTCCAGTCCGTGCGCTCGTGCGGCGCCCATGCCTTCTCGTTGCCCTCCTTGCGGAGCTTCTTGGCCTTCTTGGCCAGCAGCACGGGCGCAAACGTCTCGGGCAGGAAGATGACGACGCCCAGCCAGCAGACGAAGGCGAAGATGAGGATGACCTGGGTATGGAGTATGAGGAGGGAAGAGTTGGCAGCGTGTACGGACGACTCACCCAGAAGATCCACTCGTAGCCGACCTCCTGCGCAACGAACGAGCCCACAATGGGGCCCAGGCAGGGACCGATGAACACTGAGCCCGAGAACAGGCTCTGCAGCGGATCTGTCAGCAGCGCCGAAGCGAGCGAGGCGCACACCACTCACCATGGCATAGCCGCGGTTCAGCGCATCGTGCATGTCCGCGATGACTCCGCCCGCGTTCGTCAGGGGGCTGGCGGCGCAGAGGCCGCTGAGGAAGCGCGTGATGGCAAACGTCTGGATGTTCGTCGCCAGCGGCTGTCCGATGATGAAGCACATGTAGCCGAGGAAGGTGAAGATGAAGACGGGGCGGCGGCCGAAGAGCTCGGAGAAGGTGCTCCACACGATGGGCCTGTGCTCACGGTATCAGCACACGTGGGCAGCCAGCTGTGAGAGGACACGCACCCGAAGCAGTAGCCCAGCAGGAAGCACGTCGTGAGCACAAGAGTCGAGACGACAGTGCCAACTTGGAAGCGCTGCGAGATGAGCATCGTGGCGGATGACGGCGCGGACGAGGCAAAGGTGCTGCGGCAAGACGTGTCAGCATTGGCGTCGCGGCTCGCAGCAGAGCATGCTCACACGTTGACGGTCAAGACCGAGACAAGAATGGTGATGAGCCACTTCTTCCTGCAGCGCGCGTTAGCAGGGATGTTACGCAAGAGCTGTGGCCGCGTCGACGAACCTCGGGCTCCAGTTCTGTGGGTTCAATGGATCGCTGTCGCCCTCCCAGCCAACCTCGTTGGCCTTGTCGGCCTTCTCCGCCTCGTCCTCGTGGTCGTCGTCTGCCTCCGTCTCGAGGCGCCGCTCGGCATCGCGCAGGTCCTTCTGCGATTTGGCGCCCTCGCCATTGTCGTCGGCGGCCGCGACGGTCGAGGCGGCGCTGGAGCGTGCCTCGCCGGGCGAGTCGGCGGGCGTGCTGCCGCCGGGCGCGTTCTCGCTGAGGCCGAGCGGCGTGCCCAGCGGCGTGAAGTAGGCGCTCTTCAGCGAGCTCGGTGTCGGGCGTTGCGACATGGCGAGCGAAGGAGGTGGTGCGGACGAGACGAGCGTCGAGCAGTGGCTGTTGCGTTTCGTTCGCGTTGCGTTCCGAATGCTCAGGCAGCACTGTGCTGCAGCTGCAGGAGCGGCAGCCACGAGCCGCCGGTACGGGGCGCCTGCTTGTCAGCAGGGCAGCAAGCGGCGTCCTGCGCCTGCTGCTGCTGCTGCGCTTGATGGCGCAAAACGGACGCCGAACGAGATCAGGGACGAGCGGCGGCCCTCAGCTCAGCACCTGGCTTTGGTCGCTGAGGCTGCACCTATGCCTGGCGCCTGCGCTGCACGCTGAGATCCGCCCGGCCGTCCCATGACGCGCCCCTGCGCGGGCGAACCAGGCGGCATCGGGCTGCACAGCAGCGGCACACGCGTCAGAGGCGCTCTCGAGGTGGAGGCACGTCGGTGCCGCGGATGCCTGGTGCTGCCGCCGCGTTGCGCTGCCCCTCCGAAGCGGATGCCTCGCAGGCCGCAGCCCAAGCACCGCACTGCGCTGCACGGCCGGTGCAGATCTCCACCACCTCCGTAGCGCCATCTCAGCGTCCTGCACCGGCACGCCGGCGGCTCGTTTTGCGTCTCCGATCGCCGCTGCGCCGAGTCTGCGAGCCCACGCTTTCCGTGCGCCGTGTCGCCGCGCCGGGAGGGTCCCACGCTTGTGCCGAGCTCGTCGGCTTTGGGCGCAGGGTGCAGATGGAGAGCCGCAACGTCCGCGGGGGCCTCTCTCGCTCCTTGTGCCGCCGCGCAGGGGTGCAAGGTGCGGCGGGATGGCGGTGGTGCCGCACCCGCTGAGCGTTTCACGCACACCGCAAGCGCACCTGTCACCTCCTCGGGTGCTGCGGCCGTGGTCTGGGCCTGCACTCTGCGGCTCAGGGGCCACTAATGAGTCGCAGTGTCGCCAAGGCAAGCCCCTGAGGCGCCGCCAACGTGCACGGGGTGCGGCGCGGCGCTGCGTGCGTGCGAGGCGTGAGCTTCATTGAGCGCGGAGCCGCATCTCGGGCTCCATCTGTCACAGAGTGGTGCGCTTGCGGCAGCCGCGGTACCGCAGGGGCGCACTGCTCGGTCTGCGATCGGGGCATTGCATGCGGCGCACCTCGGCACCGGAGCGCCGTAGCCGCAGCGGCATCGCGAGAGGGGGCTGCGGGCGGCACGGATGCGCATCGCAGCGCAGCGGCACGTCACAGCCAAGCCTCGGCGCGGCGTGCCGCTGCTGCCGCTGCTGCGAGGTGCGCGCCGCGGCGTGCCGGCCGCGCCCGGCTGCGTGCCGCCGAGGGGCGCGCTCACCGATCAGGCAGGTCAGCCGACCGGCGCGCACAGCATCAGCTCTAAGGCTGCCTCCGCCATCACGGCGCACCGGCCAGCCGCTCGCTGCTCTCCACCACCACCATCCTCTGCTCTGCACCCGTATTTGCGCCGTCGCCAGCACCGCTCACGCTGCTGCACGCCTCTCGCGCGCTCTCCTACTCTCGCCGCGCCTCGCCACACGCTCGCGCGCCGCTGCCGCACCCTGCTGCTGCTGCGCTCCACCGCGCGCCCGCTCCGCCGCGGCTCGCTCTCACCCCGCCGCGCGCATCGCCGCGCCGCCGGCCATGCCCATCGCGCTGCTGCTGCTCCTCTCGCACGAGGCCGTCGTGTCCATCTCGCGCAAGCTCGAGCGGCGCAGCGCGCGCAAGCGCGGCATCGACTACTCGTCGCTGCCGCGCGACCGCATGGGCCGCGCGCGCGACCCGGCGACGCGCCGCCGCCTCTCGCGCAACGAGGAGCGCGCCTTCACCGAGTGGCTCGCCCAGGTCGAGACGCTCAAGACGCGCGAGCGCGAGTGGCGCCAGCGCGGCGCCCAGCTGCCGCGCTACGGCGAGCAGGAGCTCGACGGCCTGCCGCCCATGCTCGAGGGCAGCCCCGTGTACGAGGCCGGCGCGGGCGGCGCGCTCATTGTGCGCTCGCGCTCGACGCTCGCGGCATAGCTGTGAGTGTGTGTGTGCTGGTGAGTTGCACGGCCAGGCCGCAGGGTGTGTGGAGGTGTGTGCGCCCCGGATCAGCTCTCTCTGACCCGCCTTGCCCTTGTCCCCGCAGCCGCAAAAAGTGCTCCCGTGAATGGCTCCGCTGCGGCCGCGCGGCTGTCATGCGTGGCACCGCTACGCGTGCCTCGCACCCGAGTCCGATCCGTCCAACGTCGCCGTGCCTCTTCTCTCTGTCCATATCTGCGCATTCATCGACCCTCAGTCACCACTCATCATGTCACGCTCTCTGCTCCGCTCATCGTCCGCTCGTCTGCCTGCCGCTTGCCCGTCCGCCCGGCGCGTTGCGGCTGCGGCGGCCCCGTCCTGTATCTCTGTCCCCTCCCCGCCCGCTGCGGCCTGTCAAATGCTTGATGCGTTCGTCTCATGCTCTTGATCGTCTGCGCTCGGCAGGTTTACGCGCGGCACATACATGCCGCGCATCGGCCGATGGCACGGCCGTGCCCGGACACCACGTCTCGTGGCTTGGCAAGTTGCGACTGGAGCGCCTGCCCACACTGACCGGAGCTCAGCTGCCAGTCCCTCGGGTCCACGAATGGCAGGTGTCGCGATCACCGCGGCTTGCTTCCGCTCTCAGGCCTCGCACTCGGCATCAGATTCTGCCGGCCGGCTCGGCAGCGCACCTCGCTTCTTTCGTTCCTTCTCGGCATCGGCAGGCGCACGCCGACGCCTGTGCGATGCCGACGAGTGCGCGAGCCGTGCGAGTGCCGGCCGACGGCAGCCGTACCTTGCCCTCTCCTGGCGCTCCCGACGCCGCGTGGCTGCAGCTGCTGCCGCGCGGGAAGCACCTCGGCGTACCGGCCGCACTCTGCCCGAGGCAGTGGGCCTTTGTGGTGCGGCGTTGCACCCTGACTGCAGCGGTGCGGGCAGCGGCTGCGGTGCGGCCGAGGATCTGCGCCTCATCGTTGCGGCGCTCTGGGTGCTGGCGGCCGCGGCTGCGAGGGTCTCGACTCCGCCTCCCGCGCCCGAGCCGGAGCGCCACAACACGCACACTGCCGCCACGCTCGTCGCCGGCACGGGAGCGGCCGCACGCATTTCCGCATGCGCCTGGACCCTCGCCTCGAGCTGGCGCATCTGTCGCACAGTCGCCGAGCCGCGCACCGCTGCGCCGCTGCGTAGCCGCACGCACGCATGGCACTTGGCCTGCGCGAGACTAGAAGGAGCCAACATCGAGCTGAGACGCTCCTTGCGGCGAGTGCGAGACGGCTGCGCTGCGGCGTCGTCGGCGTGCACGCCGTCGCCCGCACTGCGCCTGCATCCAGCTTTGCTGTTTGCGCATGCGGCGGAGTCCTCGCCCACCTAGCCTCAGCTCGGCACACTTCGCGGCAGCGTGCAGCACGACCTCAGCCAGCATCCAGCCGCTCAGCCGTCTGGCAGGTATCCTGCTGCGACGCTCCTGCGGCCGCGCTCTGACGGCTGGTGCTGTCTCGGAGGCTGGCGATGTGCGAGCGTGCGCTCGGGACGCCGAGCATGCCAATGTGGCTTTTCCCATCCCGCTCCCGGTTGCGCTCGTCTTTCAGGGCCCGCTCTCGGCAGAAAGGTTGCCGCTGCTGCCCGTGCGGCCGCCAGCCGCTGTCCAACATCGTGCCATGGCCGCCGAGCGCCCATAAAGAGGATGCCTGCGCCGGACGGTCCTCGGATGCCCTCCAGCATTCACTACCCTCTCCTTATCCTCTCCGGCGATGCAGCTCCTCGCCTCCGTCTCCCTGGCGCTTGCGGCCCTCGCGGCCGGCGCCAGTGCGCTGCCGCACCCGTCGTTCGACAACAGCACCGTCGGCCTGGAGCGCCGCGGCGTCTCGGGCTACGGCACGGCGCGCAAGGTGCGCGGTGTGAACCTCGGCGGCTGGTGAGTCCGACCCCACCCGCAGCGCAGCCGGGCCTTTCTGACCGTGCGATGCAGGTTCGTGCTCGAGGCCTGGATGACGCCGAGCCTCTTCACGCCGGACCTCGTGGCCAAGGGCGCCATCGACCAGTTCACGTACATGCAGGCGTGGGGCGACAACGCCAAGGCGCAGGCCGCGCTCGAGCAGCACTGGGCCAGCTGGATCACGGCTGCCGACTTTGCGCAGATCAAGGCCGCCGGCCTGAACACGGTGCGCATCCCCATCAACCACTGGATGTTCGGCGTCGCACCCAACACGCAGGGCGCCAGCTCCGAGCCGTACCTCACCAACGGCGCCGAGCTGCCGTACGTCGACCAGGCACTGCTCTGGGCGCAGCAGTACGGCCTCGAGGTGCAGCTCGACATGCACACGGCGCCCAACAGCCAGAACGGCTTCGACAACTCGGGCCGCCAGGGCCCGATCAACTTTGCCGCCGTCACGCCTGACGACAACATTGCTCGGCTTGAGTACGCCCTCGTGCAGGCCGTCAAGCGCTACGTCGTCGACAGCAAGTTCGGCGGCGTCGTGACGTCCGTCGAGGCGCTCAACGAGCCGGCCATGTGGTGGACGCCGACGATGACCAAGGACTTCATGGTCAACGTGCACAAGCGCGTCTACAACTCGATGCAGGCGGCCATGTCGAGCGTCGCCACGAAGCCCAAGATTGTCTTCCACGACGGCTTCATCCAGCCGCTGACGAGCAACTGGGACAACGTGTACACGGACCTGCCGGCCGGCACGTACGCCATGGACATCCACCGCTACCAGGCCTGGGCGCCGCAGAACACCTACTCCTTCGACCAGCACATCTCCTACACGTGCGGCATGGCCAGCGAGCTTGCCACGTCGGGCGCCAAGCGCCCCGTCGTGATGGGCGAGTGGAGCCTGGCCATCGGCTGCACCAACTGCTCGTACGCGACCATGGCCGACAACATCAACAGCCAGAACAACGCCACGCAGAACCGCTTCATGCGCCGCTTCTACGAGGCCCAGGTCGCGACCTAGTGAGTTGCCCTCCCCCCTGCCCCCTCCCCCCTCCCGCTGCACAGCGCTGACGTCCCCGGGCAGCGAACGGGCGAACGGGTGGATTTTCTGGAACTGGAAGACGGCGTCGCGGGGCGACTGGAGCTTCAAGGACGCGATGGCGCAGGGCTGGATCCCGTCGAACGTCGCCGACCGCGTCTTCGCGACCGACTCGAACGGCTGCCCGACGAACACGCTCGCATCGGGCAAGACGCTCACCTTTGCCACCGAGAGCACGCCGACGGCGGCGCCCGTGACGACGACGTCGACGACGACGACGTCGGCGGCGCCGGTGCAGACGCCCGTCGTCGTGCCCGTCACGGCGCCCAACAGCGCGTACCGCATCTCGTGGCAGATCGACGGCAAGCGCTCGTCGTACGGCAGCAGCACGGGCTACATCCGGCGCGACACCGTCGGCAGCGTCTGGCTCGGCCAGTCGCAGGCCAAGACGTGCGCCAACAACTGCGAGGCGACCAAGGGCTGCGCCATGGCCGAGCTCATCCGCTTCGACGGCGGCAAGGAGGGCCAGGCCGTGTGCGCGCTGTACAAGACGTACCAGCAGAAGTCGACCGTCACCTACACCGCCGGCCCGACCTCGTCGGGCGGCCGCGTCGTCACGAGCTACGCCATCCGCCGCAACGCCGGCCCTGTGAAGCGCAAGCGCGACGAGGAGGCCGTCGAGGCCGAGGCCGACGTGTCGCCGCGCGGCATCGAGGAGCTCTTCCCGCTCATCCGCGCCACGGGCAAGCGCATCAACACCAACGCCTTCCCGGTGATCAAGAAGACGACCTTCAACTTCGGCCCCGTCAGCCACTGAGCGCCGCTCCATCGCTGCGCCCCTGCTGCGCCCTGCACACCATCTTTTCTTGTGGATCCTCCTGTCACCGACCGGGTAGAGGGCACTGCGCCCACGCTCTTGCTTGTTTGCAATGCATATGTGCATATTTCCGTCTGCGAGGCGTTGCGATGGTGCGGAGCCAGGCTGGAGAAGGGAGAGGATGGTGTGAGGCGGCGGCGGCGCGCGCGTCACGTGCTCGCCCCTGGCGCCGTCTGATGGCGCGACCGAGGCGGTCCTCGCACGCACCTTCGCGGTTACCGCCATCACCGCGCCATCACGCCTTCTCACGCCCCGCCGCTGCTCCTGAAGTCCTGAGGCGCTGATTGCCGAACGGCGGGTGCCGAGCGCCGTGCGAACTTGCGCCGCACGATGAGGGCTGTGGCTATGACGGCGGCTGCTGGCGTGCCGGCGGCTGCGCTGCGATGATGTCGGGCGACCACAAGGCGGCCAAGCCGGTACCTCGCGGGTCCCCACGCCGTGTGCGGCTGATCCTACCTATATCTACGCCCGCGAGATCAGCGTGTCGCCTCTCAGCATCAGCTTCCCCTTCAGCAGCATCTTGGCTCATCACCACCTCTGCTTCACACCACTGCAGCCCAGTCATCGTCTACCAACGCCATGCGCAAAACCGCGACACCCGCCGCCGATCCTGCGGCCGAGGCGCCGAAGAAGGCCTCGCGCCCGCTGCGCCGCAAGACGAGCCACTCGGTCATCGAGCGGCGCCGGCGCGAGAAGATCAACGAGCGCCTCATTCGTCTGCAAGAGACGGTGCCGGCGTGCCGCGCCGAGGCAACTGAGCTGCTCGAGGGCAAGCTGCAGGCCGTCAAGGGCAAGAAGCGCCTCGCCGACGACGAGCGCAGCCGCGAGGTGGAGCGCAGGATCCAGGAGGAGATGGTGCTCGAGAAGCTGGTGAGTGGCTCGCGCTGCGGCTGCGATGCTGTCCGCTCATGCTGCTTCGCCTCAGTGCATCATCAGCCACACCGTCGACCACATGATGGAGCTCAAGGCGCAGATCGCCGCCTACCGCCGGCTCTGCGGAGAGCTGCCTTCCGTCGAGCAGCCCTCGCCGCCGCCGGCGCACGCACACGCACACTTCGCACACGGCGACGTCTCGCCATCATCGGCCAGCACCTCGCTTTCGCAAGAGGCGCTTCAGGAGAGCGGCGCACCAGCCGCTGCACCGGCACGACGGAAGCGCCACTGGGGCTCCAACCGCATCCCGCGCTGCGAGCCGTCGAAGAAAGCCGCACGGCAATGCGAGGCGGACCAGCCATGCTTGCACAATCATACGGAGTCGGACGACGAGGAGCAGCACAGCGACAGCGGCGAGTCGGCGGCGTCATCAGCGTCCGAGCTCGCCTTCGATGCGCCCTCGCTGCCCGTCGAGTCGCTCTACCACTCCGCTCCATCGCGCAAGCGCCGCGCCACCGACGCCGGCTTCACGCCGGGTCTCGAGGGCCCCGGCGAGGCATCGCTGCACGCCTGCGGCCATCTGCACACGCCGGGCGGCCCGCCGCCTGGCCTCGGCTGGCCCGGCGCCGCCCATCATCCCGGCCACGGCAGCACGGCGCGCGCTCTGCCTCACCTGTGGGGCCTGCCGACGCCACGGCGCTCGCTCGCAGCACTGCCTTCGCTCTCGTCGAGCTGGCGAGGCGCAGGCGGCGAGCCGGACCAGCACCGTCTTGCCAGCCTGCGTCTGCCGCCACTGCGACATCTCGGCGGGTGCGGCGGCGGCCCGGCCGTGGTGCTGCGGCCACGCAGCCTCTCGCCGCTGCAATCTCCAGCAGCGTACGACGAGCCGGCGCGCAAGCGATCGACGGATGGCAGTGGCGATGGCGCGCTGGCGGTGCTGGCCGCCGTGAGCGAGAGCGCCGGGCGGTAGGGTGTTGCGTTCCTGAGCCGCCCCCTGACGATATCAGCTGTGTCCCCAATACCATGTTCCTGAGCACGTGAGCGCATGAGCGTGCCCCTGTGGCGGCGGCGTCGTGTGACAAATGGGCAGCCAGCAGGTACATGGCGGGCCGGAGCGGCGACCGCGGCCGCTCGGCCGGCGAGGTCGACGAGCGAGAATGCCGGCTGTCCTGCGATGTGCACGCGCAGCGACGCTGCTGCACCTCTGGCGCCTGCGGACCCGCTTACTCGGCGCTTGGCCGTCCGCGTGAGGCTGCGCAGGTGCGAGAGAGTTGGCCGGTGTGCGGCGCCGCCGGCGTTGCGGAAGGTTGCGGGGCGGCCGCAGCAGCCAAAGATAGGCCCGTGCGGATGCAGGCTGCCAGGAGTGCGGGCGGAAGCACAAAGGGAGCCAGCATCGCAGCGAGCGCGAAGGTGCGCCTTCGGATGGCGGCTCGGCCGCCGGGCCGGCTAGCGCGCGCACGCGGTGGCCCTGAGGCCATTTCGCCTCGGGCTGCGCGCTGCGTCGAGGTGCAGCGGCGAGCGAGGTGCGGTCTGCGAGGTCAGCTGCGGTTTGGAATTGGTCTTCCTTGGGCTGCATCGCTCACGCTGCGCTGCCGCTGCTCGGGCTTCTCGATGCACGAGCTGTTCTACGGCCGCACGCTAGCGCGCATTGCGCGCCTTGGCGCGCTCCGGGCCTACGTAGATGGTGCGGCAGCACCGAGCAAGTGCCGCCTCTTGGGCCTCCCTTTGTCTCGCTCTTCCTCCGCCGGCGGCTGCGTTGGACCCGCGTGCTTGCTTGCGCCCGCGGGATGCAGGCGGCGGCCCTGAGGCTGCAGCCATGGCTATCTCGGCCAGACCCCCTGAGGCACACGAGCACAGCAACGGCGCCTCGGCGCTGCCTCCGAGCAGGGCCCCGCATGATAGGCGGCCCAGGTGGCCGGCGGCGCGTGGGCAGCCATCGGCGCGCCGACACTCGACTCCGCCATCGCGCCAGCTGCGGCGCTCCTTCGGGCAGGCCGGCGCTCTGGCGGCGACGTCCTGCAGCGCTACGCCTGCAGCACCTGCCTATCGCGGGCGGGCCCGTCGAGCGCTCATAAGCAGCGCGGGGCTGCGCAGTCGCGAGTGGAGCTCCCCACCTCTCCCCACCCCCACTCCCAGCCGCCCGCGATGCAGATCCTTTCGCTCCTCTCGCTGCTGCTCCTCGTCGGGCCCTTTGTGCTGGCGCAGGACGACGGCGCCCGCATGGGCGGCAAGATGGCCATGCTGCGCCAGAAGAAGGTCGGCGACCGCGAGCGCTGCCGCGCCTCGGGCCGCTGCGGCAAGAAGATGAACAGCCGCGTCGGCGCCCGCTGCGTCAACGGCATGGCCGGCGAGTACCCGTGCTCGGTGAGTCGGCAGCGAAGAGGAGCTGGCCGCAGTGGTACTGACTGCGCCATGCAGGGCATCGACCTCGGCTCGATGGTCTCGCACGCGGACCTCGGCAGCACGAGCGGCGGCGAGGCGAACCCGCTCACCGTCGGCGAGGGCTCCGACGTCTGGGGCTGGGTCTCGCCCAGCGGCCGCGAGTTCGCGTGAGTGGCGACGGCGTGTGTAGCCCCATCGCTGCATCGCTGACCCTCTGCACAGCTGCGTGACGCAGACCGACGGCTCGGCCTTCGTCGAGGTGCTGCCCAGCGGCGAGCAGCGCTTCCTCGGCCGCCTGCCCACCAACACGGTGCCCTCGCTCTGGCGCGACGCCAAGAACGTCGGCCCGTACATGTTCATCGGCTCCGAGGCGCGCAACCACGGTGTACGTTGCATGTCGCGCGCTACTCACCATCGTGCCGTGCTCACACATCCCTCCACAGGTGCAAGTGTTCGACATGCGCAAGCTGGAGGCCTTCGGCCCGCGCTCGCGCCCCGCCATCTTCACCGCCGATGCCGTCTTCACCGGCGTCGGCTCGTCGCACAACATTGTCAACATGGCCGACAGCAACTACCTCATGGTCGTCGGCCAGAAGGAGTGCTCCGGCTCGCCGTACATTGTCGACATCCGCGACCCGCTGAACCCCAAGAAGGTCGGCTGCCAGAGCAACCTCGACGGCTACTCGCACGACGCCCAGGTGATCCGCTACAGCGGCCCTGACTCGCGCTACACGGGCCGCGAGATTGTCATTTCGTACAACGAGGACACGCTCACCATCTACGACGCCACCGTCAAGGACAACCTGCGCGTCGTGAGCCGCACGGGCTACGAGGGCGCCCAGTACACGCACCAGGGCTGGCTCGTCGACGGCGCGCAGACGCACATCCTCATGAACGACGAGCTCGACGAGATTGAGGGCACGACGCCCGAGGGCGGCCGCACCGCGACGCTCGTGTGGAACATCAGCGACCTCGAGAAGCCGGTGCAGGAGGGCATCTTCTCCTCGCCCGCCACGTCCATCGGCCACAACGCCTACCCCAAGGACGGCTACAGCTATGCGTCGAACTACTGCTCCGGCCTGCGCGTCACCGACACGCGCCAGGTCAACTCGGGCGGCGGCGCGGCGTCGATGAAGGAGGTGGCCTTCTTCGACGTGCGCCCCGAGGACGACTCGGTCGAGTTCTTCGGCGCCTGGAGCCACTTCATCTTCCCCTCCGGCTGGATCGCCGTCAACTCGATCGAGCGCGGCTCGTTCATCGTGCGCGTGCAGCCCGGCGTGCTCGCGAGCGGCGGCAAGAAGGGCGGCCCCAAGGGCCCCAAGGGCCCCAAATGAGCGGGACCGGACACGCATTGCTCCATGTAATCACATGATTTGGACATCACACCTCACAGACCGACGCCGTGGCACACCGAGACGCCGCCGTAGAGCCCGCCCATGATGAGCGTGCCCTCGCTCGCGTTGTCCTCGCGCGCCCAGTCCGAGCCAGCGCTGCTGGGCGTGCCGGGTGCCTGACCGCGCTGGCTCTGGTAGAGCGTGCGCACAGTGACGGCCTCGTTCGCCTTCAGGGCACGGTCTTGAGCAGGGAGCGGCGCAGTGTCAGGTGCCAGCTGAGCACCAGCAGACTTGGGCAGCGCATCAACGATCCAGCTGCCGGCCGGCTCAGCACCGCGCGGATTGCGTGCGAAGCGGATGAGGCGCAGGCCACTCGGATGGCCTGTGATGAGCAGCCGCGCGCCGTCGAAGAGCGAGTCGGCAGGCTGATCTGGCTCAGGCGCCGAGAACGCGATGTTGTCGCAGCCGTGAGGCACGTGGATCTCGCCGGCAAGCTGCAGCGGCTGGGACCAGTCAGGCTTGCCTGCAGCGGTTCCGGCTGGACGGAAGAGCTTGACGGCGGGCGTCATGGTGCTTGCAACAGCGAGCATGCTGCCTCGCGGCGTGAGGCTGATGCCGTTGGCGAAAGGAATGCGCGAGGCCACGACGGAGGCCTGCGGCTCCACCGTAGGCTCCTCAACGAAGGAGACGTGCGATACCCAGCCGAGCGGCAGTCCGAGCACCGTCTCGAGGCGCGGCAGAATGTGGCGCGCCGGCGAGCTGAGCAGCCAAGCCAGCGGCTCGGCCAGAGGTCCAAGTCGAGGTGCTAGCAGCGCGACGAACTGCTCCAGGGGCGGCGGCCGCAGCACGAACATGTGGTCCTGCGACACGAGCAGCTCGTTGCGGCCAAGCGCGGCCAGGCCGTTGGGCGAGTGCGTCGCGACAGGTGATCGCAGCGAGCGGACGTGCGCAGCTCGCCACTCCTCGTCGACTAGACTCATGTCAAAGACCTCGATCGCAGATGACTCCTCAGCGTGATTGACTGAAGGAGTCGGTCAGCAGGGCGCAGGGAGGCCTGCATCTAGGGCACGTACCGACGAACAGCCGGCCAGGATGAGCACCGCTTGCTGGTACGTATGCGGTGCCAAGCGGATGAAAGGTAGCGTTCTCGGGAAAGCCATGCAGCGGCAGCAGCTTCGGCTGCGTCTGCGAGCCAAGCTTCGTGGTCCACAGGCCGCCGCGAGAAGCAGGACTGTGAAGTGACACGGTCAGCATGCGCCAGTCGGGCGGCTCCCTCAGCATGGCTCACTCCTTGAGCGGCCCCATGACGGTGTTCCACTCGCCGCGGCCCGGATCGCAGCTGAGTAGTGCCCAGCCCGGCGAGCCGTGCAGCAGCTCGACGTCCTCGCAGAACTCGGTGCGCTGCTGGCCGTCGCGCGCGCGGGCGTCGGCGGCGACAGCGAAGAGCTGCTGGCACTGCGGCTGCTCGCCGAGAGTGGCAGGGCGCACCCAGTGGTCCGGCAGCTTGGGCGCAATGAGCTGCAGCTGCAGCCAGTCGGCATGCTGGCTGACCTGCAGGCCCAGCACGGCGACGACGGCGAGCAGCACGGGCACGAGCAGGCTGCCGCGCGCCCCGGCGGCAGCTGCGGCAGCAGGCGCCGGCTGCGGTGGGCGTGCCATTGTCTCTGGGATCTGTGCTTGTGCTTGAGGCGCGGCACCCGGTCGTGGTGGTGTGACAGCAAGCGCAGCCGCACTGGCACCACCTCATCAGCTTCCGTGGGTCGCGCTGCACCGAGCAGCATCGCTCCGCGCGCGGCGGCTCAGGCTGGCGGCGCTCCTAGCTGCCTGCTCCCACGCTCGGCCGCGCTTTCAGGCGGCCCGATAGCCGTGCCCGCTTCGCAGAGACCCGTCCGCACGATACGCCTGATGCCTGCAGGGCGATGAGCCTGTGTCGCAGCGACACTGCTGCCGCAGCAGCACTCGCAGACCCAACGTCGTCGCTGTGTCGCAGCCGGCGCACCAGCCAGTGCGAGCCGGGCGCACCGGCTCGGGGCGCCGCGCGGCCCGTGGGCGCGGCGCGTGAACGGCGCGCGGCGCGGGGAGAGGAGGGAGCTGCCTCGCCTCGCCGCTGCTGCTGCTGCCGTGCCGCCGAGCCGCAAGCGCCGCGCCAGCAGCTTACACCCTGGAGCGTCTCGCTTGGCTGGCCGCGGCACGGCGTCTCTCCACTCCCTCACCTCGTCGCCCTCGTCGCCTGCGCTCAACTGTGCCGCGCAGCGCCCTCGTCCAGCCTCGCCCGTTCCGTGCGCCTCGTCTACGCACGCCCACGCCGTCGGCGCCTCGCCGCTGCCCAGGCGAGCCTGCTCGCGCCCACCGCGCTCGCGCAGCACCGCTCCCGACCTCGCAGCCCAGCATGGCCGTCGTCTCGCGCCTGCGTCCGCGCATCGACGCCGCCAAGGCAGAGGCGCTGAGCCTCGCCGTGCGCGGCGGCGTCGCCTACCGTCAGAACCACGTCGTGATCCAGCGCCTGCTGCGCTTCGCCTACGGCGCATACATCGTGCTCGGCACGTACAAGAGCCTCACGCCCAAGCCCAAGAAGAAGAAGGCGCCCGACGCCGCCGTCGGTGCCGCGTCGTCGGAGCGCGAGAAGGCGGCGCTGGCGGCTGCGCCGCCGCCGGAGGAGGAGGCAGCTGTGGGCGGCCGCGGCAAGAAGAAGGGCAAGGGCCGCGCACCTCGCGTTGAGGTTGATGCCGTCTTCTTTGCCCGCCTGCGCAAGGTGAGTGGCTCTTGGCATGGCGGCGCCCACGCAGGGGCTCACGTCGAGGTCTACAGCTGCTGCACATTGTGATCCCGTCGCTGCGCTCGCGCGAGTCTGCGCTGCTCGTGGGCCACACGGTGTTCCTAGTGCTGCGCACGATGCTCTCGCTCTACGTCGCCGACCTCGACGGCCGCATCGTGTCTGCGCTCGTGCGCGGCCAGGTGCGGCAATTTGCCATGGGCATCCTCTGGTGGATGGCTGTCGCCGTGCCGGCCACGTACACAAACGCCATGATCGAGTTCCTGCAGTCCAAGATCGCGCTCTCGTATCGCGCGCGGCTAACGGAGAAGGTGCACGACATGTACCTCAGCGACACGACGTACTACAAGCTCGGCAACCTCGATGTGGGTGCAGCGCAGTCGCAGTGGAGCCAAGTCGCTCACGTTTAGCCTCACAGGACCGGATCCGTAACGCAGACCAGCTGATTGCAGTCGACGTGGCCAAGTTCTCGAACTCGCTGGCAGAATGCTACAGCAACGTGTCCAGTGCGTGGGAGTACTGCGTCTCATTGCCAGGCCCAGCTCACACCTGCCCTCAGAGCCGATTCTGGACGTGCTGATCTACAACTACCAGCTCTCGCGCAACGTCGGCGCCGAGGGTCTGATCCTGATCAACCTGCTGGTGCAGGGCAGTGCCGCCCTCCTGCGCGCCCTCACGCCGCCTTTCGGCCAGTACGCGGCCGAGGCACAGCGGCTTGAGGGCGAGTTCCGCTGGAGCCACTCGCGGCTCATTGAGAACTCGGAGGAGATTGCCTTCTACCGCGGCCAAATCACGGAGAAGAGCTCCATCGAGCGCGCCTACTTCAGCCTGATCAAGCACGTCAACCGTGTATACCGCATCCGCATTGGCCACGGCATGATCGAGGAGGGCATCATCAAGTGGCTCTGGGGCAGCCTGGGCGTGAGTGGAGATTCGACCGCCAAGCTCGAGCGGTGCGCTGACTCTCCGCGCAGCTGGTCATCTGCGCCATTCCCGTCTTCGCCAAGATCCCCGGCGTCAAGGTCGGCGACATGGGCTCGCGGACAGAGGCCTTCGTCACGAATCGCCGCCTGCTGCTCTCGAGCAGCGACGCCTTCGGGCGCGTCATGTACTCGTACAAGGAGATCGCCGAGCTGGCTGGCTACACGGCGCGCGTGTCGGGCCTACTCGACTCGATGGAGGAGGTCAAGGCGGGCCGCTTCCAGAAGAAGCTCGTCTCGTCGGCCAGCGACCCGGAGAACGCGGCACTGCTGAAGAGCCGCGGCACCATCGTCGAGTCTGCCGACATCATCTTCGAGAACGTGCCGATCGTGACACCGGCCGGCGAGGTGCTGATCAAGAGCATGAGCTTCCACGTCAAGCCGGGCATGCCCACGCTCATTCTCGGCCCGAACGGTGAGTGTCGGCGCGTGGGGCCGGGAGACGCTGCATTGCTGACACTTTCCTGCCTCAGGCTGCGGCAAGAGCTCCCTCTTCCGTCTGCTCGGCGAGCTCTGGCCCTGCCTCGGCGGCACCATCCACAAGCCGAAGCCGTCCGAGATCTTCTACGTGCCGCAGCGGCCGTACACAAGTCTCGGCTCGCTCCGCGACCAGCTCATCTACCCGATCACCGGTGAGTGCTGGCCTTGCTTGCGGCGGCACTACGCACGGCGCTGACGACGGCCCTAGCCTCGGAGATGCGCGCTCGCGGAGACACCGATGAGGACCTGCTGGAGCTGCTGCGCATTGTCGAGCTTGCCGACATTGTGACGCGCTTCGACAAGGGCTTTGACGCGCAGACGGACTGGAACTCGTCGCTCAGTGAGGCTCTCGCCGATGTTCACCACCGCCTTGCCGCTGATGTCCTTGCTCTGCAGGTGGCGGCGACAAGCAGCGGCTCGCGCTGGCACGGCTCTACTACCACCGGCCGCGCTTCGCCGTGCTTGACGAGTGCACGTCGAACATGAGTCTCGAGCTCGAGGAGAAGCTGTACAGCCACGCGGCCGCCATCGGCACCACCGTCTTCTCCGTGTCGCACCGCTCGTCGGTGAGTGTGCGCCGTCGTGGGCTCGGCATGCTCGTCGCTGACCCGGCCGCCCGCAGCTGTGGCGCTACCACACGCACTGCCTTGCCTTCACGGGCGAGGGCTCGTACACCTTCGGGCCGCTCGATGCGCCCAAGCGTCTGGCCCTGCAGACGGAGCGCGAGGTGCGTGATGGTCGCCACCCAATGAGGCATGTCGCGGCTGACGTCTCCCACCGACAGACGCTGGAGCACAAGCTGCTTGCCGTGCCGAAGATGCGAGCCCGCCTGTGCGTTGACAGCTCTGTGCGCACCATGCAGCCGCCCGACTGACGCCCGCCCGTCCCGCAGCGAGAGCCTGAAGCAGGCGCAAAAGGAGCGCATCTCGCGGCCCTCGTCGCCGGTGCGCCGCCGTGCGTGAGCGGCAGCCGAGTAGAGTACGTCTATAGCGACACCCCACCCTAATACATCGCCTGCATCGCACACGCAGCGGAAGCGGCGTGCGGCGGGTGTGAAAGGGCCGGACTGCCAGGCCTGTCAGCCAAGAGGCGCGCTTGGCGCAAGATCGGCGCCGACGCTGCGCCTTGCTCGCTTCCCCGCACTCGACTTGACGCCGTGCCGAGTTTGGCGCGACACAGGCGAGCTGCCGCGTGAGCTGCGGTTGCGCCGCGTTGCCGTGTGACGTCTTTCGCGAGCCACGCAGCGGAAGGCGCAGCAGCACGCCGAGGGCGCTCCGAAGCCTCGGCGCCATCACAGAGTGCAGAATAGAGCGCAAATCAGGCACACAGGAGCGGCTCATGAATTGCAGAGTTGCAGAGGAGGTGCGGCGGAGGGGCGTCAGCGGCCGGAGGGGCGAGAGAGGCAGGCGCGCCGCGTGCGCGTCCGTGCGGCGCGGCGCCAGGCACACGCGCTGCTGCTCCACTCTCTCTCGACTCCGCCCTCGCTGGCGGCTCGAGCTCCGGTTCTCCGCATCGCTGCTGCGCCCGGCACCTTGATCCTCCTGCACACCACCCTCATACCCCGCACCGCACCCGCATCCCACCACACGCCAGCATGTCCGCACAGAACAAGCGTCCCGCCAACCTGGCGCCGCTGTCCAAGGAGGCCTTTGGCAATGCGCCGCAGGGCAACCACAGCGGCGGCCACAGCCTCACGCGCCCCAGCGAGGTGACGCTCGTCGTCGGCGGCAGTGCCGGCGTGCTCGCCATCGACGCCCTCACGCAGCGCATCAAGAGCGACGGCCACTTCAGCTCGCCCGCTGGCGACGGCGGCAAGACGCAGCTGCACGCCATCGTGTACGAGCGCAACGCAAACGAGACCGTCGAGAGCGTCGAGAGCATCCGCGCCACGCTCACCGCCACCGACAACACGCCCATCACCGTCGTGCACCCGCTCGTCGCCGGCTCGGGCGGTGCGCCGCCGACGCTGCCCGAGCGCAGTGCGCCGCACCACATGCAGCTGGCCTTCGCCGTGCCGACGCTGACGAGCGCCGACGCGCTGCGCTCGAATCTGGATGCGTGGCTCAAGTTCCTCGCCACGGCCGGCGAGCGCAACTACACGCTCGAGCTGGCACTGCCGCAGGGTGGCCAGGGCAGCGAGGCAGAGAAGCTGCGCGAGGTCGTCGAGAAGCTGCTCGGCAAGGCTTGGGACGCCAGCAACGAGCAGGCCAAGCAGGACGGCTCAGACGTGCTCACCAACGGCGCACGCATCCTCATCGGTGAGTGAGAGGTGTGCGCGAGGTCCGCGCCGTGCAGCCAGCTCACATCGCATCCCCAGACGCCTTTGGCGCACCGCCAGCGGACCTCAGCGACAGCGAGGAGATCTCGAACTGGAACAGCTTCATCCGGGTGAGTTCTGCGCTGAGACTGACGCTGCGCGGCTACTGACGGCTGTGCTTGCTCCAGCGCCTCGCCCTCCACCCGCGCGTGTTCCTCAAGCTCTCGCCCATTGCCCCCTCCTCGCTGCTGCCCTCTGCCGCGACGCGCCCCGTCGACTCGCACGTGCCAGCCAGCGGCGCCGCCTCGGCGGCACTGCACGCCGTCAAGGAGACGGCCGGCGCCGCCGTCTCGGCGGCCGCGGGCCTGCTGAGCAAGGAGGAGGACCTGAGCCGCCGTCTGCGCGGCCTGCTGGAGAGCGCCGTCGAGGCGTTCGGCGAGGAGCGCCTCGTCTGGGCCGGCCACCTGTCGGCCGTCGGCGCCAAGCCCGACAAAGAGGGTCGCAGCGAGCCCGAGGCATGGTACGAGAAGGTGCGCGAGGGCCTGGCCGACAGTGAGTGACGCAGAGCACGCGGCGCCGTGTGCTGCGGGATGTCGCTGACCACCTGCACCGTAGTGGGCCTGGACCAGGGCGCGCTCAACAAGATCTTTGCGCGCAACGCCTCGCAGTGCTACCTCTTCTGATGCCTCTTTTAGATGCGTGTCAATGCTAGCTCGATTGTCTGTGGGAGGTGCGTGAAAGTACAATGAGGCAGCGGCCGGGCTGCAGAGGAGAAAGGGAACAGAAGCGCGGCGCTCAAGCAAAGACGGCAAGCGCAGCAGCCACCGAGGCGCCGACGAGGGCCAGGCGCGGCACGAGCAGGTCGGCGGCGCCGCCCGACGAGCCGAACGTCGTGAAGGGGTCGATCTTGGTGCCCGAGTCGTCGGTCGCCGTGCCGGTGGTGCCGGTGGAGGTGATGCCCTGTCCATTAGCACTGCAAGGCGCAGGGGTCAGCAAGGCGGGCGTGTGCTGCGGGCAGAGCTGCGACTCACCCAATCGAGCGCGTCTCGTCGGTGAAGCCCGAGTTGAGGCACTTGCCGGCGATGGGGTCCCAGAAGGGCGTGTCGCAGCTCGCGTTGATGCGCGTGCGGATAGAGCCGGTGGCGTTGTTCTGCGGCGGGCTCGGCTGGTCGACGGTGGGCTGCGTCGTGGGGCAGCCGTAGCACGTGTAGAAGGGCGAGTTGTTGAGCGAGTCGCCGGGCGTGTCGCTGATGCAGTGCTGCAGCACCGTGTTCTGCTTGTCGGGCATGCCGTTGCAGATGACGGCCTCCTGCACGTCGGGCGTCTGGCACTTGAACTCGTCGAGCGTGTTGAGCTGCGAGGCGGGCACCGGGTTGCGCATCCACGCCAGCAGCTGCGTGTTGGTGACCATCCACACGTTGCTCATGCTCGAGTTGGAGTGCGCAAAGTCGAGGAAGCGGTTGAGCATGTTGACCGTCTGCGTCGGGTCGCCGAGGCCCGGGTAGCCCGTGGCAATGTGGATCGGGTGCGAGTACATGCCGAACGGCTGCTTGTTGTTGTTGTAGTGGTCGAGGAACGTGTTCTGCATCCAGCCGAGCACCTTGTCCGGGCTCGCGTCGAGCCACGGGTCCATGAGGTGCGGCAGCGTCGGGCTCTCGTACACCGAGTACATCGGGATCTCCCAGAAGCCCGGCAGCTTCGGCTCGCCGCTGCAGATGTTCGGGATGTCGCCCGAGCAGTCGTTGGCCATGCCGTTGTCGAGCGTGTAGGGCCAGAAGGCGTCCGAGTTGGCGTCCGTCGTGGGCACCGACGACGACGAGGAGCTGTCGTAGACGAACTGCATCTTGTTGAGCGACTCGAGCGTGTCGCGCGTGTAGTTGAGGTACGGCGCGCGGAAGCCGCCGAGCGAGCGGAAGGGGATGCCGGCGAGCTCGTTGAGCGCAATGAGGTTGCCCGAGATCTCGCCCGTGCTCGGCTGCGCCTGGTGCGTGACGGTGTGGTCGGCGACGTCGTTGCCGGCGACGTACCAGTCGGTGACCATCGAGTAGTTGGTGTAGGCGAGCTGCGTGAAGTACGTGGCGCGCACCGGGCAGCCGTTGGGGTTCTTGCGCCCGTTCATCAGGCTCGCCATGGCGTTGACGGTGAAGGATTGGAGCGCGTCATCGGCGGTGAGGGTGATGAACTGCGGCACGTCCCTGAGAAGGGTGTCAGTCTGTGCCAGGCGCACGTGGTGCGACCCAGATGAACAGTACGGCAGTCACGCGACACCATTCAAGTGTCACCTCGCTGTCTGCTCTTCTCTGCCCGCTCTCTGCCACTCGTCGCATCGGACACTCACTTGATGTCCAGGTTGCCCGGCGGCTTCACATCGGCACAGTGGCAGTCGGGCAGCTTGCACTTGGACGCATCGCAGCTGTAGCGCGCCGCGGCCGCACCGCCGCCCGTCGGCGCCGTGCCCTCGCCGGTGGAGACGAGGCTCTGGCGGCGCTGGTGCTGCGGCGCGCGCTTGCGCGCACACGAGTCGGCCAGCAGGTCGGGCCCGTGGGCGGCGACGAGGCCGAGGGCCAGCGGCACAAGGGCGAGCGAGGCGAGACGCATCGTGGGGGTGGCGCAGGAGCGCAGAAAGAGAAAGCGAGCGAAGCAGAGAGCGACGAGAGTGCAGCACCAGCAAGCGTGGGTGTGCCTGGACGAGAGGAGCAGAGACGGACGGAGGTGGGAGACGGTGGAGCGGGAGGAGGTGGTGAGAGGCGAGGACAGAGCAGGCTACAGGCGGCAGGGGCTTCAAGCCTCGGCGCGCCGCTCGCTCTCAACCTCCAGCGGCTTGCGCGCTTGGTGGCGCGGCACGGCCGGCCGCCTGCCGCGCAGTTTGCGGCACCGCCTGCCTGCACGCCAAACGCCCGCAGCGCTCATCGTGCGTTCGCGGCCGGCCGCGGCATCCCGCGCGCGAGATGCACACAGGGCGCTCAGGGTGCATGCCGAGACTCGTTTAGTGCCCGTCGCCGCGCTTCCGGCGCGCCGAGCTCGGCGCTAGGCGGCGCCGCTCCTCTTCCTCGCGAGCCTTCTCCTCCTCCTCTCTCGCCGCCGCAGCGGCAGAGAGCTTGCACGCTTGGAGCGCTGCGCCTTTCAAGCCGATGGCTCGCAGCGCCGGCGATGCAATTTCTGGGCGCGGTCAAGGGTGCAAGCTGACATCTGCTGGCTGCTGACGCCTCCGGCTGGCCCTTGAATCGCGCGCCGCTGCTCGACTCGGCTTGCCGCCGGCAGTGGAGCGGACCCTGAGGCGGCTGGCATCTGCGCTGGCTGCTGCCGCTGTGCGCTGAGTGCATGCGCACGGCTCCGGCAGGCTCACTCTCACGTCTGTGGATCGGCATCGGGGCGAGGTCAAGCTCGTCAGCCCCAGTCGTGTGCGTCGTGAGGTCTTGGGGCGGGACGGTCTCAGCGCAGCCGGGCGGCGCGCTCCACCGGCGGCTGCGGGCGTCGGGGCCGCGGCACAAGAGCGGCGCGGCGAGTCAGCCGCCTGCGTCCCTTCTTCCCAGCCGCGCACCTTCGCAAGTACCAGCAGCGCTATCAGAGCATGGACATCGAGGCGTGAGCCACAGAGACGCGAGCAGGTATCGTGTCGCCGCTCATGGTACCCTCTCCTGCGCCGCAGCTTCCGCAAGGCCGGGCACGAGGTCGTGGACAAGATCTGCGAGTGAGCAGGACTGGCGCGACTCTGCATCTGGCAGCGCCCGCTCACGTACCACGGCAGCTACTATGCCTCGCTCGAGCAGCGCCCCGTCGGCGCACAGGTGAAGCCGGGCTTCCTGCGCGAGGCCGTGCCGGGTCAGTGCCCCGCCGTGCAGCTCCGTGCTACGTGCTGACGAGGGAGGTATAGATGAGGCGCCAGAAAAGGGCGAGGAGTGGAGCGTCATCTCCAAGGATTACGACGAGATCATCCTGCCGGGCATCACCCACTGGTGTGTGGCAGGACGGGTGCTGATCTATGTGCTGCGTTGACGCAATCACAGGCAAGCGCCAGGGTTCATGGCGTACTTCCCCGCCAACGCTACCTTTGAGGGCTGCCTGGCCGATCTGCACGCTGCAGCCATCTCCAATCCAGGTCAGTGTGCCTTTCTCTTGACCGCAACACAAGGCTGACGCCGCACACATCCTAGCCTTCAACTGGTCCTGCTCGCCGTCTGTGACGGAGCTGGAGATTCTGGTGCTGGACTGGATCGCAAAGGCGCTGCATCTCTCTCCCGCCTTCCTCTCCACCTCAGAAGTGGGCGGCGGCATCATCCTCGGCTCAGCGTCCGAGGTCGCCGTCACCGTCATGGTCGCGGCGCGCGAGCGGGCACTGGCCATGCTGTCGGACGCCAGGGGCGCCGAGGTGCCAGCTGACGGCGGTGCCCGGCCCGAGGCGACGGTGCAGGAGACGGGCACGCAGCACAAGGACCTCGACGATGAAGAGCAGTGGGGCAAGTGGCGCGGCGACGCTACGGGCAGGCTCGTGGCCTATGGCACCACCCAGGTGCGGCGAGCACCGATTGCGGTGCCTTCTCGATGCTGACCCACGGCTTCGTAGACGCACAGCATCGGCTCGAAGGCATGTCTCATTCTCGGCCTGGCGTTCCGTGCCCTGGATGTCAAGGCCGAAGACGGCTATGCGCTGCGAGGCGATGTGCTGCGCAAGGCGCTCGAAGAGGACACGGCGAAGGGTCGCGTGCCGTTCATGCTGAGTGAGCATCACACCTCCTGCGCATGCCCATAGCGCTGACGCTCTTTCAGTCGGCACTTTTGGCACGACCAGTTCTGGTGCGGTCGATAACCTGAAGGAGATTGGCCAAGTCGGTGAGCGCCTACAGAGCTACTCCTCTCACGCCGCCGCTGATGAACGCCGCAGCCAAGGACTACCCCATGCTCTGGCTGCACTGCGACGCTGCGTACGCCGGCGTGGCCATGTCGCTGCCCGAGGTGCGCGAGGCCTCGACGGACCTGGCCGCCATCAACGAGTGCTTCGACTCGTACTCGACGAACATGCACAAGTGGGGCCGTGAGTGACGTCCGCAGAGGTGACGGGCGGTCAAGGCTGAGCGAGCGTTTGGCGCGCAGTGGTGCAGTTCGACTGCTCGCCGCTCTTCGTTCGGTGAGTCTGCCTGCCCAAGACCACTGAACTTCGCTGACGCCTCTCGACCACAGCGATCGCGGTGCAGTGCGTATCGCAAGCGACTTTACACAGTGCTGCTGCTGACCTCCCACGATAGCTCACGCGCGCGCTCACGGTGACGCCGGAGTACTTGCGGACCAAGCACGGCGATGCCGGTGAGCGTGCCTCAGCTGTTCCGACTTGCTTCCTGCTGACGCATCGCGGCGCAGGCTCCGTGCTGGACCTGCGCAACATGCAGATCTCGCTTGGCCGGCGCTTCCGGTCGCTGAAGGTCTGGTATGTCCAACAGGCGAGGACACCTTTGCGCCCTGGCTGACGAGCCCGCGCCAGGTTCGTGCTCCGGTCATTTGGCCTCGAGGGCTTCAGGGCGCATCTGCGGAACGGGTGAGCAGGACTGCTAGAGTGCTCAAGGCCTGCGCTGATCCTCGCGCAGCATCTCACTTGCGCAAGGCTTCGCCGAGCAGCTGCGCGAGCATGGCAAGCCGTTCGCCATCGTGGCACCTCCGCGGTACGCCCTCGTCGTGTTCCGCCTGGATCCCACCGGCGCTGGCGGCCAGAGCGAGGAGCTCGACGCACTCAACCGCCGCTTCTGGGAGGCGATCCAGGAGTACAGCAAGGAGATCCAGCTCACGCAGACGGTGCTGCCGGAGGTCGGCTTCTGCATCCGCCTCGTGGTAGGCGCGCCGAGCACGCGGCAGCAGCACATCGACATGGCGTGGCGCATCCTGCAGGAGTGTGCCGACAAGACGCTCAAGGCCTGAACCGAGCCACACGAGCGAGCGCCTGGTGATGCTGCTTCATATTAGATGGTGTAGAGCACAGGTAGCAATTGCACGGTATATCCAAGAAGCGCCGAGACGGGATAAAGTGACGTGGAGGCCAGACTCAGCGGCCTTGCAGATACGGCGCCTCGCGCTCTGCCTCGCGCGAGCCCTTCTTTGGCTTGCCGAGATGGGGGCTGCCGAGCTTTGCCAAGCGGGCGAAGCTGCCCTTCTGCTGAAGATGCGGAGAGACTTCGAGATGCGCGGATGTGCCCTGGCTCGTCGGATGTGTTTGAGGCGCCGGAGTCGAGGCGTCCAGCTTGCCGCGCAGCAGCGCTTGGCAGGGCAGGTCCCGCAGCAGCGTCAGGACGTAGCGCGCCTCGAGGTTGCTGTTCGCTGCCGCCTCTTCCAGCGTGGTACTCGGGCGCGGGTCGCGCAGAAGATTCGGCGCAAAAGCGGCGGCGAGCGCCTCGGGCGTAATGACGGCAGCCGCAGCAACCTTTGGAGTACAGAAGCCTTGCAGCCACTTGATGAGGTAGGCCAGAGACCGGATGTTGATCGACGGCAGACGCAGGACGTGCTCGACAACTCGTGCAGGATTGTGCGAGGCGCCCAACGCCGTCTGGTAGCTGCAGTCAAGGAGATGAGCCATGGGTCAGCGACAGCGGCAAGCAACACTCACGCTTCAGAGGGCACCAATGGCGGGTCGAGCTCTCGCAGGAAGAGCTTCAGTGTCGAGACGAGGACTGCAGAGAGTGTCTCGCCGTCTTCGCCTTCTGCGACCAAGCCATCGAGACTATAGTGCCCGCGGTCCAGGCGCAGCCGCAACGTGGTCACGAGTGCCGGCTCTGCTGTGAGTCGGAAGAGGCCTGCGCGTTTGTGCGCATTGAGTGCCAGCAAGCCGTCGCAGAGGAAGACGAGCGCGATAGGCACTTGGACGTCTGGGTACGCCTCCTTCTGCCGGTCCATGACGATGTCGAGGCTCTGGCCAAAGACGCTCGGCGCAAACGCCGCGTCCATGGCGTACTCGACTTCGTCCAGTGACGGCACGCGGCCACGAGGACCCCGCTGGCAGATCGAAGCTAGCCTTGACGCCGCGTGGCGCGCAAGGATGCCGATGATGGTCGCGTCGTCCTCGCTGCGTGTGTTCGCAGCGGCACAGCCGGCGCTTGAAGCCTCGGCTGGCGCTGCCGAGATGGCGGCTCGGATGAAGGCATCCACGTGGTCATGCACTTCCTTCGACGGCGGAAAGCACACGAGCAGCGTGCCGAGTAGCTGCCAGGCAAGCACGAAAGAGTCGCGCCCAGGGTTGTCGGTCATCTGCTTGAGGCACTGCACGTAGACCTCGTCGCGCAATGCCGGGCTTGAGAGGATGCCCTTCTCGAGCAGCCATCGCTGCTCTTCCCGCACCGAAGGGCCGCTCATGTCTGCGCGGATCATGCGCTTGCCTCCGGGCCCTGTCGACGCGACGCCAGCCCCGCAGAACTCCGAGACGCCGTGATGCGAGACTGCCGAGATGGCAGCCGCACGATTCCACAGCAGCTTGTCTCCGGCGAGCGTCGAGCCGTCGGGCAGAGGACTGCCGCCGCTCAGCACCGGAACTCGCTTCGGCACTGTTCCATAGCCAAGCTCTGCCGGCTCAGGCACGCTGGGCCAGAAGACGGGCGCATCGCGATCGCCGCAGACTCGCAGAATCACCTTGAAGATGCGCACGGCATCGGCGCGCTCCTCTGCCTTTTCGAGCGAGAGGAGAGGCGCAGAGATCGGCGTGCGCTGCCACCGCGCGAGCTTCTGCACGGGGACTCGCAGCATGCGAAACGGACCCTTGCGGTGCGTGGCAAAGCGCTTGCGAGCGAAGCCCTCAAAGGACGTGATGTCTTGCCGCAACACTGCCGGAAGCAGCCGGTGTTCGCCGGTCGAGAGACGTCGAGTCTCAGCCTCCGCCGTTCGCTCGGCGCTCTGCTCGAGCAGACGTGTCGCAACGGCCCCAGTATCGCCCGTCGCTGTCGCTGCACGACGCTTGGCTGGATCTCTCTCGCGACGGAAGATGCGGGCCTGCTCGGAGGGTCCGCCTTCGCGCTTGGCCTGTTGCCGGCGCTCCTGGTCCGCGGCCAAGCGCGCCGCAAGCTTGGCGGAGTTGCCAGAGCCGCTCAAATTGCCCGATGACGGAATCGTGGACAGGCCTGAGCTGAAGCTCTCGTCAAACGCCTTCTTGTTGCGCTGATGGCGGCGAGAGAACCCGGCGCTATTGGCGCTGACCGCGCCACGCACGCCGTCTGATGCGAGACCGCGCGGTGCGAACCTGGAGCGGCTCGCCATGCTCGGACTCGGGCTGAAAGAAGGAGGTGGCGGCTGCCTGCGCGAGATGTGCTTGACGGCGATGGACGTGCTAGACGGCGATGTCGTAGTCTCGAAGCCGCGACCTCGCAGGCGCTGCTCGACTGCCGCGTCCGAGAGCACAGCCAGCGCCGCGATAGACTCCTGGCCAAGCTCGGCACGCGAGAAGCGCTTGCCGGCTGCCGAGGCTTGGATCGTAGCGAGAGGAATGACGAAGCCCTCTGGCCTCTCCCAGCACGTCTCTCTACTGTGCGTCTGGTAATAGTACGGCCGTCGCCGCTCGTCGTCGTACAGCTCCCACCACTGGCCGTCGGGGCTCGGCGGCAGGACGATGGTGCCTTCGGGCACGACCCACGCGCACTCGCCCGTCTCAGGATTCGCAAAGAAGGAGCGGCCTCCCTGTGCCGCGTCTGTGTCAGCTCTGCTGCGCACGAAGCTGATACCGGCCCACTCACCGGCTGGTCTATGATGACCCAGAAGTGAGCGCCCCACGAGTCATCGCCAGTCGTGCCGGTCCAGCCCTCGGTCGCACTGCGCGAGCGGCGCACTGCAGGCTCGCCGCAGCTGAGCTCTTCGAGCGGCTCCGAACTGCCCGATGCATGCACGACGAGTGCCGTCGCCGAGATGCTGCGCTCGCGTACGGCACGCTCTGGCACGCCGAGGCTACTGGCCTTTGGCGGTGGTGACTCCACAAAGCTGGCGCTGGTAGAGGGCGTGATGTGCGCGCTTGAAAGCTGCCCGGACGTCGAAGTGGATGTGAGAGCTGAGCTGACGTCGCCGAAAGAGCGCAGCGAGACGGCCTCGTGGTCGCTTCCGAGCTGACGCGGACGCATGCTTTCGGCATAGCTCTCCGTCAGGCGCTCCTCGTCATCAGAGTAGAACGAGTAGGAGGCAGAGATGTCTGCGAGCGAGTCCGAGCCGCTGCGCCTGCGCAGCGGCGGCGTCTTGTTACCGGACGACGCAGGTGCGCTGACGAGCGTGTCGGCAGAGGTCTGCGGCGTCAAGCGGGTATCGGGTCCGAGGCGCGGCGTGAGCAGCAGCTGCGCCGCCGGCGCACTCAGCTGAGCGCCCGCCGAGGTGCCGCTCTGCACACATGCGGGACTGCTGCCGCCAGCAAGCCGTGCCGCCGATGGTGCCGGAGAGACGGGCGTGGCCGCGCTGCCATGACTGCTGGTGGTGCGAGCGCGCGTCTGCTGTGGTCGAGGCGAGAGAGGCGTGGGCATGGACGGAGCGGCGACGCCCATGGCGACGGCCGCCATGCGCGAGCTGGCAGGTCCAGCCAGCGCTGATGAGCGGGCAGATCAGCCAATGCTGGGATCGGAGACGGTGCTGCAGTGCAAGATGCGCGGGCGAGAGGGTGGCGCTCGTCGGCGAGCTGCTGGTCGCGGACAAGGATGCACAGCCGCCGCGAGTGCAACACCGGCAGCAAGAGCAGTCAGACTCGAGTCGAGCAGGAGCAGGCAGCGGCAGCAGCGGCCCTGACGCGTGCGTGTGGAGTGCGCGTTGCGGCACGCGCGCGCGTTTGGCCGGCGATGCGAGCGGCAACGACGAGCGAGCAGATGACGCGGAGTGAAGAGAGAGAGTGACGGGCGTATTGGAGGTTCCGAGCGTGGTCGACGATGGTGGTCAGAAAGACGGAGTGGCCAGGTAAGAGTGCGGCAGCAGAGGTGTGTGATGGTGAGGGGCAAGCGGCGGAAGCGCCCGTCGCCCTGACAACGCGGCGTGCCTGCCTCTTCGAGAGGAGCAGCGTCCGTTGCGGCTCGCACGCTCCAGCCGCACAAGCTCTCATCTGCAGCGCTGCAGCGTGCGATATGGGCGCTCGGCAGCGGATGCAGTTGCAGCCTGCAGCTGTCGCTGGTAGAAGCGGGCCGCTTCCTTCTGCTCGCCGCCGCAGCGGCAGCGGCACACGGCACGCCCAGCGCACCGGCTCGCGCCGCCGCCTACCGCCGCCGGCAGTGCACTCGTTCCATGTGCCATCGCTCGGTTCAGTGCAGGCCCGGATGTCACATGAATCGCAAGGGCCAGATTGCGCCCCTCGCTCATTCGGCTCGAGAGAAAGATGGATAGGAGCGCCTCCGTGAGCTTGTAGGGACGAGGCGCGAGGCCCGAGGGGCCGCTCCGTACCGTCGCGTCGGCGTCTAGCCTTCAGAGCCCATGGAGACTCCCTCGTCAACGGCCTGAGGCTGGCGTCTCTGATGAGCGTGATGCTGCTGCATGCTGGGAAGTGGCTCAGCAGCACACGTATTTTGAGGGCGTGCGGCGGGGAGGAAAAGGCCTCCGCCATGCGCATGCAAGGCGCCCGGCAACGGCCACGCGTGCGTGGGACGCCTTGGCCGCTCGTAGCCGCTGCCGCGCTGCGGCAAGCAAGGACGAGCACAGAGCCGCCTGCGGCAAGAGCGAGCGGGTGCACATGCACCGCTGGGAATAGGGGCTCTGCCTCCGCAGCAGCTTCGGACCGCCCTCCCGCCTCATGCCGCGCAGGTGTGTACAGGTATGGCCATTTGGTCGGGAGCAGCGTGTGAGTGTGAGTAGAGGCGCGAGGCAGCAGAACGAATGTGGGTGGGGTGGTAATACGATGAGGCGTACAAGGCCGAAGGCGAAGCCGGAACGAGAGTAAGACGCTGCCCGGGCAGCCGAGGCAGGAGAGGAAGCGAGGCAAGCGACGGCACGCTCAAAGCGCACGCTTGGAGCGCGTGCGGCGCACGAGGCCGTCGGCGGCGGCGACGTCGCGTCGCCGGCCCTGGTAGCCGGCCGTCTGGCGCGACGGGTTCGTCCAGCGCGGCGTGGGGATGTTGCCGCACTGCTGGTTCGGCAGCGCCTTGATGCCGTCGAACGCCGACTGGCCGGCGGCGGGCGCCGTGATGACGCCCTGGTCGATCATCGTGAGCATCGAGTACTGGTCCTGCAGGTAGTCGGCGACGGCGAGCACCTTGGTGCTGCTGTGCATGAGCTTGAAGGACCAGAACACCGAGCCCGCCGACCACGCCCACGCCGAGACCTGCGTGTTGTAGTACTGCTTCGTGAAGGCAAAGGTGCCGCCGCCGTTGACGGCGCTCCACTCGGTGATGGCCATCGGGATCGGGAAGCCGACGGCGTTCTGCGCCAGCTGGCAGACGCTGAAGAGCAGAGGGGGTCAGGACAGGCACACGGCATGAGGCAGGCGTGCGGCTCACCGGCTGATCATGTTGTCCTGGTCCGTGTTGAGCGGGAAGTAGCCGGGGTACGGGTGGTCCTCGTACACGAGGTAGTTGGGGTCCTTGCCCGTCGCAAAGTCGCGCCAGTAGTCGAGCGGCGAGCCGCCGGTGATGAAGCCGTGGTGGAAGAACATGGTGAGGTTGTTGGACTTGAGCTTCTCGTAGCTGCGCTCGTAGAAGGACTGCGGCGGAGGTCAGCCAAGGCCGCGCACAGGCGCCGCGTCGCGCTGCTCACCGTCAGGGTTGCGAGACGGCCGCTGTTGCCGTTCGGCCGCGGCTCGTTGACGACGCCGACCGACGAGATGAGCGACTTGTACTTGTTCTGGTTGATCCACGCAATGACGGCGTCGACGGTCTGGTCCGAGAGGCCCTGGTTGTAGCTGCTGAACCAGTTGATCGTGTCGGTGGTGTGGCCGCACGACTGGTCGCCGTTCTGCGAGCCGGGCATGCCGTGCAGGTCGATCATGGCGTACATGCCGCGCGTCGACATCCAGCCGAGCACCTTGTCCATCTGCTCCTTCTGGCCCGCCATCGCCAGGTACGGCTCGCCGTTGGCGGCGGGAATGAAGGCCTGCGCAGCGCGTCAGCACGCCGGCGCACAGCACGGCACGCCACCGCACACTCACCCAGTAGCCGACGGGAATGCGGATGTAGTTGATGCCGACGGCCTGCAGCTTGTCCAGCTCGGCCTCGGTGACCCACGAGTCCCAGTGCGCCGACAGCACGTCCTGGGCCTTGTTGCCGAGAATCTGCGTGAGCGTCCACTCGTCGACGGCGTTGTCGCCGCCCTGCTGGATCATCCAGTCCTCGTTCATCCAGCGCTCCAGCACGAGCCAGTTGCCGAGCGACACGCCGAACATCTTCTTGTTCGGGTCCGTGAAGCTCCACTGCTCGAACGGCGTAAAGGCGGGCGCGGCGGCGGTCGTGTTGGTGCTGCTCGTGGTGTTGCCGCTGCTGGGGCTCTCCGTGGAGCCGCCAGTGTGCGTGCCGGCGCCGGAGTTCTTCGAGCCCTCGTTGGCCGCGCTGGCGTTGGCGGGCGACGAGGAAGACTTCATGGCCATGCTCGCGCCCACACCCGCGCCGACGCCGATGGCCACGAGGAGCAGCACGAGCAGGCCAGTGAGGACTGGCCGCCGGCGCACGAAGCCGAGCGGGCCGCCGCGCGCCTTGACGGGTGCCATGGCACCGGTATCGCTGGCCTGGAGCGAAGGGGTGAGCGATGCGCCGCGGCCGAGCGTGCGCTGCAGCCACACTCACTGCCAGTGCTGCCGGGCCGCCCTCCTTGTTGAAGAAGTACGTGCTGGGCACGTCGCTGTGGCGCTTGGCGCCGGCGTCGCTGGCAAAGGTGCCGGGCGTGCCGGGCGCGCCGCGCGGGGCGTACGCATCGTACGAGCCGCCGACGGGCGTGTGTGGCCGCGGCTGCATGTTGTAGGACTGCGGCTGCATGGCGGAGGGATGGGTGTGGGGGCTAGGCGGGTCCAGCAGTGCACGCGCGGGCGTCTAAGGGATGGCAGGGCAAGGCGAGGCGGAACCAGGAGGGAGTGAGGAGCACGCGGCGCGGCGTGTGTGGGGGTGCGAGGCTCGACGAGGAGTGGGGTGGAGTGAGGGTGAGGGTGAGGGTGCAGAGCAGGAGGGTGCAACGGGCAGCGGCCGGACGGGTGGCCGCATCTTTGAGGTGCCTCGCTTGGCGGGCAGCGCAGCAGGGTGCAGCAGCGGCAGGCGAGCAGCACACGCCGCAAAGCAAGATGCAGCGCTGCACCCGCCGCGGGCCGCCGGGAAGGCGGTTTAGCGCGGCCAGGCACCGCACCGCGTGATGGTCAGCACCTCCGCCGCGCAGCTCCGCGGTCGGCTCCTCTCCCCCCTCTCTCTCCTCTGAGCCTGGTGCCAAAAATGCATGCTTTGCGCACTTTGGCCCCTCTCTCGGTGATGCTGCGCCCGACGGCCGCACTTGCTCCTGATCGGCCCATACCAGGGCAGGCCAAAGCGCACAGCAGCAAGCGGCGGACAGGCGCGAGCGAGATGCGCTTCGCCTGCCCGCCGAGACAGCGCATCTCGCGCCACGCCGCACGCCGCACGTCGCACGCCGCTGCTGGGCTAGTGCCGCGCACGCCGCGGGCCGCCGGCAGCCGCGCCGCCCGCAGATGCAGCTGCAGTCGAGTGCGCGCAGAGCAAGCGGCAGCACGCCCAAACACCCCCACCCACGCCCGCCCTTTCCCCACTCTTGCGGCGTCTCTTGGCGGTCACAACGTCTTGATGCTGGGGCTGCGGCGCGGGCGCATCGCTCCGAACGACCAGCGTCAGCTGAGAGAACGAGGCGAGAGGTGCGGCGCCGGCGAGGCGGCAAGCTGCTCTCTGGCCTCATCATGCATGATCGCTGCTGGGCGCTGCAGATTCCTTCTTCGTTCTGCGCCTCCGCCGCGGCACGGGCGTGTCGCCTGTGCAGCACGAAGCACCCGATCGCTCCCCGCGTGGTGCCGTCGCGCAGAGACGCGGGATCCCGTGCCCGGCTCGAGGTCGAGCGCCGAACGTCTGCGGCGTGCATCTCAGCACGACGAAGCGCGACATCGGCCGGCCAAGCAACGCATGGATCGTGGGAGCGAGATCGTGCGGCAGCAGGCGCAGGCACCGCACGAGGTCGCGATGGAGGCGCTCGGGCGTTGTCGTCGGCCAGACGCAGCAGCGCAGTGCAGGGTCCAAGGCCAGAGGTCTCAGCGCAGAGCCGCGCCGTCCTGCCACACCCCGCCGTCCCGCGTGCTTGGCGTTGCAGTCGCACAGTGGGGCAGCTCGCAGCTCTCGGATGCGCATCAGCGCCTGCTCGAGCTGGAGCAGATCTCACCTGCCAGCTGCCAACTGCGTCGAGAGCCGGGAGCGGGTCCGGCGTGACAGCTCAAGATCTGGGCGTCGCTCCGCTTTCGCGAGCCCGGCCTCGTGCGCGCCCGAGAGCGTCGAAGACCCTGCGCCAAGCATGACAGTTGATCATGCGCCTCTTGAGCGTCTGCTCTGGACCGCTCGGACGCCGGATCTTGATGGTGTGGTCGATGCGCATCTCGCAGCGACGAGGCTCGAGGGCAGCAGCGGCTCTCGCTGGCCCACGCCGCGCGAGCGACTTTCAATTTGCCCTTACTTCCGCGACCCGTCACGAGCGCCGGAGAGAATGCGCGCTGAGATGGACCTCAGCACCTGTCGTGCACGGACCGTCAGCTCCTGAGCCTCTGTTGGTTCAACGAAGGTGTGGGCGCTGCTCGAGTATGAAGGACGGCAGAGCGGCCTGGAGCAGCGGTGCACGTGACCGGCCGCTGCTGCTCCCAGCCGCCGTCTCGTCGCGGCACCTGGGACGCGTCGCGCAGGCGGGGCGCGTGCCTGGCGGCCGGCTCGCATCTTCTCGTCCTCCCCTCTCCCTCTCCACTCGTCACTGCGCAGCAGGCCGCTCCGTGCACCCTCAGCCTACGCCGCCTCGCACCACACTCGCGCAGGCACTCGCCGCCGGCCGCCCCGCCCTGCGCAACCCACCGCCCGCCATGAGCCTCGGCGTGACCGGCGAGCCGGACGCGGCCCTCTGGCGCGATGCCGCGGTGCATGCCAACCTGGCGCCGCTCGTGGCGCCGCTCAGCGCTGCGCTCGCCGGCGTGACGCTCGTGCTGCCGCACGGCGCGGCGCAGCTCTCGCCCGCCGTGCTCGCCGACGTGGCGTTCGACGTGCAGCGCTTCCAGCACCGCGTGCTCGGCCCCGAGGCGCCGCGCACGGCCGCACCGCACCCGCCGCGCATCCCCGCCAACGTCTTCCTGCCCGGCGCCTCCTTTCTCGCCATGTCGACGCCGCCGGCCGCCGACGGCGCGCTGGCCACGCTGCTCGAGGCTGTCATCGGCGGTGCTGCCCGTGCCGCCCTGCCCGCCTGGAATGTCGACGACGCGGCCCACGAGCCCGCGTTCCGGCAGCTCATCGTCGACGCTCGCGCGGCACTGCGGCAGAAGGGCCACCTGAAGAAGACGATCATTGCCGCTGGTGCAGACGTGACTGAGGCAGAGGTGGACACATACCGGAAAGCAGCTGCGGCGCTGGATTGTGAGTGGACTGCAACCTGACTCACACGCGCTGGAGCTGATTGTGGGCTGTGCTGCAGGCGAGTGGACCAAGGACGCCGCCGCTGCCACGCACGTTCTGTTCTCCTCGCCCGAGTCGCCGCGCCAGTCGCCGGCTCCGGGCGGCGAGGCGCCGTCCGAGTACTTCCGCACGCTTGCGCGCATGCAGCTCTCCAGCGGCGCGTCGCTGGCGCTCATCCACGTCTGGTACCGGCCCGACTCGTACGACGCTTGGCTGCCCGCGCAGGACTTCTCCTCGCCCGAGCCCGAGCCGACGCCCAAGGGCTCAGCCTGGGTCGTCGGCAGCAAGTGGCTGACCGAGGCGCTGCGCTACAACGAGCTGATGAACGAGGAGGACTACGAGAAGGAGGAGACCGACGCGGCGCAGAGCGAGACGGCCTCGGCGGCGGACGCAGCCGAGAAGACGGAGGGCTCCGCGGCGCGCACCTCGCGCAAGCGCGGTCTGCCAGAGGAGGTCACCGTGCCCAGCGGCGAAGACGACCCAGAGGCACCGGCCGGCGGCGGCGGAAAGCGCATCAAGCTCTTCGTCGCAGCGCGGCCGAGCGGCGCCGTGGCAGTCGACCTGTCCGGGTCAAACGGCCCGCCGCCGGGCAAGAACTACGAGGTGCACCCGGTCGCTGGCGGCGCCATCGGCAACCTGCCGCCGGAGGCGGAGCCATCGCGCACGGACGATGAGCCGGCTCCTGTCAGGGTCGTCGGCCAGGCTGCACCCGCGCCCACGTCGGGCGACGGAGACGTGAGCATGGCGGATGCCGGCGCATCAGCGCGTCCAGCCGACGCTGGCGCTGCGGCCGAGTCTGGCGTCGCCACGCCTGCCATCGACGTCACTGCCAGTGCCGAGGGCGACGCGGCGCTGCGCAACCATCAGCGCCAGGTCGCCGAGAATCTTGCGCGCAAGTACCTGGCCGAGCAGACGCAGGAGGTCATCATCCCGTCCTACTCGACGTGGTTCGCCTTCTCGGGCATCAATGCCATCGAGAAGCGCAGCCTGCCTGAGTTCTTTAACGGCAAGAACCGCTCCAAGACGCCGACGATCTACCGCGACTATCGCGACTTCATGATCAACACGTACCGCCTGAACCCGAGCGAGTACCTGACCTTCACCGCCTGCCGGCGCAACCTGGCCGGCGACGTGTGCGCGATCATGCGCGTGCACGCTTTCCTCGAGCAGTGGGGCCTCATCAACTACCAGGTCGACCCGGAGAGCCGGCCCGCCACGCTCGGCCCCCCTTTCACTGGCCATTTCCGCATCACTGTGGACACGCCGCGGGGCCTCCAGCCTCTGCACCCGGGCACGCGGCCCTACCAGCAGCCGAGCGGCGCCGCCCTGTCTGGCGTGCCGCGCGGAGAGGGCTCGCACGCGGGCACCTCGGCGGCGGGCGCAGGCGCGCCGGACCTCGTCACCGAGCTCCGCCGCAACGTCTACCAGTCGACGATGAAGAGCTCGACGCCGGTCGATGGCCCCGCGGCTTCGTCACTCGCAGCTGCGGCTGACGCGGCTGTGCGTGCCGGCGCCGGCGCTGCGCCTTCCTACTCGTGCGACACGTGCGGCACCGACTGCACGCGCACGCGCTACCACAGCGTCCACGCGCCGTCGCGCGGCCCAGGTGCCGGTGGCTACGTGCTGTGCTCGAGCTGCTACCTCGAGGGCCGCTTCCCGTCGTCGATGTACAGCGGCGACTTCGTGCGCGTCGACGACACGGCCTTCAAGCAGGGCGGCGCGCCGAGCGAGGACGACTGGAGCGACGCAGAGATGCTGCGTCTGCTTGAGGGCCTCGAGATGTTCGACGACGACTGGGCGCAGGTCGCCAACCACGTCGGCACGCGCAGCCGTGAGCAGTGCATCACGCGCTTCCTGCAGATGCCCATCGAGGACCCTTACCTCGACGGCGGCGCGCCGCGCACGAACGGCAGCGTGCCGGCTGCCGCAGAAGGCTCGAACGGTGCTGCAAACGGCGATGTCAAGCAGAGCGACCTGGGACCGCTGCAGTATGTGCGCGACCTCAAGAACGCCGCGATCCCCTTTGCGCAGACGGACAACCCGGTCATGAGCGTCGTGGCGTTCCTCGCCAGCGCTGTCTCTCCGGCCGTAGCAGCTGCGGCGGCGCAGAGCGCCCTCGGCGAGCTCACAGAAGGCATGCGTCGCCGCATCGCCCGGAAAGATGCCGCTGAGAAGGCAAAGGAGGCCGAGTCGCCGAGCAAGGCCAAGGACGGCGACGCGTCTGCTGCCACTGACGCCGAGGCGACTGCTGCCGACGCTATGGACGTCGACAAGGCGAAGGAGCCCGAGACACCGACGGAGGGCGCCAGCGCGGCAGAGCCGTCCACATCAGAAGCACCGGCGAACGGCAAGCCGGCCACGCCTCGCGACCCGGAGACGGTGCCGCGCAACGCCGTCGAAAAGGCCGCCGCCGTGGCGCTGGGTGCGGCCGCGGCCAAGGCGCACGTGCTTGCCACCTTCGAGGAGCGCGAGTGCCAGCGCCTCGTGAGCCAGGTCATCGAGGCGCAGATGCGCAAGATGGAGATCAAGATGGCGCAGTTCGAGGAGCTCGAGAGCCTGCTCGAGGCCGAGCGCCGCTCCGTGGAGGCAGGACGCAAGCAGGTGAGCAGACTCCGCGTCCGTCCTCCCGTACCACCAGCTGACAGCCGCCCTGCAGCTCTACGCCGACCGCCTCGCCGTGCAGCGGCAACTCGCTGCCGTCAGCGAGCTGCTGCGCAAGGCCACGCAGACGCCCCGCGACGTCACGGCGCGCGACCTGCAGGGCAGCTCGAGCGCCGCGCACGGCGTGCCGCAGCAAGGGCCCATCATCCGCGCCCACGAGGGCGGGCAGGCGCCGCCGGCTGGCACGTACGCGCAGATCTGAGGGGCCGTCCCTGTCGCCGTCTGTCTCTCCCCTGTCACGAGTGTCCTGCGCTGGAAATCTGATATCATTCTGCATCACCGACGAACGGGGCACGACGGCTACAAGTCAATGAGCGAGGCCTCCATGGGACGCTGCCACGACTCCTGCTGCTTGACGGGCTCCGAGGGCGGGTGCGTCGGTGCGATGGGGATGTCGCGCCACGCACTCATGTTGCTCGTGCTGACCGTCGAGCCGACACTCGGCGGGCGCACGGGCGAGAGCGGCGAGGCGTGAGCAGGGTGCTCCTGCGGCGCCGATGCGCCCTGCAGGTTCATCGCGCCGAACGCAGCGGCCGTGCCGTCCAGACTCGCGCTGGGCGCGGCACCATAGTGCGCCGGCGGTGACTGTGCGGTGTTCCACATGTCGCCGACGGGCGACTCGAGAGGGTTGTGGTGCGCCGGCACTCCTGCGCCTGGCGACATGGCGGGCGCAGTGCCATGCGGCGCCGGCGGAAGCGACTGCAGAGACTGCCACTGCTGCTGCTCGTGCGACGGCGGCGGAGCCGAGGCCTGCGGTGCCGAAGGACCATTGGCGTAGGCGTGAGCCTCAGGTGCGCTGTAGCCGTGCGCGCCTGGATACCCCTGCTGCTGCGGTGCCTGATACGGCTGCTGCGCTTGCGGTGCAGCAAATGCGCCCTGTGGCCCGCCATAGCCGGGCGCCTGCGGCTGCTGCGGCTGCTGCATGTAGCTAGTGCGGCCATCGGCGGTGGGCGTGGGCGTCGCAGCCATGGACATGACCGGCGAGGGCGGAGCGTACTGCTGGTACTGCTGCTGCGGCGCCTGGCCCTGGTGCGCACCAGGAGCGTAGTGCTGCGGAGGAGCGAGCGCGTGCGATGGCGCGAACTCGGACGTTGGCGACGCCGGATAGTGCGACGGCGGTGCACCTGGGGCTGCAGCATAGGACACGCTGCCGGCGCGCTGAGGCGGCTGAGACGGGCCAGAGTGGCCGCCGTAGCCGTAGCCTTCCTGGCCCTGTGCCATGTAGCCTGGCTGAGGAGGCGCGGCATAGTACTGGCCGTGCTGCTGATGACCAGGCGCGGGCGACGGCTCCGCATGGCCAGGTGGGCCAGCGTAGTGCTGCTGATGTCCATATGCGCCTTGAAACTGCTGAGGCGGTGCGCCGTACTGTTGGCCATAGGCACCCGGCGGACGCGACAGCTGAGCATCGAGTATCCGGTCGTAGAGGCGCACCGCCTCGGTGAGCTTGTCGTGCATCGACACCAGCACGCCGTGCCGCCGGTTGCCCTCCTCGAGGTTGCGCGCCATGCGTGGCCGTGCCGCAGAGGCGCGCTCCAGCAGCGCCTGAGTTTGCTGCTGCTCCGGGCCCGGATGTGCCGCCGGATAGGCGCCATGTTGCCGCGCGTAGTTCTCGTGCGACGCTACCGCCTGTGCGAAGGAGAGAAGCGCGTCGACGTCCTGTGCAGGAAGCTCGAGAGACGGCGGCACCTGGTGCGAGAACATCAGCGGCTGGCCCTCAATGGACAAAGCTGGCGTACTCACAGCCATCTGCTGCGGCTGACGGCCGCTGCCACGTGCGCCGCCGTCGTGCGGGCGCGGCGTGCTGCTCTGCTCGTCCGGCCCCGGCAGGCCTTCGGGCGCGCTTGGCGCCGGCGGAGCGTAGTCTCGCAGGCTGGCCGCGATGGCAGCTGCCAGGTCCGGGTCATCGTCTGCGTCCGTGCCCTCCATCATGCGGCCGTCGGCCTGTCGCGTGGCACGCGCCGTCGGCGGCTGCGAAGGCACGTAGCCACTGGCGCCGGGCCCGCTCGACGAGGCACCTGCGCCGCCCGAGCCCTCCAGACTGAGCTTGATCGCGAGCGCCAGGTCATCCTCCTCGCGCTGGCGGCGCGTGCCTGAGCCGGCCGAGCGCGCAGCGGGCTTCGAGCCGAGCGTGTTGGAGCGCTGGTGCGCTGCGCCACCTCTACCCGACGGCGTCACATGCGCGTCGGAGCGCGAGCGGTTGAGCTTGGTGCTGCCGCTCGACGTCGACGACACGGACTTCTTGGGCGGCGCGCGCTTGGCGTGGCAGCCGTCGCACACGCGCACGTCCTGGCCCACGCCGAACCACGGCAGCGACATGGTGTGCGAGGAGCACTGCTGGCAGAAGGGATGCCCGCAGTTGCGGCAGTGGTGCTTGCGGTTGAACGTCGTGAAGGCCGTGCGGCAGCGCATGCACACGTCCGAGTCGACCCACTCAGGCGCCGTCATCGTCTCGACGAGCGCGGCACTGATCACAGCCGACGGGTCGCGCGGCGGAAAGTCGAAGCCGGACGACTTGAGCGAGCGGTACGTCTCGCTGATGTAGCTCATCGACGAGCCGGGCCGCGCCTCGGCCAGCTGCGCCCAGTTCTGAATGAGGCCGAGCGCCTTGGCCTTGACCTCGTGGTTGACGCCCGAGGGCGCCTTGAGGATCGAGACGAGATTGTCCATGAACTCGCGCGAGGCCACCTCGGCAAGGAAGTGATCGCCGCCATTCTTGATGCAGATGTCGGTGAGCTGCGGCAGAGCGTCAGCAGTGGCAAGCAGGCAAGGGCGGTGGAGAGGAAGGGCTGTGGAGAACAAGAGCCGCGGCCCTGTCCATCCGCTTGTCGGCCGAGCTCCGGCGGTGGCAGTGCACAGAGTGGGGTGCAGCCGCCATGTAGGGCAACGCTCTGCTAGCTTCCGTCTGGCGATCGCCGAGGCACGTCCGTGTGCAAAGCTAGGGCTCACTCGCCACTGCCATCCACCTCCGCCGCGCCAGGCTCATCACTGTCTGCAACCGCAGCACGCTCGCCACATCCAGGTGCATACACCCGCCACCGCGGCGCATGCCGCATGTCACGCCCACTCACCCCAAGCGCCAGCAGCACGACGTTTGGATTCTTGTGCGCCAGGCGCTTGCGGATGGCCTGTGCCGCGGCGCGCGGCTGCACGGCCTTTGCGCGCACGCGGTCGCAGATGTCGAGGTTGAGCGCAATGTCCTCCTGGCCCGCGGGCAGCAGCTCGGAGGTGGCGCGCTCGACGAGCTCGGCGAAGGGGTCGGCGGCCCAGAGGATGCCGGCCATGGCGGCGGCGGCGGCGCGGAGTGGAGGCGGGGTGCGCTGCGACGGGCGACGAGGCTGCGCGCTTGGTCAGAGGCGGCGTTGGACTGTGTGGTGTGACGCTGTTGTGTCTCTTTGGCAGCGACAGTCAGGCAGGCGTGGGTGTGTGACGGGGAGAGGTGGCGGATGCGAAGGTGGAGATGACGCCGGCGTGCCGAGCCGTCACGCCGCGCGGCGAAGGCGGCGGCGATGCGCACGCGCCCCGCCGCCGTATCGCCGCACGCACTCCGCCGCCATGCGCAGCACGCGCTCAGTCGCTGCTGGCACCGCAGCCTTGGCGCCCTCGTGCGTCCGCCTCAGGGCTGGCCTCGGACAGCAGACACGGCCAGACAAGAGCGCAGAGCCGTGGAGCGCACACGAGGCTGGCCGTGAGATGCCATCGCTAGCCCCCATGAGGAGCCACAGCCACAGCGCTGCGAGGAGGGCCGTGCTGCACGTCAGCGCGATGGACGCGCGCGCCGCGCCACATGCGCCTCTCGCCCGTGCTCCGCCCAGCCAAGCGCACGCGACGGCTTGAACAGCTGCCAGACGTCCTTGACAGGCACCATGAGCAGACAGTCCTGTCACCTCGTGCTGCGATCGACACCCGTGCTGGCCCAGGAGCGAGCTGGGTGTGGGCGAGGGCTGTCGCGGCGCACGTCAGGGTGCAGGCCGCGGGGAAGCTCGGGACTCGGGCAGCGGGCGTGGCCGGGGTGGAGAGCTGCCAGCACCGGCGCGCGGCGCGCCTCCAGATCTTCGAGCACAGCAAGCCTGCCTCTTGACGGCCACCCTCCTGACCCCACCTTCGCCCACCTCACGCTTCATCTCGGCCAACAAGTCGTCGAGCCATCTGTGTCGCGCCAGGCTCGCTCCATTAGCCTTGCTGGCACAGCCGCGCGCTCGGCGACGTCTCTCCGGTGACTCTCACCTTCCTCGCTGCGAGGTCACGCGAGCCGCACCTTCCTCTCGCACCACTCCCACTGCGCTGCATCTCTCACCCGCCGCCGCAGCACACTTCTCTCTTTCTCTGCTCGCACATCATGGCTGCCTGCTCGTCCGCCGCCGCAGCCGTGGGCGCCACGCTGCGCCCCGTGCTCTGGTCGCACATTCCCTACCACGTGCCGTACACGCTCGGTCTTGCGCTGCAGGAGCGTCTCGTAGCTCGACGCTTCGAGGCTCGTGCACAGCTCGCTGAGCTTCCCGCGCCGAGCCCCGCCAGCCGCGTGGCTGCCGCTGTGGCGCCGGCCTCGTCCAGCACGTCGGCACAGGCGCTGCAGCGCATCTCCGAGACGGACACGCTGCTGCTGCTCGAGCACACGCCCGTGTACACCGAGGGCCGCCGCAAGGGCGCGCGCGAGGCCGTGGGCGACGATGCGGAGCGGCAGCGCCTCGAGAAGCTCGGCGCCGACTATCTCGTCACGCAGCGCGGCGGACAGATCACCTACCATGGCCCCGGACAGCTCGTCGGCTACCCCATCTGGGACCTCGCGGCGATGCAGGTGAGTGCTGCTCCATGAATGGCCTCTGCTGGTAGTGGTGCGTGGCGTGACGGGCTTGGGTCTCGTATGGTGTCGCTGCGGCACGGACAGGTTGGCGACGGGCGTCGCGTCTGCGGCGGCGCGTGCTTGTCGGACTCTCGCAGGCCTCCTTCCTGCTGCTGCGGTCGTCTTTGCCGGGCTGTCTGGTGTGGAGGTGTGGATCGGTCACCTTCTGCGAGCCGACCGGCTCGCAGCACCGGACATCACGTGGTGCCAGCGTCAAAGTCCAGCGAGGGATGGTCGTGTCGTGCGAGAGCCTCGACGACGAGCATCCTCGCCGTCGTGCGCGTGCACACGGAGCGGTCCACTACCTGCTGTCGTCCGCGGACACGGGATCAGCGATGGCGCCTTCGGGCTTCCGCTGGAACTCGGCAGCAGAAGAGGCGGGAAAACTGGGTGCCTCGGTCGGCGAGCTCGGCGAAGGCGCGCGCCCGATGCAGGAGAAGCGTGGGCTGCGCATGCCAGCGGGCGGCTGGCAGCACGAGGCCCGCACTCGCAGCGGCTGCCCAGATGGCCCGATAGATGCCGCCAAAGCGATTGCAGGCACTCTGCCGGCGTCCGGGCTGTCCGCGGATCAGCTGCGGCGCGGCAGCAAGATGCGGCCTTCTGGGGGGCTCGCAGCGCGGAAACGGACGCACGCTTGCGCTGGGCGTGGGATGCGGCTGCTCGGCTCTGGCGCTCCGGCGCTGGCGTGGAAGCCTCATCGGCATCGGGCGCCGCTCGTGACTCGCCGCGCCGCGCAAGTTGCGGCGCGCGCCATGCGTGGCGTGGGAAGGCGCGACGGCATCGGGGCGCACCGCGTGGGGGGCCATGCATGCGCCCCCCTGGAGGCCAAGCCCGCCGCCGCCATCTTGAGGCCAGCGCTTGCCGGGCAACATCGGGCTGCACTGGTGGTGGCTGCTCTCCTGCACTGCGCACCTGGACACGCCAGGCCTAGCCGCTGCAGGTCACCTAACACCGCACTCCGGGCTCCCCGCCGTGCCTTGCGCACACGCACTCCTGATTCTGGGATCGTCGCCGCTGCTGCGGTGCCCGGACTCCGGATGCGGGCTGTCCATCAGCTTACGGCTGCTGCTTGCTGCTGCCCACTCCGCCGTCCCACTCAGGGCGAGATGCAGGCACGTGCAGCAGACGGCCTTGCATGGGTGCCCAGGGACACTCCGCACTGCGCCGCAAGGGGCTTGCAGAGTGCCAAGGGCCATTCCGACAGCCCGCTCTCGCTCGCCATTGCCGCTGCATGCCGTCTCTGTCTCCGCCATATGCCTGCGACTGACCCGCTGCTGTCTCTCGTCGCCTTGGCGGCAACGCTCAGCTCTCGACGCGCTGCTACGTCGACAAGCTGCAGACGGCCATTGCGGAGCTGCTGCACGCGCGCCCCTTCAATCTCGAGACGGTGCCGCCGCCCGACGACCACACGGGCGTGTGGGCCGACTCCGACCACAAGATCACATCGATTGGCATCCAGGTGCGGCACCGCATCACGTCGCACGGCTTTGCGCTCAACGTCGAGGCGGAGCGCCTGCTGCCCTGGTTCCGCCAGATCGTGGCATGCGGCATCGAGGGCAAGGGCATGACGACGCTGGAGCGCGAGCTGGCGCTGGCCGCCCAGCGTGCCGGCCTCGTGCAGCCCGACGCCGCCGACGGCGTGCAGCTCGAGCCGGGCCTCGTGCTGCTGCCGCGCCAGCGCATCACCGTCGCCGACATTGCGCCGGCCGTGGCGCACCAGCTGGGCGCCACGTACGGGCGCGCCGTCGAGCCGGCGCCCGAGGCTGAGCTGCGCTACGAGGGCAACGCCGACGGCGTCCTCACGCACGTGTGGCTCGCCGACGAGGAGGTCCTCGCGCCCCAGTAGAGTCAGACAGATGTGAATGCTAGAATGTGCTTTGATTCGTCGTGCTGGACAGGTATGTGAACGGCGGGACAATGACAAGGAGAGGGAGCGCTATGATACGAATGTGTGGTGCGGACAGAGGTAAATGTGGGTGGTCGTATGAGGTGACGTGGCGGGCGTGATGAAGGAGAAAAGGTCGTAAGAGGGTGGCAGAGGCCTACTGAGCGTGCTCCTCGGTCATGTAGAGGCCCATGGCGTTCTTGGCCTGCTCGGTGGCGTACATGTCGGTGAACTGGTAGCCGTAGGCCTGCGGCTGCTGCGGCTGCAGCATGAGGGCGTTGGCCTGCTGCTTGACGCCAAAGTAGTCGGCGTTCTGCTCGTGCATGGCGTCCATGGGCGACGGCAGCAGGCTGCTGGCCGCCGTCATGGCGCTGCCGGGCACGCTGAGCGAGTCGCGGTGCGAGAGGAACGAGGCGGCGTCCTGCTCGGCGGCAAAGTTGGGCGTCGCCGACGAGTAGCGGCTCGACTCCGAGGCGGCCGTGAGGTGCTGCTGCTGCTGCTGCTGTGCCTGCTGCTGCGTGGCGGCGAGCATCTGCGTCGGCGACGACGGCGAGATGTTGGCGCGCTGGCGCGGGCGCTCCTCGCTCGACGGCGAGGCGTCCTCCATGTCGGACGAGCTGCGCTTGGTGCCGGAGGCCGTGCGGCCGCCGCTCATGACGACGCGCTGCATGGAGCTGCTGGCCATGCTGTTGACCTGCGGGCGCAGCAGGGCCGCCTTCTGGCCCTCGTCGACGTCGGCCATGGCGAGGGCGGAGTTGGCGCCGCCGGCCTCGGAGGCGTCGCGCGTGTTGGCACCGCAGGCCGACGACGTCAGGCGGGTGATGACGGACTGAGCACGCGGGCGGTTGGGCGTCTGCGGCGACGAGCGCATGGCGTCGGAGCCGGCGACGAGCGAGAGCGGCGGGAGTGCACGCTGGCCGTTGACGCTCTGCCACGAGGAGAGCGACTCGGCCTGCTGGCGCAGGTTGCCGCCCTCGCCGCGCTGCTCCTCGATGGCGAGGTCGTTGGACGGCGTGCGGCGCGGCGTCGCGGCCGACGTGTACTGCACGGCCGAGTAGGCCGAGCCACGCTCGACGGCGCCGTGGTGGTTGTACTGCGCCTGGCTGCGCTCGAAGTCCTGCTGGCCGGCGAGCCACTGGGCGGCGCTGGAGCGCGTGTCCTGGGCGAGGTAGCTGAACGGCTCCGGCGCCGGCGCCGGCGGCTGCGGCTGCTGCTCGACGGAGTAGGCAAAGTCGCCGAAGTTCTGCTGCGGCTGCGGTGCCTGCATCTGCTGGCCGTATGCGAGCGCCGAGGTGAAGCGCGGGCCCTGGCCGTCGCGGTCGTCGAAGCCGGCGAAGGCGGCGTCGTTGGACATGAACGGGCTGGCCTGCTGCACGGCGTCGTTGAAGTTGAGGTGCATGTACTGCGGCTGGTGGCGGATCGGGAACGGTGCCGAGGCACGGCGGTGGTCGTAGGCGGCGCCCTGCTGCGCGTAGGGGTTGAACTGCTCCTGCAGCGACTTGGCGTGGTACATGGCCGCGTCGTCGGCAAACGCGTCGCTCGTGTCCATGCTGTGGGCGCTGAGCGGCGCCTCGGTGTAGCCGCCGATCATGCTGTGTGCGCGCTGGTCGGCGATGCCGCTGGCCTGCTGTTGTGCGGCCGGCTGCTCGACGGAGGCGATCTTGGAGACGGCGGCGGCGAGCATGCGGCGGCGGCTGAGCGTCGTGTTGAAGTGGTTCTTGATCGAGTTGTCCGGGCGGCCCTTGAGGCGCTTGCTCATCTCGGCCCACTTCGAGCCGATCTGGTTGTAGAGGGCGATGATGATGGCGTCCTCCTCGGGCGTGAAGGGCTTGCGCAGGATGCACGGGTCGACGTGGTTGTGCCAGCGCTCGCGGCACTGCTTGCCGCTGCGGCTGCCCATGTGCTGCGCGATGATGACCCAGCGCTCGGCGCCGTGCTCCTCGACGAGACGCAGCAGGCGGTCGTCCTCGGCCTTGGACCAGGCGCCCTTGACGACCGACGGCTTGGTGATGAGCTTGTAGCGCACGGCGCAGTCGTCCTTGGAGTGGCGGCCGTCGGGGAAGGCGATGAGTGCGATGCGGGCCCACGACTTGCCCGACGTCGACGAGGCGGCGTCGCTCATCGACGAGGAGCCTTGCTGCTGCTGCTGGTGGCTGCGCTCGTAGGTGACGTTGGCGACGGCGGCACGCAGGCGCTGGTCGTCGTCGAGCGTCCAGCCGCCGTCCTTGGCGCTGCCGCGGCGCGAGTTGGGCAGCGAGCCGCCGGTCTTGCGTGGTGCGAGGTAGGACGAGGGTGCGTAGGAGGTGGCGTCGGACGTGGCCTCGGAGTAGGCCGTCATGGGCGAGTTGTACGACGAGTCCTGGCTGAACATCGACGTGGCCGTCGACGGCGTCAGGCTCGGCCGCTGGCCGCTCGGGCCGTAGTAGCGGTTCGTCATGGTGGTGAGCGGGGCGCAGCCGCGGCGTTGGGCCAGCGAGGCGTTGTAGAAGGCGGCGGCGGCGGCGTCGTTGGACATTGTCCGCGGGTGGCAGTCGGGAGCGGCCTTGGGGTAGATGGATGTGGAAGGGAAGGGTGTTGGCGGCGAGGATGTGGAGCAGATGGACTGCGAAGCGTGGCTGTGCCGAGGCAGGTGTGGTGTGGCGGAGACGTTGGCCGAGGGTGGGAGCGGCGGGCGGCGGCGAGGATGCGGGAGGAGCAGGGCGACGAGGCGGACGTTGTGCTTCTTAAGCGCCGTTGGGGCAGGAGCTGTGGCCTGAGCGGTGAGCGGTGAGCGGTGCGCAGCGGTCTCTGCGTTGCCGTGCCAGCCGGAACGGGCATCGTGCAGCCGCACGAGCAGGGGTGTGCAGACGGGTGCGCCGGGCACACGCCTCGAACACGCAGCCTTGCCGCTCCCGGCGAGGGCAGGGGGCTCGCGAGCAAGCAGCCGCAAGGAGCTCCGGGCAGGGAGCACGGGCCGCGGGCAGGGCATGCTCCACGTACCTGCCTGACTCGCACTTGGGATGCATCGCATGGCAGCGCACCTGCTGCTTGCGGCGGCAGCAGGCTAGTGTGGCCGAGTGCAGCAGCTGCGTGTACCACTCGGGCGAGCAAGGTGCTTCTGCGGCCCAAGCTCCAGAACGTGCTGTCACGCCAGAGACAGCGCAGGCCGCCTGCCGCCAGCACCTGCCCGACGCAGCGCTCCCCTCGCTCGATCGGCACTCGCCGGCGGAGCGCCAATGCCCAGGGCACAACGCCGCCCGCCGGACCGCGCCTTGCCCGAGGGCGTAGCTTGGCAGGTTGCTGCGCAAAGCACGGCGCTGGCGGCGCACGCCTCTGACAGCATGCAGCGTGTTGCAGCGCCTTGCGGCGGCGCAGCGCAGGGACGCTCATGACGCGCGTGTGCGGTGTCGCTGTGTTGGTCGGCCCGCCGCGTGGGAGGGCGCCGGCGGAGGCGCAAAGTGCGGAAACTGCTCACACGCGACGGCCTCTGGCTGAGGCTGCTCTTGCCCTGCCCTGCCGCACCCGGCTGTGCCGCATCGCCGCATCGCAGCATGCAGAGATGCACAGAAGGCAGCGCTGAGCGCCTCCGTGCTCCTGCTCGCCGCCGCTGCGAGCCATGCCGCCGTAGCTTGCTGCGACGCTCTCCTGCGGCGACGGGTGCGTGCGGCAAGGCGGACGCTGCCGTTGGCGAGTGCAGCTCGGTGCATGCTCGCCCCGCCTCCCTGCGGCTGCTGCGACACGATGGCCCTCTCGGTCTCTCGTGCGCTCCTCGCGGCTTCTCGCACCCCGTCGGCAGCCGCCAGCACCGCCGGGCTGGGCATCTCGGCGCGCCGTGCGAGGCCGAGGCGGAGCTGGTGCCCGAGGAGTCGCTTAAACTTTCAGAGAGTGGGCGGCGGGCGTATGTGCTGGCGGCGCAGGACGATGGGGCGTCAGAGAGCCGTCAAGCATGAACGCGCGCCGCCTGAGAGCCTACGCACGCTCGCGCGCAGGAGCGCAGATCTCTCATGCCTGCGTCTGTGCAGCGCTGCAATGCATCGCTAGTCGCGAGTCTGCGTCGGTCATGCGTGCAGGCAGATGCAGCGCTGCAGCGCTCCCTCGCAGCTGCTGCGGCAGGGGCTGGCAGCCGTTGGGCGAGGGGAGGCAGAGGGCGAGGCTAGGCGTGCATGCAGCCCGTTGGCGTTGGAAGCACTCGCGCGTGCGCTGTCGCGCTGCCCAGCTGCGGCAGCGCGCGGGCAAAGGCATCAGGGGGTAAGACGCACGCGCGTTGGCCCGCTGTCTGGGGGCGACAGCCGCGCAGAGCAGCCGGTGGCCGCACGCAGCACAGCTGCAGCACGCCCTCGCGCTCTTGGCGGCGGTGCCGAGAGCATGCGGGCGCCGCATGCATGTGCAGCACGCAGACGATGGCGCAGCAGCGCCGCAGCGGGCATGTGCCGGCGGCGGCATCCGGCCTGTGCCGCGTGAGCCTAGCGCAGCGCAGACATGGTTGTGCCGGCACCGGCCTCTGGCGCCGGGAGATGAGGGTGGGGCGCCGCCTAGGGCGACAGCCTAGCATGGAAGCCCGTGCGCGCACTACTCGCCTCGACTTGACGACGCTGAGGCTCAGACGCGAGCTCAGCAGCAGCCACAAACGTTCGTTCCTTCCTTGCAAACAATTGCGTGGCGTGGCAGGGCCGCGTGATGCCGGCCCGGAGGGCGGCAGGAGAGGCCGGCATCCGGCCGTCGGGCGCAATGCGGGGATGGCTGCGCTGCTTGCTGGGGCTGCGCTGATGCTGCGGCGTGCTGGAGCTGCCGTCTGGCGCTGGGAGTCCGGCACGGGCGCAGCGGCAGGCGGAATGCGCGGCCGTTTCTTGCTGCCGACGGCGCGTGCGTGCTTGGGCGGCTGGTACAATCAGCTCGAGCTGGCGCGAAGGTTCGCTGTGCTGCTGCCTCCGCCCGTGGGAGTGCGGACGGGGGTGCAGACGCCGAGGTGCCGCCGGCATCCGGTAGGCGGGCTCGGCGTCAGCGTGTGCTTGCTCTGGCGCGCGGAATCGGCGCCGCCGCTTGCTGTTGTCCGCCGTGAGATCAAGCTGCGATGCTGCTGGCGGCTGTCACGGGCCACGGCTGTCATGCCTGCGGCAGCCGCAGCACGGCGCGCCCCTCGTGCCTCGCCACGCCGTCGGCATGGCACTCACTCGGCTCGGCTATGGGGGAACCTCTTGCTGCGGCTGCGAGGAGAGCGCTGCATCTCGCAGCATGTCTCTCTAGTGCGCTGTCCGCTGGGCCGGGCGCGCAGCGATGCCGCAGAGGTGGGCGTGGAGAAGCACGCCCATGGGCCGTGCACAGCTGCGGGCGGCGCAGCATCAGGGGCCAGCGTGCAGCCCTGCACCTCGTGCTTCTCCTCCCGCGCAGGGGCGACGCAGAGAACGTCGCGCTGACCTTCTGCCGTGCTGGAGCGCGTCGCCTCGTTCCGCGCTGCTGGACTGGCACCTGAGCATGGTAGCCGCGGCGCAATCTGCTGAGCGGCTGGCAGGCGGGGGCGCATGCGGCGTGAGCTTCGCTCTTGCGTGGCCTCGCCGCCCTGTCGGCCGCCTTCTGCCGCCTGCCGCTCTGCCGCTCTGCTTGGCTGTCGAACTCGCAGCTTAGCCTCGCCTCGTCGGCCGCCACGCCGCGATGGACGTGGACAGGCGCATGTTGCGCCCGCGAGTGACAGCCGCAGCAGGCAGCGCATCTCGTCGGCCGCATGCCGCCGCTTGCTGCCCTGCGCCCGCGCAAGGGTCAGCGCCGCCACGAGGGCGAGCGCGGGGAGCGTGGCGCCAGCGTGGCAGCGCCGCCGAGCACGCAATGCCGCCGGCACAGCACCAGCGACCACCCTCGCCGCCGCCGCCGCGATAGCAGAAGGAGTCTCTCTGCCACGGCCGCGCTCGTCGCCAGGCCGAAGCCGACGCCGAGATCGCACCTGCCCACTGGCGCTAGCGCCGTCGTGCCCAGCGGCGCGCCAGCCAACGGGCTGGGGGCGCAGGGGCAGCGGTCGCAGCGCAGCGCAGACGGATGCAGGGACACACGAGCCCCTCCTCCTGGCGTGGCCATGCGCGTGCCCTCTATTCCGCTCGCTCCCGCTCTGTTGATACGAGCCAGCTTAGCGGTGCCGCATGGGCATAGGCTGGGTGCTGGTGTCTCCGGCATGGCGGGAGCGCGCAGCAGGCAGCGCAGGCAGCTGCAGCGCAAGGGCGCTACGCACAGCTGCGTGCATGAGCGGCAGCAGGCGCACGCGCGCAGGCGCCGCACGGGGGGCGTCCCAGCTGGAGACCATACTCAGCGCCGCACTCCGCCCATTCAATCAGCGACGGGGCTCTCCACTGCACTGGCATCGAGCAGGAGCCCTTCGTACCACGCTCGAGACAGCCTCGCGCGCGCTGGTCATTCGAGCGCCGCAGCTGCTGCGAGATGTCTTGCTGCGCGCTGGCGCTCGCTGCGGCGCGTGTCCGGCGCCCGCGCCGCTGCCATGCTTTGCCGCGGCCCCATCGGCGATCCGGCCTTCGAGTGTTGCACTTGGCTCCAAGCACCGGCAGCAAGGCGGGGCCGTGCTGGGCGCCCTGAGTCGAGTGCTGCTGCACGCTGTGCCGCCGCCGCAGCCGCAGCCGGGCTGGCGGAATGAAGCTCTCCTTTGCTGCCTGGGCCGCTAGCAAGCACGTCGCTTGCCCCGCCCTCCCGCGCCTCCTCGTGCCTCTTGAGCATCGCCACGCTATCGCTCCTGAGCCGTCGCTGCAGGTCATGTGCACCTGCGGCTGCATGCGTCTGGGCTGAGCTGCTGCAGCGCAGAGGAAGAGCGGGACGCTCGCAGCGCAGCGCATCCGCCCACCGCTCATGCGCTACGCCTGCATGCTGCTGCATGTGCATGCGTCGCAGCCGCAGCTCGACTGCTCCCACCTCCCCGGACGACCCCTCACACTGAGTGCGAGAGCGACGGACGGCTCACGCAGCATGCGGAGCGGAATGCTGCTCGCCCAGCTCCGTGTCGTGTGCAAGCAGCGCGAGTCGGCAGCATGAGGTGCGATCGAGCAGCAGCCTCGACGTCTGAGCATGCCGCCTTGCCGTTTGCACGTGTGCGCTGCGATCTCGCAGCGGCTGGACGTGCAGCGTCGCCGGCTGGACATGTCCTCCTCGACGCATGCTGAGCACTGCTCGATGCAGAGGTGCTGCTCCTCGATGCAGTCCGCATCTGTGTGCAGCGTGCGGGGCGCAGTGCCGGCGGCAGGCGAAAGCAGGAGGCGGTCGTCGATCCTCAGCTTCCCTCCATGCGCAGAGGTCAGGCAGTCCCGTTGCGTATGCCATGCCCGAGCATGCAGAGGCCGTGCACGGCCGTGCATGCCAGAGTCATGCTTGGTAGCGGGAGCAGCTGCACAGCGTCGAAACCAGACGAGCTGCCGTCTCGCGGCCGCCGTCACGCCTCCCACCCCCTTCCGCCTCGGCGCGCCATTCCTCAAGCCAGGGCTTCTGTCTTGCCATTTTCGAGCCGGCCAGCTCATCCAAGCTTCGGTCCAGTACACGGAGGGTCGGCATGCCCTATCTTCCCATGCTGAGGTCAGCCCTCTTGCACCCGTGACCCGGCTCTGCGGCGGCACGGAAGCAGACGCAGCGCCGCTCGCACCGGCGCGCATGGTATGCCCGCATTTCCGATAGTCAGGAGCGCTCCTTCACGACGACCCTGCGCTGGGAGAACGGCCGTGCCAATGCTTACCACGCGGAGTCGTGAGCGGATCGGGAACAGGCAGCCGTTCCCTTGCGCCGCGAGAGAAGGGCCGTGAATCCGAGATGCGGGGGACCCTTCACCGAGCGGCCACGGCGCGACGCACCCGCAAGACGCATTCCAGGGTCTGCGCTGCGATCCGCGGTCGGCCAAGGATCGAGCAAGGACACCGTCGGAGGCTCACAGGCGCACCATCATGGGTCACGCTCTGGCGCACACCATGCCGCCAGACGGCTCGCCTCGCGACGCGCCATGCGACGGCTCCGAAGAGGCGGTCAGACGAGCGCCTCGCGGTACCTCGAGACACAAGCCAGGCGTCCGCGCCGACGACAGCGACGCTACTGCTGCACTCTCGCCTCCGAGGGCCATGTCTCAGGTGAGTGCACCACCCGGAGGCTGCGGGCTTGCGATGGTGCCCGCAGAGCGTCTAGTGCACGGGCAAGGCCGAGGCGCGTCGGCTGTCACGGCTCGGCCCTGCTCGCGCCTCGGGATCCTGCTAGACAAGGTGTTGGTCTCGGCTTTGCGCAAGATCAACCGCGACCGTGGTGCATCTCGCCTGTCGACAGCTGTCAGCTCGAGCTCGACGCTGGGTGCGGGGCAATGCGCTGCTGCTCCCAGGACTCCCATGCAGGGTCCGGCGAGCGCGGCTCCGCCGCTGTGCAGCGCTGCACGCAGGCAGCAGGCAGGAAAGGCCCGACGCGCCTTGTGCGCGCAGGCGTCTCCTGCGCGTCCATCGCATGCACCCTTACCTAACGCAGCCGCCCCGCACAGCGCCAGTGCACTCAGACTCAGTTGCAGCTCTGCTTCCATAGCGCCTAATCTCCGTGCTCCGCCCGTCGGCTGCGGGCACAGGCAGAGCTCAGACGCCCAGCTTGCCTCCGCCGCACAAGGGTGCAGGCCACACAGCGCTACTGCGCTCGCGCGCAAGGGGCCGGCAAGCCGTGCGTGCCCGAGGCAGTGGCTCCGCTCACAGATCTCTCCTAGTGCCATCTCGCACTCGCTCCGACACGACCCTACGCAGCGCCAGGCCTGCCACGGCTCGGCATAAACGGCGGCGTGCAGATCACTCGGCCTCGAGGGTCGCAGATTGCCGTGGCGCGCGACGCTCCCGTCCTTGCCTAGCGGGCCGCGCTCGGTGGCGCTCGGGGCACGCTAGCACGCTCCTCTCCTTCCTCTGCTCCTCCTCGCTGCACCTGCACTCTGCGCGGAGCTGGCCGCAGGAGGTCGAGCTGCTGCAGCGTGCCAACTCCGCCTGCTGCTGCTCCAGCCGCGGATCCTAAGCGTCTCCTTGTTCTCGGCAACGGGCAAAGTTGCGTGCCCGAGTCTTTGGTCTTCGCCCGAGCGAGAGAGCTTGATCAGGAATGCAGAGCGCTGCATAGCTCCTGCATCCGCGCCTTGACAGCGCAGGAATGGTCCGCGATCAGCGCATCTCTTCCCGAGGAGGAGGGAGCCGGGCGATACATGATCCGGATCGCCACCGTCGGCCGCCGGTCGACCTCGGGCTGCCAGACCCCGTGTCGCACGGTGGGCCTAGCCCAACAAAGTGCGCCAGGGTCGTTGCGGCAGGAGGCATGCCACGCCAGAACGTGCACGCCTCGCTCTGATCCGGGCTCTCCTCGCGAATCTCGACGTCGAGACAGTGCGGTTCGTGCAACTCTGGGTCTGCTCGCACCGGTCAATGCTGCTCCGCGCTGCGCCCATTCTCGCAAGCTGGTACCACACACAAGCTGCTGCCGGTGACACTTGAGTTAATTAGCCAATGAGTGTGATGTGTGTGTGTGCTCTAGTCTTCGTCGCTGTCCTCGAAGAAGCCCTGGCCCGTCTTCCACGTGCCGCCGCCGCTGAGCTCGGCCTCCTCGTCGCGCTTCCGCCGTCGCTCCAGCTCGGCCTCGGAGAGCACCTCGTCGCGCTCGCTCATCGCCAGACTGCCGCTGTCCTCGGCCACGACCTCGCGCTCGTCCGACAGTCGCCGGCCGTGCTCACCGAGCGAGGCGGCGCCGCCACGGTCCCGCGCCAGTGGCTCGTACGCGCCAGTCTCGGCGCCGGAGGCACCCGCAGCGCCGACGACCACGAGCAGGCGGTACTTGAGGTAATTGTACAGCCCGATGCCGAGCAGCGCAATGATCAGGCCCGACACGTTGACCGGCGTGAGACGGTCGCCGAAGACGGACGAGGAGAGCAGAATCGTGGATGCCTCCTTGAAGATGCCCGCGACGGACAGCGTCACGACGGACGTGCGCCGGATCAGACTGCGCATGGGCGGATCAGCAGGGCTTCTGCGGGAAGGACCATATGCTGCACTCACGCAAACTCGCTGAGGTTCATCGCAAACGCAACGAAGCCCGGCGCCATAACGAGGCCGAGAGTCTTGAAGCTCTCACCGGCAGTGGCAAAGAACTTGCCGCCAAAGAGGCCCGGCCAGTCCTCGATCATGACGCTGACGCTCAGCATGCTGACGAACATGACGGGCGCCAGCCAGAAGATCGTCGCGACCGGGTTGCTCATGCCCATGCCCTCGCGGTCCAGCAGGATCTGCGTCAGGGCCCAGCGCAGACCGCCGCAGGCAGACGCCGAGAGCACCTGCACTGCGCCCTCGAAGACGAACTCTGTCTCGGCCGCGACCATCATAATGACCTGGCGAAGACGTGAGCGTGCGACGCAGCATACTGGCGAACGTTCTACTCACGCCGACTGTGATCAGAGCGATGACGCCGATCAGGCTCAGCCGCACCTTCTCGAGCCCGAAGAGGAAGGCAAAGAACAGCACAAATGCGAGGTTCGAAGACTTGCACATGGCTGATGGCAGGGGTCAGCCTCGCGAAGAGCCAGCTGCGCGCTCGGGACCCACTGTAGAACGTCAGCGTGATCGTTTTGAGGCTGAGATTCGAGAGACCGATGTCAAGAGCAGTGGCCACTGCGCATGGCACGACCTTTGTGCTGCAGAGCGCTCGTCAGCGACAGCAGCGCTGAGCGGTCAGCGCGCCAGCGCTCACCCCCAGTCCGAGCTGCTCGGCCGCAGCCGCTTGCCATTGCGCCCGCGCGGCACCCACGACTGGCACGCCGAGAGCAGCGCCAGGCTGAGGCCGAACTGCACGGCCATGTGGCACGACGTGACGAAGAGCGGATAGGAGAAGGCGTGGTGCTTGCGCGAGAAGAGCCAGCTGTTGTAGAGGTTCATGATCGTGCTGAAGAAGTCTACAGAGGCGAAGGACGAACGTCAGCATGCAAGCGCCGCGATGCATCCATCACACGCCTCGTGGCGAAGCAGACATGCATCGAGACGGGCTTTCTGAGCCCGCGCGTGCTGCCCGGCCTTAACTCGAGCGTGCTGGCTTGCATCATACGCTGACGTTCCGGACATGCTGCTCTTCCGCCGTTGACCACACCATCTGCCACAGCTCTAGGCACTCACACCAGCTGAGGATGAGCGCCACGTTGATGACGGCTGCACGCCAGTACTGCCGGCGCCGTTCCTGTTCGTCGTCTGTTGGTCGCGGCCCGAGCGCCAGGTCGGCGACAGACGCAGCGGCGCTGCCGAGGGAGCCGATGGCGCGCCCGCCACGCCCGAGCCACACCTCGCCGCGCCCCTGCGGCCCGCCGACGCCGAGCGTGGCGCCGTACAGCTTATCGCCCTCCTCCTCGAGCTCGCGGCGCTCCTCTGCGTCCTCGTCGTCATCCTCGCTGCGGCGATCGGCATACGTGCCGGACGAGGAAGCGGCCCGCAGGCGCTCGCGGCTGGCGCGCGACTCGACGTACACGGCGTCGCGCTCGCCGTCGGAGCCGGACGAGTGCGTGGAGCGCGACGACGAGGCGGCGGGCGCCGCCGGCATGCTGGCGGCCAGGCGCTCGGGCGCGCGAGCGGCGTGCGGCGTCGCAGGGGCAGGCGAGGGGCGGCGCGCGCGAGATGCGGTGCCTCGGCGTGTGTGTGCTGCGCGACAGGCTGACGCTGAGCAGGGTGAGATGCGTGTGCGTGCGGAGTGTTGTTTGGGGTGGTGAGAGGCCGTGCGTCGTGGAGGTCAGCTCGAGGGGGCCGTACATGGCGTCCGTGCCTGAGCTCCCTCCCCGCGCTGGCATCGCGTGGGAGCAGGCGGTGCTGGAGGGGCGGCACGCGCGTGCGACTGCCGCCAAACGCGGCGCGGCCGCCAACTCTCGATTTGCGCGATCTGTGGACCCGCGTTTGCTGAGTCATCGCAGCACCCTGGCCCTCCTCCGCACCACCACCTCCACACGCTCGCCGCTGTGGTACACGCTCCTGGCACGCCGCCAGCTCGCCGCCCGACCACCACAAGCGCACGCAGCATGCAGCACGCCGGGCCCTCGTCACCGCCGCCCAAGGCGGAGCAGCAGGCCGCCGCCGCTGCTGCCGCCTCGGCTCGCACCCGTGCCGCCGGCCAGCGCGGCTTCGCCGGGTACAGTGAGTGGACCGCACGCATGTGCACGGCTGGGCACATACTGATGCGCGCACCGCAGCGCCCAGCACCCATCACTCGCTTGCCGACGCGCACGACGCCGCCTGGGAGCGCGACTCGGGCGCCGCCGCGCCGCAGCCGCCGGCGCCGGCACCCGCGGCCGAGGCGGGGCGGGCCGAGGACGAGGCGGAGGCAGACGCACAGGCCGCAGCCGGCGCCGCCGAGCGCAACCCGCAGGAGGAGCAGGACTGGATGACGCAGATGGTGCGCGAGCCAGAAGGGGCGCCGGCGCAGGACGACGATGGCCGTGCGGCGGCCGAGGAGCAGCTGCAGCTGCAGCGCCGGCTAGAGGAAGGTGCGTAGCAGTGACGCTGCTCGGCGACGCTGGTGTGCCAGACTCGCTGATTCTTTATGCAGATGCCGCAACCTCCGCGGCAGCAGACGCGCAGAATGCTGGGCTGGAGTTCCCCTCGACCTCCTCCGACGCCATGGCGGCTGTCATGCGCCTGGCACAGGCGGCGTCGTCCTACGATGCGGCAGACGCGGGCGCTGCGGCTGAGCGCGCCGGCGAGTGGCCGAGCGCAGAGCAGGAGGGCATGGCGGCCGGCGACGGCACGCAGGGCGAAGGCGAGCAGTCCAACAAGCGGCCGCTGAGCACGTCGAAGCGCGCCGCTCAGAACCGGGCGGCTCAGCGCGCCTTCCGCGAGCGTCGTGACAAGTGAGTGTTCTCGTGCAAGGCTTCGCGAGACGTCGCTGAAGCAAGCTCTGCAGGCGCGTCAAGGAGCTCGAGCTGCGCGACCAGCTTCTCCAGCCCACGCAGGAGTACGCTGCCGAGCTGCGGCTGCGCCTCGCGGAAACCAACAGCTACGCCCACCAGCTGCGCGAGATGCTCCTCGCGCGCGGCGTCGCCGAGGAAGAGGTGCCGAGCCCGCCGACCTATCCGGAGCTGCAGGCACCGCCGCTCGACATCACTGAAGGCGAGGCGGCCGGCTCGCCAACAGGCGGCGAGGCTGGCCCGTCAAAGAAGCGGCGCAAGAGCGGCAAGACGAAGAGCCCGCAGATGCAGCCCGAGTACGCGCACCACCCGGACGACGCAAGCATGCTCGACCTGGCCGCTGCCGCTACGGCGCCGCACGCGCAGCACGAGACCGACGGGCTCGAGTGGCTCGAGCAGCACCACCCGCAGGCGCACGGCCACATGCAGCACCAGGGCGCGGGCAACGAGGAGGCGCTCGACTCGCTCAGCGCCGTCGCCGTCGAGGCCGCTGCGGCTGCAGCGCACGCCGCTGCGCACGAGCATGCGGCGCAGGACGAGGCGCAGGCGCGTGCCGAGATGCTCGAGCACGAGGCGCAGCATGGACAGGGCGAGCAGGAAATGCAGGAGCCGCCGCAGCTCGAGGAGCCCGCCGAGCACGTGCTCGAGCAGCATGCCGAGGACGACGAAGCGGCTGCAGCGCAGGCGGCCGGCATGGCTGCGGCCTAGCTTCTGCCTCCTGCCCGCCACCCAGCTCTCTACGCCGCTCCACTCAGCGCCCGTCTGTCTCGTCGTCGCGCCGTACTCACCTGCGCTGCATCTCGACACTCATACCCCCGCCCCTGTCCCGCTTCTGCCGTCGAAAGCTGTACTTATACGCACGCGTGACGCATAGCATTTGCCCATCCGTGCTGCCCTCACTCCAGCGCCTCGTCGCCGTCGGCCACGCTCGAGAAGCTGAGCGTCTCGACGCGGCCGCGCCCCTTGGTCTCGGTCTCGAGCAGCTCGTTGATGAGCCGCAGCGACCCTGGGTCGATGACTGCGATCTGAAGCGCGAACGCGATGAGCGCTGAGGAGAGGGAGCCACTGCGCACAGCAGCGCCCCAGCGCGCGACTCACCAGCTCCCACTCGTCTGTCCAGTCCTCATCCTCGACCGTCTCGACGAGCGGCACGATCTTCTCCTTGAGCCGCTTGCCCTCCTTGTTGGCCATGGTGATGCGCACGCGCATCTTGGCGCGCTCGATGGGAATCGTCTTTGTCGACTGCAGCAGCTTGATGACGTCGAGTGCCTGGGCGCGCGCGCATGAGCACGCAGACGTCCTGAGCATTCTCAGCGGTACTCACCTGGCTCTTTGCGCTCTTGCCCGTCTTGATCGAGTAGTGCGAGTCGTGCATGGCCTTCTCGATGAGCCCGACGGTGTAGGGCCGCTTCGACGACGGGTCGACGCAGCGCTCGGCGACAAACGTGGCGATCTCGCGGAACGTCGACGAGAGCTCGTGCGAGCGCTCCTTGTCGCCCACCTGCAGCTCGCCCTTCTTGAGGATCTGCAGACTTGGATGAGCATGCGAAGCCAGCCGGGCGCTGCACGTCTGGAGCGGATGCACGGACGGCGTGGTCCCTTCACTGCGCAGCCGCGGCGCGTGCAGAGCCCGCCCCGCGCACCACGCGCATCACCTCTCACAAGATGCCCGCTGGCCAGCCAATGCCAGGTGCGAGCCAGGTGACTGCTGTTCTCAAGCGATGCGCCGTCTCCCGATGCACATTTTGAGCCCTAAAGCTCCTGCGTTCACGCCCACATGCGCCCTCCACGCCCCGCCGCGTTGCGCCCACCACTGCACACACTCACCTCGAGGATGATGTCGGGCGTCTCCGCCGTGCCAAACGCCTTCTTCATCTCGTCGGCACTGGCCAGCTGGCCCTTGGAGACGTTGATGAAGACGGAGTGGATCTGGACGACGTCGTCGAGGTCCGTCTCGACGCCCGTGCGCCACTCGCGCACCTTGTTCTTGTACGCAGCCACCTCGAAGCGCTTGCCGCCCTTCTTGAGGCGCACGACGGAGACGTTTGTCAGCTTGATCTGGTTGCTAGGCTGGTTGATCGGCATGGTGGGTGAGGTCTGTGGGATGCGGAGGTGGTGGACCTGCGGGAAGAGCTGCTCGCTGCTGCTGCTGCTCGCCGTCCGGCTCACGTCGGCAAGGGGAGCGCAGTGGAGGCCACGCTTCGGCTTACGTCAGCACGCGACCGACTTTTGTTGGCGCGAAGGCCGCGGCTTCCTGTCGTTGGCCTGCACCGCCGCTGCGTCTTCGCTCCCATCCGCATCCCTCTCCAACGCCCGCTCACGCATCGCCAATCGCCGCACCTGTCGCGATGTCCTCTGCATCATCATCCGCCGCGGCACGGCCTGCCAAGAAGCAGCGCCGGGCGCCACGTGCCGCGCCCGACGCGCCCGCCGAGCTGCCCATGGGCCGCTTCCTCGCCTCGCCCGGTGCGTCGCAGCGCCGATGCTGCAGTCGCTGCTCCCGCTCATGCGCCCTCCTGCCACAGAGAAGAAGCTGCGCGACGGCGCCGTGCGCTCGCTTGCCGCATTCCTCAGCCAGCGCGCTGCGGCCGAGCCCATCAGCCGCGAGGACATGGCCAAGCTCTGGAAGGGCATCTTCTACTGTGAGCAGCGGCGCCAATGACATGGGAGAGCATGGCGGAACGAGCGCAGCGGGGCGATGCTGGGCGGTTGCGCAGTCATGATGAAGCAGAAATCTGCTTGGCCGAAACGTCTGCTGCTGCCGCGTCGCTGTGCTGTCCTGCTCCGAGTCCAAGCTGACACGCACAGCAGGCTTCTGGATGTCGGACAAGCCGCTCGTGCAGCAGGCTTTGGCGCAGGAGCTGGCCGACCTAGTGCTGCTCGTGCCGCGGGCCGCTGCCCCCTCCTCATCCACCTCCGCCGCGCCGGCGTGCCAGGCGGCGCTGGGCTTCCTCGAGGGCTTCTGGGACGCCATTGTGCGCGAGTGGAGCGGCCTGGACAAGTGGCGCATGGACAAGTTCTACCTGCTCGTGCGCCGCTTCGCCAATGCCGGCTTCCGGCTCGTGGCGCGCGAGCAGTGGGATGCCGCAGCGGTGGCGGAGCTGGCGCGCATCATGCGCAAGCAGGGCGGCCCGATGTGGTGAGTTGCGTCGTGCGACAGATATTGGCGCCGACCGCTGACGGTGCTACTCCAGCCCAAATGACGTCAAGGTGCCAGACAGCATCACGTACCATCTGGCCGACGTGTACCTGGAGGAGCTGGAGAAGGCCATCGTGTCGCAGGAGGCAGGCGGCGAGGTGAGCCTGCCGTGTGCGCCCGCACTTGCACATGGCGCTGACACTGCTGCACAGACGGCGCCGACGCCCCTGCTCGACCTGCTGCAGCCGTGGGTCGTGACTGTCGCCTCGGCGCACTCGGGCCCGATGTACACGCGCATCATGGACAACGTGCTGCACCCGCTGCTGCGCGACCTGCTCGTCGATCCGCCGGCCGAGGACGAGGACGAGGCCGACGCGGCCGCCGAGCTCTCCTTCCCGCGTCTGCTGGCCACTGCTGCGGCGCCGCCCGCGGCCGAGCTGGGCGACGAGGAGTACGACGACGCGGCGCGCAAGAGCGGCCGGCGCGCCCAGCTGCGCCTGGCGCTCTTCCGCCGCCTCTTTGCCGAGGCCAGCCGGCCAGAGGCGCTGCAGGCACGGCGACACAACCTCTACAAGCTCTGGGAGGCGGAGCGTGCGCGCATGGACGACGCAGAGGACAGCGAGTGATGCTGCTGCGCACGTCGGTCGTGGGGTCTCCAATGTCATCTGGTCTTCAAGAAACGTGATGCATGAGAAGGCGCGACAGAGAAGCCGTGCATGTCTAAGGGTGAAGGGAGTGCCAGAAAGAGCCATAGTACAAGGGAAGGGGCATTCGAGTGACGAGGAGGAAACGGGCGCAGGCGGCCTGCACACTGCTTCATGGGCCGGTGAAGCCGGGGAAGCACGTCGCCACGTCCTTCTTGGGGTGCTGCAGAGCGAAGGGAATCAGCATGGGTAGATGAGGCAAGACAAGGGCAAGCACACACCTTGGCGTCGATGTGCTCCTGCAACTGCGAGCGCGAAGAAAGGGGTCAGCACGAGTGCGCTCCACAAGCAGATAGGAGCACGACACTGCGCATGCCGACATGCGCTGTCGATTCTTCGGCGTCGATCTGCACCGCTCCCTGTCACGGCAGAAGCCGGCGCCAGCACGCCGGCACAAGCGCCATGCAGATCACAGCCGGCTCTGGACGCGCCTGAGCGTGGCTTGACGCCGCAAGGGCGGGCAGCGGTCCAGCCAGCGTCTGCTGGTAGTTGGGCCAGCCAGACTGCGCCCGAGCGCACGATGAAGAGCCGCCTGCACACGCCGAGAGGCAGACGCGCGGCGCTCGTCCATGCGGAGGTCATCCGCGCTGACCACTGGACGATTCCTCTCAGGCCACTCGGCATCACGCTCGTGCGTCCGGACGTGCATGCCTGCCGCTCTGCCTGCTCGGCCCACACGACCCTCTCGCAGCTCTACGCGCAACTCACTGCGGCGGTGCGGACCGTCTGTGGGATGCATGTCAGCAGAGGGCCGGCAAGCGCTGCCAGCTGACGCAGCACTGACCGACATGAACGTCTGCATGCACACGGCGCACTTGACGCTGAGCGCGGCCTCTGCACGGGAGTGCTGCGTATCAGCATGGCCCTCGCACACAATGCCCGCCCGCACCACGCACGGTTCGCCTTGAGCTGGCTCTTGGGCTCGCTGGCGGCGGCGTTCTTGGCGTTGCGCTCGCGCTTCATGTTGGCCTTGTTTCCGTTGCCCATGGCTGCGGCTGTGTGTGTGGTGGTGCGAGGTTGGGAGATGGAGGATGAGGGTGGGGTGAGAGAGAGGAACGTGGCTGCAGCACGGGTCCAGGGCGCTGCAGGAAGCTCGTCCGTGTCGTGCGCCACAAAATCGCCGCACGTGACGCAGGCCACCTCCGCGGGATGGCGGCGACGGCGGCCACTCGACTGCTGGCACGGCCCCGCACCGCCAGCGCCCGCTTCCCCTCCACCACACACCCACCGCACACCATGGATCTCGACCTCGCCGTGCCGGCCGATGCGCCGCGCACGCCGCTCGAGCTGCCGCTGCTCGCGCTGCTCAACGAGGCACGCATCGAGCACGGCCTGCGCGTCCACGACCACGCGCGCTACCGCGCCTACTGCTCGGCAAAGGTGCACCGCCTGCGCGCCGGCCTGCGCCTCACCCACGCCGACGCACAGCACACGCCCGCTGTGGCGGCGGGCAAGGGCGCGGCAGCCAAGAGCAAGGCGGCCAAGGCGCGCCGCGGCAAGAAGCGCCAGACGCCCGCGGCGCAGAGCAGCGCCGACAAGGGCCACGGCAACGTCTTCACGCGCAAGACGATCCGCGCCGCAGACGTGCGCGACAACCGGTGCGTGGCGGTGGCTGGATGGGCACATGTGGCACGCACGGTGTGCCGGTGCTGCTGCAATCCATTACGTCGACTGACACTCACGGCCCCACAGCGCCCTGCAGCTGCTCCTCTTCGAGGCCGAGCGCGCCTGGGCCTTTGCGCAGGACAAGCGCACCTCGGACACGCCCAGCCCGCGCCAGGCCTCGTCGCACGCCCGCCGCTCGCTCTACTGGGCTGCACAGCTCGAGGCACTCGCCGGTGCGCTCAAGCCGCGCCTCGATGCGCGCGCCCGCGGCCAGATTGCTGCATACGCCGTGGCGCTACGCGGCGGCGTGGCGTTTGACAAGGAGGACCACCCGGCGGCACTGCGCAAGCTCTCCGTCGCCCGCCTGCTCTTCACGGCGCTCGCCGATGCTGCCGCCGAGTCTAAGCAGGCTGCCCTCGCCAACAGTTGGGTCGACCAGAGCGACGCACAGCTGCGCTTCAGCGCCTACCAGCTCGAGCTGGGCGACGGCAGCCCCGACGAGATCGTCAGTGCCGCGGCGCCGGCCGACGTGTGCGAGGCCGAGGTGCCGGGCTTCGCAGCGCTGATCCAGGAGCTCGAGGCGTTGCGCGGCGAGCGCAAGGTGCGCGCGTCCGTCACGATCACCTGGCGCGAGGAGGTCATCCCGGTGCGCAACGCCGAGCTCGTCGATGCACTGGCGCGCGTGCACGCCGCAGAGCAGGCGCTCGGTAAGGCCGTCGATGCGCATGACGAGGATGCCCAGCGCAAGACGGCGGACGCACCGGCCAAGGGCCACAAGCGCCAGCGCCTCACCTCGGCGCAGCGCACCGCCAAGAAGCGCGCCTCTGCCGGAGGAGCGCCTGGCACGGACGGTGCCGCTGCAGTGGGCATCAGCGCCACCGGCGGTCGCACGCAGCTTGACCCGTACGACCGCGCACTGGGTGCGCTCTCTGATGCCGAGGAGCTTGCGCGCCGTCTCGTCGAGGACAACGCCGCGGCGCTGGCCAAGAGCCACAGCACGCGGTACGAAGCCGCTGGCAAGGACCTGCAGCGTGCGCACGAGTACCTGCAGTACCGCCTGCTGTCTCTGCGCGTGCGGCGCAACGCACACCTCGTCGAGGAGGTGAACCACAAGGCTGCACGCCGCGAGCAGCGCGCTCGCGACGCACTCGAGCGGCGCCTGGCGTCTGGCAGCCAGAGCGAGCCGCGCAAGCGCAAGGAGGGCGTGGAGCCCAAGCGTCTGCGTGCGCCCAAGCCCAAGCGCAAGAACGGTCCCGGGGCGCGTGCCAAGCGTCCGCGCACGGCGCCGCGTGCGTACAAGCGCAAGCCGGCGCGCAGCGGTGCGCGCAAGGCTCGTGCGCAGCGAGCAGCGTCGAAGGAGCAGCGCGCGCGCAGCGTCGAGGCGGAAAAGCAGCGGCGCCGCGCCGCACGTGCCGTGCCGGGTGTCGCCAAGCTGCTCGACGGCGCCGAGGCCAGTCTGAGCGCCATGGCCGCGCTGGGTCTCGTCGAGGCACAGCCGGACGTCAGCTCGCTCATCGACGCCAAGGCGGCGTGGTACAAGGCAGAGGTGCTGCGCATCCTCGCGCGCGCCTACGACCTGGGCGGCGCGCAGGACCACGCGCTGCTGCTGCTTGCACGCGCACAGCTCTTTGTCCGCCAGGCACGACAGGCGGCCGAGCTCGTCGACGACGCAGGCGAGGAGGACGCCGATGCGCCGCCGCGCATGCTCGAGTCGACGTTCGCGCAGACCGAGCAGTTCGTCGAGGCGGCGCAGAAGGATGCGCAGCGCGAGCTGTACTTCTCGCAGCACGGCCTGGGCCGCGAGGCATCAAGCTCGGCGAACCTCATCAACAGCGCCGCATCGCGCTCGCGCGCTGCTGGTGCCTCCAGCAGCAAGGGCGTGCAGCGTGGCACGGCGCAGCGCGACACCAAGGCTGGCCAGGCGGTGCGCGACCTCGCCACTAAGCACGTCACCTTCGACGCCGACGACCTGGCGCACGCGGCACACCTCAGCGACAGCCGCGAGGCCGAGCTGCAGCAGGAGCTGCGCGCGGCGGTGGCCGAGAAGCAGCAGGCGCAGCCGAGCAAGGCAGCTGCTGTGGCCAAGAAGGCTGCGCTGACGGCGGCCAAGCCTCAGGCGCCGGCGACTCCTGCAGCAGCAGCCAAGCCAGCGCCGGCCGCGAAGGAAGCAGCACCAAAGGCGGCAGCACCAGCCGCCAAGTCCATCCCCGAGGCCGTCGTCGAGACTGTGCAGCCGCCGCTCGCCGCCGCCGCACAGGCCGTGCAGCCGCCGCTGCAGGCCGCGGCGCAGGCAGCGTCGGCCGCCGTCGAGCAGGTCACGGGCGGCGGCGAGCCGTACGACCCGGGAAACGTGACGGACGAGGAGGAAGAGGAGCAGCGTGCGGCGCAGACGCCCAAGAAGGGCTGGCTCGGCGGCTGGTTCGGCGGACGCTGAGGCAGACGAAGCATCTCGGCCGCACAGCAGTCAAGAAATGCATTTCTACGCGGGTGACAGGAGCGGACGCGTCTACTTGGGCACTGCCGGGCGAAGCAGTCAGCATGGCGAGTCAAGCAGCGCAGGAGCAGCGCCACTCACGCCACTTGACGCCCGTCTTGGGGCACGTCGAGTTGAACGTCGACGCCGTGGGGATGTAGCGGCCGCCGACGACGGGGCCGTAGGTGTGGTAGTAGTACCAGACCTCGTTGAGCTCGCCGCTCTTGGTGCAGCCGAGGTGCGGCGCGTAGCCGAAGCGGCGCGCCAGGGCCTGCTCGAGGTCGGCGGTGGCGTAGGTGCGCGTCGTGCTCGGCTCGATGCCGGCCTGCTTGAGCCAGCGGAACGTCGGCAGCGCGCGGAAGCGCTCCACCGTCTCCTCAAAGAAGCCGACGAGCGCCGCCTCCTCGGGCGAGCGGCCGTCGGCGTGCGGGCGCTGGCACTGGGCGCGCAGCGCAGAGAAGCACGTGGCGTGCTTGTTGTACTCGTGGTCCCAGAAGCCGGCGTTGTCGCCGTCGTTGCTGAGCCAGTAGAGATCCATGTAGGCCAGCGTCGCCGGGCTGTACTTGGCAAGGATGGCGCGGATCTGCAGGGGCGAGCGTGGGCGGGTGGGAGGCGGTAGCGGCAACAGAGCGACGCACCTCGGGACCCGAGTACTCGGGAATGCCGCTGCTCGCCGAGCAGAACTGCGGGTAGCTGCCGTCGCAGTAGTCGGGCCACAGGCCGTGCACCGTCCACGAGTTGGCCGGGCCGAACGAGGGCTGGGCGTTCCAGAACTGCGCACAGACGGGTCAGCACCGACGCTGCCACCCGCGTGCACGCCATCTGCGCACCTGCGTCTGGAGAAGCAGGCCCGACTCCTTCTCGCCCGCGTGCAGCGCGCCGTTGTAGCAGCACGTCGCCTTGCTGTCGGCGTCGATGGGGTAGCGCGAGGCGCAGCTGCGCTGCGAGAGCGCCTTGGCGCACTGCGCCGCGCCCTGCAGGTCGGAGCGCGGCAGCGCCAGCGACGCCAGCGCGGCGGGCACGAGGGCGGCGAGGGCGAGGAGACGGAACATGCTTGCGATGGGTTGATGAGGTGCGGTGGAGCCGGAAGAGCGGCTGCTTTTGTACCGTGACGCGGCGGCGAAGCTCAGGGGCCAAGAGCAGCTCGGCTGCACCTCGGACTTCCACCCCGAGCACCCTGGCACCAAGCGAAAGTGCAGCACCTCTCTTTCCCTTGCCCGAGCAGCCGAACTTGAAGAGGCAGCAGCGAGGCGGCCCTGCGTGCTGAGCAGCGGCGCTAAGAGCGCAGCCGCCTTTGCCCGGCGCACGCTCTCGCCACGCTAAGCGCAGCGCGCAGAAGAGCACGGCCGGCGCGGACGCCGAGCCGCGACGCGCCATCCTTCTTCTCGAGGACGGCGAGCGGAGCTACAGCTGGGAGCACGGCACGCTCTCGTTGCCGCCGGCACGTCGCTGGCCCGATGTGCCGCTGCAGCCGTGCTCGGACAGCGAACGCTCTCGAGTTCGCCGGGCGCTCAGCAGTGCCTGAACGTGCGATGTGAGCTTTGTCAGGGGGACAGACGCGAGATGCAGCGTTGCGCCGCGTGCGCACGTTCCTGTCCTCCCCTCTCGGCGTCAGCGCGGCAACGCAGGTGCGTCTCGCGTTCGATGCTGCGCACAGACCGACATCACCAAGCCGATGAAGTGAGAGCTGAGCTCCCTCACGTGCACTGCACATCTGCAAAGTGCCACTCAGCAGGTGGTGTCGGGGGCAGACCAAAGGCGGGCAGCGAGCCACGCATCTACCACGGCGCCATCGCACAGACGTACGACTGCGAAAGGCAGGACTGCGTCTTACAGGCCATGTCGCGTGCAGCTCAAGAAGAACGTCAGTCGCAGAGGCGCGAGCAAAGGCAAGCGGAGCGCGGCCTCGAGAGAGCGAGAGAGGCGGCGGCCGCCTGCTCTGGCGTGGACCGTCGCGTAGCATATTACGGTCCGCGCGTCACGGCGCGCGCGGGAGTCGCTCGCACCCTCCGCGAGACGCGAGATCCGCGCCGGCATCGGGCGAGCCGGGCGCGCCGGTGCGGGGAAGCGACGACGAGCTGCTCGCTTGCTGACCTCCGCCTCACCGCCTGCGCTCCTTCCGCCTGGGGTGCTCCTGCCGGCCCCTGGCGCTGCTCCACATGCTCCGCCTCGTCTTGCCTCTCCGCAATCCTCTCGCCTGTGCCTCTACCCCTCTCGCCGTGGCTCCTGCCCGCTTCGCCTTCACCGCCGCACCTCTCCGCCGCCTCACCTCCAACATGCCGCCCGCCGCGCGCGACGACGGCGAGGCGGGCATGCCCATGGCGCCCATCCCCTCGGCGACGCTCGTCGTGCTGGCGCCGTGTGCCGCGCACCAGTGGCGCGCGCCGCAGTGGCGCACGCTGCTCGTGTCGCGCTCCGCCCGCCTCGGCTCGTCGTTCCGCTCCGCCGTCGTCTTTCCCGGCGGCGCCGTCGATGCCGCCGACTATGCGGCGCTGCACGTGCCGCACGGCGAGCGCAAGAGTGCCGCGGGCAAGCGGGCGCTGCAGCTGGCGGCGCTGCGCGAGACGTTCGAGGAGACGGGCCTGCTGCTCGTGCCCAGCCGCAGCACGGGCAGCCGGCTCAGCAGCCGGGCCGTGGGCGCGGGAGAGGCCGGTGTCAGCGTCGAGGAGTGGGCACGGATGCGCGAGGCTGTGAGTAAGGAGAGCAGTTGAAGGGTGGGCTGTGCAGAGAAGCGGCGCGCGCGCACTCTTCGTGAAAAGCGACTGCTTGCGGCTCGTGCCTGTCTGACACCGCTGCGCAGGTGCACAACGATGCGAGCCGCTTTGCGCCCTTCCTGGCGCAGGTGTGCAAGCACCTCGGCATCGCCGGCGACGCCGACAGTGCTGATGCGCTGCCGCTGGCGGCCATGATGGAGTTTTCGCGCTGGATCACGCCGCGCACCATCGTGCGTCCGGCCAAGCGCTTCGACGCGCACTTCTTCCTCACCGTGCTCGACGCGCCCGACGTGCTCACGCCCGACACGGCGAGCGCGAGCGGTGCGTCCGAGGGCATCGCCGCTACCACCAAGGGCGGGCTGGGCCTCAGCGCCGACGGCACCGAGACGCTCAATCTCAAGGTCGAGACGCCCGCCGACATCCTGGCGGCGGCGATGCGCGAGGAGTTCCTCCTCATGCCGCCGCAGTTCTACATTCTCGCCGACATTGCCGCGGCGCTGGAGCGGCCGGGCGCGGGCGGCGTCGAGGCGCTGCGGCCACTGCGCTTCCTCGATGCGCCGGGCGTGGGCAAGAAGGCACACGGCGTGTCGCCCGTTTACACCGAGGACCGGCCAGCAGAGCTGACGGCCATCGAGCCGCGCTTCATGCCCAAGGCCGGCAAGACGATGCCGCTGCCGCACGCCTCCAACGCCTCGGCGGCCGATCCCGCCGAGCAGGAGCGCTACGTCTTTCCCCTCGTCATGCCCGGCGACGTCGACTGCTCGGCGGAGCAGCGCCTCGCCGCGGGCCTGCCGGCACGCCCGCCACAGGCGCAGCACGGCGCGCCGCGCATCCTCAACCGCGTGCTCGTCAGCCCGCGCCCCGGCGGCGGCGGCGTGAGCGTCTTTGGCGTGATCCGGCGCGGCATGCCGGGCCTCGAGGACATGAGTCTCGGCTGGACGGGCGAGGACGACGGCGAGAGCATAGCGCCGAAGCTGTGAGGAGACAGGAATGCATTCACTCAGAGAAGGCCCGGGATGACGGCCGTGCGGTCCTTGGGGTATCGGCCGTCCTTGCCGTCGCCCTCGACGCCGAACTTTGAATGGTACCACTTGTGCCCGTTGACGGCGCGCGGCAGCATCGCCACCACCTCGCAGATGGGAAAGACGAGCGGCGGCGCCGAGAGCAGCAGCGCCACGCGCGTCATGGCCGGCAGCGTGGGCGCCAGCGGCGAGAGGGGCGAGAGGGGCGAGAGGGCGAGCGCGGCGACGGCAAAGGAGAACCACTCGAACCCTGCGGGGAGATGTCAGCGCTGCCGGCGCACACATGCAGCACGCGAGCCACACGCACACTCGCAGAGATAGTTGGGGTAGCTGATGTACCGGTAGAGGCCGCCGTGCGGGATCTCGTAGCGCGGCTTCTCCTTCTTGTCGGCCCGCTGGCCCTTTGGCTTGCGCCTGGGAACAGGTGTCAGAGCTGCAAGTGCGGGACGTGCTGCACGGCGCTCACCGCAGGTTCATCAGCACCTCGTCGTGCCACACATTGCCCGCAAAGCCGACAACCCAGCCAGCCACGCCTAGCCAGAACAGCGGACTCTCGAGCGCCCAGCGCGGCAGCAGACCGGGCGAGAGGATGACTGGCACACCTGTCAGCACCGCAGTGGCGCTGTCGCAAGGTCGCGACGCTCACCTGCGCGCACCCCGGGCAGCTCGACGGGCGGCGAGCGGCCGCCGATCCACGAGCCCATGATGAGGCCGTTGAGGCTGCATTCTGGGGTCAGCGCGAAGAGGCATTCCCTGCGCGGGAAGGATGCTCACGTGTTGAACATGGTCGCCGAGAGAGCTACGCTCACTTGAGGCACATCATCTGCGTCAGCGCAGCGCAGAGCATACACATCGCCTCACTCACGGTGGATCGGCGAGCGCGGTGGGCTGCGCAGCGGCTGAAGCAGTGCGCGATGCGTGCTGGGCCATGCCGTGTCAGCATGTCGTGCCAGCGCATCGCGGAAGAGCATGCGCTGCAACTGCGCAATGTAGCATTCGTCTATGCCGCACTGCACGCTCGCCTCGACTCACTAGTGCGTCAGGTAGAGCAGCGCCAGGATGCGGTTCGGCAGCGGCAGGAGCGCCAGGCGCGCCAGGCTCGGCTGCCACAGCGGCGCGGCCGTGCCGGCGATGAGCGGCGGCGAGAGGAGCGCGCCGGCAAAGACGACGGGGCTCCAGAGCTCCATGGCGATCCACGCGGCGTTGCCGGGCAGGTTGAGGCGGCTCTGCGGCAGCGCAAAGCGGCCGTGCGGCGCGTTGATGTGGCGCAGCAGCGGCAGGAGGAAGGGAAAGGCCTTGAAGAAGAGCACGGCGAGCGCGTACAGCTGCGGCGCCGCCTGTGCGCGCCATGTGGCGAGCGAGAGGCCGAGGGCGCCGGGCTGCGGCAGGCCGCCGAGGGCGAGGTGCGAGGCGGAGGCCATGGCTGTGGTGGTGGGAGGCAAGGTGCGGAGCGGCCGTGACCCCTCCACCGGGGCGGCGCGCGCCTCACGTCACGTCAGCCCCAGGTGGCCCGCGCGCGCGCCATGCATGGCCGGAGTCGCGCCGCCGCCCTGCACCCTCACTTCCCACCACCACCGCGCATCGCCTCGCCATGCCCTCCTCCTCCATCGACTCGAGCGCCGGCAGCAGCAGCGGCAGCAGCAGCGGGCGCGCCGACGGCCTGCTCCCGCTCTCGCTGCCCGCGCTGCTGCCCGACCTGCGCTTCGAGCAGAGCTACCTCGCCAGCGTGCAGCACCTCGTGCACGAGGAGGAGCAGCAGCAGAGCGACAAGCAGGATGGGCGCAAGCACAAGGTGGCAAAGGGCCGCGGCCCGCACGGCGAGAAGGAGCTCTGGCTCGGCGACCTGCGTGTCGAGTGGTGAGTGCTGCCAGGCCGCAACGTGCAGGCAGCGTGCGCGGAGGTGGTGGTGCGCAGCGCTGTGCAGCCCAGGCGCAGTCGAGTGAAGCGTCTAGCAGCGCGTTTGTCGGCAGCGTGGGATAAGGTGGTGCGCAGCGCTGTGCAGCCCAGGCACAGTCAAGGGAAACGTCTCGCAGCACATCTGTCGGCAAGCGGCGGCCTCACGCCTGCACCGCTCAGGCTGCTGGCTGCCGCTCCATCGCGATGGCCGTGCTCACCCGTCCGCCCGCGCAGGCTGCCGCTGATGTACATCACGCTGCGCGACCAGCTCGTCTCGCCGCTGGTGCAGGGCGCGCTGTGGGGTCTGGCCGGTCTCTCCTTCGGGCATCTCAAGGCCTTCATGGCCAGCCGGCGATCACAACCCGGCGGGCGAGGCGGCGCGGGCAAGGGACTCTTCGGCATCAAGCGGTAGCAAGAGTAATTGAGCGAGACGTGAGATTACATGAAGGTCATGGGTGCAGGCAGAAGCGCGCTCGAGACGGGGGCCAGGCAGTGTGGTCCAGTCGAGGGAGAGGGCGAGGCGGGCGCAGGCAGGCGTGTATGTGTGTATATGGGCCAAAATGCAGGTGGTGGGTGACAGGGAGCGCTGGCGCTCGGATTAAGATGGCTGGAGGAAGCAGCGCTCAGATGCGCAGTGCCGAGTCGATGCGGTCGAGCAGCGGCTTGACGATGCCGCCGCTCTTGGGCGCCGCCTTTTGCGGGAAGTAGCCGGCCTGGCCGTTGGACGTGGGGGCCAGCGGCGTCTGGCCGTCGGCCGTGATGCCCGACGAGACGGCTTCGCGGCGTGCGGCGGCGCTCTTGCGCGCCAGCAGGCTCTCGGTGAGCTCGCCGGCGCGCCAGGCGACGATGGAGAGCAGGCTGTCGGAGAGGCCGTGTGTCTGCTCGTTGCCGCCGAGCACGTAGACGCCCGGCTCAAAGGCACCGGGCACCTCGCGCGCAATGGAGCTGCTGTCCTCGAGCGTGACGCTGGATGCGCTGCTGCCGGGGCTCGAGATCCCGCTGGCGCTGGCGCTGCCCGACGAGTGGAAGGCCGGCGAGGCGTACGGCACGAGGCGGTAGTCGCGCGAGATGCCGCGCACGCGCTCGCGCAGCCGCTCCTCGGCCGCATCGCCGCCGGCGTCGAGCGTGGCGCGGCGCGAGTCCAGCGACTCGTCCTCGCCCGGGAAGCCGAGCTCGGCACGCCGCCGCTCGGCCTCGGGGTCGAGCGCGGGGAAGTGCGGCGCCAGCGGCTCGAGGAACTTCATGCACGACGGCGCCCGCGCGAAGCCCGTGCCGAGCGTGACGAGGTCGAAGCGCTCCGTGTGCGACGTCGAGTCGGCGTCGGGCTTGGTGCTGGACAGCGTCAGCTCGACCTGCTGCTCGTCGCCCTCGCCGACGAGGCGCGAGCTGTCGACCTGTGTGTTGCTGCGCAGCACAAACGTGCCCTCGCTCGGCCCGTCGGCGCCCGGCCACGGCGCCTCGTGCTCGATCTGCTGGTCGTACAGCACCTGGTTGAGCGCGTTGAGCACGTCGGAGCGCACGACGGAGTAGTTGGTGCGCTTGTACTCCTTGATCCAGTCGGCGCGCTCCTGCGTGCCGGCTCGCCAGAAGGCGTCGGTGCGGTCGGGGTCAAAGGCGGCGGCGTTGACAAAGGCCGAGTCGTCGGACGGCACGATGGCCGAGGCGCGGAAGATGAGGCTGATGTGCGCGGAAGGGAAGGTGCGGCGCAGGTGCAGCGACGTCTCGGCCGCCGACTGGCCGCTGCCGACGACGGCGAGACGCAGCGGCCAGTGCGACGCCGACGCCGGCGACGCGCGCCCGAGGCGCCTCTGCGCCGTGGCCGAGAGCTGCGGCTCGATGGCGGCGAGCGAGGGCAGGAACGTCGACGAGTGGATGACGCGCGCCGCCTCGGTCCACGGCGACGCCGGGTACACGGGCAGCAGCGCCGGCGGGATCTGTGCGATGCCGCCGACGCCGACGGTGACGTTGCGCGCGAGGCGCACCGTCGTGCCGCTCTCGCCGCGGCGCTGCGTCGTGACGCGGAGGATGCGCACGCCCTCGCCCGCCTGTGCGGCCGGCACGGCGGCGCCGCTCTTGCGCAGCTGCGCCACGTCTGCGGCGCCGAGCGGCTCGATGGCCAGCACGTCCTCGCCGTAGCTGACGACGTCGTCCATGCGGCGCGCGGCCCACGTGAGGTAGGCGCTCCACTCGCGCCGGCTCGGGATGTTGGCCTCCATGTTGATGAAGGCCGAGAGGCGGTTCTGCTGGTGCAGGTAGTTGACGAACGAGTACGACGACGTCGGGTCGCGCATCGTCGCCAGGTCCTTGAACGGCGACACCTGCAGCTGCGCGCCGGGCAGCAGCAGCGTCGAGTGCCTGGTGGACATGAGCATTGGCGCAGCATGGCAGGAGAGTGCGGCTCACCAGGCAAACTGCGGCTGGCGCTCGACGAAGTGCGCCTTGAAGCCGGCGTCGGCGGCGTCGGCGCTCTCGCGCAGCGCAATGGCGAGCGCCAGGTTGGCCGGGCCTGCAGAGGGTCAGCAGGCGCAGGCAGCAGCGCCGAGGCAGCTGCACGCACCGAAGCCGACGCCGAGCAGGTCGAGGATCTCGACGGCGTCCGTCATGGCGGCGCGGGGTGAGAGGTGCGAGCGGGCGCGGCGGTGCGGCGAGGTGGAGGGCGTGCGAGGTGGCGGCGGTGGGTGCGAGGTGCGGCGCGTGCAGGTGTGCGGGGTGCTTGGGCGAGGTTGGAGAAGCAGCGTCGAGCAGGCTGAGGTGTTCGCTATATATGGCGGCGGCGGGTGTGGAGAGCAAGGCGGATGGGATCAGCGGCATCGATGGCAGCTTCGCCGGTGCAACGCCTGAGCCGCTGAGCTGACGAGATGGCGTGGCCGAGGCTGCTTCTGGCACGCGCCGCACGCCGCACGCACGCGCACGCCGCGACTCTCCTGGCGCCGTCCCAAGATCTGATCGCGCGCTGCACTTTTTCCGAGCGCCTCGCCTCGCTCCTCGTCGCTCTCCCCTCTCGCAGCGTCGCATCAGCACGCATCGCGATTTGACGTACGGCGAGCAAATTCTCGGCCAGCTCGCGGCCCCTGCAGCGCCCGTCTCGTTGCCGGCGGCTCGCGCGGCCACGGCCATCATGCGTGCGCCGCCTTCGCTCGCCGGCACGCCTCAGCTCACGCCATGCCGCTTTTGCCCAACCCCGCGCTGCGATGCCGCTGCCGAGACGATGATGTTCCCGCGAGACCCTCTCGGCGCGCGCGCGCCAATTGCAGATGGGCTGAGCGGCGGCGCAGCTCGCTGCCATTTGAGATTCTCGGCAGCGCCAGTCGAAAAAATCGAGATCGCCTCGCAACGATGACGCGCGCGCGGCGAGCCGGCAAAAGCGCCGCGGCCGGAGCCGCTCGCATGCGGCCGAGGTGGAGAGCAGCACGCGGCCTGTGTCCGGCGCCATGCACACAAGACGCCGGAGGAAGCGCTCGAGCCGCCGCACGTTGCCGCTCGCTTTTCCTCCGCCGCGCCGCGCTCCCCACAGCGGCGGCCGCTGCCATTCGCAATGCAGCTCCGCCTCGGCCGCTACTGCGAGCGTCAGCCAGATCTCTGCCGCGGCCGAGGCCGTGAGCAGCATCAGCAGCGCCTCCTGTCTTCCGAGGGGCAGTACTTCGCAGATGCAGACCCAGGGGACCACTCGTCAGCTTGGCGCACTTGCCGCGGAATTAGCCACGCCGGCGGCCAGCAGAGGCACGCACGTCACCTGACGCGCATCTGATTATCGCTGGGCGTAGCGCCTTTAGCGCCATCACTCGTCTTGATTCCTTCTTGGCACCTCCTTCATTCCTCTCCTGGCCCGTTCTTCCTCAAGACGTGCCTGAAAGCGACCCCTCGGGTCTATTTGCGTGCACACGCCTGTCACGCTGGCTGCCGGCTGATGTGCCCTCCATGCGATGGGATTACTCGAGTCAGGGACAGGGGAACAAGCGTGAGAGGGGATAGCGTTGGTGCGATCACGGAGATATATAGCGCACGAGGCACGATCCGAGTGCGATGAAGCGCAGCGAGGAACGCCCAGGCACAGATGAGCCTCGGCCAGCGCCAGGAGGCAGGCACGACCGCACGACAGCGATGGCTAGCACCCACGGCCTAGGGCGCCGCCGCAGCACGAGGCGCATTGGCAGCGAGCAGCGAGCCGACAAACGTCTCCCATCCTTCGTCGGTGCTGGCCGAGCAGGCGCGCGCCCGGGAGCGCAGGCCGTGCGGCACGCTGCGGCGCCGAGCCAGCGCCGCCTCCGAGAGGCCGGCGCCGCCCTGCTCCTCGACGACGCGGCTCATGCCTGCCGCCAGGCTGCGCTGGCGACCGAGCCGTCGCGCGGCCCGCTGCACGGCCGCGTGGACGGCGACGGGCGGGGCGGCGCTGTCGGCCTCGGCGTTGGCGGCGAGGACGGGCAGGTGCTTGTGGTGCTCGGCGATGCTCGTGCTGCGGTCGCGCCGTCCCGAGGCATCCGGTGCGCTGCTGCCGCTGCTCGTGCTGCTGCTGCGTGCCGCAAGGCTGCTGCTGCCACTGCTCACGCTGCCCGCTGCCGCTCGCGGACCGACGACGAGCGCGCCGGCCAGCGCAGGGCTCGTCAGGCCGGCGACGACGCTGCTGGCGCCGCTGCTGGCGCTGCTCGCGCGGCTGCGGTCGAGGTCGAAGAGGCCGAGCGAGTTGGGCGCGTGCGGCGGGTCCGAGTCCGACGACGTCGAGCCGTCGGCACGCGCTGCGGCGGCCCAGCGGGCGCGGATGTCCATGTCTTGCTCATGCTCCAGTGGCTCGAGCTCAATCGTACGCTGCTTGGGCCAGATGTCGACCGTCTCGGCGCCTTGCTCCGGCACGCCGCGCGATGGGTGTCCCGTGCTGGGACTTAGTGCCCTGCTGCTGTCGCTGGCACTGATGATGCGCAGCCGCTCGACGTGCGGACATGCGGCCAGCGTGTCGTGCAGCGACTCGACGTTGCCCGGCGCGTCGAAGGGCCCAGGCGACGTCCAGTAGAGGTTGAGCGACTTGACCTGCGGACTCTGGCCCAGCGCAGCCTCGAGCAGACGGCGCGCTCCGGGCGGCATGTCTGAGAAGGCTGATGAGCACGAGCCTCCGATGCGGCATCGCAAGGTACTCACAGCCCTTTGGCGAGCGAATCGACAGCTCGCGGAGCTTCCGCAGCGAGCCGAGCGCATTTGCGTACGATTCCAGACTGCCGGTGCCATCCGCCCACGAGCATCTGACGGAGAAGTGTGAGCATGGCTCCGCTGCAGAGACGCAAGGCGACGCACGCTACGGCCGAGCAGGTCATGTCCAGCAAGCATTCCTCGACGTACGGCCCGCACGCAATGAGCGCGTCGAGCACGAGGCGGACATCGACGTGCTCATGTGCGTCGCCCTGCCGCTTGGCCGTGCAGAAGACGAGGCGGCGCACAAGCGATGCGGCAACCGCCTGGCTCGGAGCTGTGCTCGCCAGCGAGCGGAGGAAGGCATGGATGTTGTGCCGGGTGATGTGCGGCGTGTGGTAGAGTGCAATGCGAGCAGCAGGCAGGTAGGCACGCGAAACGAGGGAGATGCTGCGCCCTGCGCCGTTGGGATCGTTGACGAGGGCGTGCTGGAAGATGTGCGCCACGATCTCGGGAGGCAGTGTGCGCGGCATGACGGAGGCGAGAGGAGGTAGTGGTGAGAAGGGTCGTCAGGGCGAATCCGTCGAGGAGCGCGGGGCACAGCGGAGCACGGGGCGGCGAGGGATCAGAGGACCGAGCGTGTGATGCGAGCCAGCTCGCAGAGCAGACGGAGAGTGGCAGAGAGTGTGCGGGCGCCGACGAGTGCAGCGCGGTGGGTGTGCGGCGAGTTGGAAGAGGCACGAGACGCAGAGACGGACAGAACGATCGAAGGCTGCGCGTTCCCGTCCTGCGTGCGTTGCCTTTTAGACGCCTGCCATGCCGGTGGCGACTGCGTGGCTGCCGATGAGGTCCGGATCTCGTCGTGTGCGTCACCGTGGATGAGGGTGCGATGCGAGGCTGAGCGGCCTGTGCGCCCACGGCACAGAGGGCGTCGGCGTCGAGGCGGCCCGAGCGCGCCCGGTGTCGCGCGCTGCGGAGGACTATTGGCCGCCGACAGCTTGCGGCCTCCCACGTGCAGCTGCAGTGGCCTGTTGTCATGCGCAGACGTCCTCATGTGCGAAGAAGTTCAAGCGGGCCGGACTTGCGTTGCGCTCGGGCGCACATGGGAAGGCGGAGTCGGCCGGCTGCCGCTGCAGTCGGGACGACGGGCTGCGCAGGGCCAGCACGTGGCTGATGGCGGCTGCCAGCGGAGGCTCGACGGGCATGCGCAAGCGCAGCGAGGTCACAAGTCATCTGCAATTCCTTCTCCTGACGACTACTGTACAACACTGGACGCTCTCTATGGGATGTAGACTGAAGTGGCAGCAAACGCCGGGGAAACCTGGATGACACGCACAACACGATCTTCTCCTTCCGCGCCTACTCAAGCTCGAAGAGGCCGTCGTCGACCTCCTCGCCCATCGTCGGCAGCGCAATGGGGCTCGGCTGCTGGCGCACCGTGTCGGTGCGCAGACGGTGCATGCCAGGGTGCTGCGGCACGCCGCCGGCCGAGGCGCGGTGGATGGCAATGCCGTTGCCCTCGGCGGGCAGCGGCGACGAGCCGCCGCGGAACGCCATGCCCGGGCCAGGCGACGCCGAGAGGCCGTACGACGACTGGTGGTGGTGTGCGTCGAGCGAGGCGTTGGAGACGGAGCGGCCCATGCTCATCGCCAGGCTCAGCGGGTTGGCGCGCTGCGCCAGCACGCTCGACGGCGCCACAAAGTGCTGCTGCTCCGAGTTGGAGTCGAAGCTGTAGCCGGCATAGCCGGCCGACGGCTCCTGGGCCGAGCTCGGCGGCGGCAGCGCGTGCAGCCGCGAGAGGCCCGCAGCCATGCCCTGGGGCAGCGACTGGCCAGGTGCATGCAGGAAGCCGGCCTGCGTGCGCCGCCGCCGCGACAGCTCGGCAGGCGTGAGCAGGTCGGAGAGGCTGGAGGGCAGGAAGTCCTCCTTGTTGATAAGCAGGTCGCCCTCCTCCTCTGACTCCTCCGCGTCGTCCTCATCGTCCGTCGCACGGCCGTCGGCATCGCTGCGCCAGCGCGAGAAGCCATTGCTGCCGTCGCCGTAGCTGCGCCCCGCCGACGAGGCAAATGGCCCGGCGCCGCCCTGCTCGTGGCTGCCGCTGAAAAACACGCCGCCGCTGCCCGAGTTGAACGGCGACGTGCCGAATGCGCTGCTCGAGGCGATGGGCTGCTGCATCGAGAGGCCGCCAGGGTGCTGCATCAGATGCGGCGGCTGCCGGCCGCCGGCGCCAAAGTGCAGCGGCACGCCCGCCGACGGCCCAGAGCCGTCCAGGTGGATGGCGCCGTTGCTGTCCGTCGAGAAGAGCACGGCGGGGTCGTGGCTGAGCGCCAGGTTCGCCGGCACGAGTGGCCGCTGCATGCCCGGCGGGCCGGCGTTGGCGCTGCGCATCGGCTGCTGCGCCAGGAGCGAGTCGTAGCCGTCGCCGACGTGCCCGCTGCCGTTCGCCTGGCCGTGCATGCCCGCCATGCCCGGCCCTCGCCGCTGGGCATCGTCGCCGCCGTTGCGCCGCTCAGCGCGCTGCTTGCCGGCGCCATCGCGGCCGCCGGCAGCGCCGCCCATGCCGGCCTGCTCCTGCTGAGCGAGCTGCTGCGCCCGCTTGTTCTTGCGGTCCATCTGCCACGCAGCGTCAGTGCGCGCCGCGGCGGGCCGTCCTCTGCGCGACTCACACTCGGCGGCTGGCCCGGCAGGAGGTGTGCGAGCGCACACTTGTGGCCGAAGCGGCAGTTGCCCTTGAGGAACCACTGGCACACGGCCAGCTCTTCCTTGCCGCGGCCGCCGGCGCCGGCGCCGCCATTGGCGCCGCCGCCCTGCGTGTGGGCAAAGGCGCACTCGCTGCCCGCCGAGCAGCCGTTGGAGGAGCGGAAGAACTTGCAGGGCACCTGTGCCAGCGCCTCCTTCTTCTTGTTGCTCACCTTGCCCGTCGCCGACGGCCCGGCGACGCGGCGCGAGCGTGGGCCGGAGGGCGGCGCGGCGGCGGCGGGCGGCGACGTAGGGCCCGCAGCATCGGGCGAGGACTGGCGCGGCGTGCCGGGCGCCGCACCGTCTGAGCTCGGCTGCTGCGCTTCTGTCGGCGGCTGCGCTGCTGCTGGAGCGGCTGCAGCGTCGGACGAGCTGGGCGCTGGCGGCTCGGCAGCCGCCGGCGTGGGCGCGGGGCTGGACGCCATGGAGATGTGCAAGGCAGCAGCAGCAAGAGGTGCGGCGCGTCGAGTCGGAGAGAGTGCCGCACTGCGACCAGGACCGCAGCGGGCGCTATGTACACGCTTGTGAGCCGAGGGCCGTGGGGAACGTGGAGCAGATGTGAATAAGAATCTGGGAGAAGCTGGAGAAGGTGCTGCTGCTGCTCTCGAGTCGCTCTCGGCGCTGCCCCATCTTTCGCACCGCGCGCGGCCGCCGCTGCCGGCCTGCCCGCGCGCGCCGCTCCGCCCGCCGCCCGCCGCTCCGCCGCCGCCGCATGCGCGCGCCGTGAGAAGGTCCGCAGAAATCACGTGCTGCCGGCCTGGACCCTGAGCCTGCTTCCGCTCCCACGCACTCCGGGTCCGCACACACAAGAACACACCGTGCGAGCAAGTGCGTGCAATTGGCGAGCGTAAGTGGCAAGGTCGAGAAGGAGGAGGGCGCAAGAAGCACGGCCGAGAGCACCATCACGGACGCCCCTCGCGCACATTCGCAAAGCGGCTCTGCGGGAAGGAGAGGTGGTTGGGGCTCATCTCGAGCTGGCCGAGCTGCAAAGAGTGACCTGCGTAAGCCTCTGCACTGACTGCTTGACACTGCCTGCACACTCACGCCCCGCCGCACCGTCTGCACAATGCTGCGCGCGCCCACGGCGTCGCCGCTCATGTCCCAGTAGAACGTGCCCGCCAGGCCGGCCCAGTTGACGTAGCCCGCCTTGTCGGCGGCCGTCTCGACGCTGTCGTACGTGACCCACTCGCCGTCGGGCGTGCGGCACGAGGCGGCGCCGATGGGGTCGCTGATCTCGACGGCGCCGGGCAGCGGCAGCGCGCGGTAGTCGTACACGCCGGCCTCGGCCGTGCCCTTGCCGAGCCCGGCGTAGCTCGACCCGGCGCCCGCACACTTGGTGAAGGAGCGCCCGTACAGCGGGATGCCGAGCACGAGCTTGTTCGGCGACACGCCCATGCTCTGGAAGAGCGAGATCGTCGCCTCGCACGATGGCGCTGGCCCACGCAGGTTCGCCTGCATTTGGATGAGCAACGAGTGGCCACGGCCTGACAGGCAGCTCACCTGGTGGTTGGCCGTCGTGTTCCAGGAGCCAGCAAAGTCGTACGACATGACGTTCCACAGATCAAGCACCTCTGCGCAGCGTCAGTACAGACGGCAGTGCGGTCGATACGCCGCCGGGCTCACCGTCCATCTCGCGCACCCGCAGCAGCTTGAGCTTCTTCTCGCCCGCCGGGCTGGCGATCGTGAGCAGGTAGCGCGGCTCGCCCTTGTACGCTGCGTGAGCGTCGAGGCCGGCGCGCATCTCGCGCAGCAGGAGCACAAAGTCGCTCGCCTCCTTTCCGTTCTCGGGGTACTCCCAGTCGATGTCGATGCCGTCGAGACCGTAGTCCTCGAGCAGCGTCAGTGCGCTGCGCACGAACTCGGCACGTTTCTTCGCATCGCAGGCCACAGGCGCAAAGTGGTCCTTGAAGGTCCAGCCGCCGACGCTGATGCTGACCTTGGTGGTGCGGTGCTCGCGCTTGGCCCGCAGCAGCCGGCCGAAGTTGCCGCGCAGCTCGTCCTCGGGCGCCGGCGAGTCAAAGGGCGTCTGCTCGTCGGCCCATGGGTCGACCAGGAAGACAGTGCCGTTGGTCGGGTTCACGTCCGCGAAGGCGTAGAAGATGTGCGTGAGGTCCGCGTAGGGCAGCTCTGCTGGTGTGAAGCTGCAGCAGATGATCAGCGGGCTGTGCACCACTGCGGCTGTCGTGACGACTCACTTGCGTGGCGGATAGATGCTCCAGCTCGTGAAGCTGCGCACAGAGCATCAGCAGCTGCGTCCACGACCATGCATCAGAGCGGCTCACTAGCCGCCGTGAACCTTGCCGTGGCGGATGGGGTTGTACGGCGCGAATGCCTGCTGCACCTGCTGCTGTGGCGATTGCCATGCCGCTCCCTGCTGCTGCGGCGGCGGCTGCCACGCTTGCTGCTGATAACCTCCATGTGGCACGCCGCCGCTGCTGGCGCCGACGCCGAGCTCGGCCTGCACGCGGTCGCCCAGGCCTTTGAGCTTGGAACCAAGACCCATTGCCGGACGGTGATGCGACGGATGCGCGTTCGAAGCGAGCGCAGAGAAGAGGAGCAGCAGGAAAAGCTGGAGTGGTGCGAACATGAAAGGAGGTGCAAGAGGTGCGTCAGAGAGAGGGAGAAGAAGAGGTGACGGACAGATCCGGACGATGCCGAGCAGGGCACAGGCCAAACCGCGCCAGCTTATGTAGGGTCGACTCACCGGAGCGCTCAGGAGAGCAGTAGCTAGCAGCGGATGCTCACGAGCGGATAGAGACAGGGCTTGTGTGACCCGACGCAGGTGAAGCATGCGGCAGAGTGAGCGGTGAGGAGGCAGGAGCGAGAGTGTTGCTCTCCGCGCGCCAGCCGCAGCGCACGCGCCTGCAAGGTCCGAGCGCACGCGCACCGCCTCGCGCGCGGCTGCGCTCGGGCTGCTGTGGAGGCACGCCGCCACGGAGCTCGGCACGCCGCCAGCTCAGGGCCCAGATGCAGCCTTGCACAGGGGGGCAAATGGCACCTGCGCCCGGCGGCACGAATGTCTCCTCGGCACAGCTGCCGAACCCCGCCGAGATGGCGCCGAAGATGGAGCAGCTTGAACGTCGCTGCTGCGGCTGCAATCTGAGGGCTGCGCGTGCGCGCGGCCGCCTGCAAGCGGGACAAGGGGCAGGAGCGCCGCTCCTGACAGCGAGGGGGCAGGTGTAGCTCGCAGCTTCTGCGAGATCGAGGCACCTTAAAAGCTCATCTGGCCTGCTTGAAGCGCCCGAAAATAGCAGCCGGGCCTGCACCCTGAGGCGAGATGTGGCTGCCTGCGCCAGGGCCCAGGCGGCGCCAGGAGTCGGGCCGAGTCCGAGCATCTCATCAGGGCTCGCTGATGAAGCTGACGCGCCCCTGCATCGGATCCATCTATCTCACGCGCAAAAGCCCTCACGGACGCTTCTCTCGGCTCAGGTCCAGGCGGCACAGCCCCTCCTCGCCCCTGCTCAAGGGTCAAGGCCCCTCTATTGCGGCGCGCCAGTGATGCGCTGCAAGGCCTCGCGCACAATGCTCTCGTCGAAGCGTGCCTCGCCATCTGCGCTTGAGGCGACCTCGACCGCTTGCACTCCCAGCGCCTTGAGGCAAGGAGCAGAAGCGTCAGCACAAGGCTTGCGGCTAGGATGTAGTGGCGTGATGTGCCCACCTCGAGCGCAGCCACGTCGACGACGACCGAGCCCGCGGCGAAGAAGACGACGTGCGTCACGTAGTCAGAGACGCTGTGCGCCGGCAGACCAGCATCGGCACGATTGAGCGAGCGGGTGATGGCACTGCCGCGGGTATCATCAGCGACAGACGCTTCCGTCACTCTGCATCCGCACGCTCTCTGTCTCACTTGAGGAAGTCGATGGCATCCAGGCCATCCGTCTCGCGGTCGTGCGAGGTGTTGAGCAGCAGGACCTTGTGTCGCAGCGAGTGTGAGCGGGCAATGGCGCCGCCGACGCCCCGCATCGACAGGCAAGGCATGATGCTCGTCCATAGCGAGCCACTGCGAGCGTGTGAGCCATCGCTCGGCGTCAGGCAAGAGCGCGAGCACGTACCACGAGTAGATCAGCGTGCTGCACTGGTGCAGTCTGCGCGAGAAGTCATCAGCGTTCCGCCAGACAGGAGGACGTCTGCGAGCTCACTGAGAGATGAACTCAGGCGACGGCGTGGGCCGCACCTCCTGGCGATATGCATTCACGTAGAAGATGCCTGAGTGTAGCGTCAGGAGCTGCGCATTCCGCGACACAAACAAGCTCACGGCTTATCGGACTCGGCAGCTGTGCCTGCTCCTCGACGTCCCTGAACGCCAGATTGCCCAGGCCAGTAGAAGGCTCGTCTTCCTCCTGTTCACCCTCATCGTCCGACTGCGGCGCCAGGCCGTCGCCCTGATGCCCGACGGCAGGCTGCGTCCAGGCGTTGGTCATCGTCCAGAAAGGATCGAAGATGGCTGAAGATGGCGTGCCGGGTGCGTGCGTCGAGAGCACGCTGTCGGGCAGCGCTCGCTGCGTGCGTGGCCGTGCCGGATGCGAGATCTCGCACTGGCCGACGATGACCTCTCCGCTTTCCTGGTCACCATGCGGCAGTCAGCTGTGCACTGGCACATCGCGAGGCTATGTGCTCACGAGCTCGGCGGCGATCGTGGCCGTGTGGTTCGTGTTGATGACAGGCAGCACGCGGCCGGCGCTGCGTGCCTGCATCTGCGTTGTGGCCGAGAAGAGAAAGATGGCAGTCTGGATGCTGCTCGCGGCGTGAGCGCCGACCAGTTGCAGATGCCGTCCATACACACCTCCTAAAGAACTTCTGCGCAGCGCTGAGGAAGAAGTTGCCTGCAGCGGGCGTGAGCAGAGCCAGCATGCGAGCGATGCCTAGACGCACCGATCGAGCCACCGCCTGGTAGAGCGACAGTCAGTAAGCGCTGTTGTGCACCGTGTACAAGACATCTCACGCAGATTGAAGTTCCTATTGGCTCTCCGCAAGATCTCGCTCTGGAAGAGCACGAGGAAGCCGCGCACGCACTCCTTGCGCTCCGGCTCGATGCCGTGCCACAGCGCGTGCCGCCCCTCGACGAGGCTGAGCCACTCGAGCTTGATGTCGCGCGACGATCCGGTGCTTGGCAGTCGATAGGAGAGCAGCGCATGCAGTGCGTCGTTGGATGGCGGAGTGGGCGGCGTACCTGCCGAGAGAGGCGGATTTGTGGAGAGCGGGATCAGACGCACCAGCCGCGAGCGCAGGTCGCCGAGCGACGGCCCGCCGAGCACACGGATGATCTCGCTGCTGCTGCCGCCGTCGTCGGAGATGGGCATGGCAAACGTGGCGCCGGGCGTGGCGCCGACACAGCTGTTGAAGCCGCTGCCGCCGCTGATGACGAGGATGCCGCCCGGCCCGGCGCTAGGCGTGGCCTCAGCCTCGGCAGGCTCGACGATCTGCGGCAGAGACAGAGTGAAGGTGGACGCCTCGTCGTGCGGCTGCGGCTGCCCGCTGGGCCGTGCGCCGAACAGCTCGTCCTGGTCCGGCACGGCAGACGATGGGCCGGCCGCAGCGAGGCTGGCATGCCGGCGCGGCGAGGCCGAGCGCGAGGCGGCGCGCGAGGCGAGCGGCGTGCTGCGCGGCGTGCTTGCGCTCGTCGACGCCATCGCGAGCTGCTGTGTGCTGAAGCGAGGTGCTGTTGGCGAGGCAGGCCGCTGAGGCTCTCCTTGGGCTTGCAGCTGGAGGCGGTGTTGGAAGCGTGACGTGGAGGGCGCTGCCGCTCCCACGAACGCGTTGCGCCGCCGTTTACCCGCGGCTGTCGCAGTCGTGTGCGCTCTCTCTCTCTCTGAGCTGCCCACGGCTGGAGTGGTCCTAGACGAGCGCTCCGCGAGCGTCGCACCTTGCCCGCCTGCGCTGCTGTCACCGAACTGCTGTGTCGCGAGAACACTTTCGCTCTGTCCTGCCGCTGCGGGATGCCTTCTGCCTGCAGCTGGCGGGGCAGGGCCTCCAACGGGCTGCAGGCGTGTGAACAGCGAGTCTGAGTACCCTCGCGGTGACGGCGGCGCGGACGGGCGCCGCGGAGCGCGAGCGGCGCGCCAGGACGACCTCCAGGGTGTCGCACGACACCGAGCGGCCGACGTCGATGCCGCCTGCCGCAGCACAAGCCAGGAAGATACAGCAGAACAGCAAGTCGGGGCGTACAGCTCTGCCAGCGCAGCCTCTGCACGCTGCACGCAGCCTGCCACCACGACGCTGGCCGGCAATGCGCGAGCGGATGCGGCACTCCAAGCGGCGCCACGCAGCAGTGCGATAGCAGCGTGTCAACTTGCCGGCGGGGTCAGGGGGTCGGCGCTGCCGGCACGCTCCCGCTCTTCGCCAGCCATGACCAGTCGATGAGCCGCGGCACGCATCGTCGGCAACGCTGCTGGCGGTGCGGCCTGCTGCGATAGGCTCGAGGCTACTAAAGGACGTCGCCGAGGCTGCGCCCCCGCCTCGCAGCCGTCATCGTCTCTTCTGCCCGCTCCATCCTCGCCATGCTCGCCCTCCGCTCCCGCACGCCGCTCCTGCGCGCCTCGGCGCCGCAGCGCAGCTTCGCCACGCTCACGCCGCCGCCGGCACACGCTCCTCGCGCGTCCTTCGCGCCGGCGCCCTTCCTGCTGGAGGATGTGGCGCCGCAGCTCGACGCCGCCGGCCTCAAGGAGCTGCCGCAGTTCACCATCAGCCGCGAGCGCGGCTTCCTGCCGCGCCGCGACCCCATCCCCAACGGCGCCGCCATGCCGCGCGCCTGGGCCACCATGGACCGCCTGCTCGACGACATGACCATCGTGCAGCCCGACGGCTCGCACGGCCTGCTCGCCACCGGCAGCTTTGGCGACGCCGTCATCGACAACATCAAGCCGGGCGGCGCGGAGCTGCAGGTCGTCGAGCGTGCAGTCAAGGACAAGGACTCGCACCTGATCAGCGCGCTGCACCGTGATCTCTGCTTTGCCGCGTGAGTGCAGCAGAAGACGATTGACAGACGCATCGCTGATTTGCATCACCACAGCTCGGCATACCTCCTTGAGCCGGCCGACGTCTCCTTCCGCGCGACCGGCCGCTACTCGCTCGGCCGCGAGGTGCTGCCCGCCAGCCTGGCCGTGCCGCTCAAGAAGACGGGCGATGCACTCGGCCTCGCGCCGTTCATGGGTGAGTGTATCTTGCTCGCCAGCAAGATCAGCGCTGACTTCCTGATGCAGAGTACGCCACGTCGTACGCACTGCAGAACTACAAGCTCAAGGCGCCGCAGCACGACGGCCCCGCCGGCAAGTTCAGCTTCGTGAGTTAGGCTGCCTCGCACCCCATAAGCACCGCTCACTCAGCCACTGCAGGAAAACCTCGAGCTCTGCCGCGCCTTCTGGAACCGCGGTCCGGGCAGCGAGAGCGGCTTCATCCTCGTGCACGTCGAGATGGTCGGCTGTGCCAGCGGCAAGCTCGTCGCGGGCACTGAGGATGCGCTGCGCGGCGCCGAGACGGGCGATGTCTCGCTGTTCGAGAGCGGCATGGAGCGCATGCTGCGTGCCTACCAGGCCATCCAGCTGTCCATGGAGACGGTGAGTCGGAGACGCGGCTGCAATCGCGACCGCTGCTGATGCCTGTCGCCCCGCAGATGTGGAGCCGCAGCAGCCCGCAGGAGTACATGAGCCTGCGCACGATGATCATGGGCGTCAAGGTGGGTCGCCAGGAAACACCCGCACAGCCTGGCCTCGCCGCTGACATGTGGCCATCGCAGAACAACCCCATGTTCCCGGAGGGCGTCGTCTACGAGGGCGTCGAGGAGTACGGCGGCAAGCCGCAGACCTTCAGCGGCGAGAGCGGCGCGAACGACTCGCTCGTGCCCACAGGTAAGCGCTAGCCAGCAGCACGACCGACGATCGCAGCTGACCACGCATGCAGGCGACAACTTCCTTGAGATCACCTCGCAATTCCCTCAGAACGAGGTGAGCCCCAGAGATCCGGCATGCACGCCACGCCGCTGACCCCTCCCCTCAACCCAGCTCACGGAGGAGCTGCGTGCGTTCCGCCGCTACCGGCCCTCGACGCACCAGGAGTACCTCAAGATGCTCGAGCTGCGCGCCGCGCACGTCGGCATCCGCAGCTTCGCCATGGAGCGCAGCGGCAGCATCAAGGCCAAGGGTGAGCACAGGGCCATGCCAGCAGCGCACCGGCGGCAGCTGACATCCGGCCCTGCTCTCAGCGCTCTACACGCTGCTCGTCGAGCAGATTGCGCAGTTCCGCGGCCGCCACTGGGCGTTCAGCAAGAACTACATCATCAAGCGCACGCCCTTTGCCATCGCCACGGGCGGCACGGTGAGCCCTGCCTCTGAGCCGCTCACACGCGCCTCCCGCTGACGCCCGCCCGCAAGAACATGCTGCAGTACCTGCCGCACAACCTGCGCGTCACGCTCGAGGTGCTCGAGGAGAGCCTGGCGCAGTGGAGCGACGCCGACGACGCGGCGCTGCGCGCCACCGACGCCGGCCTGGCGGGCGAGATGCACGTCGTGAGCGTGCGAGCCGGCGCACAGCGCCGCATGCTCGTGCGCGAGGTCGAGGAGCTCGCCAGTCAGGTCAAGGAGAAGGACCCGCGCACGGCCGGCATGGCCATGCCCGCCCAGAACGGCCACACGCCTTCGCGCGGCGCCGTTGGCTGCGACGGCGTCGGCTGAGCGGCTCGCCCTCACCTCTTTCTTCTCTGGGACACCACGCAAGCTCACCGCGGCGCGGTCCGTGTGTGAAACTGATGCATGATAAAGCAATTTCGATCGCCGTTCCAGAGCCGGAGAGCCGTGATATATGTGTGAGATCCTGTGTTTCACACCTCGAAGATCTCGCTGCGGCAGGAGATGAGCAGGGACCGTCAGGCGCCTAGGCGGGGCACTCACGTCGGGCAGTTCTTCCACGCGTCCTTGCCGCCGGGCACGTCCTTGCCGTCCTCCTTCTCGGCGGCCTTGTCGTCGCCGGCCGCCTTGGCGCGCGCCTTGAAGTACGTGAGGCCGTCCTTGCCGCCGTACTTCCATTCCGGGTCGTCGTCCTCCTTGTGGAACCAGAGCGGTTCGAACGTCGTGCCGTTCTTGCGGCGCTCGCGCTGGGCGTTCTCGACCTTCTGCTTGAGATCCTCGGCCTCCTGCACCTTGCCCTCCTCGAATGCGCGCTGGTCTGGCCGCAGGCGCGAGTCCGTCGGCGGCAGGTAGGGCTCGATGTCCTTGGTGATCTCGTTGAGCGACATGGCAAACTTGGTGAAGCCGTAGTAGTCCTCGGCATTGTCGGGCATCTCCTCGGCCTCCCAGAGCACCTGGTAGTTCTCCTTGTCCTTCTGGATGGCAAAATTGTCGCTCCAGCGGCCCTTGCACTCCGTCACCACCTTGCCCTTGTCGTCGTACACCTTGCCCGCCACCTGGTTGCGGCTGCTGTCCGAGCCCCACATGTTGCCCTCCTTGAAGTTGATGACGATGCGCTGCCCCGTGTTCTCGTTTGTGACCTCGAGGTCGCCGACGTGCTCAAGGTACTTGTTGCCCGCCAGCAGGTTGCGCATGAACGAGCTCGGCTTCGAGAACGTGAAGACATCGCCGTCGTCGAGCTCGAGGCGCAGGCTGCCCTCCGGGATCAGCTCGAGCGACTTGCCCCAGAACCTGCGAGGGTGTCAGCGCATGATGCAAGCGCGGACCGGCGCATATACGCACTTGTTCTTGACGGCGCTCCAGCCGAAGCACTTCCAGCCGCGGCCCTCTGCATACGTCGCGACGACAGGCGGCTGGTGCACGACCTTCTCGGCGATGAAGCGCAGGTGCTTGTCCTCGCGCACGCACTCGTACGTCTCGCCCAGCAGCGGGTTCCAGCTGGCAGCAGAGGCGTCAGGCGCTGTCGCAGGCTCGTCATTCCAGCCTACTCACGGCTTGCGGCTGGCGCGCAGCTTCGTCGAGGCGTAGCCGCTCACGGCAAAGGCACCCACGAGGCAGATGCGCTCGATCCAGTCCTCCGTCTTGGCGGCGCGCTCGAGCAGCGCCGGCGCATACTCGTACTCCTCGGCCGACGCCTGCAGCAGCGAGAGCGGGCAGTTGAACGAGACGGGAAACGAGACAGTGCTGAGGTCCTTGCCGACGTTCTTCTTGAGCATCGAGAAGAGCGACACGTCGTCGCCCGAGACCTTGGACGGCAGCGTGGTGCGGTACTGCACTTTGGAGCCGCTGGCGGCACTGCCGCTGCCCTTGCCGCCGTCGACGGTGGCATCGTCGTCGCCGCTGTCGTCCTCACCGTCATCCTCGGCGCCGCTCGACTCGCCCGTCGCGCTGCGCTCCGTGTCGTCGAAGCCCAGGCCCTCGCCCGAGGCGTCGGCGTCGAAGAACGTCGCCTCGCCCGTGCCCGTCGTGTGGAAGCTGCTGATGCTCATGCGCGACGAGAGGCCGCCGCGCCGCGAGTGCAGCGTGTCCATCGTGCCGTCGGCCTCGCCCACGCGCGGAATGCGCGAGTCGATGGCGTGCTGCAGGTTCGCCGTCTCGTTGACGAGCGTCTCGACGAGCGTGCTGAGCTCGGCCATCGGGTCCGTGCCCTGGCCTGTAGCAGCTCCATGAGCTGTGGCTCAACAGCGCAACCTCACACCCACTCACCGAAGAGGCTGCTGAAGAGGCTCGGCTGCGCCAGGCCCTTGGCCTTCATGTCTTGCACGCGGTTCTGCACCTCGGCCGCCAGCTTCGTCACGCCGTCGGTGCTCGTGAAGATGGGCGAGAGGTCGACGCTCTTGAGCTCCGTGCCGCCGCTGGAGCTGACATAGATGCGCTGTGCGCCGCCGGCCGGGCGCTCGGGGATGAAGGAGCGCAGGTGGTTGCGCCACGTGTCGAAGTCCTGCGGGCTCAGCACCTTGATGTCTGTGCAGATGCGTCAGCCTGACGCCAAGCGAGGGCATCACAGCTCGACGCACGGAAGACGGACGAGCCGCTGTCGACGTGCAGCGTGCCTGCGAGCAGGTGTCAGTCCGGCGTGCGCATGCATGCCCGCGGCGGCACACACCGTGGCGCTTGCTGCTCGTGACGCTGGCGTGCGGGATCTCGATGGCGTCGCGCGTCGTCTTGTCGGGCGAGAGCGAGTAGGTGAGCAGGCCCTCCTTGGTGAGGATAAGGTAGCGCTTGGCATAGCCTGGCCGCTGGACGTGAGCGCCTGCGGCACAGCGATGCGCCTCTGGCCGCGCCCGGCTGCTCACCCTGCATCTTCTTGCGCTTCTTCTTGAGCACCCAGCCGGCGTGCACGACATCGAGGTCGGCGACGGCGACGGCGCGCGGGTCGGTGCTGGAGCTGCGCTGCGGCATGGCGGGCGGCAGCGGCGGCTGCAGGAGGTGGTGGTGGAGCAGGCGAGAAGCAGCTGCGCGGTGGAGAGCGGCGCCGGGAGAGGAGAGCACGCCCGACAGGCACGCCGGCTGCACGCGGCCGCGCCGCCGCTGCCGCCTTCCGGCCGGGCGCGCCGCCAGTCTCCCAGCGCGAGTGCGGGGTATGCGCGGCAGCCGGCAGCAGCCGCCTCCGCTCCTGCTCGCTTCTCGCCCGTCCTCCGACTCGCCTCGGGCATGCAGACCTGGACTTCTCCACAGACACAGCATTGCAGCACAGCTCACTGCTCGCAGGAGAGGCACTGCGCCAGCTGCTGCGAGCTCCCGGCGGTGTGGAGAGCACGGCATGGCATGCGCATGATGGCTGCGCGCGTCGTCCGAGAGCCGGGACAGAACGCGCGGCGACGGCCCCGTCCGCACGACCCGGCAGCTCGCAGCAGCAGCAGGGCGATGTCCAGCCGCAGCGTGCTTATTCTATTCCAACGCAGCGGCCCGGCATCGCTGAAGCTGAGCTCCATCGGCGTCACTCTGCGCCATCCTTAGCCCGTCTCACTCCCTACGGCTGCGCCGAGCGAGGCGAGGGTGTGGGGAGCATTGCGCGGCAGATGGCAGCTCGCGCGTCTCTCCGTGAAAGGAGGAGCGAGCGGAGCACGGCTCGAGCGAGGCAACCTCCACAGCCGCCTGTTAGGCGGAGGGAGTCTCTCGCGCCTGGCTGTCTGAGTCCTATTCGCACCCGTCCAGCAACAAGCTCATCTGGCCTGCGATGGGCGCTCAACGGGTGACGCTCAGCAGCCGAGACCCTCGAGACTTGGAGAGGCGACAGCTTGACAGGTCGAAGTCGAGCTGGCTGCGAAGTTGACACGGGCGAGCGACGCAGCGGAGACATGAGCGAGGCGGCCCAGCCGGCAGCGGCAGCACGCCCACGGCAGCACGTCTCCGCGACGCGCCGCTGCGTCATCTGGCGATCGCGCGCTGCTGCACCCACGCCGCCCGCGCGGCGATGGTCGCCCTCGGCGTCGACGGCCGGCCTCCTCTGCGCCGCCGCTCATCAAATAGTCCCGGAGCAGCGTGCCGCAGCAGCGAGAGGCTGCGCGCGTCTGTCGTGGGACGGATGGAGAGGAGCAGCTCGAGCGGCAGGGTGCAGAGCGAGGGCCCGGCGGCCGCTACCAATGCAGTGCGGGGCGGCGCTGCTGCACCTCTGACGCGCGCTTGGGAGCGCTGTCTGGCGGAGCGAGGCGCGGCGAGGCGAGAGGGCGGCGCTGCGCCCTCGCGCCGCGCGGTGCGCGTGCCCACTGCAGCCGGCGCCCGCAGCAGAGCCCGCCCGGCTGCTGCGCTGCTGCGCCGCTCGTCACACGCCGCCGCCGGTCGCTCCACCGCTGCGACGCTCGCTTGCTCCTGCATCCCGACTCTCCATCCACCCCGGCCGCCCGCTCCAGCCCGCAACACCCGCACGCACCGCCGTGCCCACCTCGCCGCCCGGACCTTCTGCACTGCGCCCTCTGCGTCGCGTGCTGCACCTGCCCGCGCGCCGGCCTGCTCCACCTGCGCCCGCTGCTGCTGCTGCCTCTGCCGCTGCCGCTGCACCTGCTAGCCTAGCTCGCCGCATCTCCATCTCCGCACCCGCACCATGGGCCTGCTTGACCACGTCGGCTCGGCCGTCGGCGCCACGAAGCACAAGGCGTCCGGCGGCGGCAAGGATGCCGGCGACCGCCCGCCGGAGGGCGCCGCGGCCGACGACACCGAGGAGCTCGACGAGGAGAGCGGCAACATCCTCGTCAGCCTCATCGGGCAGCTGCGGATAGGCATGGACCTCAGCAAGGTCACGCTGCCCACGTTTGTCCTCGAGCCGCGCAGCATGCTCGAGCGCATCACCGTGAGCGTGGCGATGCGTGTGGGGCTATCTCGGCGCTGACACTGCATCGGCAGGACTTCATGAGCCACCCGGACCTGATCTTCGGGTGGGTAGCGCACGGCAGAGGCATTGCACAGGCGGCGCGCTGACACGCATGCACAGTTGCGGCGCCATCGACGACCCTGAGGAGCGCTTCATCCAGGTCACGCGCTACTACCTCTCCGGCTGGCACATCAAGCCCAAGGGCGTCAAGAAGCCGTGAGCAGCCTATGCGGCATCGCCTTGCCCCTCAGCTGGCTGACCCGCGCCGCGCAGCTACAACCCCGTGCTGGGCGAGCACTTCCGCTGCTCCTACTCGTACCCGAACGACACGCAGGGCTTCTACATCGCCGAGCAGGGTGCGCAGCAGCCTCGAACGCGCTGCAGCGCCTCACGCTGACGCGCCCGCTCTCTCCGCAGTCTCGCACCACCCGCCGATCTCGGCCTACTTCTACGTGTCGCCGGCCAACAACCTGCTCATCTACGGCGAGCTGAAGCCCAAGAGCAAGTTCCTCGGCAACTCGGCGGCCAACTACATGGGCGGCGAGAACCGCGCCGTGCTGCTCGACCGCCTCGAGGACGGCGAGTACGCGATCGGGATGCCCAACATGTGAGTGCTGCGGCAGCGTGTCGTGTGGGTGCGCTTGCGGGAGGGAGCAGGCGCGCAATCCCTTGGGCACAGCGTGCCTCGCCAGAGGCAATCACGGGCCATGGCGTTAGATGTGGGCGATGCGCGGTGGTGCGCAGTCAGGTCCTAGGCAGTGCGATCGCAGCGAAGCTATTCCCTCCAAGACCGCAGCTGCTGACAGCTGTCTGTCCCAGGTACGCGCGCGGCATTCTGTTCGGCAAGATGGTGCTTGAGCTGGGCGACCAGAGCAAGATCCGGAACGAGAAGAACGACCTGACGTGCGACGTCGAGTTCAAGACGAAGGTGAGCGGCGCCGGCACTGCGTTGCGCGCTGTGCAGCGTGCTGACGCGCACGCAGGGCTACTTCACCGGCACGTACAACGCCATCGCCGGCAAAGTGACGCACAACGGCAAGCACGTGGGCGACATCAGCGGCAAGTGGAACGAGTCGATGGAGTACAAGAACAGCAAGGTGAGCAGACATGGGTGTGCGGGCTCGAGCGATGCTGACGTGTTTTGGCTGTCAGACGGGCGACACGCAGGAGCTGTTCAACGCCAAGACGGCCAAGATCGTGCAGAAGACGGTGCGGCCGGAGGAGGAGCAGGAGGAGTTCGAGTCGCGGCGGTGAGTGGCTGTCTGTCTGCGCGCGCGCAGGTGCTGCATCTCACTCCCTGCGCAGGCTGTGGGCCAAGGTCACCCAGGGCATCAAGGAGAAGGACCTGGACATGGCCACCGAGTCCAAGTCGGCCATCGAGGACGACCAGCGCCGGCGCGTCAAGGAGCGCGAGGAGAAGGGCGAGACATGGCAACCGCGCTTCTTCGTGGCCAAGGGCGACAAGTTCTACCCGAAGATCGAGTGAGTGTGCGAATGAGCCGAACGAACGCACAGCCGCGCTGACCCGTATCCTACAGCGCCCTGCCCGAGGAGATGCGGCCAGACGTCGTGGCCAAGTACTTTGCGTCGCTGTGATGGCGCGCGCTAGATGCAGTGTCCCGTGCCGCTTCTCTCTCTCTCCTTGCACTCCCCTTCCCGCCTGCGCTCCCTGGAACGACAGCTTCCGCGATCCTCTGACTTCTCTATCGAAAGCAATGACATCTTCCACGCACGAGAGGGGTGCAGCGGACCGCCCGGCACGCGCTCTGCTCGAGCCGGGCGCTGAACGCAGAGCGCCTCAGACGGTTGTGAGCCATGAGTCAGACTGGTGTAGGGCATTTGACTGCGCTCGCTGTCGGCTTTGGCGTTGCAGGAAGGCGAGCTCGAGAAGGCAGGGGGAGCGGCAAAGGCGGGTCGCGCGCACGGGCCGCGCAGCCCGATCAGCTGACAGCACCGGCAGTCTAGTGCGCCGGCACGGCGGCAGAGCGGCAGAGCCGAGGCTTGCTCGACGCCCGTCCAGCTCCCTGTGTGCCCCGCTGCCGTGCCGGCGGCGTCGCACTCCCATCCTCTCACCACCACACCTTGCACCAACGCCCCGCATGCGCGCCCGCAAGCGCTCCGTCGCCGCTGCGCCTGCCGCGCCGGCGCCGCTGCTCTCGCTGCCCGCCGAGGTGCTGCACAAGATCTGCGCCCAGCTGCCGCCGCACAGCGTCTCGGCGCTGGCGCGCACCTGCCGCTCGCTGCACGCCTTCGTCTCCGCCGACGACCACCTCTGGCTCTCGCTCTACCGCTTCCGCTGGGACCAGCCTGATGCGCGCAACGCGGCGCGCCCGTCGGTCTGCAGCGGTGGCGAGCCGGGCCCTTCGGCAAGAGACGTGCCGCTGGGCAAGGGCAAGGGCAAGGCTCACGAGCAGCCAGCGGCCGCCGGGGATGGCATGGCGGCGCAGGTGTGGCGCAGCGACGAGCAGGCCAAGCGGCTGGCGCGTGCAGCGGCCATGGTGCAGCGGGGCACGTCCAACAAGCTCGCACTGGTATGTGGCTGCGCCATCTCGTGCCGCATCTCTGCTCATCTGCTGCCACAGGTGGCTCACTACAACGAGACCGCTCGTGCGCTCCTCAGCGCGCTGCACTCGCGCCTGGCGCGCTCCGGCGAGCCAGACGCTTACAACGGCGTGCTGCCGCACAGCCGCACAGTGCGCACCTTCGATGCGCTCTTCGGCGACGACTACGAGGGCGTGTCGGCGTATGCCGCATGGATCTATCCGCGCGAGGTGGTGTCGACCGTTGCGACCTGGCAGCGGCCCGAGACGGCAGAAGCATATGCGAACTACAAGCGCAGGCACGCGGCACACGAAGCTGCCCTGCGATCACATCCGCCGGTCAGCGAGGGAATGAGTGTCAGGATCCGGGGCTCTCAGCTGCCTGCGGTCAGGGCAGTGGCGCAGGCGCATCTCGCCGCCTCGACGGGTGCGGCAGCCAGGAAGGCTGCTAGCCAGCGCGAGGCCCGCCCTGTGCCCGGCCAGCGCCGGTCGCGCCGGGCTGCGCAAGCGATGGTGCCCGAGCCGCTCCGTCCGCTCTTCGACCACGGCGACGGCAGCGACGACCTGCCCATGACACTCGAGGACATTGCGCCCATCGACGAGCAGCTGGCGGCCGAGTTGCACGTCCTGCACGGCCTTAGAGAGCTCGTGACGCCCGCTCGCACCTACGAGCGCGGCCCGGCAGCGGGACGGCGGCCGTGCCTGCCGGTCCTGGCGAATCATCGCCTGGGTGTCAGGGCCTCGGACGCTCGCATCTCTGTGCCGGGCAGCGTGCGCTCAGGCTCGACGCTAGACGACCTGGAGGAGGCTCACTACCACCGGCCGCCAGCTGACGCGCGCCTCGCGGCGCCGCTGCACTTGCTGTCGCAGTCGGGCTTCAGCTACGGTTCGCGCGACGCCATGGCGGGCGACAAGCGTCTGCGCGGACGGGCCCGCCGCATCGTCTACTCTGGAGCGCGCTTTGGACCCGAGAACTGCTTCGGGCCCTTCTTGCCGTACCGGCCGCCGGCAGGCGCCAACGCTTTCCGCGTCAGCGACGCAGGCGACGATGCATCGGACAGCGAGGAGGAGTTCTTGCTGGAGGCTCCACGCGTGCCGTTCGGTTCGACGAAGCTCAGCGCCGAGGCGCTCGGCCGGCTGTGGGAGAAGCCGAGCGAGCCGGATGATGCTGCGGACGCGAGCGACAACTTTGAGGACAACGAGCGCGAGTATAGTGCATGGGATACCGAGTTGGAGCTCGTCGACTTCAGCCTCGGCCGGCACAACGGCGGCATGACCGCCCACGAGTTGCTGCATTTCTGGGACGACGAAGAGGATGACCTGCACCTCTTTGACACCTCGCCGGGGATCGACGAGATGACGGAAGGGCATGACAGCCAGTCCGAGTCCCCCGACGCTGACTCTGCGGATGGAGATGCTCCGCCGCTGCTGCACCCGGGCCTGGAAGAGGAGGCAGCCGACTACTCCAGCGAGGAATCGGCAGTCTCATCAAACGCCGACAGCTCATCAAGCGCCGATTCTCTGCTGTACCCAGACGAGCAAGACCTGATCACGCTCGCCGGCCAAGCTGCCGGCTCCATTCCTCGGCGGCTCATGCGCGAGGCACTGGCACGAGGCGAAGTGCCGGAGAAGCGCATCGACTGGGTCGTGGTGGAGGCGCTGCAGGTCGTGGTGAGTCTGCCGCTGCCGACCGACAGGTCCGTGCTGACACGCCGCAGATGCACGCCAACATCATGCACGCGCAGCTGCACGGCTGGGGCGCCGCCTGGCTGCGTCGCATCGCCTCGCCGGGCCTGCTCGAGCCGCAGCTCGGCGCGCCAGAGAACGATGAGATCTCAAAGGACAGGACGAACGACGTTGCTGGGTGCGCAGCATGGCGTGCGAGATCTCACGACGCCGCTGACACCTTCGCCTCAGCTACAATCGGGCCACGCACCTGCTTCGCCCTCCGTCTGGCTTCGAGCACTCGCGAGGAGCGGCTCTGCCGAAGGAGATGCCGTCGGGCCAGCCGTACGACTGGGCGCACCTCGAGGGTGAGGCATGCGGCGCCGCATCTGAGGGCACTCGCTGACGCACGACGTCGCAGGCGTCTGGATCGGCACGTACAGCTTCCTGGACTACCGCGACTGGCTGGAATACAACGCGACGGATGCGCATCAGCGAGGCCACCGATGGGGCAACCCCGAGAAGCAGCTCAACCCCCGGCGGCCTCCGCGGCTCGAAGAAGAGAGCGAAGCCGTCGGCGACTTCCTCTATCTCCAGCTGCGCCTCCTGCCGCACAAGCCCGAGCACCGCACGGAGGTGGATACCGAGATCGAGGACGAGGACTATCCGCCGCTGTGGTTCGAGGTGGGTCTGACGTGCAAGCTGGCCCGCTCCTTCTGACACGACTTGGCCCAGGGCCGGACTTGCAACGTGGACGACGCTGGCCCCACGCCGCGAGGAGCGGTACGTGACTCAGCGCTCGCTCGCGCAGTCTCATCAGCTGACCCCAGCTGCAGGTGCACGGCGTGGTCCGGCCCGTCTTTGCTCCCGGCACCAGCGCCGCGCCCGGTCCGGATGGCCGCAAGGCGAAGCGAGCCATCTCTGGCATACACTTCTCGATCACGCACCGCTACGATGGCGAGGACCGCTGGAAGCTCGAGTGCGTGTGGCAAGCTGTCACGGCCGGAGCTCGGCTGACGTCCAGCCCTTCACAGAGCCGTGCAGCCCGGCCCGCCCGGTACTCGCGCGGCCATCTACGGCATCTGGAGCGATGCGGAGCGCGAGGAGAACCCGCCATCGGGTGCGTTGCGCTGGTGATGGATCTCCTGCTGCCGCGCTGACTCCGCCTCCTACAGCGCACCCCAACGGGCCGTTCGCCTACTGGCGCCAGGATGAGCGGCGCTGGCAGGACGTCGAGCGCGAGCTCGAGACGCCGCGAGCACAGGCGCGTGCCGAGGAGCTGCGCGAGGAATACGCCGCACGCGGCGACGGCCTGCCGCTTCCCCACGGCGTCTGGTTCTGAGCCGTACCCTTATCTATCTTATGCGATGAGCGAGCATCTCTGGTGCATCGAGAAGAGCGCGGCCGACCGCCATGACATACAGCAGCGCGCGTGTCTGCCCTCCCACCTCGCGCATTGCAGTACATGCTCCGGATCTCTCATTGCGTGAGCGGGTCGTAGCCGACGCGCCAGCCGGCGTACAGGATCGAGATGCCCAGCACAAAGACGACGATGGCGACGTCGTTGACGAGCGAGTTGAGGAGCGAGACGTAGCTCGAGCCCGTGAGCAGCAGCGACGAGACGACAGGCGGCAGGAAGGGCGCCACCTTCTGCACCAGCGACGGCGGTGGTGGTCGCGACTGAGGCAAGGCGACGTCAGAGGCGCCTCTGCAGCACCGTGCGCTGCCGCACTCACCCGCAGCAGCATGATGCGGGTCGACTGCAGCACAATCTCGAGCGTGATGAAGAGGTAGAAGACGGGCTGCGCGGCAGCGCGTTAGCGTGATGGCCAGCGAGCACGCTCACGCCGCACTCACAATGCCACCGAGGCCGAGCTGCTCGACGCCGTACATGCCTGCGTCCCACGGGCTGGGCCGCTCGTAGCCCAGGCGTGCCCAGTGCATCATGGCGCCGCCGTTGACATGCGCGATGAGGCTCTCGGTGGCGCTGGCGGCCTTGTGTGCATGCAGCAGCGGCAGCACGAGGTAGCCGCCGAACGCAGCGCACAGCAGCGCGCGCACGACGGCAAAGATGCGGTCCGTCTTGCTGGCGGCAAAGTCCTCGGCGCCGGGAATGCCGCCGAACGGCGACGCTCCGAACGGCGACGCGCCGTCGGCGGCACTGGCACCGCCGGCGCCGCCCATCATCGACTGCAGCTGCGAGAACATCTGCTGCATCTGCGGCGGCAGCTCCATGCCCTCGGGCATGCCGGGAAACGCCGGCATGCCTGAGCCGCCCTCGGGCATGCCGGGAAACGGCGGCGCGTCGGCGCGCTGCATGGCACGCAGCGAGCTGATGTCGATCTCCGGCGGCTCGCCGTCGTCGTCTGCCGGCGCAGCAGCAGAGCTGGAAGGCGCAGCGCGCGGCGAGGCGAGCGGCGGCGGCGACGCCGGGTAGAGCTCGGCGGCCTCCTGCCCGCGGCCCGTCTGGGTGATGCGGTTGAGGCGGTCGGTGCCCTTGCCGAGGATGCGCGCCTTGCGGGCGGCGCGCTTGGCGGCGGCATCGTCGGCGGGTGACGCAGCCGCCGCGGCGGGCTCGGCGGTGCTGCTCGATGGCGGCGGCGGCGCGACGGGCTCGGCGCTGTCGGACATGGTGTGTGGACGTGGGGTGGAGTGAGGCGCGGCCGGTGCGTCTGCGGTGTGTTCGTGGCACGGCGCGCGTCAGTGCTCCCGCACGAGAGCGCAGCCGCCGCCGGCCTGAGATTTGATTTTTGGCTGCCTCTGCCCCGCCTTGACCTCGCTCCTCTCCCCGGCGCCACTCTCCCAACCCCACCCTCACACCCATCCTCAATCTGCCACCATGCGCCAGAAGCGCGCCAAGACGTACCGCAAGGCGCTGGCGCTGTACATGCGCCACTTCGCCTTCCGCCTGCCGCTGCAGCTGCTCTTCGACAGCGCCCTCGTGCTGGCGCTGGCCAAGCAGCGCCTGGCGCCCGCCGACGTGCCCGCACGCCTGGCCGACGTGCTGCAGGTGCGCGCCGCCGCGCCGCTGGGGCACCGCCGGCCCAAGGCTGAGGGCGGCGAGGTCAAGTGCATGATCACGCAGTGCGCCATCAACGAGCTCTACCGCCGCCAGAAGGACGGCGACGTCGAGGCGCGCGCCGTCGACATGGCAAAGACCTTTGAGCGCCGCCGCTGCGGCCACCGCGAGGCCATCGCCGGCGACGAGTGTGTGCGCCAGAGCATGGGTGAGTGGCCGGAACGCGGTGAGGAGTGGTGTGGCAGGGATGCAGCGGCGCGTGACAGATCGGCGAGGCCCCTACTGTCATGTGCGATGGAGCCGCTGCACTGGCGAAGCCTGCATGCTCGCCATGCTGCATCAGACGCCAACGCCACAGACGTCGGGCTGACATGCGCGTGACAGGCCCGACGAACAAGCACCGCTACGTGCTCTGTGCCAACTCCTTTGCGCTGCGTGCCTGGGTGCGTGCCGAGGTGCCTGGCGTGCCAGTCGTGCACGCCAACGAGCGCAGCGTGCTCGTGCTCGAGCCGATCAGCGAAAAGACGCGCGAGCGCATCGACAATGTGAGTGTCCGCTCTTGTATGCCCGCGCAGCCTCGTGATTCTCATTACTTCGCACAGCTCGAGGTGGACAAGCTGCGCACAGACGCACACGAGGCCTCGGCGCTCGGGCTCTCGGCCTCGTCTGTAGCCGGCTCATCGCGCGGCGCCACGGGCGACATCGTGGGACTCGATGCGGCCGATGCAGCCGAGGGCTCGACGCCTGCCTCCGCAGCGGCAGCAGCGGCAGTGCCAGGCGCCAAGAAGCGGCGCGCAAAGGAGCCCAACCCGCTCTCGATGCGCAAGAAGAAGAGCGCTCCCACGGCGGCCGAGGCGCAGCAGGGCGCCAAGAGCGGCGAGAAGCGCAAGCGGGACGACGGCGCTGCCCCACAGGGCGCCACTGCGACAGCTGCCAAGGACGGCGCTCCGGCGCGCAGACGGCGGAAACGCGGCGCTGGCGGCAGCGGTGCGGGCGGCGGCGGCGATGATGGAGCAGCCAAGACGACGGCGGAGGCCGCCACATAGCAACGCAGAGTCCTTCTTTGTTCCGTTCACACGTTGCGTACTGTGGGGGCGTAGGGCCGGAAGATAGGTGCGCCCGGGTGCCGAGCGTGGATAGCGAGGAGGGCTAGAGGAGGCAGCGAGGCGCAGACTGCATGGCTGGTGCCAGCCATGGGCGTCACATGGCCGGTCTCGCATACGCGACCGCACAGAAGCAAGCAGAGGAGCGGAGCTGCGGCGCCCGCGTGGCTCTCACACGCTCTGTCCCACCTGAGCGCTGGCTTGAGTCGGGACACACAGCACGCGGCTCCGCGGGATGTGCCCAGGCGGCGCCGGGATCGCAGCGATGCCAGCGCCAGAGAGCGCGCGTTGCTCATCGCTGCGGGCGGCGCTGCGCTGCGCTGCGCTGTCTCGAGCGCGAGACCGTGGCGCCGAGCTTGCTTGCGCCCGCCAAATTCTCCGGCGGCGCAGGCACTTAACGCGTCTCGTGCCGTCGCCGCGACGCGCTCTCGACCCAATGCGGCGACTCGCGTGCGACCTCCGCTGCTCCGCGAGTCGGCGGCGCTCGCGGCAGGAGAGCAGGCGCCGCGGACGCCCATGCTCGCCGGCTGCCTCGCGTCCACCACCATCAGGCACGCACAAGCAAGAAAGCAGGGTCTGCGCAGGAACACTGGCTCCGCTGCGCCGGGCCGCGCGGCAGCGGCGGCGGAGGATCATCCGCCGTCTCCTCCGCCGCTCCGGCCGCCGTGCTCTCCACTCGGCCGGGCCGTGCGAGACACGCGCCAGCCGTCATGCCGCCAGCCAGGCGCCTCGGCCAGGCGCCTCGCCGCTTGGCAGGCAGGCGTGCGACTCTCCCGCCGGCTGGCCTCGAAACAGAGTTGGCCCTCCACCAGGCCTGCACGCACCTCAGCGGCGCAGCACAAAGGAGGGCGCGAACGGGCCTCTTTGCTCCGCCACGGCCCTCGCAGTGTCTCAGACAGCATGCACTACTCCTCCTCTCTCCCGTGCAACCGCTGAGACATGCGCGTGGACAAGCAAAGCGAGGGCAACGCACAGCTCGTCCGTCCGGTGCAGGGTCTCCGGTGCAACTCTGACGCAGGCGCCCCAACGCACGGCGCCCGGCATCGCGCCCCGGCGGTGCCCTGGATGCTGATACGTCCGCACCTGTGTCCGAGGCATACATAAGGAGCGGCACAATTCCCTTCGAGGGCCTCAGCAAGACCTGCCTCTCTCTCAACACGCCCCACACGCTCCAACAGCCGCACACTCTCTTTGTCTATCGACCCTCGACTCTCGAGCACTTCCTCTCCTTAGCACGCCCTCACTCTCTCCAGCGCCATGCGCTTCTCCTCCTTCCTCTTCGCCTCGCTCGTCTTCGCCGGCGCTGCGACGGCGACATTCGAGTGCGGCGCGGACCCGCACGCACACGGCGTCAAGCCGTACCACAAGCACGGCAAGCTGCACAAGCACAAGCGGCCCTCGACGCCCAAGAAGCCGGCGTCGCCCGCAGCGCCGCAGCCACAGCTTCCCTCGCAGCCGCCGCCGCGCAGCAAGAAGGGCAAGAGCATCAGCCGCAAGCCGAAGAAGACGCACGGCAGCAAGCCCAAGGCGCCCATCAACACGAAGCCGCTGAGCGAGCAGCCGCACTACAATGCCCCGACGCCGCCGTGGGAGCACGGCAGCAAGCCTGGCTGGTGCGCCGGCGCCGGCGACTCGGACCTGCCGCGCTGGGACGACGGTGATCGGCGAAGTGAGTCGCACCTTCTGAAGTGCATCTGCCGCAGCCACACTGACTGACGCTCGTCGCAGAGTGCCACGAGGCCGAGCTGCAGAAGGACCACGGCGCCATGTCGCAGTTCTGCAAGCACGGCACCCCGGGAACCACGCTGCCGCCAAGCACCAAGCCCACAACGCCGCAGACGCCTGGCGGTACCACGCCAGGCGGCACCACGCCGGGCGGTACCACTCCCGGAGGCTCCACGCCTGGAAGCACGACGCCTGGCGGCTCCACGCCTGTAGGCACGACGCCGGGCGGTACTACGCCTGGCGGCTCCACGCCCGGAGGTTCTACTCCAGGTGGCAGCACGCCCGGCGGATCCACGCCCGGCGGATCCACACCTGGAGGCTCTACTCCGGGCGGCTCGACTCCAGGAGGCACGACCCCTGGCGGCTCTACCCCGGGCGGCTCGACACCAGGAGGCGCACACCCCGGCGGCTCTACTCCGGGCGGCACGACCCCCGGCGGCTCGACGCCAGGAGGCACGCACCCCGGCGGCTCGACGCCCGGCGGGTCCACCCCCGGCGGGTCCACCCCAGGCGGATCGACTCCGGGAGGCACCACACCAGGCGGCAGCACGCCGGGCACCTCGACTCCAGGCGGCGGCTCTACTCCAGGTGGCTCTACGCCGGGCGGCTCGACGCCCGGCACTGGCGGCAGCGGCGCACCAGTGTGCCAGCAGGGTTTCCAGCGGACGGCATACGACTACAAGCGCCTGGCCACGAGCGGCGTCTACTCGTGGCAGACGGTCGGCTCGGCCGCCGTCGACCCCAGCTACATCACCTACGGCCTCGTCGACACGCTCAGCCAGTGCCTCGAGGCATGCAAGGCCGGTGAGTCTTGTGCTGCAGCGCCTTCGCACCCTTCATGCTCACGCGCTCCGTCGCGCTGCAGTGAGGGGTTGCGTCTTTGTGAACTACTACGAGGACCGCGAGGAGGACGACCGCGACTTTGCCAAGCACGGCGGCCAGATGACGTGCGCCATGTTCGGCAAGTACGTGCCGACGTCGGCATGGACGAACTGGGGCGGCCAGTGAGTAGCGCAAGCGAAGACCACCCTCCCTGCTCGCCCTGACACCTCCTCGCCAGGCACGACCCCAACAGCATCCACTCGAGCTCCGGATACCTCCTCGGCGGCAGCTGCCACTGATCGAACGCACACGACTCTCTAATTGTGACGCTATATATCCCTGTTCCCCTCTGCCTGCCTAGTCCTTACCTGATTCGAGACGCGAGACGGGGTGCTCCGGCGCGGCAGCGCCTGCTGCGTGCCGCTCCTCGATGGCATGCATGCGCTCATCCTCCTTCAGGACGCCGAGCGGGCCCTGATAGTGCCTGTCAGCTGCTGGCTGGTGCCAAAGGCGCGACGGACTCACCGTGTAGAACTTGCGGGCGCCTGACGAGAGGAAAGAGCGTCAGTGAGGCGAGCAGCTGCAGCGCTCAGCTATACCCACCGGCAAAGTAGTACACTGCAGCGCCGCACGCAAAGAAGACGACGACGACGCTGGCGTAGTTGATCGTCTCGGGCGTGTTCTCCGCCGTCGTCGGGAAGCAGAAGAGCACGATTGAGAAGAGCACCCATGCCAGTGCGATGCTGCAGCGCAGTGGTGAGACACAGCTGATGCGGCGTGCACGGCACACTCACATGTTGGCGGCCCAGCCCCACACGCCGAGCGACCAGGGCGCATCGCGCATCGGCCGGCGCCCCTGCAGGATGACCATCACGACTGGAAAGACATAGCTGACGCCGAGCAGGATGCTGTGGGCTGAAATATGAGCAGAGGCCCGGCACATGGTACGATGTCACGCACGTGCATGCGCCAGTGAAGGCGCTGAATGCGGCAGTGGCGCCAAAGTAGATGAGGCCGAGCGCCATGATCAGGCCGGTGCTGACGAAGAGCGAGTTGAGCGGCACGTCGAGGCGCTTGTTGACGATGCGCAGCCAGCGGCTGCCGGGCAGGCCGCCGTCGCGGCTGAAGGCCCATGTGCAGCGGATCGCGACGGTGAGTGAGCCGACGGAGGCGAAGAGGCCGATGCCGAGGATAAGGAAGAGCAAGCCAAAGGCGCCGCCGGCGGAGCCCGTCACCTGCGAGAAGAGCACGACGACGGGCTGGCCGGCTGCCGAGGTCAAGATGGAGTCGAGGTCGACCGGCAGAACGAACGCCAGCGGCAGCACGTAGAGAAAGCCCGTGAGGCTGGCGGCCAGCACACTGCCGACCATAGCGCGCGGCACGGCGCGCTCGGGCTCGACGACCTCCTCGCACAGCGCCGAGATGGTGCCGTAGCCCGTGAGCACGTAGGCCGGCGTGAGCAGGCCGACGAAGAAGGACCAGCCGTCGGGCCAGCCGCTGCTGTTCTCCCACTGCGCAAAGACTTCTTGCGCCGAGCGCTTGTCGTCGCTCATCGCCAGCGTGGTGACGAGGATGATGATCTGACGAGGAGTGAGCGAGGTGCTTCGTTGTGCGCGGGATTCGACTCACGCTCGTTGCGCCAGTCCACCACATCGACGACACGTTGAGCAGCTCGAGATAGTTGCCCTTGACGCCAAAGGCATTGACCGCCGCAGCGAAGACCATCACTGGGATGGACCCGTCAGCGGAGGGTCACAAGGCGAATGAAGTAGCAAGCTCACCTGCCCAGAAGCAGAGGATCGTGTGCCAAGTCTCGGGCGTCCATTCGTTGTTGCGGAAGACGGAAATGCCGCTGCGCACGAAAGTCAGCGCCGAACGAGAAGCCAGCATCTTACATGCTCACGCCATGATGAGCTGTGCCTCGCCGAACGCGATTGAGAGGCAAAGCGTGATGTTGGCAATCACGGAGATCCAGCCGACGACGAAGCTGGCGAGCACCGAGGCCTTGCGCGGCGCCAGGTATGCTGCAAGAGTCCGGAGTGTCAGTGCGAGGCAGTGCGAGGCAGAGAGCGTGACAGCACGACATCGGCACGCACCGGTCCAGACATAGACGCCGCCGCTGCTCGGATAGAGCGAGCAGACCTCGCCGAGCGACGCGGCAATGGCGACGGAGATGAGCGAGAGGAGGAACCAGCCCCAGAAATACGACGTGGCGCCGCCGTTGATGAGGGCAAACGACGCCGACGTCGAGAGGCCGAACGGCGCGGCGCTGCAGCCAAGTGTCAGCCGGAGTAGCGCTGCGTCCCTGGCAGCGGCGCTCACATGATGGCGGCGCCGAGGCCGATGACGGCGCCGACGGAGAGGTTGCGGCGCATCTCGGGCGCATAGCCGAGCTGCTGCAGGCGCTCGTCGGTCGCATCGAGGTCGTGGCTCGTGACGACGGCCTTGGCGGGCGCCGAGGTGACCGGCTTCATGGCGGCGGCGCCGTCGAGCGAGGCGCGCTTGTCGGCGGCAGAGAAGTCGCTCATGGTGTGGGTGAGGTGGTGGTGAGAAAGAGACACGCCAGCCGAGGCTGCCATGCGTGGTGCGCCTGTGCGCCCCTGTGGCTTGCACGTATCAGTGGAACGGAGCGGCAAGATGGGCTGGAGTGGGAGTTGGCCGGCAGGAAGCAAGGTCGGGATGGCGAGGAGAGCGCCGCCCGTACGCCGGCCACCATGCTCCGAGGCAGGTGCAGGCACACGCTGGACCTGGACCTGCAGCACTGGACCCGCGGCAGCGGTGATGCTTGACTGCATGCTGCTCCCGCAAGGCCCTCTACTGTCCTGCTGCACGTTGGGGCGAGAGAGCAGCGGACAAGTGGCTGCGATAGCGTCGGCGCGATAGCCGGCGCCGGGCCGCCTCCTTGGCCGCCGCCGCGCCGCGCCACGACGAGTTGCTCCTCGCACTCGCCTGCACTCGCTCATCCTCGCTGCCCAAGGCCGTCTTCGAGGAGCATACGAAGCCCTGGCACAAGCAGTGCGTTTGGCCGCCGCAGCGCCAGTGCGCAGACGAGAGGCGCTTGTGCGGGGATCTGCTGTGCTCCGCCGGTGAGCGGGCACGGTGCGGGGAGAGGCATGAGGCGTGTGGGTACGAGCAGACGCTGCTCGCGTGCCTGCCGCAAGCGCCTGACGTCGCTTGGCCGCTGCCGCTATCAGCACGCTCCCACGCCGCGGCCCAACTCTCACGCTGTGCTCGGGCCAAGCGTTGATCGGCGACTCTGCGCTGCACCACCGCCATCCGCACCCGCTCGCGCCCCCGCATCTGCGCACATCGCTGCCGCTGCCGCCTCGGCGCATCTGCCGCCGATGAGCGCCGACCGCGCAGGCCGCGCGCCGCCCGGCGCCGCATCGCCCGCACTGCGCCACGACGCCCAGCTGCAGTTGTGAGCCGCCTGCAGCGCATCGCCCTCGCCCCTCTCACCTGCCACTCCCAGCGCGCAGCTGCGGCAGCCCGGCAACTGTCCCTCGGGCATCTACCTCAGCCCCGCCCTGGCGCCGCCCGCAGACGCCACGCGCCTCCACGGCGTCGTCTTTGTGCGCCGCGGGCCCTACGCCGGCGCCGTGTTCCGCTTCGACATTGCGTGGACGCAGCAGGCGCGGGCGCCCGACGTGCGCTTCGCCGACGAGTGTGTGCACCCGCTGGTCGATGTGAGTCGAGCATGTCGATGCATGGTGCGGTGTGGCGCATCGCAGCTTATACATAGGGTATGCCGATGCGCTGCGCTGCGCTTGCCCTGTTGCACTCGCACGCAGCGCAGCGATGAGCCCGCCTGTGCTGCTCATGGCGCTGACCTGCCGCTCGCCTCGCAGCCGCAGACGCACCTGCTGCGCCTGCAGCCGCGCTTTGCCGTCTGGCGGCCGCGCGAGGACCTGCTGCCCGCGCTGCTCGCCTACATCAAGGCCATCTTCAAGCGGCGCACGCTCGACGTGCTCGACGCGGCCAGCGCCGCCGACGCTGAGCTCTTCCGGTGAGCTGCGCTTGTGCTGTGCGCACGCCACTGCTGTGCTCACGCTGCCACGTCTCGTAGTCTCTACGGCAGCGACCGTGCCCTCTTCATGCGCCTCGCAGCGCAGAGCGCCGCCTCGTCCGTCTCGCCGGCGCGCCTCTACGCGGCCGACTCCAAGGCGCGCGCCGGCAGCGCACCCGCACCTGCCGGCATCCGCTTCGGCGAGCTCGACGACGAGCTGTACGCGCAGGTGCGCGCGGCAATGCTGGGCAAATGAGTAGCATTGTGAGGCGTGGAGGGGCGGACGGTCGCAGGAATGTAGATGGGTACGTAAGCGGTGCGGTGCGGTGGAACGAGAAGCCTCGTGGCGTGGACGTCAGAGGTGGCAGAGTCATCGTAGCATCGTGATCCACAGACCCGTGACAGAGGGCTGAGGAGTGACATGAACGCTGACAGCGCGAGAGCTTCTTGCGGTGCTCTAGCTGAATGCGAAAAGCGGCACCTGCAGGCGGGGATCCACCTCGTCTCGCACTTTGCGGCACGCTCCACCTCGGCGACTCCAGTCGACGGCGTCTTCTTCCCGCGCTTGGGGGATTTGTTCTCACTCTCGAGGAGCTGCATGCGCTCTGCAAGCTTAGGCGCCTCGGTGGTGTGCTTGATGGCCTCCCAGATTGCGGTGTGCGTGGCGCCCTCCCTGCCGTCGGCGGCCTTCTTGAGCGGCATCATGCGGAACACAGCCTTCTGATTGAGCCCGGCACCGGCACAATCCACCTCATCGTGGTGGATGCAGAACGACGATGCCGTTGTGGACAGCGAGCTCGTGGATGCTGAGCTTGTTGACGACGAGACGCGGCTTGACGACAAGGAGCCGCCGAGCAGCGAGGCGGAGGCGTCGACGACGCGGGTCTCGACGGCGTCGTGGCTCGCTTCGCCGATCTGGCCGAGCGAGAAGAGGGCATCCGTGCAGCAAGAAGAGGCCGCAGACGATGAGCTCGAGTACGAAAGGCTCTCCAGCGACAAGCAGTGGTCGACCAGTGAGACGCTGCTCTCCCGGGCACACGCGAAATGCTCGTCTTCACTGACGTGCGATAACGAGACACGTTCGGCTCTCTGAAATACATCTGCTTTTGCTGCGCTCGTTGAGCCGAGCGACTTGAGCTGCTTGCGGAAGCTGAGTGGAGTCGGATAGAGCTGTGTCAGGGGTCGGCTGCCCGTGGGGCGGCGGCGGCGGGACCGCTCCCGGCGCCAGCACGGCGCCAGGCGCGAGACTTACCTTTCGCCGCGGCGGCTGCAGGCGAGTTGTATTCGCGCATTACACGGCGGCGTGGCTGCGACCGTGCACGCACCGCGCCGCGCGCGCCTGCGCTGTGCTGTGCCATCGCCCGCAGCCTGCAGCCGCGCCGCCGCCTGACGCAGCTCCACCAATCTCTCGCCGCCGCTTCCCCACATCTTGCACCGCTTGCCCAGCCCGGCGGCCTTACACCAGATCACCTCACTACACCGGCAGGCCTGCACACCCACTTTCACGCACCTCTGCCGCCGACATGTCTCGCGCCCTGAACGACGACGAGGTGCTGACGGAGATGAAGAAGATGGTGAGCGCACACGGGCCTCGGCCGCCGCATCGGCGTAGCTAGGCGGCGACCAGAGCGCTGATGCCTGCCCCGCGCTCTCCGTAGGTGGCCTTCATCAAGCAGGAGGCCATGGAGAAGGCCCGCGAGATCCAGGTCAAGGCAGACGAGGAGTTTGCCATCGAGAAGGTGCGCAGCGCCCCGTGCGGCCCGATGTCGCTCTGCCTGTTGCTGACGGCTGCGAGCAGGCCAAGATCGTGCGCCAGGAGGCCATCAGCATCGATGCCGCGTACGAGAAGAAGACAAAGCAGGCGCAGGTGGCGCAGAAGATGTGCGTTGCGCGGCGCAGCTCCAGCTTGCTGCAATCGCTCACAGCGACTCCCTCTGCAGCGCTGCGTCGAACCAGACGAACGCCTCGCGCCTGAAGGTGCTGCAGAGCCGCGAGGCGCACCTGCAGGAGCTCTTTGAGGCCGCACGCGGCCGCCTGGAGGAGCTCAGCAAGGACCAGTCGAAGTACCAGGAGCTCCTGACGAAGCTCGTGCTGCAGGTGAGTCGTCGGCTAGCTGCGAGATGATGGAACGAGCCGAGAGGGCCAGTCGAGAGAGACGGCGCAAGCTGTCAGCGCACAGGCCGCCTGTTCTTGGCCGGCCAAGATGGCGACTGCCGATTTGAAACACGCCGTCTCCAGACGCTCACACATCGATCTGCAGGGCCTGCTCCAGCTCACCGAGCCGAAGGTGGAGATCACCGCCCGGTCCGGCGACGTGCAGATGGTGCAGGAGGCAGCCAAGGCGGCCGCCAAGCAGTACGAGGAGAAGAGCGGACGGAAGGTGGAGACGAACGTCAAGGACGGCCTGAGCAAGGACTGGTGAGTTGTGCTCCACTCCACGCGGCAATGGACCCGCTTGGTGCAGCATGCGATGGCGCCCTGCTGCGCTGCAGCGTAGATACGCTCCATGGCAGCGAACCTCGCATCGCCAACGTTGCTTTGCTTCACGAGCGACTTCTCAGTCTGTCGGACAGCTCGCTGACAAGCCTCGCGCAGCGCCGGCGGCATCATGCTGGCCGGCCACGAGGGCCGCATCAAGATCAACAACACCCTCGACGAGCGTCTGCGGCTTTCGGAGGACCGCGTGAGTTGCAGCAGACGCTGCCGCATGCGCAGCTGCCCGCAAGCTTGACTGTCGCTCACGCGTTGCTGCGCCAGATGCTGCCGGAGATCGGGCATGACCTGTTCGGCCCCAACCCCAACAGGCGGTCAGTCCGGCCAACTCGCGATGCTGCACGCCGCTTTGCTCACGCCCCTGCCCCAGATTCTTCAACTGAGCGAGCTGCGCTTGTAGCTCTCGCGTTAGTGGGCGCGCGAGCTCGGGCGATGGTCTCCGTCATGCTACCCTCCACATCTGTTCCTTCTGAGCCTGAGCAATCGACCCTTCACTGATGCGTAGCGTGCGTGTGCAGCGGGCTGAGCAACGGAGCGTCACAGAGAGCTAGGCGTCCAGAAAGCGGTTCATTACATGTCAGGATCAACGACGGCGGGCTGAGTCGAGGAGCTGGTGGATGTCGACCGTGTCGCCGCCGATCTCAGCTGCGACGAGAAGCACAGTGTCAGCGGCAGAGCTTGCATCGTACGTGCACGCAGCGAGCACTCACTCGGCAGGAAATCGACTGGCTCGAGCGTCTCGTCGTCACTGCTCGACCGTGTCAGCAGGTGCAGCCACGGAAGAGAGGTTCTGGCGCTACGCACCCGTTCAGGATGTCCATCTGCATCGCTGCGAGGCCCTTGTGTGTGCCGGCGTGCGATGCGTGCATGTTCGGGAACGGTCCGTCCTATATGCGCAGCGTCAGTGACTGTCGAGTAATATGATATGAGGTTCTGCGAGGCTTCGCGAGCGAGGTCATTGGCCGCGCAGCGCATGCCGACACGAAGGAGGCAGGCATCGCTGTCCTGCATTCTGTGCGGCCACGGTGCGCTTCTGACGCCGCACCACCACTCGATACGTCTGAAGAAGGCAGGGCTACTCTCCATCGCTCCGAGCTCGAGCCTCGCTTCGCTCGTCTCCGCCGGCGCTCACCTTGACGATGCAGCTCTGCTCGAGCGCCGCCCGCATCGGCGCGCCGAGGCCGTACGTGTTGCGCAGCATCGTCTGCTTGAGCTGCTCGCGCGTCGCCTGCCAGCCCTCGAGGCGCGCCTGCAGCGGGTGGCTGCTGGCGGCCTGGTGCTCGTGCGCCAGCGAGCGCGGGCCGTGGCGCATGGCGTCGTGCACGCCGAGGTGCACGGGGTGCGAGGTGGCGGCGAGCGATGTGCTCGACGCCGAGGCGGCGCCGGGCACGAGGCGCAGCGAGGGTCCCGACTCGGTAGACATGGCTGTGTGTGTGAGGAGGAGGAAGGTGCGCGCGGGTGCGGGGATGTGGACGAGAAGCTGGAAGCGCGAGAGGAGGAGGGCCAGCGGTGGAGCGCTGGCCCAAGCGCGGCGCGCTTGCGCAGCGCGGAGCGGCGACTACAAAATGAGCCTCGCAGCGACTACTCCAGCCGCCGCGGCACTGGTCTCGATTCTTGTATTGGCTGGGCCCTGCGCCTGAGCCCCTTGCTTGCCTCTCGCAGGCATCTTCCTCACCTCTCCTGCACCTTGCCCACCGACTACTGCTCATCAGCCCTGCTACACACACCACACGGCTCAAGGCAGCGCTGCAGCGCTCGGTGCCCGTCTTTCGCACCTCTCTGCTGCCGCATTTGCACCGCGACAGCTTCGCGGCAGCGCCGCCTCTGCCGCGATGCTCAGCACGCCCTCCACTGCCGACTTCCTCGCGGCCCATGTCGGCGCGCCCGAGGAGTCACGCTTTGCCGTGACGGCAGACGTACAGGCCCGCCTCTCGCGCTCGCTCTGGCAGGCGCTGCTGTCCGTCGTGCCAGCGCCGCACCTTCTGCCGCGTGCCCAGGCTCCCACTGCCGAGCATGCCCTGGCGCTGCTCGAGGCCAGCGGCTGGCGCCTCGCCGAGGCCCAGCGGCGGGCAGCGCGTGCCGCAGCCGAGACGGCCCGCGGAGACAAGGGCAAGGGCGTCGAGGGCCGCGTCGCGGCGCCCTCTCCCGCGCTCGCTGCGTACGAGCTGGGCCCGGAGTATGCCGAAGAGCGCAAGGGCATGCCCTGCGGCCACGTCTTCAAGAAGGGCGAGGCCATCTATCGCTGCCGGTGAGTGCTCCAGGGCTTTCCTGTGCCGCGCATACTCACACCAGCTGCAGCGACTGCGGGCTCGACGACACCTGCGTCCAGTGTGCGCCGTGCTTCAACGCCTCGAACCACCAGGGCCATGACATCATCTTCAGCGTCAGCTCCTCCAGCGGCGGTTGCTGCGACTGCGGCGACGACGAGGCGTGGAAGTGCCGCCTGGGCTGCAGCTTCCACGAGCCAGGCCCAAGTCAAGCGAGCGATGCGCTCTCTGCCGCTGGTCCAAGCGTACAGCGCTCGCAGCATGCAAGCGAGATGGACGCCGACGACGACGACGGCTCTTCCGATGTCTTCTGGAACGCCAGTGAGGACTCGAAGCAAGCACAGGCGCCCGTGCCGCCGCCCGTGCTGCCTTTCGAGAGCCTGCTGCAGCCCGTGCCTCGCGATATCCTCGAGAGCCTGACGGAGCACATCTCGACGCTGCTGGCCTACGTGCTTGACACGCTAGAGCACGCGCCGGAGGACATGAAGCTGCCTGATGGCTCGCTGATCCTGGACTACCTCAAGGACATGCCGACGCTGCAGCCGTCAGAGGAGAGTACAGAGGGCAAACAGCGGCTCTATGCTGTGGTGCTCTGGAATGACGAGAAGCACTCGTTTAAGGAGGTGATCGACACTGTGATCGATGCGACCGGCGTCTCTGAAGCGCAGGCGAAGCGTGTGGCCGAGCGGGTGGACAAGCACGTGAGTAGCGCGCTCATGCCGAGGCAACGACCTCTTGTCTGATGCCGGCTGTCGCACAGGGGCGCGAGGTCATCGAGATCTCCAGCGAGATCCGCCGCCTGCTCATTGTCGCGCGCAAGCTCAGCGTCATCGACCTGGCGGTCACTGTGCGGCCAGCGTACGACATCTTCGCCGAGGAGCTTGCGCACCATGTGCTGTCCTTGATCCTCGACCTCGCGAACTCGTCGCTGTTCCTGCATCCGAGCTCTCTCGACGGCGAGATGCAGCCGGTCCATCCGCTCGACGGCCTGCGGCCCGACGCTGCAGTGATGCGCGCCATCGTTGGGCGGGTCCTGCTCGAGCGCTGGGCGCACCAGTTCCGCTTCGAACAAGGAGGCATGACGCGACAGTTTTGGAACCCGGACGATCTGCGCAAGATCGACGGCCTGTTCCTGCTGGACCAGAAGATGTGGAAGGGCGCGCGCTCGCTGGTGCGCTCCGTGTTCATCTCCATCATGGGCCCGCGCGAGGTGAAGCGCGAAGTCGGTAAGTGCACCGCGGTGCGGAACACAGCTTGCAGGCTGATGTGCGAGCCCCTGCAGCGCTGCGTCTGGCTCGCATGTACCCCAAAATCATCGAGACGTTCATCCTGCGCGACCGCGAGCCGGAGCACTCGGTGCGCCTCATGACGGTGCAGCTCTTCAGCGTGCCGTCGATTGCGCGCGAGCTCGTCGCAAGCCACGACTACAACTTCCTGCAGAAGCTGCTCCTGATGCTGCAGGCCGTCTTCACCGGCGGCCTGACGCAGATGTCTCTCGAGCTCCCGCCGCTCCCACCAGCCAACGGCATGGCGAGCCCGCAGTCGATGCTCATACGGCACCAGCGCTGCTACCAGATGTTCCACGACGTGCGGTACCTCCTCGCCGCCACGGGCGTGCAGACGCTGCTTGTCGAGCAGTCGGCGCACCTCGACTACTTCCTGCCGTTCCTGGCGCTCTTCAACGGCATCGCGCCCAACCGTCGAGCACAGGGCGAGCACGTCGAGTTCGAGTCGGAGGTCTGGGTGCCGGTGTTCCACGTTGTCACCCAGCTCGCACGCGCGGCCGCGCAGTTCGGCGCCGCCTTCTCGCGGGCAACGAGCCTTCAGCTCTCAGACGCGCTCGTCACGACTGCGCGTGTCATCCTCATGAACACACTCAAGCTGCACCAGAACCAGCCTGACTCGTACGAGCCCATCGAGTCGCGCCTGGTGTCCTTCGCTGGGCAGACGTACGACATCATCGACTTCCACGTCGACGCGCAGCCCGTCTCGTTCCATCATCCGATGCACTGGCTCCTGGCGGAGCTCCTGAAGCACGTGAACGGCACGATCACTCCAGAGGCTCTCTCCATGTTCGCGGTGCTGCGCAGTGCGAGGACGGACTCCTTCACTCTGCCCGACATCTTCCCGCGAGATGTCGACGAGTCGGCGCGTCTGACGATCATCGACTTCCCGCTGCGTGTCATCGTCAAGCTCGCGCAGATCCGCGCCGGCATGTGGGTGCGCAACGGATACATGATCCGCCAGCAGGCGCATCACTACCGCGAGCACACCATGCGCGACTGCATGAGCGACCAGGATCTGTTCCTCGTCCAGGCCGGTCTGATGCTCGTCTCCGCCGATCGGCTGCTCGTCTCGGTGCTTGACCGCTTCGCTCTCCGCGAGTGGTTCGACGGCGAGCGGGAGCACGAGGTGCTCTCCGAGGACCAGTGCAGCTTGATGGTCGAAGAGCTCCTTCTGCTGCTCGTCACGCTCGTCTCCGAGACCAGCATCGCCCAGAGCTGGGCGATCGAGCAGCAGGTGCGCCGCGAGATTGTGCACTTCCTCGCGCTCTCGCAGGGCACCTACTCCGACCTCACCAAGCACATCTCCGACCGCTTCACGGACCACTCCAGCTTCGACCGCGTGCTCGCACAGGTCTCCAACTTCCGCGCGCCCGACGGCACGGCCGATCTCGGCATGTTCGAGCTGCGCGACGAGTGCTACGACGAGGTGCAGCCGTTCTTCTTCCACTACACGCGCAATCAGCGCGAGAAGGCCGACGATGTGCTGCGCGAGCGGCACCGGAAGCGCAACGGCGGGCAGCAGGCTGCAGCAGACGCATATGTGGCTGTACCGGCGCGACGCCTCGCACCCGGCCAGGGCATCTTCATCGGCAGTCTTCACTCAGCACTGACGAGCCCAGTCCTGATCCGCATCGCTACTGCAGCTCTGGAGCGATGGGGCGTCTCGGGAGATCCCGCGATGCCAGAGCCATACGTCGATGCGGCGCTTCAGCTGCTCATGCACGTGCTGATCGAGCGAGGCGCCGAGGGTGCCCGGGCCATGGCGCAGCCACACAATCAAAGCCTCGGGTGCGCGATCGACGTGCTCTGCGACCTGGAGAAGTTCATCACCTTCAAGCCCATCAAGGCCAAGGCGAGCTGGCTCGTCGACCGCGCTCTGGCAGAGGACCGCGAGGCCGTCGCCAAGGTGCTGCCCGCCGATCGCGTCACCCAGGCAAAGAGCCAGGGCGCTCCTGCAGCAGAGGACCCGAAACGTGCCGCTGCCCGTGCGCGCCAGGCCGCCATCATGCAGCAGTTCTCGGCGCAGCAGAAGAGCCTGCTCGACGCGCTGGCCGACGAGGAGCTCGATGAAGACGGCGCCGGCGACGGAGAAGACGTCACTATGGCCGACGATGACGCCCCGTCCGGCTCGACGTACCGGTCGATGGGCGACTGCATCATGTGCCAGGAGAGCCTCGACGGCAGCAGTGCCTTTGGCAGCCTCGCGCTGGTGCAGTCAAGCCGCATCCTGCGCACCACGCCTCGGCGGCAAGGCGTCTTCTTGCAGCAGGCCCTTGACACGCCGCTCACCCTTGACCGCAACGGTCCAGACGGCCGACGCGTCACCAACGCGTACCGCGAGCCCGTGCCGGGCACGCCTGCCGCCTCGTCGTCGGTGTACTACCCGGCAGAGGACCACCGCGACGGCTTCTTCGCCTCCACGTGCGGCCACATGATGCACGTCAACTGCTTCGACTCATACTGTCGCAGCGTCGAGCATCGCCACGGCCAGCAGATTGCCCGCAACCACCCGGAGAATCTTACGCGCCACGAGTTCGTCTGCCCGCTCTGCAAGAGTCTCGGCAACGTGATCTTGCCTGTGCCGGACGAAGAGGCCACTGCGCCGCCGACTCTGATCGCCATGCCGCTGACGGAGTGGATGCGCAAGATCAACATCGAGATCCTCAAGACCTCTGCGTCGAGCGGGCCGACGGAGCTGCAGGAGCTCGAGCACGGCACGGGATCGTTCGTGCCTTGGTACGCCGAAGAGGCGCTCGTCTGGGCGCGCGAGCAGCAAGGAGCGCAGGTCAACCTGGACCAGGCGACGTGGAAGATGCTCGATCGCCTTGTGCAAGTCCTGCGCCCGCTGTCGAGCCGCACTCGCCCGGCACGTGAGGCATTCCAGATCCGCAGCATCCTCGCGCCGCCTGGCCGCAAGATGTACATGCCCGAAGAGCTCGTCGCGTACACGATCAGCATGCTCGAGGTCTCGCAGCGCGGCACGACGCCGACGCAGTCCGCCTCGCCCAACGCGACGGTGGCCGACAGCCTGCCGGATCCGACGAACCAGCTGCTCAACTCGCTGCTGCACGCGCTGCGCAGCATTGCACGCGTCGATCACGCCGGCCCACGAGGCCTTGCAACCATGCAGCAGGGTCTGCTCAAGCGTCTCCTGCCTCACTGGGGCAACGACGAGACGGTGCGAGGACCGCTGCTGCTGCGCGATCCGCTCACCATCCTCATCGAGGCTGCCGTGTTGGCGCCGGGCAGCCTGGGCCAGATCACGACGCTGATGTACTACGCCACGCTCGTGCACGTCATCTTCGGTCTTGCGCAGCCGAGCATCTGGCCGCAGACGGCCAGTCACATGGGACGCGCCCCGAGCGCTGGGCTGCGTCCTGCGGAGCTCGGCCCTGGCGAGGCCGAGATGCTGCGCACAGTCTTCCCGGACGTACGCTGGACTGTGGCGAACATCATTGGCTTCGTCGGCTACGCACGCGGCAACATCACGCTTGGCGTCGATGCGCTGGACGATGTCAGCCTGGCCAAGATGCTCTGCACCTACACGCTGCCCTTCCTGCGCCGCGCCGCCATTCTGCATCGCGCCGTCGGCCTCAAGATGGCGCCTGCCTCTGCCGCAAGCGGCACGTCCGAGTACTTGCGGCTGCTGCATGGCCTGCAGATCCCGCCACCGGCAGAAGGCCTGCCCGTGCGGGCAGAGCGGCAGACTGCCCTCGCCAGCATGGTCGAGGGCTGGATCAAGCACGCCTACACTGCCCTTGCGTCTCTCTTCCGCCCGCTGCCGATCTACGCGCCGCCGATCTCTGCTCTTGGCACGCCGGGGACGCACCTGCATCCGTCATCTGCACACCCGACGCTGCAGCTCGAGCACCCGCACATCTACGAGCTCGTGCAGCTGCCGCGCGACCTCGCCACGCTGCTGCAGGACACGCAGCGGCGCATCTGCAAGCGCTGCAAAGAGGCGCCGCCGGAGCCGGCCGTGTGCCTCGAGTGCGGCGACGTGCTGTGCGTGCAGTGCTTCTGCTGCCAGGACGAGCAGTCGGAGCGCGGCGAGTGCAACCGGCACCTCGAGGAGTGCGGCGGCGCCACGGGCGTCTTCTTCAAGGTCAAGACGAACATCATCGTGCTGCTGTACGCCGGCAACGGCTCCTACACGACGTCGCCGTACCTCGACACGCACGGCGAGTTCGACATTGGCCTGCGCAAGGGCCGCCCGCAGCACCTGCACGCGCAGCGCTACGACGAGCAGCGCAAGCAGTGGCTCACGCAGTCCGTGCCGCACGTTGTGGCGCGCAAGCTGGAGAGCGTCATGGATCAGGGCGGCTGGAGCACACTGTAGCATTCTACCGCATCCTCTCATCAAAGCATTCATTATTTAGCGACCTTGTCGGACTCGGGCCACTCCTCGTCGAAGCCGGGGCCGCCGTAGGACCTGAGACGGCGTGTCAGCGAGGGTCGACGGCAGATGCAGCACAGGGCTCACCACTTGTTGTCGCCTTCGAACACCATGCCAATGCTCTCGAAGAGCTGCACCGCCGTCCGAGCGAAGGCCGAGCCGTCGAGCTGGTCGAGGTCCCGCCACGCACCCAGCTCGCTGGCCGGGCGTCCAGTTTCCTTTGCCTTGGCATCGAGGGCCTTTTGCGCCTCGTCGTCGAGCTTCAGGCTGCCCGCGGCGACGTGGCGCAGGCGGCTCGAGTGCCATGACAGCGTGCGCACGGCCTTGACGAGATGCTCGTCGAGGTGGTAGGATGCGACGTCGTACAGCGGGCCCCACGGGTCGCCGCCGACGTCGTTGAGCATCTCCTTGGCCTCAGGCTGCACCTGCGACGGCGCCGAGGGCGGGAGCCGGTCGCTCGTTGCGTTCAGAGTGCCTGCGACGTGCAGTGGCGCGCGGCCCTGTGCGACCCAGTAGATGAGTGCAGCGCGAGTGAAGACGTGCAGCAGGCGCGCGCGGGACAGCGGAGTGAGGACGGCGAAGAGCGCGGGGAGGAAGATGGTGCTGTTCAGCACGTGGACCAGCAGGAAGTCGTGCTTCTTCGTCTTGTAGCCGGGCCGCGACGTGGCACCGAGCAGCGCAGTGGTGAACCAGGCGAGCTCGTTGATCTTCTTGTTCCAGCCGCCGCGTCCGGCAAAGTCGGGCGGCGCAACATCGTGCGCCGTGATGACGAAGCGCGCCGCGTACTCGTCGAGGATCAGCTTGCCGGCATCGCCAAGCACCGTCTCGCGCAGGTTCTGGCCCTTGTGCTTCGTCGCCGTGCCGGGCGCCAGCCGATCGTCGAGCGCCATGAGTGTCGTGATGGAGAAGAGTGAGAGCGACGGGTCCGGCGAGGGCGTGGCGCTGGGCTCGCTCGGGAAGTTGGCATCCCAGCCACCGGGCATCATCGCCGACGAGTAGTTCTCGGTGATGGCTGCCATGGCAAGACCTGCAGGGTGAGGCTCAGCACGTGGTGAGCCTCAAGACGAACCAGTTCACTGACCCTCGGCGACGACCGGAAGCAGGTCAAACTCGGCGCCGTAGCCGCAGTGAATCAGCGGATGCAGCAGACCGCCGACCCAGCGGCCTGCCATCTCGACGCCCGGCCGGTTGGCCTCCTCGGAAAAGACGAAGCGCTCGAGCGTCGCGCCGATGCCGTGCTGCTCCAGCTGATCGGTCAGGAACGAGACGTAGGGCCAGTACGCCTCCATGCGGCCGAGGCGCTCCGTCCAGTTGTCCTCCGTGATGGGCTGCAGATCCGGCTTGGACTCCGACGTCGAGGGCTTGCGGTTGAGCTTGAAGCTCGGGTCGAGCGTCGTGGCGAGCGAGTGCTCGTAGATGACGGCAAAGAAGTGCGCCGGCACGCCCATGGCGAGCGCCGCCAGCACGTGGTGCGACAGGTGGTTGTGGAAGCCCTTGAGATTGAAGAAGATGTGGTAGAAGTGCGAGGCAACGAGCAGCTCGCGCGCTGCCTCGGCCGCGTCGGCGTAGAAGCCGGGCGTCGAGTGCACCACCGACGGCGACGGCAGCGGCATCTTGCCGAAGCGCACATGCGTGTCCTGAGCCGTGCGGCGTCAGCTCTGCGCTTTGCTGCGACTGAGACGCAACACAAGCTCCACTCACTCCCGGCGCAGCCAGCGGGTCCTTGGTCCACGGACGCGGGATCGGCGGCGTCATGCTGGCGGCAGTGCTGCGGTGACGAACGATGGAGCAGAGCGTGGCAGTGCTGGCTGAGGCTTGCGGCGCAGAGCGGGAGATGAGGCGTGCCGGCGCGATCAGGCGGCACGGCAGCGGCATGCGACGCAGCCAAGAAACTGCACGCGCAGGTCAAGACGGCCCAATAGCCAGAGACAGAGAGACTGACGCAAGCGTCTTGCGTCGGCGAAGATGAGCGACGAGGGTCTTGTAGCTTGCAGGTGGTGGTGGGACGCAAGCCGGAAGCCAGTGCGCTGCGCAACTCTCGGCACGGATGCGGGACGCAGCCGCAGGCCCGTCCGTGCGCGGCGTGGCTGATGAACCCTGCATCGCTGAAGCCGCGGATGCCGCTGGCCTGCGCTCCGCGGAGGACTCTGGCTGGCGGGAATGGCATCGGCGTCTCGCTGCTGTTGGTGAGCACTGCATGCGCTGTGCTGCTGCTTCCTTCACCGCTGCCAGAGCTGGCTGCGGGCCTGGCGACAAGACAGACAGAGGACAGCTCGCAAGGAAGTCTGGGCCCAGCGAAGACAGCGTGGGAACAGTGGAGGCACCGGGCGTGCCCTCCGTCGTCACGTGCGCGCCTCTGCTGCCGTCGAGGGGCGCCTCTGCCTGGAAGACGGGAGGATGTGCTCGAGCTGAGCGAATCGCAATGGAAGCAGGCTGGCGGGGCTGCGTGGTGCGCCTCAAGCTGTCCTGCCGACGACCGGCGTGCCGTCGGACTGATAGGCGGCGCCGCTGTCGGTGGCCGGCCGATGTTCCCGACGTGCGCCGACGCTGCAGCCTTGCACCGGTCCAGGGTCCTGCATGCCGCCTGCATCGCTGTTCTCCGCACTCCGCAGCTGTGCAGATTGCCAGACGCACAGCACGCAGAGAGCCAAGAGCAGGTGATGGGAGCAGCGGCCTGGGGATGGCGGCGGCCAGGCGCCACGGCAATCTCGCGCTGCTGCACGGCACTCGGGCGCGGTGGCGACTTTGGGTGCGCGCGCGCGCTGCGAGGGAAGTTTGGGCGCGCTGGCGGCGCGACGCCCGTGCGCCACGACGGCCGGCCGGGAAGACAGGCGCCGCTCCACCTGCGCCCGCTGCCGGCGTGCCTGCTGCTGCCAGCCACGGCGCGCACGCAGCGAACGTCACCGTCACGGCGCTGCCCGGCGCTCCGCACATCTTCCCACCCACCACCACCACCCCGCCCACCATGTCCTTCAACCACCTCGCCTCCGAGCTGCCCGCCTGGGCCAAGCTGCAGAAGCTCTACGAGAGCAAGGGCAAGGCCATCGACCTGCGCAAGGCCTTCGACGCCGACCCCAAGCGCTTCGAGTCGTACTCGCGCGCCTTCACGGGCCAGAAGACCGACGCGGCGCTTCTCGTCGACGTCTCCAAGAACCTCATCGACGACGAGATCTTTGCCTCGCTCCTCGACCTGGCGCGCGAGGCCAAGGTCGAGGAGCAGCGCGACGCCATGTACGCCGGCGAGCGCATCAACTCGTCCGAGGACCGCAGCGTGCTGCACATTGCGCTGCGCGACCTGCCCGGCGCGTTCGGCAGCAAGGCCGAGGGCGTCGACGAGGTCAAGGGCGAGCTGGCGCACATGAAGAGCTTCAGCGACGCCGTGCGCTCGGGCGCGCACAAGGGCTACACGGGCAAGGCCATCAAGAGCATCGTCAACATCGGCATCGGCGGCAGCAACCTCGGCCCGCTGATGGTCACCGAGGCGCTCAAGCCGTACGCCAAGCGCGACCTCGCCGCGCACTTTGTCTCCAACATCGACGGCACGCACATGGTCGAGGCGCTGCGCCAGTGCGACCCCGAGACGACGCTCTTCATCGTCGCCTCCAAGACGTTCACCACGCAGGAGACCATCACCAACGCCACGACGGCGCGCGACTGGTTCCTCAAGACGGCCGGCAGCAAGGAGCACGTGAGCAAGCACTTCGTCGCCCTCTCCACCAACGTCAAGGCCGCGACGGACTTTGGCATTGCCGAGCAGAACATGTTCAAGTTCTGGGACTGGGTCGGCGGCCGCTACTCGCTCTGGAGCGCCATCGGCCTCTCCATCTGCCTCGTCATTGGCTACGACAACTTCGAGCAGGTGCTGCTCGGCGCGCACGACATGGACGAGCACTTCAAGAGCGCGCCGCTCGAGCAGAACATCCCCGTCATCCTCGCCGTCATTGGCATCTGGTGAGTGCGCTCGGGCGGCAGAGGCAGGGCGCTGCTGAGCATCCGGCGCGCAGGTACAACAACTTCTTCGGCGCCCAGTCGTACGCGCAGCTGTGCTACGACCAGTACATGCACCGCTTCGCCGCCTACTTCCAGCAGGCGAGCATGGAGTCGAACGGCAAGGGCGTGGCCAAGAACGGCAAGCCCGTCAACTACGAGACGGGAGAGATCCTGTGGGGCGAGCCGGGCACCGACGGCCAGCACGCCTTCTACCAGCTCATCCACCAGGGCACCAAGTGAGTGCAGTCTGTGCGAGTGATTCCGCCTTGGCGCTGACCTGTCTCACGCTCAGGCTCGTGCCGGCCGACTTCATTGCGCCGGTGGAGACGCACAACCCAACGGGCCAGCACCACGACATTCTGCTGTCCAACTTCTTCGCGCAGCCTGAGTGAGTCGCGCCCCGTGGGAAGCTCTGGCCCCATGGCTGACATGCTTTGCTTCAGGGCTCTCGCCTTTGGCAAGACCGAGGAGGAGGTCAAGGCCGAGCTGAGCACGGAGGACCAGGGCAACTCCTTCCTCGTCAAGTCGAAGATCTTCTCGGGTAACCGCCCGACGAACTCGATCATGATCCAGAAGATCAGCCCGGCCGGCCTGGGTGAGTGCCGCGCTACTGCTGCCACGCACGCGCACTGACGCTTCTTCACCAGGCGCTCTGCTGTCCATGTACGAGCACAAGATCGCCACGCAGGGCTTCATCTGGAACATCAACTCCTTCGACCAGTGGGGCGTCGAGCTCGGCAAGGTGCTTGCCAAGAAGATCCTGCCGTCGCTCACCGGCGAGAAGGGCGTCGATGGCCACGACAGCAGCACGACGGGCCTCATCAACTACTACCTCAAGAACCGCAAGCAGTGACTCGGCCGTGACGCGACTATTCCCCGCCAGCCACGCCTGTAGAGCACGCAGGGCGCGCACGCTGCTGCAAATGAAAGCGTCTGGCCTTGCAGAGAGAGAGAGAGAGAGAGAGAGAGAGAGAGAGAGAGAGAGAGAGAGAGAGAGAGAGAGCATGGCTGAGTGGCATTGACAGCAGAGGCGCCGTGAGCGCGACACAGATGCAGACGCAGAGGCCCGGAAGCAAGCAGTGACGGGGTGGGAATGAGTGTGCGGCCGGCCGAGGCAGTGGCGGGCGAAGAACAGGGTAGATGACGGTGACTGGGGAACGGAGAGCGAGCGTGCCTAGACCTTCATGCGCGGGCGCTTGCTCTGGTCGGCGCCCTTGACGATGGAGGTGAGGAAGCGGTAGAAGCGGTCGGCGTACAGCGTGGGGTTGACCGACGAGATCATGTTGCGCTGGTGCCCGTGTGAGCGGAATGCGAGGCATGGACGCGGAAGGGCTACTCACAGGATTGGAGAGCGACTTCCAGATGTGCTCGCCGCGCTTGACGCTGTTGTAGTAGGTCAGAGTGTCGATCTGCGCGGCGTGGTCAGTCAGATGTGGCGCAGGGCGTCATCACGGGCCACGCACAATGCCAAAGTAGTAGATGTGGTCGGTGGGCTCGTTGTGCTCGTCCGTCGAGCGAAAGCCGCCCTCGTCCTGGTAGAAGTTGAAGAGGAAGCGCTCGTTGGCCTCGCGCTCCGGCAGCTTGGCCGTGCCCGTCGTGCCGAGCGCCTTGGGATCCGAGCGGCGCACGGCGGCACGCAGTGCCGATGCATCCTCCTTGGTGCTGCCCCGCTTGCTGGCCATGCGCGTGAGGGCCGGCTGCACGGGCGCGCCCGGCGTCGTTGGCTGAGACGCGTTGGCAGCGGCAGCCGCTGCCGCGTTGCCGTGCGAGGCAGTGCGGCCCAGCGAGGAGCCCTGGCCCGATGCGCCCGGACTGGCAACCGGCGGCGAAGTCTCAGGGCCTTGGCTGAGCGCCTGCACCTTGACGCCCTGCGCCGCCGTGTCGGGCTGGAAGACCTGCAGCGCGTCCTGGCGCAGGCCCTCAGAGTTGCCGCGCTTCATGTCGTGTAGGCCGATGAGCAGTGAGTAGTCCATGATGCGCAGGCGGCGCAGCAGCTCGACGTCGGCCTTGAGCTGCTTGTCGAGCATGTCGCGCTTCACGGGGCCGAGCTCGAGCTCGCGGCCGCGGTTGATCCAGTTGAGATCCTTGAGCACGCAGCCCTTCTTCTGCGCCGCCTTCTCCTCGGGGTACTCGCGCCCGATGGCGCTGCCCTTGAGGTCGTACGTCTCGTGGATGTCGCGGTGCGGCGGGAAGAGGTTGTTCATGATCACAAAGTGAATCTTGCGCCCGTGCGGCAGCTTCACGCGGTGCAGGCCATAGAAGCGCGAGAGCAGCGTGTGCGGGTTGGCCTTGAGGTGCACGTGGTAGTCCTTCAGGATCGAGAGCAGGAACTTGTGCTCGCCGTGCCGGATCGTCTTGATGATGAAGCGGTAGTCGCGCGAAAAGTAGAAGAACGAGCCCGACTTGCCCGGCGAGCCGAGCTCGGACAGGATGTACTTGGCGGTGAGCGAGAGGAGGTAGTCGGCCGGATCGAGGCCGAAGAACTCGCGGATGTCGCGGAAGACCCAGGGCGCGTAGTCCTTGAACTTGAAGTCGTACTTGGCCGACGGCGTGAGCTCGTTGCCGACGATGTCGAATGTGAACTTGTGCCGCGCCTTGTAGTCGGCGTCGCTCAGCGGGCGCGCCAGCTTGGCCTGGCAGCGTGAGACCTGTGATGGAGGCTGTCAGCAGAGCAGAGCGTGCCGCACGGCTGCGAGGCACTCACGCCGATGCGGATGCCGGTGAGCATGTTGTACATCAAGATGTAGTTGGCGTGCCCCTCGCCGATGATGTTGCCCACCAGCGCGCGCGACTCGTCCGGCTGCGTGTCCTTGCGCACGGCGCTCTTGCGGCGCACCAGCGGGCCGCCGTCCTGCGGCGGCTCTTCTTCGACGCGCTGCTCGGCCGCGACGCGTGCTCGCTTCTCGCGGTCGCGCCGCATCGCCTTCTCCTGCTTGGCGATCTCCTCGTCCAGACCAGCGTCGCCGGTGCGCAGAGGCGCAGGCGAAAATGCGGACGGCGGCGCCTGCTCATAGAACGAGGCGGGCGGCCCAGCGTCCTCTGGCTCACGCGACGAGCGTGGGCTGCGCTGCGTGCTGCCGCTGCTGCCAGACGTTGGCCGACGCAGGGCTGAGCCGGTGGTGTTGCGCCGCGTCGGCATGCGCGGGCCCATCGTGCGCGACGAGGGGCCGGCCTCGCCGACGCCCGGCACGGGCAGGAAGCTCGCAGGCTCGGCCACTGGCAGCGTGCCGAGCGAGAGCCTCGCTGCCGGCTTCGGCCCAAGCGTGACTGACTCGTCCGCCTCATCCTCCGACGCGGTCATGTAAGCCGTGCTGGCCTGCGAGCCGGAGCTGGCAGAGCGGCGCGTGTTGAGCTCCTGCGTCTTGGGCACGCTCAGCGTGCCGATCGTGTACGAGGGCAGGTCCGCCACGCTGCGCACCGACGGCTCCTCGAGCATCGTCTGCGAGCGCCGCGGCGCGCCGCGCGTGAGCACCGTCGGCGGCGGCACGGCCGTCTTTGGCGAGATCTCGTCGTGCCGCAGCGCATCCGCCAGCGGGCCGCCGCGCTGCTCCTCCTCGGTGAGGTGGTGCGAGTCGAGCGGCGGGCTCGGCGGCAGCTCGCCCATCATGGGGCCCTGGCGCGGCGGTGCCGTGTACTGGTGCTGCTGCTGCGGCTTGCCGATCGGCGCCGAGAAGCCGTTGACGAGCGTGTAGGCGGCGCCGCGGTTCAGCTCAGCCATGTCCTGCGGCTCAGGCATCGGCGAGACGGGCGCCACGTTGCCCGTCGGGTGTGCGGCGCGGCGGCTGACGATCTGCGGCAGCTTGAGCGCACGGCGCCCCACGGAGCCGGCGCCCGGCTCGGGGCTGTCGCGCGCCGACGCCGCCGTCGAGACGCTGCTGCTGGCCGCATGCTGCGCAGCGACGCGGTGCGGCGTGGCGCTGCGGCTGCCGCCCTCGTGCGCGGGCGAGGCGTAGGGCGCCGAGTGGGAGAGGTGCAGGTCGTAGATCTCGCCCGTGCCCTCCTCGGCAACGCGCACAATGTGGTTGCCCGACGCCTCGGAGTCGATGGCGCTGCGAATGCTGCGCAGCGGGTCGGGCGCCTGCTGGCTGGTGAGCAGCATGCCGGGCAGAGCGGGCGGTTCCTAGCGTGGCGCAGTGCTGGGCCTCTCGCAGCCGATACTGGTCGCAGTGGGCTGCGCGCGGCTGCGTCTGGCGGGCTGAAGGCGCCGAGGCAGCCGGCGCAGGCGGAGCGGTCGTGGACAGGTGCGTGCGCAGCAGTGCGGCGCGGAGAGTCGGGCGAGGATGTGTGATGCAGCAGCTGGTGACGAGGAGTGCTGCGGGGGATGGCGTGGGTGTGGTGTGGAAGGGAAGACGGCAGCAGCGACGGCCGGCGCGCGTGAGCGTGTGTGAGGCGGCGCAGCAGCCGCGAACAGGAAAGGCCCGCGCAGCGCGCCACCTCTCTCACCCGCCGCGCGCCCGCCGCGCGCGAACATCCGCTCCCGCTCCCGTCGCGGCCTTCTGCTCCCGCAGCGGCTCTCCTCGGCCGTGTGCCCCCTTCTCTCGGCGCCCAGTCCCCGGAGCGCATAGATGGCAACGATGAGAATACGCAGCTGTGCTGATAGAGCCAGGCACGTCTGGGTGCTGTGCACACACCACTATGGAGCGCCCGGCGTGCCTCGCCGCAGGCCTCAGGGGCGTGTGCGCTGCACACAAAGGAGGCCTGGCCGTGCCAAGGCGCGCCGCGCCGCCCCGAGAACGCTGTCCAGCTGCGCCTGAGCGGCCGCCAGCAGCAGCGTCAACTCCATCTCGCGCGATGAGCCATCGTCACGCACCCGCACGGTCCGCCTGCCAGAGGCTGGGCCGGCGGTTCGCACGTCAAGCCGCCTCTCTGGCGGTACACCAAGCACTGCCACCTCCACCGCGTTCGAGGGTCCCTGCGTGCGCGAGAGGCACGCGATGCGGCGTTGAAAGCAGTGCCACCGCGTCGTGCACTCGCACCATGTGCTTGCCACAGCGTCGCGTGTGCAGCGTGAGTCCGCAGCAGACGCACGCCGAAGCGTGGGCCCCTCCCGATCAGCCTGCAGAGAGGCCAGCGGGGTGGGAGCAGCAGCAGGCGAGGGCGTCGGGAATCTGACGGGTGCTTGTGAGTGCGGCCGCATCACGTGGGCAGACCCCGACACTGCTCAGCGATTGAGATGGGCCGCGGCTGGAGGCAGCAGCAGCGCAGCGCCGCCATCGTTTCGCCAGCGCCAGCCCCGCCTGCATACTCCGCGTGTGAGACGCTGCAGCGCAGGGCCTCGCCCTTCTCGACGTTGCTCGTCTCGGAGGCGCTGCCGATGCTGCGGCTGCGCCTCGGGATGATCCTCTCGCGCAGCGAATGCTTGTCTTGGGCGTCCGACCATGTGCGGCGTCCACGCAGCGGCAGCAGCGCGCAGCGGCGTCGGACCCGCTCGAGCGTCGTGCCGGGTGGGCGTCGGTACATTCCGGGCGCTGCTGCACCTGCTGCAAGTGCGTTCCGGCGCAGCTTCGGCGCCTGCAGGGAGCAGCGCAACTCGCTGCACCGGCGGCTCCACAAATAGCCCGACGAGGCGCTGCTGCTGGCTGGCGCTGCGCTGCGCTGTTGTGCTGCTGGCAGCATCAGACAGCGACGGCGAGGGTGCGCTCGGTGTTGGTGCGTCGTCTCATGCGCTGGCGTGCGGAGGTGCTCGGTCCATCCTGCACCTCCCTTGCTGCGCGCTCGGCTGCCCACGGGGCCCTCATCCGCGATGCGCGACGTGTGGCAGGCAGATTGGCTCTGGAGGGGTTCGCGGCGCGGATGGAGATCTCTGCGATGCGCTGGGCGCTCACCCGGGCGAGGCGAATGCCGATCGCATGCCTCCAGGCCGCAGCAGATGTCGTGTACTTCCGCAGCTGCAGCAGCATGCAGCAGCGCACAGCGCACAGTCCGCTCGTTCGCTGCGATGCGCAGGTGCTATCGCAGAACGAGCTGCAGCACCCTCGGCGCCGAGACTGCTCCTCGGGCGACGTGCCACCATGCGCGCGATGGAAGCATGCTGCGGCGGAGGCAGCGTGGTGCGGCTGGGCGGCTGCAGCGTGCAGCAACGCAAGCCGGCGCTCGCTCGGCCGTCTCTCTCTCTCTCTTCCGACACACAGCGGCCGCGAGCCATGGTCCAGCAGTCGGCGGTCAGGTGCCATGCAGCGCCGCAGCGGCAGCGGTGCTCTATCTGGGCCCCAACACCTCGGGCATCCACGAGCTGGAGGCGGGCTGTGAGCTCGACGATGTGGTCGTATGTCGGTGCGCGCATGGCGGCGGCGCAGCAGCGGCCCGGCAGACGCGGGTGCGGCCGCCCGAGGGCATGAGGAGTGCAGTCGACGGCGACGACGACGAGCCGCGCAGCAGCAGATGCAGCCCCGGCGTCGCGGCCGAGGGGCCGGGCAGGCAGATGGGCAGCGAGACGGATGATAACCCATCCCATCTCGCTGCAGCGCAGAGAAGAGTGCTCCACTGCGCTGTGATGAAGCCGGGCCTGCACGAGAACGAGCACATGCCCCGAGCTTGCAGGCGGCAGGCTGCCGCTGTGCCTGCGCTGCTCTGCGGCGGCGGCGCCGTCGATAGACCGGTGCAGCAAGCACCCTTGAGGCGCTGCGCCGGTGCCGGGCCGCGACAGCGGGCAGGAGAGGAGAGCACGCTGGCCTGTCGCGCGGCGCTTCTTGGGACACAGCGCAGCTGCCGGGCGCGCGACAGCCGAGCTCGCAGCATCCAGCGGCCGCGTCGCCGCCCGAGGCGGGCAGCAGAGCGCAGCAGCCAGCGGCGCCGCGTGCGTATCGCAGCGCCGCGCATCCACCGGCAGCGCACCGACGACGGCAGCGGCCAGCTCACCGACTGGCGCTCACAGCTCACACCTCCCACCGCTCCTCTGCATCCCATCTCCACCCCGCACCGCACACACCGCACAGCCCAGCACGCCGCTGCACCGCCGCCGCGCAGCCGACCACCCGCGCCGTCTCTCTTCGTCTCTGCTCGCCGCTGCCTGCCGCGCTGCTTGAGCACCGCTGCCGCCGCTGCGCACGCACACGACTCTCACGGCCGCCGCCTCGGCCCCAGCGCGCCGCCCGCCGCGCCGCAGCCCTGCTCCCTGGATCCCACGTTCATGCCCTCGGCAGCCTCGCGCGCTCTGTGAGTACAGCCGGCACCTGCTGCGGGTGGTGCACAGTCGAGAGCGCAGCGCGCGGCGGCAGTCCGGCGGCAAGGGTGCGCAGTGGAGGTGGCCGCGCGTACGCGTGTGCGCACGCGGCGCAGCGCTCGCCACCTCGTCGCCGCTGCGCATCGGCGATATGTCTGGCTTGGAGGATCAGCCGTGCTGTCAGCATTCGGGCAGCAGGGGCAGCACCGCGAAGGGCATCATCTGAGTGCTGCGCTCTGTGCCTCGAGTGCTGCACACGATGAGGCGGATCCGCGGGCTGGGCCCTAGCAGGGGTGCGCGCGAGGGCGGCAGATGTAGTGCTGGCCTCGATTTGGCACACGCATCTGTCTCACACGGGAGCTCCACGTGCGACCGCTCTCCTGAGTCCTGCCTGCTTCGTCGTCTGGCCGCTGGGGCCTGCGAGCTGGCTCGTGTGCGTTGGAGCACATGGCGGTGTCACACGAGTCGCGACTGGCGGCAGGATGCGCGTGTATGCGCACACGACATCGGCGACTCGCTCGGCTGCTCCTGTGCTCTGCGGCGAGTCAGAGCCTGCTCTCGCGCGGGCTCAGATCTGCGATCGTTCGACGGGGCGTCCCTCAGGGGTGCAGCCGCCAGCGCAGCGTTCGAGCCTGGCCGGCCCCGCGGCTCCGAAGCGCGTGTGCAGGTGGTTTGTCTGCGACTGCGTGCGCGTGCGGCGGAGGGATGGGCGCTTCGGCACCGGGTGCGGCGCTTGCTCGTGCCTCTTTGTGCTCGGTCATGCGACTCGCCGCTGCAGCTGTGCCTGGCCAGGGATCTCGCTGCAGGGTGATGGCGCGGCCTGCCGCACGCGAACAAGGAGCTTGGAGTTGCCGCATAGTGGCGATGCGCCAGCAGACAGACAGCCCGCCTCGCGAACTTGGCGTGGAGTCTGAATGCGCTCCCTCTTGCGGCTTGGTGCTGGTGTTTGTGCTCAAGGCGCTTGCCAGAGCGGCTCGTTCGATGCCCATTTGTGATCGCTTGGGCGCGCAACTCTCCCTCTCACCACCTCACACCATTACTGACACGCCTCATTCCTCGCCCGTCAATGGCGCTCCTCAGCCCGATCTCGTCTGCCATCGCCGTTGACAGTGTGCTGCAGCAGCCGCTCTACTCCAACGTGCAGACCAGCACCACCACACCCGCTCCCTCGCCTGGCTCAACACCGGGCACAGTGCCGCAGCCACAGCCGATTGCGATGCTGTCCGCTACAGCCGGCGCCTCGGGCTCCGGCTCCAACGCCGCGACCGCGGCGACGTCCACGCCGGGCGCCGATGCCATGAGCACCTCTGCGGGCCAGAGCAGTGCGGCCGACACCGGCAGCGTCATGACGGAGGACGAGGAGGACCTGGAGGACTACTGCAAGGGCGGCTACCACCCGGTGCACGTCGGCGACACGTTCAGCGACGGGCGGTATCTGATCGTGCGGAAGCTCGGCTGGGGCCACTTCTCGACTGTGTGGCTGGCGCGGGACCACAAGTGAGTGCGGGAGAGGAGCATCTGCTGGTGCAAAGGCGCGCACGCCGTGCTTCGGGCGTTGCAGGCCATCGTTGGCTGATCTGACGCGCTCGCAGGGCCAACCGCCACGTCGCACTCAAGGTCGTCAAGTCTGCGCCGCACTACACTGAGACTGCGCTCGACGAAATCAAGCTGCTGCAGCGGCTGGTCGCCGCGAACAAGACGCATCCCGGCCGGCGGCATTGCGTCTCGCTGCTGGATCACTTCAAGCACAAGGGCCCGAACGGCTCGCACGTGTGCATGGTGTTCGAGGTGCTGGGCGAGAACCTGCTCGGCCTGATCAAGCGCTACCAGCACCGCGGCGTGCCGCCGCACATCGTAAAGCAGATCGCCAAGCAGGTGCTGCTCGGCCTCGACTACATGCACCGCGAGTGCGGCATCATTCACACCGATCTGAAGCCGGAAAACGTGCTCATCTGCATCGACGACGTTGAGGCAGTCGTGCAGGCTGAGCTGCGCACGAACCCGGCGGCTGTGCCGACCAAGCTCGTCGGCGTGCCGCCAAGTCAGGGCCGCGGCGGCGCGCAGACGCCGCGTCGCGACGGCATCTTCATCACGGGCAGCCAGCCGCTTCCGAGCCCAAGCTCAAGTCTCGGCTCCAGTCCGATGTTCGACAAGTGGGCGTTCGGCATGTCGCGCATCGAGAAGCCCGGCAGCGACGCCGGCGTCAAGAGCGACGACAGCGCAGGGCCGACGTCGATGGACAGCACGCGCGGCGTCAACATGGACCGCGGCAAGACTGCCGATGCCATTGCGCACAGTCTCAGCGAGCTGAGCACCGGCGGCAGCGGCGGCGGCGGCCGCAGCCTCGGCAAGGCGGCAGCGTCGCCTGGCGGGCAGGCCTTCGTGCACCGCGCCGTGCACACCGCGCCGCAGGGCCCGTCGCTCCTCTCTCAGCAGGCGCCGAGCGCGCCAAAGAGCGCTGCACCGGCTGCACCCGCAGCAAACGCCGCTGCTCTTGCCCCGCCAGAAGCTGGCGCGCTTCAGTCGGGCGGCAGCTCGAGCTCTTCCGTCTCTGCCATGTCCACCGACGCACCAGCAGGCAAGGCGGGCGCCGATGGCGCGCCTGCGTCTGATGCCGCTGCCGGCGAGTACCACCCGCCAGCCGTGCGCGCCGGCGACCCCACCACGCTGCCGCCGCCGCCGCCGTACGACCCGAGCTCGCTCGAGCGCATCACTGTCAAGATCGCAGACCTGGGCAACGCCTGCTGGACGGACCACCACTTCACCAACGACATCCAGACGCGCCAGTACCGGTGTCCGGAGGTCATTCTGGGCGCCAAGTGGGGCCCGAGCGCCGACATGTGGAGCGCCGGCGCCATGTTCTTCGAGCTGCTGACCGGCGACTACCTCTTCGACCCGGCCGCGGGCTCCAAGTACAACAAGGACGACGACCACATTGCGCAGATCATCGAGCTGCTCGGCGACTTCCCGAAGAGCCTCGCCTTCTCGGGCAAGTACAGCGCCGACCTCTTCAACCGCCGCGGCGAGCTGCGGCACATCCACAAGCTGCGCTTCTGGCCGCTCATCTCGGTGCTGCAGGAGAAGTACCTGATGCCCTTCGACGATGCGAACCGCCTGTCCTCGTTCATCCTGCCGATGCTGAAGCTGCATCCCGACAAGCGCTCGGCAGCCAAGGATCTGCTCGAGCACGACTGGCTCGAGGGCATCATCGTCGAGGGCGAGGTCGAGCTGATGCGCCGCCAGGCTGCGTTTGGTCCGGACGCCGACGTGCCGATGACCGGCGACTGGACGCCGCTGCCTGGCGAGGAGGACGACGCGCTCGACGCGCTCAAGCCGATCTCCACCTCTCTCGCCTCCAGCCTCAACTCGCCGCAGCAGGGTGCCGTCCACCTCAACCCGCAGGCGCTGCAAGAAGCCCAGCAGCGGGCGGCTCTCCACCACGCCCAGCAGCAGGCGCAGCAGCAGGCAAACGCCAAGCCCACGCCCTCGGCCACGACCACCGCCGCGAGCCCGGCGCCCGGTGCTGCGCCCAGCGCCACGCCGCGCACACCCAGCCAGACGCAGGCCAAGGGCCGCGACTCGAGCTCTGCCAGTCCTGCACGCCTCGCACGCGCCGTCGCCACGACTGGCGCCTAATGGTCCCTCGCCGCACACCTAATCCTGCTCGTCGCTACCCCTGCTGCTCTCTTGCTCTCCGCGCCGGACCTGGATCTACTCTAAGCCTCGCTTCTCTCGCTTCGCTATACCCTCCTCGCCCTGCCCGTCCCTTCTGAGCATGGCTCATCTGTCTCTGCGCATCGAGAGGGGCGACGGCGCCCACTGGCCGCCGGCCGCCCGACCTGCACCTTCCTCCTTCGCTCTGTCGCACCCCATCACTGCCCCCTGTCAACCTTAGAGATCTGCGTCGCCCCTGCCCGCCTTTCACCTGACCTCGTCCCGCCGCACCTGAACCCTCCAATGCAGCCTGCCTCTCCCAGGACCCGACGTCGCGCGCTTGTGTATACATTTGTGTTGCATTCGCTATGCCTGTGCCGCCGCCGCGTCTGCCGCAGAGTCGACGGTCGTCTCGCGTGCCGATGCAGAGTTGACGGTAGAGCCCGGCTGCGTGACGGCGAGGCCGTCGATGGGCCGTGAGGCGTCCATGAAGGCGGCGAGGATCTCGTCGGTGACCTTGACCCGGCGCTGCGAAGACGTGGTCAGCGGCCGGCACGGCTGGCAGCGTATTGCTGCTCACCTCCTGGAAGTCCTTGACGATCTTCTGCAGCACGGCGATGCACTGCTTCTTCAGCTCGCCGGTGAGCAGCTCGCCAGAGCGGTAGTTCTGCGGTCGAGCGTGGCGTCAGTCGAGGTGGGATCAAGCACGTTGGCGCGGAGCGCACCTTGGCCAACCGCTCCATCTCCTCGTCGTCGTCGACGAAGAACGTCATGTACTGGTACGCCACGTCGACGTCGGGGTTGCCGCCGAGCCGCCGGTGCTCCTCGACGGTCTCCTGCCCGCCGGAGAAGGCGTGCTTGTTGATCTTGTTCTTGATCTGGTTGGGCGTGTCGGTCATGAAGATGGAGCTCGTCTCGCTCGACGCGCTCATCTTCGTCTGGCTGCCCTGCAGGCTCGGGAAGAACTTGGAGTGGATGAGCGACGGCTTGGGGTACTTGAGCTTCACGGCCGCGTCGCGCGTCTGGCGGAAGTACGGATCTTGGTCGATGGCGCAGGGGATCAGGCACGGCACGTCGCTGCGCGAGCCGAAGATCTGCGGGAACGAGTTGGAGAAGGACGGCGCAGCCTGGATGGCCACAAAGTGCAGCTTGCCGACGCTGTCGCTGTCGACGAAGCCGAACGTCGCCTTGGACTGGCTCGTCGTGATCGTGCGCGCGATGCGGACAACGTTGTGGTAGAAGGGACCGCTGCGATGCCCGTCAGCACTGCTTGGCACACCCCCTGTGAGGCGGCGTCCTTACCCCATGTAGTCGAGATTTGAGAAGATGAACGTCTTCTTCAGGTTGAAGCCGCAGGCAATGACATCGCGTGCGTTTGCCCGTGCGAAGCGCTGGACATCCTCGAGCTTCAGGTTGGCCTTGAAGAGGAACTTCTCGTCGTCTGGGCACGGCGTTAGCCCAGCCCTGGCCTGTGAGCACGTCGCTGCTCACCCGTCAGCTGGACCACGAGCGGCACATCAAAGACATCCTGCAGCCACCTGCGAAGCACTGTGAGCTGTGCCTCCAAGTCACTGCACCGCGCTTGACGTACTTGGTGAAGAGGAAGGGAATGAGGTGGCCGAGGTGCATGCTGTCGCTGCTCGGGCCGCGGCCCGTGTAGAGGTAGAAGGGCTTGCCCTGCTCGAAGCGCGTGAGGATGAGGTCAAGCTCGCTGCGAGGAGGAGAAGCGCAACATCAGCAGCAGCAGCACTGGAGACAGCTCACGCGGAGCGCTATCGCTACCAGCCTCACGCCGCCGCCCCGCTAGCCAGCCGGCAGCACTCGACGCCCTCCCGCCGCACTCACCGGTGGCTGAAGAAGGCGCCGCGGCGCAGCAGCGGGTGCGGGCGCCAGCCAGTGACCTTCTCGAAGCGCTCGAGGAGCGGTGCGTCGATCTTGCGCGTGCCGAACTGCACGATGAGCTTGTCGTAGTCGATGGCGACCTGCTGCCCGTCGACGGTCGCGCCCTCGACGTCCCACGGCGTCACCTTCTGCTCGGCGCCCGCGGCCGCAACAGCGGGCGGCGCACCGGCGCTCTCCAGGCTGGAGGCGGCCAGCTGTGCGGTGGGCGGCTCGGTGGACGCCATGCTGCTGTGTGTGAGGTGGAGATGGTGCAGCGGCAGGAAGGAGTCAGGCCTCGATCGTATCGGCGCAGTGCCGCCTCTGGGGGTCCAGCCTCACGTGACGCCGGCGGTGCCTGGCAGCCGCTGCGCTGCGCTCGAGCCAGCTGCGACGCGCGTCCGCCTCAGCCGCGCGCGGAGCTCTTGCTGTCCCGTTCCTTGCCTCTCCCTCTCCACACCCACGTCCGCCGCCCCACACCGCTGCAGACATGGCCGCCTCCGCCCCGTCCCGCTCGGGCTTCGACTTCGGCCTGCACTCGCGCAACGCCCACCTCGCCGCCCGCGGCCATGCGCTGCCCAAGGCCACCAGCACCGGCACGACCATCGTCGGCTGCATCTACAAGGACGGCGTCGTGCTCGGCGCCGACACGCGTGCCACCGAGGGCCCCATTGTGGCCGACAAGAACTGCGAGAAGGTGCGTGCTGGCCCGAGGCATGCTCCTGCGTCTGGCAGCTCGACGGCAAGCAACAGCCCGCCAGCATGCCGAGGCTGACACCTGCTGCGCCAGATCCACTACATCTCGCAGAACATCCGATGCTGCGGCGCCGGCACGGCCGCCGACACCGAGTTCGTCACGCAGCTCATCAGCTCCAACATGCAGCTGCACGAGCTGCACACGGGCCGCCTGCCGCGCGTCGTGACGGCCATGACGATGCTGAAGCAGCGGCTGTTCCAGTGAGTGGTGCTTGCGCTTTGCTTGGCGTGCCGGAGCTACATGGCTGCGCTCTGCGTGAAGCTACGCAAGGCTTCGTCCGGGCTGCTGACGCTGCAACCCGCGCAGGTACCAAGGGCAGATCGGAGCCGCGCTTGTGCTGGGTGGCGTTGATGAGTCTGGGCCGAACCTGTTCACTGTGGCGCCGCACGGCTCTACCGACAAGCTGCCGTACGTCACGATGGGCTCCGGCTCGCTTGGTGAGTTGCTGGGAAGCGTGGCGCGCACAGACTTCTGTCTTACATCGCGGACGCAGCCGCCATGAGCGTCTTCGAGAGCGGCTGGCGGAAGGACATGACGGTGAGCCCTCTGCAGCGGCCTCTGAGAGCGCCTTGTGCTGACGCACGTGGCGGGACGTAGCGGGAAGAGGCGATTGAGATCGTCAGCGCTGCGATTCAGTCTGGTGAGTGCGCTTGCCTTCTTCGTGTCGCACTCCCGCTAATCGCAGACGCCAGGTATCTTCAACGACCTGGGCTCCGGCTCGAACGTCGACGTGTGTGTCATCACGGAGAAGGAGACCAACTACATGGTGCGTGCCCACGCTCTCTCCCGCTGTTGCCGCATCCTGACTACGAGATCACGCAGAGAAATTACGCCAAGCCAAACGAGCGCGGCCAGGTGAGATGCCACGAGCCGCACCATGCTTGTGCACATGCTGATGCGTCTTTGCCGTTGCGTCTCGCGTTTGCAGAAGGAGGGCCGGTATGTCATTCCAAAGGGCGTGACGCCGACCGTCGCCAAGGAGAAGATCTGGAGCATGGTGGTGCAGGAGGGTGAGTGCTGCGGTTGCGCAGCGCAGATCCGCTTGGCTGACCGCGCCGGCAGACGTGCTGGAGATCGGCAAGAGCTCCACACCAGCAGCTGCCGCGACGCCAGGTGCGCAGGCCATGGACACGAGCGCATGAGCGGGTCGCAGGCGAATGCACGCACTTCTCAGACGTCGCACATGCGGGCCATGTGTCAGATTGCACAGCGCTCGCGAAGGTGGAAGAGACGTGGGCGCAGGGTTCTGGTGATCGTCAGCAGTGCTGCGGTATAAGATGAGTGTGTGGAAAAGATGAAGGGCAGGGTCGAATGATTGTTAAGGGAGTGTGGGTCGGAGTGAGAGTCGAGCACGGCGCGGTGGGGTTACGACCACCAGCCATCAGCGCTCTGCTCGACATTGGTGGTGCGAGATGCGCCAGAGACGGAGCGGCTGGCGACGCCGGCGCCGACGTAGCTGTCCTGCGACGCAGGCGCGTGCACAGACGACCACGTCACGGAGCCCTCGCCCCAGGAGCTGTCGGGCGAGTGATCCTTGGTGCCGCTCGAGGCGTGCGGGTAGAAGGCGCTGTCGCCGCTGACCTTGCCGACGGAGTGCGAGTGCATGGTGCGCTCCTCGAGCTGCGTCTGCAGGCGGGCGATCTCGAGCTGCGCAGCGTCGAGCTCGTCGCGCCCAATGAGCGTCTCGCGCATGGCAACCAAATCTTTCTGCGAAGACGGAAGAGGGTGTCAGAGGCTTGCTCGAGCCGTCGATGCGGCTGCGAAACACTCACCTCGAGGTCCAGGAAGCGGTCAGTGTACTCGGAGATGGTGCCCTGCGCCTCGCGAAGGCGGCCCTCGGTGTCGTCGCGCGCCCGCTCCATGTCCACAAGGCGAGCGTTCGCCACAGCCAGCTGCTCCGACGTGCTCTCGAGCTCTTTGAGCTTCCGTTCGTTCTCGGCAAGGCGCTGCTGCGACTGCGCCGCCTTCTGCTTCTGCGTCGCGGTGACGCCGTGCAGTGCAGCGATCTTGGTGTCCTGGTCGCCGAGGCGCTTCTCCAGCGCCTCGAGCTGGCCCTCGACCTTGGCGGCACGCTCTGCTGCTTCACGAGCCTCGTGCTGGGCCAGGCGCTCAATGCGTGCAGCCTCGTCGACGCGAGCATCGGCACGCTCCTGAGCGTCGGCGGCGCTCTGCTCAAGCTTGCTCGCACGGGCACTGGCATTCTCCGCGCGGGCGAGGGCAGCGGCGGTGGCTTGTGCAGCCGTCTCCCGCTCGCGTGCGCGCTCTTCATGACTGACGCGGAGCTCCTCTTGCAGCACCTTGACGTGGTCGGAGAGCAGCTCGTTCTTGCGCTGCGCGGCGACGCGAGCGGCCTCCTTCTCCTGCACCTTGGCGAGCGCCTCGTCTGCAGAGCGCTCGGCGGCGTGGGCGCGCTCGATGGCATCTTGCTCGCGGGCGCGCAGCGCCACGATCTGCTCGCTCACTTCTTGCGAGTCGCGCTCGGCGCGGTCGATACGGCTCTCCAGCATCGCAAATTCGGCACTCCTGTCAGGCGATGCTGTCGGCAGCGTAGTGGCAGCAGCTCTCACAGCGTCTGCCAGTTCGGCGACGCGCTGCAGAATGCTTTGCGAGAGATGCTGCTGCTCTTGCGCGCTCGACAGGAAGACCTCTGTCTTGGCGTTGAGAGCGGACGGGAGATCGCCGAGCTGAATCTCGGCGTCACGCTGGCGCTCCATCATGCGCCTGGCCATGCTGCGCAGCTCTTCCTGGTGAGCGCGGACCGGCTCAAGCAGAGCGAGCACGGGCGTGAGGTCGACGATGTGCTCCAGCGACTGGCGTCCGACGACCTCGCCGATGCTGCGGACGATCGAGTCGGTGTCGATGGGCTCGGACTTAATCGACGCGATCATCGGGTGCAGGGCGTCGACAACATCGTCAACGCTGAAGGACGGACCAGATGGCGTGGCGTCTGCAGCGTGAGGGCGGTCGGCCCGGTCTTCGAGCATGGGCGCGACGATCTGCGTGACGCGGGCTGCGATGACCTCCGGGTCCAGAGGCTCTGGGTGCAGCGTCTCCAGGTGCGGGATGATGCTGTTGATCATCGTCATCTGCAGCTGCTCCTCGAAGCTCTCGCGCAGATGCTCGCGGTTCTGCAGCACCTTCTCCTCGAGCTGGCCGAAGCGAGACGCCAGCTCCGAGCGCATCTCCTCGGCGAAAGCATGTCCGGCCTCCTCGCGGTTTGCGGCTGCCTTGTGCTGCGTGCGGTCGAGATGCTGCTCCAGAAGCGGTTCGAGCGCGTCGAGAAGCTCTGTCCGACGCTGGCTGCTGGTGGCGGCCTCGACGCCTTCGATGACTGGCTGCATCCTGTCAACGAGAAGCGTGCAAAGGGTCTCTGCAGCGGCGTCCGACAGCACCGATGCGATCGGCTGCGTGGGCACCGGAGCGTCGGCAGCGCGCGCCGCTTCAGCCGCTGATGCCTGCTCTCTGAGCGCCGCAGCTTCGGCGAGCGCGCGAGGCAGCGATGTGTCGAAAGCGGCGGTGAGGTCTTGCTTCAGCGTGGCAATCTTGGCATCGAGCACCTCTTGCACGAAGTCAAAGTCCAGCTCGCCCTGAGCATCGAGCGGGCCGTGACCGGTGAGTGCAGAGTGCGAAGCGGTGCGGCTGAGCGCCCGCACCGTCGTCGACGAGTCGTCCGCGCCGTCGCTAGACGGGCCTTCGACCGAGCGCCGCTCGAGTGCAGCCTCCTTGAGCCGGTCGAACCAGTCGCCGAGCGTGTCCTCGATGGCGTCGATGATCGCGCGGCGGTCGTAGCCGGCATGCGACGGCGGGCGGACCTGGCCCATGATCGTGACCTCGTCCAGGATCTTGCCTGCCCAGCCTTCGAGCGCCTTGTCAACACGCTCGCCGATCTCCTCGATGATGTCGGAGACGTCGCTGTCCGACTCGTCCTCGTCGCCCAGGTCAGCGTAGCCGCGCGAGACAGGCTCGCGCCGGGCACGAGTCGGCCGGCGGTCGAGCGACGCGCCGAGACTGCTCGACGAGTCTCCGCGCTGGTGAGAGCGCCGACGCGCCTGCTGGGGATGCGGAATGTCCAGCGCGTGCGAGTGACCGGCCGGGAAGCCATCGCGCCGTGAGGCACCGCCACGTCGCCGAGTGGCGCGCTCCGGGTCGTCATCGTAGCCTGTCTCCCTCTCGAGATCAGCCAGGTCAGAGGCGTTGCGCGGCACGTCTGCAGTATGTTGCGGCTGCGAGCGCTCGTCTCCATCTCCTGGAACGCGGATGGGCACCGCCTTGTTGTCGCTGGCGCGAACAAAGTCGGGCATCCCGGCAGCTGCGAAGCTCGGAATGCCTGGCCGTCTGGGCGCAGTTCCAGCTGCAGTGCTCCGGCTCCAAGACGGAAGGAACGACGGCGCCTCTGGCTGCAAGCCGTGTGCCTGCGAGAACTGCGCATCGCCTGGCTGCAGCGGAGACTGGAAGATGGTCGACAGTCCGCTGCCCGCCGGGCGGAAGGGCGGCGGACCGAGGGAGCCAGCATCGCGCATGGGACCTTCGATGCTGGCAGCAGAGTGCCGTGGGCGCGAAAGCTGGTCTGCGAGGGCCGGATTGTACGTCGGGTCAAACTCGGCATCCTCCTCGCCGCCATCTCGGAAGCGCTGCCGCTTCTCTCTGCCTTGAGAGTCGCGCGCGCTCTCGCCGTCGGGCGCGCCAGGCGCAGCAGGCAGTCCGAGCTTCGGCGCGCCGCCCGGCGCCGTGAAGGTGAAGGCGCCCGGCGTGAAGGCCGGTGCAGCGGCGCTGAGCGCGGGGTCGCGATCCATGCCAGCGAGCGCCGAGCTGCCGAAGCTGGAGTGCGGAATGCTCGGCAGCCGGAAGTGCGGCTGGGTGCCGCCGGCTTGCGGCGGCATGGGCCCTTGCGACGAACGTCCGCCGAAGCTGAACTCCTTGGCTCCGGGGTTGAGGCCCGATCGGCCGACGGTGCCCGGCGGGCGGAAGGCGAAGCGGCCCTGGTCTGAGCCCGACTGTGAGTGCCCGGTGGAGGCCTCGTGCGGAAAGCGGAAGTCCTGGCTGAGGCGTTCCTCGCCAGACGCGTGCGTGCGGTCGACGTGGTCCAGCGGGCCGTGCCGGCCTGCGAAGGAGCGACTGGCTGGCTCGTCGTCCGACGGATTGCTGGCCAGTTCGTCGTCGGGGCGCGTCAGGCGAGCCCACGCGCCAGAGCCCGGCATGCTGCCTCCGATGCTCGAGCTCGGCAGCGTGTCGTTCGTCGTGCTTCTGCCGTGCTTGCGGCGCTGCGCAGCCAGGGCCCGGTCGCGCGCGATGAGCCGGGCAGCACGTAGCTCAGCACGCAGGGCACGACGCTGGCCTCGCGCCTCGCGAGCCGCCTCCTCGTCGGAAGGGTTGCTGAACTCCTCGTCCGACGGCGTGAGGGAGTCGGTGAGGCTGTCGAGGCTGCCGATGCTCTCGTCTTCGCCCTCCTCTCCGTAGTAGTCGGCGCCGTCGGCGCCCTGATCGTCGTACGAAGTGTCCTCTGCCAGCGCATCGTCCTCCGACATGTCGCCGTCCTCGCTGGGGTTGGTGCGCATGTCGACGTCGCCCTGGCCATTTGCTTGCCGCTCGGACTCGGACTGGGCATCGCTGTTGGCCTCGTCGTCCTCGGCGATGTCGTAGCCGAAGCCAGCGCCCAGCGCCTTCCAGGCTGCCGAGCTCTTCGCATCTTCAGGGCCATCTGCGGGCTCTGCGCTTGCCGCAGCGGACGAGCTGGTCTGCAGAGCGGACTCTGACAGGCCTCGTTGCATCTCGGGCCTGTCACCAAGCGCTGGAGCATCGTCCTGCTCAGTGTCGGACGCGGCGCGCTCGGCGGACTTGCTCAGGCCCATCGCGTCGAGCGCAGAGGGTCCGAAGGGCTGGCCCGAGTGAGGCACGCTGAGTGACATAGTCTGGCCGTGCGCCGGGCTGCTGCTGCTCTTGACCAGCTTCTCTGCCGCTGCTTTGCGCAGGCCAGCCGGCAGGAAGTCGGAGAAGCGGCCGAATGGTGGGACAGGCGGCGCAGTGGGTGGATCTTGCGGATCCGAGGCCTGCGACTGCAGATAGCTGCTGAGCCGGTCAGACACGAGCGTCGGGTCCGCTGGCGTGGAGATCTGAGGGGGGGCTGTCAGAGGGCTGCCATGGGAGAAAGAGGCGGCGTTGCTCACCGCAGAAGCGTCGTAGACGACGGCGTCCATAGAGGCGTCATCTGCAGGCTCGACGAGCCATGGAGGCTGCAGTGCTGCGGGCTCCATCGACGCGCCCAGCTCTTGCAGCTTCTCCTCCAGACGCTGCTCGCGATATTCGTCCCACGCGACGTTGCCCGGCAGGTAGATGTCGATGCTGGTGTACACCGTCTCGGGCTCCGGCCACGCCATGCGCGACAGTGTGCAGTCTGCAGGCAGTGCGGCCTCTTCGGCTTGTCGCTCGTGAACCTTCTTCCACTCCTCGGCGGACAGAGCCAGCGGCTCGCGGCGGCGCCATGCGGCACGCAGCAGGGCGCCGGCACGGGCAGCCTCCGCTTTGGCCTCGATGACCTCTTCCTCGGCGCCGTCATTTTGCGCCTGGGTCGCGGCATTACTGGCTGCCTGCTCGGCGTCGACCGCGTCGCCTCCTTCCTTTGGCAGCTGGACCAGCATCTTGCGCTTCGGCTTGGCGCCGTCCACGCCGGCAGCAGCGAGAGCCGCAGCAAAGGCTGCCGGAGCCAGGCTCACCGATGGCTTCGAGTTGTGGCCGGAGATCTTGAATGGTTGGTTCTGCGGCGGGCCACGGCCTCTGCGTCCACCACGCATGCCCGGCGTGCCGGCTCCCGGCGAGTTGGCGAAGCCGACTGGCGCGCTCGCGCCCGGCGTGCCGGGATACGGCTGCGGCGACAGCGGTGGCCGTCCCCACGGCCCTTCAGCCGGACTCACGGCGCCAGGACTGTGGCTCATGCCTGCATCCGAGCCGAAGCCGCCGGGGCTGAGGCCGCCAGACTGCAGGCTCGCCGGGTGGAAGCGCGGGCTCGTGCCGCCCATGGCCGTCGGCGCAGGGAACGGGAACGCGCTTGCCGCCGGGTTGAGGCCGCTGCTGGAGAGCTGGCGCGACTGCATCGGCACAAAGGGCTGCGGCATCTGCTGGTGATGCGGCGAGCCCGTGGGCATGGGCATCATGTTGAAGCCCGGCCCAGGGTGGCCTGGAGCGGCGCTCTGGTGGATCTGCGTCTGGATCTGCTGCAGCTGGCGAGCGACAGAGATGAGCGTGGCTCGCTACAGGTTGTACGGCCATGCTGCCACTCACCACGTGCGGCGGCACGAAGGCAGCGCCAGGGCCGCTGCGGCGTCCGCCCGGTGCTGCAGCGCCAGTGCTGAGGCGGCCCGGCTGGAAGGCGGGCGCGCCAGGGCTGAGCATGCCGCCGTCGTAGCCGCCGGGCTGCGGCTGGAAGCCCATCTGGAAGCCGCCTGCGCCGCGCGGCATGGGCGAGGCGTGCTGCGAGCCGGGCGTGCCGGGTATCTGGACGGCCGCCGCTCGCTCATCAGCGACGAGGCGCACGCCGCGAGCACGGCGGCCACTCACCTGCAGGTGCGAGGGCACGGGCGAGCGCTGCGGCTGCGCCATGCTGGCACGCAGCTAGGCGCACAGAGCGCCGGGTGTGGCGGCGCGGCGGACACGGACACGAGGAGCAGGCTGCGAGAGGCGGCCGCGGCGTGGCTGCTACCTGCGCATGTGCTGGGACACGGCGAGCACGGCAGGCACGACGCCGACGCGTCAAGCGGGCAGCCGGGTGCGGAGAGGCGGCGGAGACGGCGCGACGCTCGGACGACGGAGCAGAGCGCGTGTGCGATGGGCAAGAGGGAGATGGCGGTCGTGCCCGAAGGATGCTGTGCTGCGCCGTCGCCGTCGGCATCTGGTCTCGGCTGAGAGTGCGCCAGCAGCTTCGGGCGGCGCCGCTCCTCGGCGGAAAGTGACTGGCGGCGCGCGTGTGCGTGCCCCTTGCGCCGCGGCGGCGCGTGCAGGTGCGCCGGCAGCATCAAGGCACACGCCGCCCTCTGCGCCGATCACGCTCGTCTGCTCACACACGGCTGAGAAGAGCCCTGCTCTGCGCGAGCAAGGGCACAAGAGAGCGCTGGCCACTAAGACAGCGGCGCTCGAGGAGATGGTCCTGGCGCAGGATTCGCGAACAAGAGCCGAGAGCGCACAGGCCGCCTTGCGCGTGTGCTGGCCGTGCACCGCCGCGGCAGCAGATGCACACCGCGCGCTCTGCCGCTCTGCAGCACGGCGTGCGCCAGGGCGCTCTTCGGCTGCGCCTGCCAGCGCCTCCTTGGCGAGGACCCGAGGCCCGTGCATGACGCAGACTGCTTCATACTCTCTACCTCATCTCGGGGGCATAGGCGAAGAGGAGGAGAGGGAGGGCGCGGCACAGACGCTGCGAGGCGTGAGAGCAGCTGCTCCGGCTTTGGCGCGTCGCGACAGCGGCAGGCGAGCAGTGTCTGTGCCGCTGCGCCAGACCAACACTTTGCGCGCGACACGCCCACCGCGCTCGAGGGCCTCTCAGCGTCGCTGCGGCATGCCAGCGGCACCAAGGTGTAGTCGAGGCCTGATGTATAGCTCAATATCCAGCACGACTCTGCGTGAAGCCGATCATGTCGACTTCTGGGTCGTCACAGCCGCCAGGCTTAGGCTGTCGCGCGAAGCCCGATGTGCAGGTGACGTCCAATGCATCGCTGTGCGCTCACACTCTCGCCTTCTGGGTCGCCAGCGTCCAGGACAGGTGTTCTCCGAGGACCGCCAGTCCATGGAGAGGCATTCAACTCGACGCTAGCGTACGGCCGCTTGTGCTGCGCATCCCGCCACGCCGGGCCGGTATGGCTGCGAAGGTGCCAGGGGGGGGCCGAGGCGGGCGAGCGCAATGCTGACGTAAGCAGAAAAGTTCGCGGCGCGCGCCCACGGGTGCAGCGCCACACGAGCGTCTGCGGCCACGGGCCTGCCTCTCCTCCACCCACTCCCTGCCCTCACCATGTCCACACCCGCACTGTACAAGAAGACCAAGCGCGCCGCGCCTGCCGAGCTCGACGCGCCTGCGTCGCCGTCGCAGGTCGAGGTCGAGGAGAAGAAGCGCCGCAAGCAGGCCAAGAAGGAGGCCAAGCGGCTCGCGGCGTCCGCCAGTGACGCCGGCACCTCGGCTGCTGCTGCCTCTGCGCCGGCTAGCGCCTCCACGAAGCGCCCGGCAGAGGAGGAGCAACCGGCCGCGTCCACGAGCGATGCCGCCGAGGACAAGAAGGCGGCCAAGCGGCGCCGCAAGGAGGAGAAGAAGGCTGCAAAGGCCGCCTCTGTGCCCTCCTCCTCGTCTGCCGTCGACCAGTCTGCCGCCATCATGAGTGCGCTGGGCAAGACCAAGCCGGCCGCGCCGGCTGCCGCCGAGCCGCAGTCGACCAACTCGGCCGCGGCGCGTGCCTACATGGAGGCCAACAACATCACCCTCGAGCTCGTCGGCGACTCGCACGTCGGCAAGCCGCCGCTGCCGATGCTCAGCTTCGACGAGCTGGTCGGCAAGGTTGACCAGCGCCTCAAGGACGAGCTGGACCGCAACGGCTTTGCCAAGCCCACGCCGATCCAGGCCTGCTGCTGGAGCGTGCTGCTGGGCGGCAAGGATGTGGTGGGCATTGCAGAGACTGGGTGAGTCTAATGCGGCGGGAGACGTATGGAGGCGGCACAGTGCCGCGCCTTCTCCTCTCGCGTACTGACAGCGCGGCACAGCTCGGGCAAGACGTTTGCGTTCGGCCTGCCGGCACTGCAGCGGATTATTGAGGCCGGAGGAGCCAACGGCGCCAGCTCCGGCAAGAAGGGCAAGAAGGACTCTGCCGTGCCGGAGGTGTCGGTGCTTGTCATCGCGCCGACGCGCGAGCTTGCCATCCAGACGCACGAGCACATGGCGAAGCTCGCACGCGCCGTCGGCCTCGGCAGCGTGTGCCTCTACGGCGGCGTGTCGAAGCCGGAGCAGCTGAAGCTGCTGCGCTCCTCGCCGAGCGTGCGCGTCGTTGTTGGCACGCCCGGCCGCGTGCTCGACCTTGCGCGCGAGGGCAACCTCGACCTGAGCAAGGTGTCGTACGTCGTGCTGGACGAGGCCGACCGCATGCTGGACGTCGGCTTCGAGCCGGACATCCGCGCCATCGTCGGTATGACGCAGTCGCGCGAGCAGGGCCGGCACACGAGCATGTTCTCGGCCACGTGGCCGCCGGCCGTGCGCGGCCTGGCCGAGAGCTTCATGAACGACCCGGTGCGCGTGACGGTGGGCAGCGACGAGCTGAGCGCGAACCACCGCGTGGAGCAGAGCGTCGAGGTGCTGGAGGACGGCCGGGCCAAGGAGCGGCGTCTCGAGGCCTTCCTGCGCAAGATCGGCGCCGGCCCGCGCGGCAAGCGGCCGAACGACAAGGTGCTTGTGTTTGCGCTGTACAAGAAGGAGGCCCAGCGCGTCGAGGACACGCTGCGCCGCAACGGCTACAGCGTCGCCGGCATCCACGGCGACCTCAACCAACATCAGCGCATGGCCAGCCTGGACGCGTTCAAGAAGGGCGAGACGCCGATCCTCGTCGCTACCGGTAAGCGACACCGCCTTGGCCGTGCGGCGCGGCCCATGACGCTCACACGCTCTTGGCTCCAGACGTCGCGGCGCGTGGCATCGACGTTCCGTCGGTCGAGTATGTGGTCAACTACACCTTCCCGCTGAGTGAGTTCCGCGCGCCGACGGAAGCGTCCCACGGCCCCGACTGACGCCGCGACGCTAGCGATCGAGGACTACGTGCACCGCATCGGCCGCACGGGACGAGGCGGCAAGACGGGCAAATCGATCACGTTAGTCTTTTGCGAAGACGCTCGGCGTCCGTGCGCCTTTCTTGGGTCTTCCCGTCTGACCGTTCCCGCACAGCTTCTTCACGCAGGAGGACAAGTCGCACGCCGGCGAGCTGATCCGCATTCTCAAGGACTCGAACCAGCCCGTGCCCGAGGAGATGAACCAGTTCCCCACCAGTGCGTGGCCTCTCTCTGCTCCCCTGCGTGCTCGAGCTGACCCGATCGCGCCCGCCTGCAGCGATCAAGCGCAAGGAGCACTCGTCGTACGGTGCGCACTTCAAGGAGCTTGTGCCGGGCAAGGCCAAGTGAGTCGTGCCGTGCAGAGCCAGAGTGCATCTCCTGTCTCTTACTGACACGTCATTCCGCCGTGCCCAGGAAGATCGTCTTTGACTGAGAGAGGGATTGCCGGCTCCCACCCCCTTGCCTGTTCCGCCTAGAGCTCGATCTGCCATGTATCACGGCTGTACTTTCTCGCAACGCCGCTCCGTCACCGCGTCCCGAGGTGGCTGCATCGTGCGATGCGTTCCGTTCTGCCTGATTCTTGCGCGAGGGCTGGAACAAACAAAGCGGAGTTGGGGGCGGGTGATGAATGCAGCGCCTCATTCCGTCGGGCATGGCATGCGGCGCGGCAGCCGCAGCGTGCCGCACGCCGCGCAGGCAGCTGGCCGCGAGGAGGCCGTGGCGCGCCGCAAGAGATTGCCGAGCGGCAGCTTACCGAGCGCCCGCCGAGCCGCTCCGCCAGATGTCTCGGCTCCGAGGCCAAGGCGCGCATAAGCGATCCTGGATGCGCAGCTGCGGGCAAGGCGCGGTTGCAGCCCGCGCGCCCATCATCTTACCGGGAAGCACGCCGCCGCGCGCCCCTCCTTGCTCCAACGAGGCGCTGCCGAAAGTCGCCTCGGCTACCTTCTACTGCGCGCAGCCGCAGCCGCAGCCAGATCCTGGCACGCTAGCCTTGCCTTGCTCTCCGGCAGCTGCAGCGGCGCAACCGGGCAGCGAGCGCAGACGCGGCTGGAGGGGTGCCCGCGCGTGTGCGGCCCGCTGCAGATCGGACCCCGGCGGCAGCGTCCCAGAGCAACGGAGCAACGGAGCCCAGGAGGCAGATGCGCACCGCCTGCATCGCAGTCGCCCCCTCGACGCGGGCCAGGTGCAGCACGCAGGGTGCAGCAGATGGCCGGCCAAGCGTGCAGCATCGCCGGCTAGCGGATGCTTCTCTCGCGCCCTCCGCCCATGGTGAGGTGCTCAGGGAGCGCTCTGTGAGACTGGCGCGGAGAGATGCTTGCGCTCCAGGCCTGCTCGCTGCTGCTGCCCTGCCGGGTGGAGCCAGGCGACACACTCCGCAGCGGCTGCCTGGGCAGCGACGCCGCACCTTATTTTCTGTCTCGTCGACGCGCGCCGGCTGAGGCGGATTTCACGCAGAGGCGCGGCATGCGGCGGTGCGGTGCGGTGCGCGTGTGAGCGGCATCCGCTGCTGCGCCGACGCTGCCGCGTGGCTGCCCATCGTGCCGCGCCGTGCCAAGAGGCCTCCCTCTGGCACCGGCGCAGCATGCGGCCGCCGCACGGCGCAGAGCAGCACAGCTCTGCCGAATAGACGGGCACTCCGCCGCAGCGGCAATGCAGCAGCAGCGGCAGGTGTTGCTTGCGGCGCACCGGGTATTTGCGGCGCGCACGTTGTGGCTCGCCCGAGGCGGAGGCTCGCGCAGGCGCTGGGCGCCCGAGGCGGAGACGAGCGGCAGGCGCAGACGCTCTGCAGAGGCCTCCGACGAGGGTGGAGCGGGCACACGAGATACGCTTGCGGGCAGCCCAAGCCTCGGCGGGAGCAGCGGACGTCGCAGGGAGTGCGCGCCGCCGTCGCCATCACGGACAAGAAGAAGCGGCACCGACGTCGGCAGCAGCACTCGCGATTGCTCCTGTCGGCGAGCGAGCAGCGGCGCTTGTGCCGTCCCCGCGTGCCGCTCGCCGGTGCCGGGCGCTTGCGATGCATCGCCTAGCGCGGGCGAAGCGAAGGAGCAAGGCGGGGCCATGGGGCTGCAGAGGCCGTCACCCGCGATCAACACCTGCGGCTGCCTGCTGCTGCGGCACTCCCGGCTTGCTTGTGCTGCTGCATTGGCGCCGGCGGCGGATGACGCGGCGGCGACGGGGCCCGTCGTAGATGCACGGAGGGGCAGCCATCGCAGCAGCGAGCGCCAAAGGCCACGCGATGCAGCATGGGCGCCGCCGCCGCTGCGCCTCTGAGACGCGCCGCGCCGACGCTTGCTGCACCCTGCCGCCGGGCGGTGCGGCGTGCAGGTGCAGCCCAGCCCAGCATCAGCCGTCAGCAAGCTGCGCGCTGCGCATGGCGCATGAGGATGGAGCGTGTGCTGACGCTGCCGCTGACGGCACCGCTGCCAAGTCGCGCGCCCTGGCGCTGTGGAGCGTCGGAGGGTGCGGCTCCCAGGGGCAGCCTCGCCGGCGCTGTGCTGCTGCTGCTGCGCTGATGCTGCAGAGGCAAGCCGCAGATGCAGCCTGCCGCCATCGTGACGCGGGCGCCCTCTCCTCTCCTGGGAGCAGTGCCGGTGAGACATGGCTGCCGCTGGCGCCGGCGGAGCCGAGCGCTCCGCTCCCGCAGCGGCGTGCGCGCCGTGGGGCTCGGCGCTGTGCAGTCGAGTGCGACACTCGACTGCCGCTGCTCGCTGCGCAGTTTGCACCATCGTCGCCAGAAATGTCGGGGCATGGGTCAAACTGCCCCGGCGCAGCCTCTCCCAGTCGCACGCAGCGCCCGATCAGATCAGGCTGCTCTCACAGGCCGTGCAGGCGCCGCCGGCTGCTATATAGCTGGCGCACACTCCGCGCACCGAGAGCCCGGCACCCACCTTTCTCTCTCTCTCTCTCTCTTGCGCAACCTCCGCCTCTGCATCTCCCTCTCCCCGCCGCTCGCCCTCCTGACAAGGCCCGCCGCTGCCCGCCTGCGCTCCGCGACTGCTCCACGCTGCATCCAGGCCGTCTCCGCTAATCCTGCTGCTCGCTCAGGTGAGTCGTCCGGGCGAGTGATGAGGCTGCAGACGAGGCTCCGTGGTGCTGCGATCTCCTTCCGCGCCTCCGGTCCATCCCTCTCGCTTCGCTCTCGCCGCCGCTGCTGCGTGCGTCGCTGCGTGTGCGGACGGCGGCCGGCTGTACCATCATCAGCGGCCGCTCTCTGCCACCAGCACGCCGCCAGCATGTCAGGGCCTCGCCTCGTTGCTGTGCCGCGGCTACCATCTGGCGCGCGCTGCATCATGTCCTGCGGCAGCGCCACATGCGGCGGCGGCTGCATTTCGCGCGCTCGGCGCCGCCGCCGCACGTCTCGCACGCGCGCCAACGGCGGCATGCACGGCGAGGCGAGTCTCAGCGCCACGCCTCGACCGCAGCATCAGCACCCAGCCGCAGCCGCAGCTCAGCCGCTGCATCAGCATGCAGCGGCCCAGCAGCGTCAACGGCGGCGCACCGCACCAGCGAGCGGCGCTGCCGGCGGTGCTCGCTTCGCCCGCCGCGCCGCCGCTGCATCGGGCGAGCGCCGAGCGCCACGCATCGGCGCATGCATCGCCGCTGCGCAGCGTCCCAGGCGGCCGCCGTGCCTGCGTCGCGCTCCCTGGCGCTGCGCCTCGGACGCCGGGGCGACCGAGCCTCTCTGCAGTACTCGACTGCCTGTAGAGCTGTGCTGCCGCTGCGGCTGCCGCTTGCTCGACGATGATGCGTTGGTGCGGAGAGCCGCTGCAGCCGCTGCACGCTGGTGGAGCGTGGGGCCGCCTCGCGGCACATCCGCCGCGCTCATGCCGAGGCTGAGACCCGCCGGCGGCATCACTGCATGCCCCCTGGCTTGGCCTGGCCTGCGTCCGGCGGAGGGCACTTGACCGCGAGAAGGCGCTGCTGCTGCTCGTCGATGCGATGGCGCATCAAGAGCAACGACGGCGGGGTCCGGGCGAGGCATGCTGCTGCCGCACTCCGGGTGCGGCGAGCCTCCGCCGCGTGCGCCTCATCTCTGCGCCTCATCTGCGGCACAGAAGCGCGCTTGCCGGGCCCGCGGCCTTGCTCTCAGACGTCGAGAGCGGCGGCAGTTGCTTCGCTCTCGCCGCCATCATTGCCTCCATCCATCTGCTGCTCCATCTCCTCCCGCGCGCCCCTGTGTCGCGCTGCCTCCTGGCCCCGATGCGCCGTACGGCCTGCTCACTCCCACCTGCCGCGCCGCAGATATACAAGCTCGCCTTCGCCGCCGTCCGCTCCTCGCTCCTGCCTTAGCATCGCACTCTCCCGCTCTCTCTCGGCTCCTCTGCTCCGCCCCGCACTGCCTCCACCGCGCCGCTCTTCGCCATGCCCGCCAGCACGTCCGAGGACACGCTCATGCTCCCGCCGCGCGCCGCCCACCCGGCCGCGCTGGCCCTCTCGTCGGCACGCACCACGCGCCGCACCAGCCTCAGCCACCGGCCCTTCTCCAACCGCCAGTACCTCTCGCCGTCGTCGGCCATCGAGATGAACGCCGCCGCCGCCTCGTCGCACGCCCACTGGCCGACGGTCACTGTCAATGCGCCGGCTGCGGCGCCCGGCCGTCCGCTCGAGACGGACCCCTCGGTGGCTCGCGACATGACGGCGCGTCTGGCCGCCAGTGCCGCACGGCGGGCGAGCCGCGTCATGGCCGCAGCGCCGCAGCGGCTCTCACCCGCCGAGGCAGCGGCGGCCGAGGCGCTGCGGCTCTCGCGCATCGAGTACGAGCGGCAGCAGCGCCTCGCCGAGCACGAGGCCCAGGAGCGCGGCCGGCACGAGGTGTACCGCCGGGCGCGCGCCGAGCTGCAGGCCGCCACGGCGCAGCAGCAGCAGCAGCACCTGCCTCGCAGCCGCCAGGAGACGCACCAGGGCACCTCGTCGCGCTCGGCCCGGCCCGCTGCGCCGCAGCACCGTGTGTACCTGCTCAACTGCCGCGGCTGTGGCCTGCTGCTCTCGAACCGGGGCATGAAGGTGAGCGAGGGCGGGCGAGGGCGCGACATCGGGCCAGGCCGCAGCGCTGACGTCTGCTCCAGGCCGTGCTGCTCCTCCGGCCCAACATCACGCTCTACTCGACCGACGCGCTGCCGGCCAACTGTCGGCCTGTGTACCAGCAGCAGGGCATCGGCTCCGCACAGGAGCCGGCCGTGCAGCGCACCTGCGACTGCCTCACACAGAGCCTCGGCTGCAACGGCTGTGGCTCGCAGATCGGCTACATGATCCTCGCGCCGTGCGACCGCTGCAACAACAGCGTCGCAAAGCACCAGCGCAGCTCCAACGGGTGAGCATCTTGCCGCCAGTCCTCGCGTGGCCTTATTCTGACGCACGTCTCTTGCAGCCACCGCACCGTTCTGCACTGCTCCGAGATCACTGTGCGCGAGCGGCGCTACGTGCCCGGCGAGGCCGGCGTGCACGCCATCAAGCCTCCGACGCCCGTGTACGGCTCATTTCCCTACCGCACCTCGTCGAGCGCTGCTCCGCGCCTCACGACACGGGCGTCGCTGCGCAACTCTCCGCACCACACGTTCCTCGACGGGCCGTCCGAGTTCGCCAGCGAGGATGACTCGGACGCCGAGCTCATGGCCGACGCGCCGGCGTACGACAGCGAGGGCAGCGACGAGATGGACATCGACGCCGAGAAGGCCGAGGCGGCGCTCGAGCACGCGCGCGCACAGGCCGACGCCATGCTCGCCGACATGAGCTCCTTCCGCCACGCGCGCCCCACGCCCGTGTCGCTGAACCCGAGCCGCAGCCACGCCGCCGAGCCGGCGGCCAAGGGCCGCGTCATCCGCCGCGGCGAGGTGCTGCTCTGGAGCGACCTGGCGCACTCGGGCGAGTGCGCCGAGCCGTACGACAGCGACCTGGCCCTCGAGATGCTCCTCTCCGGCCGCTAGCTGCCTTCTTCTTCCTGGATTCCCTCCTCATCCCATCCCGTCCCGTTCGTAACATATGACTGGCTAATACTCACCGTGCCCCCTGCCCCTTGACGCTTCTTCTCTGTCCGCCGTTCAGCTCTCCGCGCATACACCTCTGCTGTCTCCTCTAATCTCTTGTCACTCTTCACCTTCTCTCGGCATACCGCTCTTTCTTCTCGATGCCCCCTTCACATGCCCCGCAACGCACGATGTACTTCGCAGCTCGATGAAGGCCTGTCATTGCTGTGAGGCGCGCGTGGCCATGGCCTGGTAGTAGCCGGCATAGTACCACGCATTCGCGAGGTTCTGCAGCGTCTCCACGTCGGGGCCGTCGCTCGGCGGACGCGGCAGCGCGGGCGATGGCGGCGCCAGAGCACCCGACGGGCCTGCCGCTGTTGACGCATCGGCGTTGCTGACGCCGGCAATGATGTTCGGCGTCTTGGAGACGGTGGCACACGCCGCATGCCAGGCGGCAGAGCCAGAGAGCGACGCCGACGGCGGCACGACGCCACGCGGCTCTGTGAAGAGAGAACGGTATGAGAGCTGCGAGACTGCGTGACCGCGATGCAATCCCCGCTGACGGTTGCGCTTCGTCGCACGAGCACTCACTCTTCGTGGCCTTGGCGCCCTTTGCAGGCCCATCCGCAGGCGAAGGTGCCGTGGCCCGAGCCTGCATTGCTGTCGAGAGACGAGTCGCCTCCGCTGCAGCAACTGTAGCTAGACGCAGTGCCTCTGCCGCAGAGTCGCCTGGCACCGCTGCCGCCTCGATGGCAGCGTCGATGGCGGGAGCGTCGGCCTCGGCAGCCTCGGCGGCCTCGGCGGCATCGACGGCCTGCGCCTGCTGCGTGCGCTTCTCCTCGCGCTTTGCCTCGTCGCTCTCCTTGCCCTCGCGCTTGCGGCGCTCGGCATACGCCTTGCCCTCGACGTGCGCGTTGCGGGCGGCACGAGAGTCTGGCGCCGGCGCATCATGCCACAGCGCCGTACCTGGCGCGCCAGAAGCGCCCGCAGTCGCAGCGCCGGCCGACGCTCGCCGCAGCCGGAATGCCTCATACTCGGCCACTGAGGCGTTCCATGCGCCGACGAGCGTGTCCTCGTCCCAGATGTCGGCGTGCGAGAGTGGGCGCGAGCCATCGTCCTCTTCCTCTTCCTCCTCTTCCTCTTCTCCATACCACTCCTCGCCCTCCTCGTACCACTCCTCTTCCTCATCCCACTCGCCGCCCTCTGCATCCGCTGTGTCGTCCAGCAGAGGCTCCATCTCGGTGTCTGCCGCCTCAGAGGCTGCTAGCGTCTGAGTCTCGAGCTGCGGCGGCCGTGGCGGCGCGGCGGCTGGCGCGACGGCCTCGTACGCGTACTCGGGCGGCGCGAGCGGGCGCAGACTGTCGGGCAGCTCGGCGTCGTCGTCGTCGTTCAGCGCGAGGCCTGGCCGGAGCTGTGGCAGAGCCGTGCCTGCCGACGGCGCCCAGACGCCCGGCGGGGCCCGGCGCACGTGCGGCTGCGCCGAGGCGGCGGCGTCGGCGCCGGTGCGCGAGGCGGCGCGCTTGCGCTTGTGCGGCGGCGCGGCCGGTGCGCTGCTGCGGCTCGGCCCGGCGAGGTCGTCGTACGGCACGATGGCGCGCGGCATGGCAGAGCAGGTGATGTGGTGCGGAGAGAGGCGAGCGGCCGGTTGGATCTGCGTCTGTGAGCGGCCTCCACGCAAAGTTCCCACGCGGCCGGCTGCCGTGCGAGACACGAAACGCCGTGCAGCGCTCAGCTGATGTGCTGCCCAGCAGGGGCCCGCTCTCTGTGCTGCACTCCACACTCATCCTGCTACCACAACCACGCTCTGTCAAGCTGCCTGCCAAGCGCCGTCTGCGGCCCGCATCGTCCTGCAGAGCCACCGCGCTCGCCCGCCGCTGCGCGCTCTCCAGTCCCGCAGCGCACGCAGCCGGCGGACGCGGCTGAGGCGAGCCGGAGCACCCGCCGCAGCGCGCCTGCCTCGACGCCATGGGCCAGTTCCGCAACGACGTCACGCACGACTTCCCACTCGCGGCAGAGGAGCTGCTCGACCTGCTGCACGACGTGCGCCGCCTCACGGACGCCAGCTCGCACTTCCGCAGCATCGAGCAGGACGCACAGGGCACGTGGCACGGTGAGTGGAGGCAGCAGGCGAGAGACGGCGTGCGGGCAGTAAGAGGGCGGCACGGCGTCGTGGCCGGGCCTGCGCCAGCACGACTGTTTGGCGCGTCTGTATGGCATCGCCATCTGCTGCAGCCGCATGCCATGGCCACCTGGCCACCGTGTGCCGCAAGCTGACGCCCCTTCTCCGCACAGTCGAGGAGTGGCTGACGCTGGCGCACTGCTGCGTGCGCTTCCTCGTCGACCTCGAGCAGCGCGACAACGGCGCACGCATCGTGTGCCGCGCGCCCATGTGGGTCACCGTGGACACGACGTGGACCGTCGATGCGCTGCCGCCGGCGCCCGACGGCTCGCCGCGCTGCCGCGGCCGCGAGGACTCCACAGTCACCTGCCCGCTCGTCGTGCGCCCCTTTGTCAAGGCGCAGTTCAAGCGCACGCACTCCGAGCTGCCGGCGCGCATCGTGCGCTACCTCGCAGACGAGCGGCGGCAAAAGGAGGATGATGAGAAGCCCGCCTCGCCGACTGCCGCGCCTGCCTAGACCCGCCGCCTGCGCATGACGCGCGCGCGGCGACGCTGCTGCTCTCCCTGGATCACCTCTGCCACACCTCACTAATGCTATACCTGGACAACGGAGACACGCACAGGCTGTGGGGCCGTGGGATAGGAGATACAGATTGGATGCAGGCGGTACAAGTACAGTGCTAGATGGTGCAAGACGGAAAGGGAAGGGGAAGAGAGTGCTCTACGGCGCGGTGCACGCACGATCAGACCAGCGCGATCAGACTGGCGACGGCGGCCTCGACGACGTGCAGCGCATGGAAGCGCGCCAGATGGCGCATCGCCGTCAGGCGGCGCAGCGTGTCCTTGCGCGTCACCGTCAGGCCCCACGAGCCGGAGCAGTTGCAGTGCGGCGCGATGTTGTTGGCACGCACGCCGCCGCACTTGTTGCAGCGCAGGTCCTGCAGCGCAAACGTGGTGACGAGCGCATTGGCCATGCCGCAGAGGCGGTGCTCGAGCGCCGGCCGGTCGTAGAGGGCGTGGCACTGGTTGCACTCCCAGGCGCGCGCCTTGCCCGGCCGCTCCGGCATGAGGTCGCCGTCGCGCGCCAGGTCCATGGTGCGCTCCTCGTTGCAGTAGGCGCAGATGACGTGCGGCAGCTTGAAGGCCTCGCACGGGTTGCGCCACTCGGACTCGGGCGCAAACTCGCGCACCTGCAGCAGCTCGAGCAGGTTGCGGCGCAGCACGCCGACCTCTTCGCTGAGCTCGCGCGCCAGGCCGAGCACGGCCATGATGGTCTTGACGAACTCGAGCGCAGGCGAGGTGCGCGTCGACGGATGCACGACGCGGCCGGGCAAGTCTGGGAACTGCCAGCGCTGCTTGACGGCCTCGGCATCCTCCTCGTCGTATCGCTGCTGCCTCAGCGCGTCCTGCTCTTCGGTGTGCTCCTTCTTAATGTCGTCGACGGCGCGCAGCAGCTGGCGCGTCATGCGCTTGCTCAACAGCTGCTTGGCGAAGTGTGCCTGCGCAGTCTTGATGGGGTCGACGAGCAGGCCGATGGTGCCGTCGGTGGTGCCCGGCGCCGCCTCGGTGCCGCCGGGCGTGACCTGCTGGATGGCACGCATCGGCGTCCGCTCGAGAGCAGCGGCGTTCTCGCACTTGGAGAGGTACAGCTGCTGGATGAAGGTGCTGACGATGAGCTTGAAGCGCGGCTCCACGGCCTGCGGCAGGAACGTCGAGATGTTCCAGTTCGACTCGACGGCGCCCTGGCGGCTGAGCTCGACGGCCTGCGGGTCGCTCGAGATGACACCGCCGAAATTGGCCACGTCCATCCAGAGCAGGTACTCCCAGAAGTGGACGATCTCGAGCTTGATGTGCTTGAAGAGGTCGCGGCTTGTCACCGCAGTCATGAGGTAGCGCCCGTACGCAGCCGCGCTGCCGGCGGTGGGCTTCGACGTGAGGAGGAAAAGGCGGCCGAACGACGCGTACACGATCGAGGCGCCCAGCCGCTTGAACTCGGCGAGAAGCTGCAGCAGCGTCTTGCGCATCAGACTCTGCAGGAAGGACTGCAACGCAGGCTCGTACAGGGCGCTCGTCGGGCTCGAGACCCAGCGCCAGAAGTTCTCCGACAGCAGCGAGCTCTCGGGACTCGTGGCGCGGGCGCGCTCGACGCTCCACGCCTTGAGCATCGCCTTGACGGTGTTGAACACCTGCGACGTGAGCACGGAGTCGCCGAGCGCCGTCGACGAGTGCACCGTGCCCTTGGCGTACTCGTCGAGGTTGTGCGAGGCGGTGTCGAACGCGAGCGATCCGCCGCCGGAGCCCTCCATGTCGTTGATGGAGCCGGACTGCAGCACTGCGTCGATGGCCAGGTCGCCGAGCTGCACCTCGAACACGACGCTCGAGTAGCATCCCGGCTTCGAGATCTCCAGCAGCCCATCCTCCTTGCCGGCGGTCTGGGCCGAGTGGCAGTCCTCCTCGCGGCCTCCAAGATCCGGCTGCGGTGCAGCAGACCACCACAGGACCATGTCGTGCTGCACAAGGCGGCGCGCGAAGTCGATGTCGGCGCCCGCGACGGAGGCGTCGCTGCCGATGTTGCAGAACGGCAGGTCAAACTGCGAGGCAAGGCCGACGACCTGGATGATCTCGCCCGCCGCGTGGAGGTACTGATTGAACATGCGCGTGGCGCTGGAACGCTGCCAGCCAAGGGCCGGCAGCCGGTCATCCTGGTCCGGCGTCGGAATGTGCAGCACCGGAAACTCGGCGATCGCTGTGCCCATGTTGCGCTCGTAGTACGCCAGCGGACGCGCCGACTTGAGCACGAGGACGGCGCCGCCCTGCTTCGCCGTGCGGAGCGTCGTCATGTCCTTGCTCAGCGCCTTGAAGGCGCGCTCGGCCGAGGTGTGGACCTTCAGATCGGCCTCGAGCGCGCTCGGCAGCTCAAAGGCGCCGCCGCTCATGTCGCCGTGCTTCTCCCGCGCATTGGCGAGCACGTCGACGTACAGCGTCTCGAGGTTGGGCATCTGCCGCAGGCCTGCGGTGTCAGCAACGTGGATCCGCGCCTGCCCCTCTGGCGTGATGAGGCCAAAGACGTGGCGCGTGTCCTTGGTGGCGTGGTAGAGGTAGAAGTAGCGCTGGCCGCGACCACCGTCCAGATAGCGCCTCGAGTGCATCGACATCGGCTTCGCCTTGACCAGGTCGGCAAGTTCGAATCCGGCATCGATGCCTCGACTCAGCTTGTGCTGGCTGCGCGGGTGCATGGAGCACGCGCTGCCGAGCTGGAGGTGGGCGCGCACCTCGAGCGGCACTTGCATCTCGTAGACGCCGTCGACGTTCGCGTGGTTGAGCAGGGCGGAGAAGTGCACCTCCTCCTCCAGGTAGACGGACTCGTCGACCGTGATGCGGAAGAGATGCCGGCATGGCGTGCCGCGCGGCAGTGTCCGCGTGAGGCTCTCGACGACGTACGAGTCCGCAAAGGTGCCCGGCGCGGGTACGCGCTTGAAGTTGACGTAGAACTGGCGCGGGACGCGCAGGCGCAGGTTGTGCATTTGCTGGTCGATCGAGACCCACAGGCGAAACTCGCCCGGCCTGGCCGTGGGTGTGATCTGCAGCACGTCCCACGTCGCGGACGCCATGCTCCGCGACGTGCGAGAGACGAGCGCGTCCATGGCTCCGAAGGCTGATCCTCGGGTGCGCGCAGTGCGTCCTTCGATCGCCGCCTGCTTTGCGCGTTCTTTGCGCTCCTTCAGCCAGCGCGGTCGCACCATCGCGAGCCAGGCGGAGTAGTCCTCCTCTGGAAAGACCTCGAAGACGAACTCAGCGACCTTCTTCGGCGCCGGCGGGCCCATAGATTTAGGCTCGGCGGCAGGCTCTGTGGGTGCTGTGGCAGTCGTGCTGCCGTCGGCGGAGGCCTCGGCGATCTTGGCTGCCGTTGCGACGTTGCGCTTGTGCTGCACCTTGAACAAGTCCGTCAGCTTGCGCTGCTTGAACTTGTCATCGCTCGCGGCGACGCGTCGGAACAGCCAGTCGGGATGCCGGATGCGCGGCACCGGGTTCGCGATGTGCTGCATGGCCGCCGGGATGGTGATGAGCTTCTGGATGACGCCGCCGAAGCGCTCGACGTAGTAGTCCCAGTCGAGGAGCGAGCGCAGGTCGAAGTTCGTCAGCGCCGGGTCGCGCAGGAAGCGCCGGAGATAGTACTGCTTGACGCTCGGCTCGGCATTGAAGAGCGCCACCGGCACGGCACGCTCGGTTACGGGCGCGCCGTGCGGCTTGGCCGAGACGATGAACTTGCACGCCAGGCCGCGGTCCTTGACCATCTGCGCGCCGAGGAACTCTGCGAGGCGCTTCGCGGTGGTGATGGCGGTGGACTTCTGCGTGCCGTACTCGGCGAGCGTCTTGGACATGCTCTTGTTCTCTGCGATGAGGTCGATGAGCTCGTCGTCGTGGAGCGCGCCGCCCTTGGAGAAGAGGATGTCGAGCCACTGGTTGGCGACGGCGCCGACGGCGTTGTAGCACGCCTGCAGCGTCTTGCCCTGCAGGAAGTGCTTGAAGATCTGCGTCTGGAAGTCCTTGATCAACTGCAGCTCGCCGCGGCGCTTCACCTCGAAGCCCTTGAGCTCGGCCAGCGTGCCGTCGTGCTCGAAGACGGCGTAGCGCTTCTTCAGCAGCTTGTCCTCCTCCTTGCTCGACGGCAGAATCATGGCGCGGTACGGGCCATCGAGCTCGAAGAAGATCGAGTTCTCGCTGTGCACCTCGTAGTGGCCCGTCGTCGGGTCCGTGAGCGTGTGGTACTGGTGGTTTGTGAAGCGCTGGTGCGTGAGGTGGTTGAGCATCGTGCAGGGATACGAGATGCCGAGGCCCTTGCCCGTCTTGGTCTTGAAGGTGAAGTTCTCGGGGAACGTGCCGGGCAGCATGCACCAGATGCCGTCGGTGTCGAGCTCGAGCGGGCGGCCGATGCGCTCGACGAGCTCGCGCGCGAGCTGGATGATCTTCGAGCCCGTCAGGCAGGTGATGCCGGCCATCTCCATCGAGTACCAGCGCGCGCCCTTGCGCATGACGTAGCCGTAGAAGGAGTTCAGAATGCACTTGTGCGCGAGCTGCATCGAGTCGTACAGCACAATCATCTTGCGCGCCTCGGCCACGGCCACGTCGTCCTCGCTCGTCTCGAGGTTCTTCTTCCACGTCTTGTGCAGGCCCTTGTACTCGTAGCGCCGGTCGCGGAAGGCGCGCACGGTGTCGATGTAGAACGGGTTCTCGCGCTGGCAGATGATCGACTTGCGCTCGACCGTCTTGGTCTCGTGCGTCTTCTTGTACACCTTGCGGCTGTAGTCGCCGAGGCGCTTCTTGAGCAGCGCCGACTGCTCCGTGGCGCTGAGCTCGTGGTAGGTGCGCTTCGGCCCGTTGGGGAAGCGCGCCGGGAAGAGCTCGCTGGAGAGCGCATGCCGGATCATGTTGACCTCGTCGCGCTTCGCCGGGTAGAAGTCGCCGCGCCAGGACCACTCCATCTCCTTGTTGCACGTCATGCCCGGCCGGTTGTAGTCGCACGTCGCGCACATGGCCTCGTCGACGACCGAGTCCGGCTGCAGCCGGTTGCTCAGCATGATGTTGGGGTACATGGCCGCGACGTCGAGATGGTAGATCAGCGGCTCCACCTGCACATTGGGCGTGTCGCGCAGCGCCTCGAGCATGCCCTGGATCTTGTCTCTGACCTCGTCGTAGTTCGTCACGTCCTCGAGACGCATCTTGCCCTCTTCGCGGATGCTGAACTTGAGCGCGTCGTCGAGGTCGTCGATGAGCTGCCGCGCGGCGTCAGGGTGGGCTGTGCGAAGGCAAAATTCGGGCCCACTCACCTGCTGCAGCCTGCTCGCGTCGAGCTTGAAGTCCGTCGCAATGTCGCTTCGGAACACACCGGCCTCGAGCGCCTCGACGTGGCCGCCGACGTACGTCTCGCTCTCCAGCAGATGTCCCTCGTAGGTGTTGCCCAGCGGCTCGACGTGCCGGTTCGGCATGGCGATGTTGCCTTTGTACGCCTCCACCTGCGCACTTCTGTCAGCAGCGCGCCAGAGGCAAGGCAGAGACGCGACGCACCATGAGCAGCGTCTCGCACAGCGTGCCCGAGCCCTTGCGCAGCACCTCGTCCGGGTTGAGGGGAATGATGTTGCACAGACTGAAGACGAAGGGATGCACGTACTTCATGTAGAGGTAGTACGTGGCGACGGCGTCCGAGACGGAGTACTGTGCCAGCGTCTGCGGCTGCTCGATGGCGTACGGCGTCATGAGCTCGGGGTCGAGCTCCATCGGGTCGTAGCCGAGCTTCGCGACGGTGACCGCCTTGAGGCCCTGGCTGCCCTGCGGCAGGTACGAGTCGCGCTTCACCCAGCGGAAGCAGTCCATGTGCGCGCACGACAGGCTCTTGTACTCCTCCTCGGCGTCCTTGGCAAAGCCGATCTCGTGCATCATGTTGAGGCCGTGGAAGTTGGCGCGCGTCTCGAGGAACGGGAAGTCGAACGAGTCGCCGTTGTACGTGGCCACAACGCGGGGACGCGCCTCGCGGAAGTGCGAGAAGAAGCGGTGGAGCAGGGCGGCCTGTCAAAGCCGAGTCAGCAGGAACAGAGGCAGGCGATGCAGCGTGCGGCAACGCACCTCGTCCGGCTCGTTGTAGATCACAAATGGGCCTTCGTACTCCTTCTTCGGCGAGTAGTCGAAGTTGCTGATGTCGCTGCTCACGATCTCGCGGTTCGTGATCAGAAAGCCCTGCACAGAAGGTCAGCAAGGGCTGGCGGCGCCTGGCGCAGGTACAACGCACCTGCCCGTCGATCATGTACGAGATCATCATCACCACGTCCGTCTCGGCGACGGGAAATTTGAGGGGCTGCTTCGTCGTCTCGATGTCGAAGGCAAAGACGCACGGCTCGGCACGCTTCACACGCGACGGCACGGAGCGGATGCTCACGGCGCCCTCGTGGAAGCTGACGTCGTACCACATGCCCACGCGGATGTCTGCCGCATCGCGCATCAGCAGCGCAGCCGCAGCACAGGCGACAGCGAGACTCACCGTTGTCGATGGCCACGCGGAGGTAGTAGGGCACGTCGTACTCGCGCAGATCAATGATGCACTCCTCTGGCTCCAGTGCCGGCTTGCCGCCGAACTTGGCTCGCCCGCCGGTCCACCCGTCTTCCGGGTCGGCGAAGGCCGCCTCGACGTCCTCCACCTCCAGCTCCATCTGCGCTGCGGCGCCCTCGGCCAGCACGTCGGCGTACGTGTCGACGGCGTCTCGCCGCTTCTGCGCCCGCTGCGCCAGCGGCAGCACCTCGCGCCGCACCGTCAGCAGGTCGTGCACGTTGTGGAAGCTGAGCTTGACGTAGGTGCGCTGATGCCCCACGAGATGGTTCGGGAGCTTCAGATCCTCCTTCTTCTGGCGCGCGCACGAGACGAGCAGGCCCTCGAAGCGGCGCAGCAGCCACTCCTCGACGTGTGTCTCGGTGCCGGGCTTGCAGCCGACGAGCATGTACGGCTGGTACTGCACTGTGACCTTGAAGCTGTCGGAGAACTCGTCGATGAAGTAGAAGTCGACGGCCGACTTGCCGCTGGCGTGCGCGGCGCCGCTCGACTCGTCGGCGTCGCGCACGATCGTCGGGTGCATGTTCACGAGCCACGCCTGGCGCGACGGGCCGGCCTCGAGGCGCTCGAAGCCCATGCGCATGTCGACCTCGTCGTTGGCCGCGGCCTCCTGGAAGCGCGCCTCGATGGGCGTCGACTCGTCGAAGGCGCCCTTGGTCAGCGACGCGGCGGCCTTCTCGTGCGCCTCGTCGCGCGGCCCGCCGCGGCCAGTGTGGCCGCCTCGCCGCTTGAACGTGCCACGCCCGCGCCCGGAGCCGCGCCCATTGGACGTCAGGCCAAAGGTGCCGCTCCGCCCGCCGCCAGCGGCATCACGACCCATCGCGTTGGTCTAGACCGTGCGTGCGCGCGGCGTGGCTGCCTGCGAGTTGGAGCGGGAGCGAATGAGGGCAGCGTGGAGCGTGGAGAGAAGAGAGGGTGATGTGTGCCGCGTGGTGGTGTGGAGCAGGCGATGAAGTGCTGTGCAGGGAGAGGGATGATGGAGGAGCTCAAGCCGCACGGCGAACGAGGGCGAGAGGACGAGCTTCCAGCCGCACCGCTCGCTGCAAGGCGCACAGCAGGGCGCAGCACCTGCGCGCAGGCACCTCGCCAGTCTAGTGTTGCCCGCCCACCTGAGAGACGCGTCTCGGCATTTTGGCAGACGCGTCGCTGGGCCGACGCGTTAAGTGCATCACGTGAGTCCCTCCCCCTTTCCCCCGGCCGTCGACTCGCGACCGCTGCGAGTCTTTGTGGCATCTCTGGCGAGCACTGGAAGGCATCGAGCACCGATGAGACTGGCTTGGACACGCCGCGAGACTGCGGTCCCCGCGCCTGGCAGCGAGGCATCCGAGTCGGGCCGCGGCGACGCGCTGCGCTCTCCGACTTTTCCTGCCGGCCTGAGCCCGCATCTGCCTCCCAATTCCTGGCGGGCTGGGGCTTTCAAGCCAGCGCGAGGCGCACAGAAGCCGCAGCGGCGCTTCGGAACAGCAGCAGGTGGGAGAGGCGCTCGTGGCAGTGGTTGCAGATGCAGGAGCAGGCTGCGGGCTGCAAGACGATCCGCGGCCTGGCAGGGCGAGGTGGAGGTGCGGCACGCCGACGGCGCGCGCACGGGGCACGCGCCGAGCCCGAGCCCCGCATCCGACAGCGATAAGGCCTTCGCCAAGGCGCTCTTCTGCCTCGCGCTCACACGACAGCGCACAGAGGCGGAGATCAGGAGGTGCAGCGAGCCGCTGCCTCCTTCTCAACCACCACCACACGACATCAAGCACGCCCAGCCACCATGGACGCCTCCAAGATGACCGGCGGCCCGATCCCCACGCTCATCGAGCTCGACCTCACCAAGCCCGCGGCGGGCCAGAAGAGCCTCATGAACCGCTGGCACAACGAGTGAGCTCTGGCCGTGCTGCGTGCGTGGACAAGCTCAACGTCGCCTCTGCAGCATCCCCTTCGTGGCCTCGGTCAAGCCGGGCAGCATCTTCAAGGTCGACTGCCTCGAGTGGACGGGGTGCGTGGCGAGCGCGCAGGCAGGGTAGCGAGCGAGGCTCACACCGCACTGCAGAGGCCAAGTCAAGAACAACGACAACGCAGACGACCTGCGCGACATCGACCTGACGAGCGTGCATCAGCTGACGGGCCCGTGAGACGCACCGCCCGCTGCGCTTCGGAGGCCCGTCACTCACACCGTCCGCCTCAGCATCGAGGTGCAGGGCGCCGAGCCGGGCGACATGATCGAGGTGATCTTCCACGACGTCGCCTTCCACCCGGACGCGCCGTGGGGCTTCAGCGGTATCTTTGAGCGCGAAAACGGCGGAGGTGCGCAGCTGCAGGACGCGCCACGAGCACATGGCATGGCGGCTGACACTTGCCTCCGACTCAGGCCTCTTTGCCGGCCCCGAGGACTGTGAGTTGGACGAAGCGTGTCTCACCCACCCAGCTCACCGGTATCGTGGGCAGTCAAGGAGTACCACGCAGCGAGTGAGTGCATCTCTCTCCTGCGGAAGCTCGGCTTGCTGACTGTGCCACTCGCCAGAGGCGATCTGGGACCTGACTGGCGGTGAGAAGCGTCGCAGAAGCCCGCCAGCGAAAGCTTACTGATACACGCCTCCAGTCTACGCAACGTCGCGCCACATCGTGAGCGTCAGCTAGTTTGATGCAGGAGAACAAGGCTTACCAGTCTTGCTCAGCCTGGCGTCCGTCTGGCTGGTGTGCCGTAAGTGACGCGTGGACATGGCGATGCGCCGGCTTACCTGGCCTGCATCAGGCACCCGTGAGCTGACTGACATCGGTGCGAAGCCCGCACAGCTGACCGCGTCGTGCCAGCGGCCTGGTGGGCACGCTGCCCTCGGCTGAGCTGCTCGCAAAGTGGAACGAGAGAGAGTGCGGCCTGATCGAGGCGTGCAAGGTCAACGGCGTCGAGAAGGTGCCCGCGGTGGCGCTGCCGCCCAACAAGCAGGGCGCCTACGTAGGCCAGGACCTGCCCGAGGCTGTGCGCGAGAAGATCTACCGCGAAGGAGCCGTGAGTCCGTTCGGCATACTTTGTTGATTAGGTGGCTGAAGCGTATGTCCATCTGCTTGCAGCGCACCATCGTCAGTCTGGCCCGAGCCGCCTGAGCACTCGCCCGACGGACGCTCACGTGCTATCTCCTGTCTCGTAGCCTGGCCGAGAGCATGGCGGCAACTGCGACGTGAGGAGAATACGGCTGCTTGCAGCAAGCCTCCGACTGCTCACGATTTACCGCATGCAGATCAAGAACCTGTCGCGTGGCTCCAAGGCCTACCTGCCTGTGTCAGTCGCACGGAGGCTGACACTCGGTTCGATGTTGCTCACACTGCCGCCACAGCTTCCAGTCCGGCGCCGGCCTGGCAATCGGGTGAGCTGCGCATTCGGAGGCCTCACGCTGCCGCTCTGCTGACCGAGGCCGCTGCGCAGCGACCTGCACTTCTCGCAGGGCGACGGCGAGCTTGCTTTCTGCGGCGGTGAGTAGCAGAAGGAGTAGCTCTGGTCAGCCATTCGCTGACACGCCCTCTCTGCAGCGATCGAGATGGCCGGCACCGTCGTAAGTCCTGCGAGCCTAGCCCACCGCCTCGGATGCTCACCTCGCTTCGCAGACCATGGAGATCAACATCCTGAAGAACGGCGTCGAGCTGCTCGGCAACGGCACGATGCCGATCTATCTGCCCTCGCCCGTCGACCCGATGTACAGCGACAAGATCGTGTTCCAGGGCCTTGGAGTCGACATGCACGGCGACGGACGCCAGGTGAGGCCCCACGCTCCGCGGCGCTCTTGGCACTAGCTAATTGCTGGCGTCAGATGAACATGTGCGCCACGACGGCGTACAAAGAGTGAGTCGGTCGCTTGCCATTGCGAAGCGCACCACTGACGCAGTCTTACTCGCAGAGCGGTACGTTTGGCACCTGCCATGCCTGCATTGGCGCTCATCCGTCCGCAGGCAAAGAACTGCATCAAGTTCCTGCAGGTGCTGGGCTACAGTCAGTGCCGGCATGCCGTACCAGTATGCGCGCGACTGACGGAGGCCTCTGCAGCTCGAGAGCAGGCCATCTTGCTGTGGGTCCGCAAGCGGACTTGTCCGACTGCTCGCGCGACTGACGAGCCTCTTCAGCCTGACTGCTGCGCCCGTCGAGTCGCACGTGCGTTGTCCTGTAGTTGCCACCAAAGCGACGTTGATGCTGACACGGCAGTGTACTGCAGGTCGCCGCAATTGTGGAGTGAGTCAAGAGGATGTGCCGGTGCAGCGCTCTCGCTGACCATCCTCCCTTCTATCAGCTCTCCGAACGCGTTCGTCTCGCGCTGAGCTCATGAGAAGCATACGCTGATACAGTCACTCTGCAGCTGCGTCACGATGGAGCTGCCCAAGGCAATCTTCGACCGCGAGTGAGTGGCCACGGGTGCTCGGACCAGCCTGAGCGCTGACACCTCGCCTTTCGCAGCCTCACCATCACTGTGAGCTGTGTCGCATCTGACCAGACATGCTTGTTTGTTCATGCTGACACACGTCACAGGCCAAGGGCTTCGAGAAGCGCGACGTGAGTTCGCTGGCCTCCGTCCAGCTGCAATGCTGACACCTCTCGCAACAGTACGGCCAGGCAGCCGTGCGCAGCGACGCCAAGGCGGGCATGTACACCAAGTAGGCGCAGCAGACGAGGGCGAATGCATGATCGGGAGATCAAATTGAGGTGTGCGCATGCGACGAGGAACGCTATGAGGAGTAATAGAAACATGAGGTGGCATGCGACGAGGAACGCTATGAGGAGTAATAGAAACATGAGGTGGGAAATGTGACGGAGGAACGACGAGCCTGGGCATGAATGCAGTTGGAGTGACAGAGGAAGATAACGAGGAAGATGGCCGTCCGCGCCGCGACGTACACGGACTCGACACGTTGCCGTCTAGAACGAAGACCCAGGACGAGGGCATCGAGGAGACGCGCCCGTCGCTTTTATTTTGCGAGGACAAGTGAGAGGCATGGAAATCCGGCGTGTAGTGCGGCGGCGAGAGGAGAAGAAGAGGCGTCGTTGCGTGCGAGCGCAGAGGTGTTGAAGTTGAGGTGGGGAAGGGCGCAGCTGTCGGCGGCTACCACGGCCGCGGCTGGTGCTGGCGGTGCTGCTGCGGCTGCTGGTGCGGCGACTGCTGCGCCGCAGACGAGGCTGGCGGGTAGCCGTACATGGCCTGCTGCTGCGGCTGTTGCTGCTGCGCCGGCTGAGCGAGGCCCATCTGGCTGCTGGCGCCCTGCACGGCTCCCTGCATGGCGGACTGCGGGTGCATCGGCTGCATGCTGCCCATGTCCATCGCGCCGGGATAGACGCTGAAGCCATAGTGCACGGGATGCATCACGCCGTACATCTGCTGAGGCATCTGCAGCGGCTGTCAGCTCACACATGCGAAAGGGACTGCGCTGCTCCGCGTAGCGTCTATCCGTCTGCCCAGCTCGCCGTCCGTTCCTCTGCCGCCTTCTCCTTTCACAGCAGAGAAGCTGACGCAAGTGCCAATGCGCCGCTTGTGCCACGCCACTCACCATGTAGTGCTCCTGCTGTTGCTGCTGCGACTGCTGCTGCTGCAGCTGCGGCGGCTGCAGCATTGGCGCGCTCGCCGCCGCTGGCGCTCCCGCCCTGCGCATGGCCGCGTCCTGGCGGTCCTTGCCCCAGCCGGTCTTGATGAGACGGCCATGCAGCGGGTGGCCGCCGAGGCCGACAATGGCATGCGTGGCATTCTCATGCGTGTCGAGCTTCAGAAAGGCGAAGCCTCGGTCCGACTGGATAGGCTGGTCAGCTCGGCAGCAGCACTCGTGACCCGAGCCACGCACCTGCATCCGAATCTCGAGCACCTGTCCGTAAGCGGCAAAAAGAATGCTGAGATCGCTGGCGCTTGTGTTCGGCGCGAGATTGCCCACGTCTGGAGCAAACGTCTCAACGACAGACTTCATCACGGCGCAGAGCATACTCACAGATGGTCGCATTGGTCGGCGGCGCAGCCGCAAAGACCGTCTCGTAGCTCAGCGGAGGTCCAGACGAGGCACCGGCCGTCGGCGGCATGCCCATACCGCCGCTGCTCGACGGCTGCACCGCGCTTGGCGAGTCGCCTGGCGCAGCTTGGACCGGCGCCGCCTTCTCATTCGCCCCTGCGGAATGCCGTCGAGCGTCAGCCGACGCACGCCAGACGCACAGCAATGCACTCACAGTTGACGCGGATGGCGCGCGATCCGAGAAGCTCTCCGTTCATGACCGCAACTAGGCGAGACACGGTCAGATCGACGCCAGTGTGGGTGGACGCCTGTCGCGAGGCACTCACTGGCCTGCTCGGCATCATGACGCTCGCGAAAGGCGAGAAAGCCATATCCACGGGACTTGCCGCTCGCCGCGTCCCACTTTCGCCACGGTGTCAGTGTCGACTGCTGGCCGACGTCCGCCGCTGGACGCACCATCACACGTGCTTCGCTCAAGCTCGCGAAGGACGCAAATGCGTTCGCCAGCGCCGCATCATTCACGTCGCGACTCAGATCACCAACGACTGTGCGTGCATGCGCATGTCAGTGGCGTGCTGGATCCCCGCACGAGATATACTCACAGACTTGATGGCCGACGGATGCAGCCTCGCCCTCGGTGGGAGCGGTGGTGGGAGCGCTCGACGGACTGGCCTCGCCCGAGACGAATGCGCTGGGCCCGGGAGCGAGCAGACCCGACGACTGCGACGAGTTGGTGGTGGTGGCAGTGGTAGTGTTGCTCGCCATGAAGGAGAGCGAGCGATGCTGCTCCACGCGCGGCGACAGGCTCAGGTTCTCATACGGCTCGCTCTGCGGCCGGCCGGGCGCCGGCTCCGTCGGGCCGCCAGCGGGAGAGTGGCCTGCGCCGGCGTGCGGGATCAGGTTGGCCCACTTGAGGCGCAACTGCTGCTCAAAGACTTGGCGCTGGGAGAGGATGCGCATGGCCGCGCCTGCGCTGCGCAAGTCCGCGTAGCGCACGAGCGCCGCACGAGCGCCTTCGCGCCCGGCGAGGAACTGCACATTGACGACGGCGCCGGCCACGGAGAAGATGTCCTCGAGCATCGCCCTGAGCGGAGCAGCGCGTGAGCAAGTCTCCAACGATGTCGCTGGTGCCGCAGCCATACTCACTCGCTCACGCGAGGATGCAGGCCGCTGACATGGATCAAGGGCTGCTGCGGCGTCTCTCCTGGCGGTAGGAAGGAGACGACACCCTGCGGCTGAGTGACCGACATGCCGCTGTCACGGCGCAAGTCGGCACGGCCTTGCGGGCGATGCTGAGGCTGCAGTGACGAGGGGTTGGACGGTAGAGGCGCGGCTTTGAGCACGCGCGAAGGCCGAGAGCGAGCACACGGTTGCGAGGGATGGAGGCCACGCGGTCGAGATGGTCCGTGGGTAGCGCTGCTCGGCGGCTACGCGAGGCAGAAGAGAAAGCGCGAGCGAGGTGTGGTGGTTCGTGGTCCGAGGCGCGAGACTCGGCGAGCTTGCAGACAGAATGGGGATGCTCGCGAGGAAAAGATGGAGAGGACCGCGCAAAGACGATCCGAGAAAGGAGCAAGGGGCGTGAGAGCAGAACAAGGGCAAACGGTCGCGGAGTGTCAGGACGAAGCCTGCCGCGGACTGATGACGGAAAGGTGGTCGGACGGCCTCTCTGGCGGTGCGCCGGAGAAAGTGTGGAGCAGAGGCACGGTGAACCGAGGTTCAGGCCGGCCAGCGAGGAGGGTTCACGGATGTGCAGCTACGATGGCGGCAGTGTGTCGCCGGCGAGGCGGTGTCTGCGCGTGCGCAGGCGAGGCGCGAGCCTGCGAGGGGTCCAGAGACGTGGAGTCCACGTCCGGGTCCGGTGCCGGCGCAGGAAGAAGAGGCGACGCGTGTGGATGTGCGGGAGCAGATGGCGGATAGGCACGCGCGAGGCAAGGCGCAGACGGGCCGGGCACGCGGGCCGCGGCAGAGCAGACGGCGGCGCCGTCCTCGGAGCTGGTCCACCCGCGCGAGACCGGTGCGACGAGGAGCCTGTGTGGGGACAGGCAGGGAGAGATGAGATGTGGTGGTCCGGACGCTGCGGCTGCGGCCGGCCGGAGGCTTGGACAGCGGCGGTGTGCGCGCAGCCAGCGCAGCAGGCGAGGCGAGGCGGCTGGTGCTGGGAGTGCGGCGCCCTCGTCACTGCCCGCCGGCGCGCCGCGGCGGCGTGACAGGCAAATCGAGACGGCCGACGCTGCGGGCCGCAGGCATCGGTGCGCCGCCCACGGCACGCAGCGAGCAGCGGCAGCAGCGGCGGCGGCGGCGCGCTCACTACGCCGCGTGCGCCGCGCCGCGCAGCAGCAGCAGCACAGCACCCAGGCACACGCTCGCACACAGACGGCCGTCTGCGGTACAGCCAGACGCAGGCCGCTCGGCGCCGTGCCTGCCCGAGGCCGGCCTCTCTCGACACTGATGGGAGCGTACCGCCTCGAGCCGCTCATTAGACGCTCTGCTGCTGAGGCAGCAACGGCGGAACCGTGCGCCGCGAATAGGCCGCGAGACGGCGCGCTGTGGTGCGACCCCGAGCCAGCCAGAGGCACCCCCGGCCGTGGAAGATCTGCCGGCTGCCTTCACCTGAAATGCGCGCCACCACGCGAGCGCTGGCACAGCCTAGCTCGCCGTGAGGCCGAGGGCGCCGAGACAGCGGCGCGGCGGCGCAGGGTGGGCTCAAACGAGCACAAGAGCCTGCCTGTCAGCCTCCTCCCTGCTTGTCTCGCTCGCATCGTTTCTCGGAGCGCGGCACTCTGGTGGAGCGAAGCCTGAGCGCACTATGGCCGCCTTGTAGAAGCACTCTGCGCACGGCTGCCACTCTACTCTTTGCCTGGGACGCAGCCATCGGGCCGGCGCGGCGGGTGTGGGTGAGCGGCCTGCCTGCCTCTCTGGTGACGACGCCAATGATCGACGACGCTGGGCCGCAGACGCGCCGGCCGTGCATGCCTTGCCCATCGGCGAGCACCGCAGCAACGAACTTCGTCCATCCATCTCCTCACGCTTGTCCACACTCCTCTTCTCATACACCTCGCTTGCCGCACGGTGCGACGGCCTCTCCGCTCTGTCACTGCAGACACCTCTGCTCCGGCGGCTTGCTGCGCACGGTGCAGAGATTCAGCAGCCCACCCGCATCGCGCTTGCGCACACACACGCAAGCTCCGCTGTCGCTCTCCCGCGGAGCACGTTCAGCTCTCTCTGCTCGGTTGGGCCACCCCAGAAGCTGCTCTCCGTCGGTGCTACTCCGAGCTGCTTCGGGCAGCACAGCTGCAGGCGCTGTGGCAGCGCATGTGCTTGGCCATGCTCGGGCCGCAGCAGCGTGGCTACGGCCATGCCCGCTGCCGGTGCGGACGTCGAGTGCCGAGTGGGACGCTCAGGCGTCTCCCGCGTGGGCATGGCGCGGCGAAGGAGCACTGTGCGACGGCGCGACGGTGAGCATGCAGTGTGTCAGCCAGGCTGCGAGACCGCTTCTGTCGGCGCCGCCGCTCCTTGTATGTGCATGCGCTCGATGGGCAGCCGGCGCGAGGCTGCAGCACGAGAGCATCTACCGCCATCGCGAAACGGAGGGCATGCATGCCGCACGCGAGCACGGGCAGCGAGCATGCATGCTGCAGCGCCACGAGCAAGAGCATCGAGCGCGGGACTGGGTCGCCAGTGGCTGCGCCTCGGTCAGGATGCAGCGGTGCCCGGCGCTGCAGCAGTGACGAGGCAATGCTGATGTGTGTACTCTGCTCTGCCGCCATCGTGTGAATGTGCTGTGTCCTGCGCCCTGTGGGTGCCTCGAAGACCAGCAGGCCCTTTTGGACCAAAGCGCGACGGCGACGTGGAGGCGGCAGCGACGAGCCTACAGCGGCAGTAGCGGGCACGACGTGCGGGTCAGATGCGTCTCAGGTCCAGCACGCGAGGAGTCAGACGAGGCTCCGAGGCTGTGCATGCGCTGCGCTGGCAGGAGAGGACGCTGCTCGTCCGCAGCCGTAGGCGAGTGCGATCTCGGTGCAGCCGCTGGCTATGGTTGCGCCCGAGCTGTCCTGTCCGCTGGCAGCGCTCAAACTTCCTGCGCTTTCCTGCATGATGCGTCTGTCTCTGGGACTCTGTGGGCCGCGAGCGGGAAGATGGAGAGCGGCGCCGCCGGGCGTCTCGGCAGTCGACGGGCGCATAACGCGCCGCGCCGCGGTGGTGCGGACGCGAGGAGGCCAATCCCGCCTCTCCGCGATCGCCGCGGCCGCTCGCCTGCCCCACCTGCCGCGGTAGCCAGGACGGCAGCAGAGCATGCGCCAGCAAGTTCGTCTGATCACACCTCGGCCGGAGCGCCCAACACCCAGCTTGCATGCTCGCCAGCTCCTGCGCGGCGCCCGGCATATCCGCAAGACGGCTCACGTGATGCGACTGCAAGTTTCTCCTCATGAAGGTCAAGCAGGCAGGGCAAGCTGTGTGAGCACAGAATGCAGAGCTCGGTGCTGTCTGCGGCCGCGACCCGAGCTCACGCGCGCCGGACCCCGCCGTGAGGCTTCGTGCCTCGAAGATCTCCCGGATCCTACTTTGTCCCGCACATTGTAACTCTTGCCGCTGTCTTTGACGCTCAGTCGCAGTCATGACTTGTCTAATCCCCGATTCAGCACGTCTACAAGGTCTACAGCTGTGGACTGTCATCGTCTGCGCCAATCCCGCTTTACCCAGAGCTTCTTCCTCCAGGCCACCCGCGACGGCGCAGTGCACGCGATGCTTCCGCATGCCTGCACGTGGCAGCCAGCACGTGGCTCGGCCGTTGATGCATGATGAGCCTCTCATGGCAGCACCCCTTTCCAGCTCCCAGACAAGCACCTCAGGTGCCTGTACCACTGTGCACCTTCGCTGTGCTAAGGACCAGCCTCAAGGCCGCACCTCGAGGCGTGATTTTGCCCACGCCTTGTGATGTGCGCGTTCGCAGCCCGGCGAGAGGCAAGCCTGTGTATTGTACGAGCTCTCCCATCAGCATACAAGCGCGATGGGCAGCACGGAAGCTGGCTTGAGCTCGAGACCGACACCGCCTGCAGCGCGCTGCTCGCCGGGGCGCGAATTCCCGATGATGCAGATCCGTCGCGCGCGCCAGCGTCGGCGCGTCGACGCGCCGTCGCTCCGAATTGCGTCGTGCTCAGTGTCGGCGGTCATGATTTTCGCGAGCGGCCCTGCTGAGAGCGCAGTAGGGAGTACTGTGTCCACCAAGAGTGCATCAGAAATCATGCGACTGGTGAATAGCTGGGTTCTGGATCCGAGGAGAAGCTGTAACGGCGGCTGCAGTCCAGCGCACGCGGGTCGGAGGGGGCGGGCTTCGTGGTGACGCGTCGTGCTACAGCCGAGACGCGCAGCGCGCGCCAGTCGCCGGCAGTGAGGCGACCAGACTTGGACTGCAGCGCTCAAGTAATCTACAGCACCTCATGCGCTTCATCACTGGACACCATCGGTAAGTGCGCCCGCAGCGAGAGGCGGTCTGGGGCGTGTGCGACGTGCTTCCCGGGGTGGACGTGCGCTGCCGCGGCGCGCGCGCGGAGTGCCGCCCGGCGCAGCGGAACAAGGGGCAGCGTCACGGGACCGGCGCTTCCAGGTGCCCGGCCTATCCAGCTGCGGCAGGCCCGGGCCGCAAGAGCAAGCGTCGGCGACCCGCCATCCGCATCGAGCAGCGCTGCATTTGTGGGCGGCACACGACAGCGCAGCGCCAGATGCAGCAGGCGCGGAAGCAGGTGGGCGCTGCGGCTGCGGCAGCCGGCTGCGTCTGGCTGCGGCCGTGCTGATGTGCGCCTGCCTTTCCTCCTCCCGCCGCCATCCTGACGTGCAGATGCTGTCCAGTCTCGCTGTCTGTCGTGCGCTGGCTGCTGTCGTCGCTGCGAGGATGCCGCGCTCTGTGCCTGCTCGAGGCACCGCCGCTGCCCGCGCTGGCCTCACCTCGGCGGGCGAATACGCGTCGCGCTCCGCCGGCTGCGGCATGAGGCAGCGGCGGCGATGCATGCGATGGAGGAGCAGCGCTGCACGAGCGATGCTGCGCAACAGCCGAGCGCCGCATCTCGCTCTCGGCGCCAACGTGCAGCAAGTCACGCCACGCATGACGCGCCCTCGCCCTCGCCCTCGCCCCGAGCTTCCAGCCTGCAGCGGCTGCTTGCCCGAGCTTCGGCGGCGCGGGCCCTGCGACGATCTTGATGCCAGCTTGCCACCTGCACTGCTGCAAATGATGGGCAGCACCGACATCCGCCGCTTGCTTCGTGCTTCGTCCGCGGCGAGGCACCGCGGGCACAGCGCAGCGTGTCCGACCTCGTCCAGCGCGAGCGCCAGCCTGCAACTGCAGTGTCGCCAGATCGTGCGCGTATGCTTTGATGGAAGCTCTTGCCCGTGTGAGGCCGCAGCTGGAGGAGCTGCCTACTGCGCGCTGTGGCATCGCCGGTGCCGAGATGCGCGCGGCAAGCAGGTGCAGAGAAGAGGCCCGAGAAGCGCGCTGTCTCATGCCCGACGCCGAGGCGCCGCCGCCCGCAACTCGACTGTACTGCTCCTGCTCCGCTGCTGCCTGCAGAGCCGCCCAGACTCCTCCTTGCTGCTCGCTGAGCGGCTGTTCGTCCGCTTGAGGCAGCCTTTCGTCTTCCGCCGGCTGCTGCTGTGGGCTGCTGACGAGGATGTGCGAGACGGGGCGGAAGGGTGCCGTCTGTCCTTGCCTTCAAGCAGGCGTCGTGGCTGCTGCGGCTCTGGTGCTCAACTTGCTGCTACCTGCTTCTCGCTCACCATCCGACCCCACCTTCCTCACACTTCACCTCGACCTTCTATCCCATGCTCTCTCCTTGCTGTGCCTCGACGCTCGAGTGCACCACGCTCGCACACCACCGACATCGTGCGGACGTGTACTACTCTGACCGAGTCGTGCATCCGGTCTCGCTACCTGAGCGGCTGTCGACGACTCTGTAGCTTCACCATCGCAGCACGGCTCTTCACGCACGCGGCTTTGGCTCTGCGCACTCGTGTTGCTGTGCCTTAGCGACATCGTCGAGCCCTGCTGAGCTTCAGCTCAGCAATTGACTAGCTCGCTGTTGAGCTGAAGTGCGGAGCCCCATTGTGCGTCTTCGCTGCCCTCGAGAGGGGCCTGCTCGAGTTGAGGCAGGATGCATCCTCTTCGTGCTCTGCAGCGTCGCAACGTCTCCCACGTTCGCTCGCCCGTGATGTCGCCACTCTGTCTCCCTCGGAGCTCAGGCTTGCTCGCGCCTCGAGCATAGCGTCGTCATCGGGCTCGCGACCGCACCACCTTCTCGCGTCTCGTGCTCTGCCTTCGTCTGCTATCGCAGACGTTAGCGCGGGCATGACATTCCGCAGCTTGCCCTCGTCCGCCCCAAGCTTTCGTCTTCTCTCTGACTTTGTGCTTTGCGGTGCTGTGAGTGGGTGCACACGTGGCGTATGCTGCGCTGCGTCTCCGACCTGTTGCACCATGCAAGAAGCTGCAGCCGGCGATGACCCACCGAACGAGGCTGGAAAGGAAGAGATGAATGCTGGCTTTGCATGTGAGTGACTAGACGACCTTGCTCGCCGCATCTTGCGGGACGAGCTGACGGCCGGGCGTCGAAGAGGACGCTCGGCTGGCGGCGCCGCTGCTGCAGCCGTCCATCGCTACAGCCGGCGCGACTGCCTTCTGCATATTACACTGCGGCGCCAGAAGCTACGCCTGATGACGCAGAACTGCTGTCCTCTCGGCAGCGAGGCGCGTCAGCGACCGTCTAAGCCTGAAGCGGCGCGTGCCCGGCCAAGGGATCACGTCCAAGTGACACCAGCCCGCGCATCACGATGGCACGCGCATGTGTAGCAGTAAAGCGATGTATTGGGTCACGCGCCGAGATGCAAGCAGCTGGGAATATGAGTGGAGTGTCGGGGGTCCGAGGAATGATGATGCGGAGACAGGGCACGGGACGATCGGCAGCAGCAGAGCGGGTCTAGAGCGGCGCCTTTGGCGGCGTGCGCGAGATGCGGAGATCGCGGTAGTCGAAGTAGAGCAGCACGACAAGGGTGGCGGCGACGAGCACGCCGCACGCGATGGCAGCATTGTAGAAGTCGCACCAGCCGCCGCTGCTGCCGGCCGGACACTTCTTGCCCATGCCGAGCGCCACGACGACGGCGCCGATCCAGAGCACGAGCAGCACCGCATCCCACGTCGTCTGCAGCTTGACCGTCGCGCGTGCGACGCGCCAGCGTGCCTGCAGCTGCATGTTGCCCAGCATGCCGAGCGGCGAGCGGCGCTTGCGACGCTTGCGCCGAGCACCACCGGGCAGGTGCTCCTCCTCATCCTCGGAGTCCGAGTCGCCGCGGCCGCGTGCGAGCAGCGTCGGATCGATGACGAGGTTGACCGTCGGCCCTGCGCCCATGCCGCCCTTCATACCCTTCATGCCCTTCATGCCTTTGAAGCCCTTTGGCGGCTTGCCCGCCTTGCCGCCTGCGCCACCGGAGAGCACGGGAATGACGAGCCCGCCGAGCCCGGCAGATGCGTCACCCGCGGCCACCTTGCGGCGCGGGTCGCAGCAGCACGGCCGCAGCACATAGACGTAGAGCAGCACCACGACGGTGAGGGCGCTGGCAATGTAGAGCACGTAGGCAGCGATCGTGCCCTTTGCAGCAGGCGGCGGTCCGACGGTCTTGATGAGCAAGGCACCGCCCAGACCGCACGCCAGCGCAGCGACGGCAGCGAGGCCGAGAAAGATGCGCAGCCACAGCACCACGCGCGGCCGCTCGGTGATCAGGCGGCCCTTGGCATCGACGCTGCCGAGCACCAGCTCGTCCTCCTCGCCCTCGTCGAGCTCCTCGTCGTCACCGCGACCGCCGTGGCTGATGCGCGGCGCGCCAAACTCCTTTTCGAGCATGCGCATGCGCTCCTCCTTGACGTACTCGGCCTCACCGGCGCCTGGCGGCCGGCCATAGGGGTGACCGTACGGTGCGTGTGCCCTCGAGGCGCCAGAGCGAGTCATCGTCTCGGACTCCCAGCCCGAGCCTGGCGGCGGCACCGTTGTATAGGCGTGACCGTCGGCAGAGAGGTGTCCAGCATACCTTGCGTGTTCGTGTCAGCACTGCCGTACGCAGCGGCAAGATGCGAGGCGCAGACTCACCAGCTCCTACTCCATGGTGGAAAGGCCGGCAGCTCGTCAGTCGGCCGTGCGTACTCGTCCCGCTGTCCGCCACCACCGCGTCGTCCAGGCAAATGATGAGCCGCTTCGACGCCGAAGAAGCCCGGGCCGCCCTCTTCCGCATCATACTCGCCCATCGGCGGCGGCGAGAGCGGCAGCGCGCGGGCATACGCGCCGCTGGAGCGCGACGCCACGGACGGCGGCGCGCCGGCGTACCAGTAGGCCTGCTCCGGCGACTGCCACGGCGGCGGCGAAGGCGCGGCGTGCATCGGCGCCCCGGCGCCCCACGGCGCATGGCCGGCCGAGGAGCGCGAGTACTGCGACGCGGGCGCCGCGCACGGCTCGGAGCCGTAGACGCTGCCGACCTCGAGCGACGTGGCGCGCTGCGGCGCCGGTGCGGCGTAGTAGCCGGCGTGCTCGGCGTGCAGCGGCGGCAGCGAGTAGCGGCCGTGTGGCGCCGACGCCGGGGCGTAGTACGGCGCGGCGGCGCGGGCGTAGTCGCCGAGGTCGCGCTCCGAGTAGCCGTCGTCGTCGGCGTGGGCGTGCCAGGCCGCCTGCGCCGGCGTGCCGCCGCGCGAGGACATGGCACTGCAGCAGATGTGGCTGGGCGGCGGGTGCAGCGCGCGGCAGTCAAGCGATGGTCGTCGAGGGATGAAGAAGGGAAGGCGTCAGGGTCGTGCGAGTCGTGAGGGTCGTGAGCGGAGCGTGAGGGTCGTGAGGCAGGCGGCCGAGGCGCTGTGGGTCGTGAGGCGAGGCGCAAGGCCGGCGGCGGAGGGCGGGCGGCGGCTGCCGCTGCGGCGGGAGCGGTGCTGCGCGGCGTGGGGAGGATGTGGACGGGAGCCGACGAGGAGCGCAGGCGCGAGAGAGGGGCCCGACGAGGCGATGCACGCCCGGCCCCCGCCAGCCGGCCGCGCGCGCAGCAGCAGCAGCAGCAGCAGCAGCAGCAGCAGCAGCAGCAGCAGCAGCAGCAGCAGCAGCAGCAGCACCCATGCCATTCCCGCCGCCGGCGCTCGGGCCGCGCTGCGCTGATGCTTCGCCATCACCTGCTGCTGATGCTGCATGTCTGCGCCGCTGTGCCATCATTCAGTGTCGTGCTGCCGCTCAACAAGGCGCATGCTCGCCGCAGGTCGCTGCCAGAGACGCTGCCAGAGGGCTAGCAAACACGCGCGCGCATCACCCCACAAGAGCCGCCGCGGCGCGCGCCGCCGCGTGCCTGACGCTTTTGCTTCAGCCGAGCGTCAGGGGCGAGAACGTGCCGCGGCGGCCGCCGACCCTGCGCTGCTTGCCTTGGCAGGCGCGGCCGGCCGGCAGCGGTATATTTCGGGCCTCCACGTACGCCGCTGCCGGCGCTGACGCTGCGGCCGCTCAGCGAGCGTCGCACCTGCTGCGGCTGGCAGAGCAAAGCATCGTCGCGGCCGCTGGCTGCTGCTCTGGATGTACAAGCGTGATGCTGGTGCTGCGTCGACGGTCGGTCCAGCTGCCTACGCGGTGCACGGCGCGGGGCAGCGCGACGTGCTGCTGGCGCAGAGGCGAGGCGGCGTGGCGCGCGGCGGCGGCGGCGGCGGCGGCGGCCGCGCTGCATCTGCGCCGGGCGGCTTGCTTCTCCACACCCACGACTCCACCTCGGCGCCGCTCCTTCTGCTCGCCGCACCTGCCGCGCCTCTCTCTGCTCCATCTTCACCGTCTACACTTCCTCACACGCCGCCGCCGCCATGTCCGACAAGGACGGCAACCTCGATGCCGTGCCCGCCGACCAGCGCCAGGGCTGGGGCCAGGTGCGTGGGCCGTCCGTGCGCGCCGCAGCGAGGCGGGCCGATCGCGATGGCCGCGCCGCAGGCGTCGTCAGGCACGCCCGTGCGATGGCAGCAGCATGCAAATGCGCCGCACTGGCAGCGCAAGCAGCGCTGCGATGCTCGTCAGGAATGGCATCAGGCCTTTCGTTACGGCAGCTCAGGCCGTGTTGCACCCTGCGGCGCATCCCGGACCCATCGCTGCGGCCGCGACGCGACGTGTCCCCGCGCTCAGGTCCGTGCTCACGCTCATCCACCTTGCAGTTCCTCAAGTCCATCGCCTCCGTCTCGGGCGACCTCAGCTCCATGACGGCGCCGTCGTTCATGTGCGTGCGGCAATGTGCAGCAGCGCCATGTGGAGCGCTGCCCTTGTCTGTGCTGTGCAAGGCTGACACTCTGTCTCTGCAGCCTCTCGCCTGTCTCGCTGACTGAGTACCCGTCGTAGTGAGTAGATTGTAGGCGCTTGCGCATGGCGCTGCTGCTGATGCTCTCTCGCCAGCTGGGGCGAGCACCCGGAGCTCTTTGCCGCCTGCACCAAGGGCGCCGACGATGTGGAGCGCATGTGCAACGTGGTGCGTTGCGCACTCACGGCGCTGAGCACAGGACTGTGCGCTGACGCCGCTCCGGCAGCTGCGCTGGTTCATCGCCACGCTCAAGGGCCAGTACACGTCGCGCAACACGTCGATGGGCAGCGAGAAGAAGGTGAGCGGCGCAGCAGCGGGTCGCAGGGCATGGCTGACGTTGCTTGCAGCCGCTCAACCCGGTGCTCGGCGAGCTCTTCCTCGGCACGTGGCCGAGCCAGAACGACGAGGGCGAGACGACGCTGGTGGCCGAGCAGGGTGAGTGGAGCGCGACGTGGTGGAGGGCATGCATGCTGAGCGGCGTGCGCGGCAGTCTCGCACCACCCGCCCATCACTGCCTACCACCTCGCCAACGAGAAGGCCGGCGTGTCGCTCGAGGGCCACTCGGCGCAGAAGACGTCCTTCACGGGCCGCTCTATCATCGTCAAGCAGATTGGCCACGCCATGCTGCGCGTCAAGAACGCAGAGGGCAAGGAGGACCTGTACCTCATCACGCTGCCGACGCTCGGCATCGAGGGCATCCTGTGGGGTGAGTGCTGCGGTGGCAGGCGCGGTGCAGCAAGGCTGACACGCAAGCGGCAGGTGCACCGTACATTGAGCTCTCGTGAGTAAGAGTTGCGCAGCTGCTGCCACGCCTCCACTAGCTGACCCTCGACACAGCGGCACGAGCTACATCAGCAGCAGCACCGGCTACACGGCGACGATCAACTACGCCGGCAAGGGCTACTTCAGCGGCAAGGCGCACTCGTTCAAGGCGGGCATTGCGCCGTCGGCGCAGCCCACGCACCCGCTCTACTCGATCGAGGGCGAGTGGGCGGGCGTGTCGAAGTACAAGGGCAAGGCGCCGGGCAAGGACACGACGTTCTGGGACGCGTCGTCGGAGCGGCGGGAGGTGCAGGTGAAGCCGCTGGCGGAGCAGGGCGACATGGAAAGCCGCAAGGTGTGGGCCAAGACGGCCGAGGGCATCCGCGCCGGCAACTTCGACGCCGCCAGTAAGGACAAGACGCGCATCGAGGTGAGTGCGGCTCGAGGTGGCAGTCGTGTGATGCCGGCGCTGAGGCCATGCGCAGAACGAGCAGCGGCAGAAGCGCAAGGACGAGACGGCGGCCGGCACGCCGCACCAGCTCGAGATGTTCGTGCACATCCCCGAGGATCAGGAGTGTGAGTCGTGCTGCGCGTGCACGCCGCCTGCACCCATGCTGAACTGCCGGCGCAGACACGAAGCTCGCCGCCGCTACGAGCGGCATCAAGCCGACGACGGAGGACGGCTACCGCCGCAAGCCGCGCGTGCACTAGGCGCCGCTCCGGACACACATGCATCGGCCTTCGCTAGAGCAATCCACATCGGTTCCCTGCCCGCTCACACATCGGTTCCCTGCCCGCTCACCAGCCCCACGTGCCCGCGCCCTGCCTCACCAGCCCCACGTGCCCGCGCCGCCCTTGAAGCCCTTGTCGCCGCCGGTAATCTCGGGCGTGATCCAGCTGCCGTAGAAGTCGCCCTCCTGCGGCACGACCTGGTCGTCGTCGACTGGCGTGCACGTCAGCAGAGGGCCTGAAGCGTCTGGAGTGCCTCGCACGCACCGAAGCAGCTCCAGCCCTCGCCCTTGGTGTTGCTCGACGCGTAGAAGCAGAGGTAGTCCTTGATGGGCGCAAAGGCGGGCGTCGGTGCCGGGTAGCTCCAGATGCGGGCGCGGGCAGTGAAGACGTCGTGGTACAGCGCCTGGCCCTTCCACTCGCACAGCGTGCGCCGCGCCGCCGAGGGCTTGAGCAGGTCGAGGCGCACCGCCGAGGGCGGGAAGTAGTACTTTGGACGAGGGGTCAGCGATGCGCCTTGCGACGTCGGCGGCACCTCGATGCGAGGCACGGCCCCCTCTAGGCGACATCACAGCCTGTGCCGTCTGCACAGCCACGCTGCACGGCTCACCGTCGGCGGGTGGCTCGTCTCGAGGACGCGGTAGCCGTCAGTCGTGTCTGCGAGCGTCGTCTCCGTACCCTGGGCGTCGGTCCAGACGACGCGCAGGCGCGCCGCGGTGCGCTCAGCGCGGGCAGGGCGCGGGTACGTCCAGACATTCTCAGGCGCGCGTAGCTTGGGCGGCATGCTTGCGGCAGGCGGGTATGGCTGGCTGGTCTTGCTTGAGGCGCAGGCGAGCCGAGTGACGAGACGAGGCGACACGGCGTCCTGGATCTGGAGTGGAGGCAAGCGTCGCGTCGGCGCACCTGTCACGCGGCGGCGCGTGTGGCGCTCGGGTGAGCTCAGCAACAGCCCCGCCCCGCAACGGCACCTCGCGCTCTTCGGCGCCTGTGTCAGCCCACACTCGGTGCTTCGCCTCCATCATGAGCACAGCTCGCTGCATGGCGCAACATGACGCTTGCTCGCCTCGGCGTGCTGCTCTATGTGTGCCGCAAGTCGGACGACATCGGGCAGTCAGAGGGTGAGCGGCCTCATCTGTGGTGGGCATGCGGCAGCTGGCGAGCACAAGGCGGCGCGCCGGCGGCATCGGGTGCCTGGCGGACATGGCGGCCTTGGCGCGCGTGCGTGCGGAGCGTGGGCACGTCCGGGAGGTGCTTCGCTCCACCCCGCCGGCCGTGCTCCTCGCCTGCCGCAGAACACCAGTCGAGTCGCAGGCTGCGACTCGCAGCGCGGCAGCAGCAGCAACCAGGTGGCAGCATGCAGCAGACCAGCAGCGCCCCTCTCTCGCTCTTGCTGCGCGCCTGCTTGCAGCATCTGCGCAGCGTCTTATCGCAGAGGAGGCGCGCGATCGATGCGCGTGCGAGCCTGATCGCCAGAGCGCAGGTACACAATGGCCTCTTGACCCCTCTCTGGAAAGGTGCGTGCTCCCACAGGAGCGCTCCGAAGCTTCCAACGCTGCGGCAGTGCTGTACCCCACGCCGTGCGCTGCGCCCGGCGGGCTTCAGGAGCTTGCATCTCAGCTCACGGCGCACGCACCCCGCTCGACGCCGGCCGGCACCGGCGGCCTGCAGGAGCAGCGGACTCTGGACTCAGCCGAGTCAGGTGAAAGCATGAACAGCAGCAGCTGCAGGCTTCTCTGCGCTCACTCCCCGCGCGCTGCCATCATGCGAGCTTGCGCAGCGCAGAGAGCTGCACGGCCGCGAGGCGAAGGGCGCCGCCGCCGCAGCTCGCATCGCGCGAGATGATGCAGGTGCAGAAGAGGACGCCGTGCGAGCAGAGGTGATGCGAGCACGACGTGGCTGATGCTGGCGCTGGTGCGTGCGGCGCTCACGCTGCGCGACGTGCGGCTTGGCTCGCCAAGGCTTGGCTCCGTGTGCGGAGCCGGCGGCGGCGCTGCGCTGCATGCTGCAGCGCTGCTGCAGGCGTGAGCGGTGCGGTGCGGAGCGAGGCGGCATATGCATCGCGGGGGCGGGGATGGCCCCTCTCGCCTCTCCTCGCCCGCCTGCGGCGCCGCGCCGTGCCGCGCCGGCGGCGGGCTTCGCCGTTGCGCCGCAAGGCGCGGTGAGTGAGGCGAGGGCGCGCCTCGCCCGACCGTGACCGGCATCGGCCCAGATGTTCATAAGCAGCAGCCGCCTCGGCCCGCTTCCTCGCCAGCTCCTCCTTCCCGCCGTCCACAGCCGCAAGCCCTCGCCGTCGCTCACGCCACGCCGCACGCACACCGCAAGCCGCACACAAGCACACCGCAGTCCCGCCCACCCGCACACGCGCGCGCCTCGCTCGCCATGTCCGCCTCGGCCGTCGCGGCACCGGCCGCCGGCAGCAGCAGCGCCAGCAGCAGCAGTGGCGCCGCCATGTCGCCCGTGCAGCAGACACTTTCGCGCCACAGCGTCGCCACGTCGGGCGGGCCGGGCGCCGGCAAGGTGCGCCTCGACGCGCTCCTCGTCGGCGGCCAGCGCCACCTCTTCGACTTTGAGCCCGAGACGACCGTCGAGCAGGTGCGCCGCACCTTCTGGGAGGAGTGGCCCGCCGGTGAGTGCGCGCGGCAGGTGCAGAGCAGGGCGCGGTAGCTCCGCAGGGGCGCAGATTCAGAGACAGGCGCAGGGATCGCTGCTGCGTGCTGCGCAGTGTTGAGCTGAAGGCTGGGCACGCGAATCGCCGTGGCTGGCCCATCGAGCGGGTCACAGTCCGCCTTGCTCTGCAGCAGCGCCCTTCGCAGCGGCATACAGCTCGGCTCCTCGCCTCATCTGGCGCTGTGCTCACACGCCGTCGACAGACTGGCCGCTGCGTCCGCCACATGCCTCCTCGCTGCGCATCCTCCACATGGGCCACTTCCTCGACGACCGCGCCCCGCTCTCCGGCGATGGGCCAGCGGCGGGCGGCGGGCCGGCAGCAGGGCCCATGCCGCTCGGACGCACGACCGTCGTGCACGTGCTGATCAAGCCTGTCAAGACGGAGAGCATCCGAGGCGATGGTGAGCAGCCTGAGTCAGCGCCCCGGCAGCGCACGCGTCTGACCCTTTGCGCTCGCCAGACGAATCGCTCAAGAAGAAGGACGAGGTGCCGTCCAGCTGCTGCTGCGTCATCTGCTAGGTCTCTTCCGCTCGGTCCGCTGTCCAGATTATCCTCGTCACCGTCTCTTGCGCTCTTCAAGCCACGGCAGCCACAGTCACAAGTGTCTTTCTCCGGTGTAATTGTACCAGCACATCGTCCGTTCACGCTGCGCGGCCCAGGAGTGAGCCCAGGCCCGCCGCTGCGGCGCCCAGAAGAGAGCGCTGGCTGCAGCAGGCGGCGATGGTGCGCACCGTCGGCTCCTGGAAGAGCGTCACGTAGTCCGCGGTGACCTCGAACTCCTTCTTGAGGCGCGTGATCAGGCGCACGGCCTGCAGCGAGTTGCCGCCGGCGGCAAAGAAGTCCGTCTCGACCGAGACTGGAGCGCGCTGAGATCAGCGGTGGACGCGCAGCTGAACGGGATGGGCACTCACTCGTCGTCTCGTCGACCTCGAGCAGCTGCGCAACGATGGTGCGCACACGGCGCTCCACCTCGGTCGCGGGCTCGGCGAACGGTCGCTCGGCGCCCTCTGTCGTCGCATCTGCAAGGGTGTTGCTCGGCATCGGCAGCGCCTTGCGGTCGACCTTGCCGTTCGACGACAGCGGCAGGGAGGAGAGGTAGATGACGCGTGCGGGGACCATGTAGCTCGGCAGCCGCTTGGCAACGTAGTGCTTGACCGGGTCGACGCGCGGCAGACGCAGGCTCGAGCCCGACGGCCATGCGCGCTCGAGAAGCTGCGCCTGCGAGACCGGCCCGCAGAGCAGCACCTGAGCGATGCGGTGCTTGCTGTCCAGCGCGTGTGCCTCGACGAGGCTGCTTGTCGCCGCGTCCAGCCGCGGGATCGGGCAGCTTCCGATGCCGTGCTTGAGGCCGCGCGTCTGCAGCCGCCACGCAGCGCGGCCTACCTCGAGCGCATCGCGAAGATCGGCCAGCAGGCACACGACGAGCCTGCTGCTGGCAAGCGTCGTGCCGTTCTCGCCGAGCGCGCCCGTGGCGTCAATCTCGCGAGCCTCGGCGGGCGTGCCGATGGGCTCGAGGCCTGCGCCCGTGACGCGGAAGAGCGACGGCTCGTCGAGGCCTTCGATCGCGCCTCGTCGCACGAAGAGCAGCATTTCGCCGGACGTAGAGAGCGACGAAGAGGCGGATTTGCTGGCAACGCTGAACGTGCAGAGCACGACGTCCTCTTGCGGGTCGATGACGTCTGCAAGCCGCGAGGTGCCGTCGCACGGCTCCAGACAGGCGCCTTGCCGTGCCGCAGCGTCGGAAGCAAGGCCCAGCATGTAGCCTGCTTCCCACGTGGCGAGCTCACGCCAGGCCTTACCATACGCTGGCTCTATGGCGGGCTCGTGCGCAACGATGGAGAGGCGGAGCGTGCCCTCGGCCAGAGGAGTGGTCGTCGGAGGCTGCTTGACGAGCACGAGGCTTTGACGCTGTAGATGGATGTAGTAGATGCCCGCCTGCACCTCGTGACCGGGCCCGACCTCGAGGAAGGCGCGGCAAGGATAGAGGCCGCCTGCCGACGGATAGGCGTACTTCCACGAGTCGCCCAGCTTGAGCGCGAAGAAGCTCGACGCGAAGAGCTTGACATCTGTTGTGCGGCCAGGCGCGATGCCGTGCGGGAGGTCGGGGCCCAACGCCTGGTCGAGCCAAGCATGCACCGTCTGGGCCGGGAGGGTCTGAGACTCGAAAGAGCGATACGACTTGCGCTGGACCACGAGCGTCTCGTCGATGGGGGCGCCGGGCACCTCGAGCGCGTCTCCCGACGCAGCCAGGATGCCGAGCTGCCGGTCGCGGAAGGCGGCCTTCTCGACAGGATCCATCTCCGGGGCCTCGTCGCCAGCCTGCTCAGTCGTGATGAAGGCGACGAGCGTGCGGTCTGGCTGCAGAGCGACGACCGACTGCTTGACGCCGACGATGCCGTCGATGGTGCTCTCGATCTCCGTCAGCTCGACGCGGTGCCCGCCGTCAGTCTTGACCTGGCTGTCCATGCGCCCGAGGATCTCGATGGTGCCGTCGGGCAGGTAGCGTCCGAGGTCGCCGGTGCGATACAGGCGCTCACCCGAGGCCGGATCAGTCACGAAGCTGGCCGCTGTCTTGGCGGGATCCGTGTAGCCGATGGCGAGGCCCTTCCCAGCAATGACCAGCTCGCCAGTCACCCACGTCGGCGCATGCTGCAGAGGCGAGACGCTGCTGAGCACGTGCCAGCGCTGATTCGCCAGCGGACGGCCGTAGGGCACGCGCCGCCGGGTGTCGACCATCTCGTCGCATGGGTAGGCAATCGACCAGATCGAGCACTCGGTGGCGCCGCCGAGCGACCACAGGCGCAGTCCCGAGTGCTCTGCACGCACACGCTGCACGAGCGGCGCAGGCACGACGTCGCCAGACACCATTGCCAGTCGGAGCGATGCCAGCTGCTGCGGCGTGTCGGCGATCTCCAGGAGCATCTGCAGCGCGACCGGCACGCTATTCCAGATGGTGCAGCGATGCCGCATGACGAGCTCGAGCCAATGAGCTGGATCACTCTCGGTCTCCTGCGACACCGTCACGAGACGGCATCCGAGGCCGAGGAGCGCGAGATCGAAGACGCTGAGGTCGAAGCCGAGGCGCGAGACGGCAAGAAGACAGTCGTCCGACGTGATCGAGAAGCGCGAGAAGAGGTCCCAGCAGGTGTTTGCGGCGGCCTCGTGCGAAACGACGACGCCTTTGGGCTCGCCCGTCGAGCCTGACGTGTGGATGATGTATGCTGGCGAGCTCGGCTGGGCGCCAGAGGTGAAGTCGGGGTGCTCATCGTCGACGTCCGGCACCGTGGCGTCCAGAGCTTGAACGCGCACCGCCGGGTCTGCGAGGTCGCCTCGCAGCTTGGAAACGGCTTCTTCGTCGGCGAGGACAATCGTGCAACGACAGCCGTGCAGAATCTTGGTGATACGAGCAGGCGGCAGGTCGGTGGCGAGCGGCACCCATGCTGCACCTGCATAGTGAGCAGCGAGGGCGGCGGCCGCTTGACGCCAGCCCCGCTTGGCGAAGACTGCCACCTTGCGCTCGCCTCGCGGGACGCCGTCGAAGAGAGGCTCGAGCAATGCGGCCGTGCGCGTGGCCTTGACGAGCAGGGCGCCATAGCTGACGACCAAGCCGTCAGGAGCGCAAATGGCGGCGCGCGTCGGCTGCGTGGAAGCGATCTGTTGGAACGCAAGGTGCAGGAGGTCAGGCGCGCCGACATTCTGCTGCGTCGAGTTGGCCTGCTGCCGCGCTTCGAGATCCGAGCCGAGCCGAACGTCAACGGGCGCATCCCAGGCACGCTCCTTTGGCAGCGAGTCAAGCACCGAGGTGAAGGCCCTGAACATTGTGTCCAGCATGCCAGGCGGAAAGACGCCGTCGCGGCAGTCCCAGCGCACCATGAGGCCTCCGTCGCTCTCCTTGATTGCCTGGAAGTCGACGAGCACGCCCGGCGTGGAGCTCACGCCATACACACGCCGGCCTCCGAGGTTGCGCTCAAAGTGCCCGAGATCGAGCGCGTGGTTGAGGATGCTTGTGAAGACGAAGCCGTTGGACTTGTAGTCGATGCCGACGCTGCGCATGTGCCGCATGAGTTCGATGCCGCTGAACATTGAGTGCGCTATGTCCTGGCCGAGCTGCTTGGTGGCACGCGCGGCCTGCGTCGCCAGGCTCTCGCTCGCGGCGGCCGACAGTTCCAGCAGAAGCGAGGACGTGAAGTCGCCGAGAACGCGGGAGAGGTCGGCGTGCGATGGAAGCGAGAGGCGGTTGAAGATCGTCAAGTTGATGGCCATGAGCGGCGAGCCGGACCAGCGGCTGAGCACGGCTGCGTACACCGAGGCCAGCAGAGCCGTCTCATTGGTGCCCCGCTGCTTGCAGAGAGCTTCCGTGCGGAGCCACACATCAGCACTCAGCCGATGCTGGTAGCGACGGAAGGCCGGCGGCAAAGCAGAGCCGAGCTCGCGCGGCAGCGTCGGAAGCTCAGGTGCCGCTGCGAAGCTCTGTGCGCGCTCCGTCCAGTACGCTCGGTCAAGGGCGTACGCGCGAGACTTGCGGCTGGCTGCTTGCGCAAGGACACAGTCGCGGAACGTGAGCTCGAGCGGCGCGAAGCTCGGACTCTCCTGCTGCAGCTGCGCGCGCAGTTCCTCCAGGATGAGGCCGATGCTGTAGAAGTCGAGCGGCAGCAGGTCGATGGCGATGTGCAGGAAGGCACGTCCCGGCGCAAGGATTGTGAGGCGCTGTTGCAGCAGCGGCGCCTCATCAGCCGGCAGAATTTGCGAGCACATCTCCTCGCGGATGCTCTGCAGAACGACACTCTGCTCCTCTTGGTCGCCCATGCCGTCGAGGTCGAGCACCTCGATCTGCACATCGGGCACTTCGGGCAGGACACGCTGCGTCAGAGTGTCCAGATCGAACACTACGCGCAGGGCATCGTGTCTCTGCACGAGGCTGCGCAGCGCAGTCTGGTAGCGCTCGACGCGCAGCGGGCCTGTAAGCTCGATCTCCTCGTAGATCTGCGATGCGGATCGTCAGGCACGTAGGTCCGGGAGCCAGGAGAGGACAGTAACGCACCTGGCAGCCAATGGGCGCCAGCCCGTCGACCGCGGCGGTGCGCCCGAAGAGATACGCCGACTGCATGTCCATGAGCGGGAAAGGCTCATAGCGCGCAGCCGGGTCCGGAACGATCGTCTTGGGCGCGTCGGCGTCCAGCGCAAGTGCGCCGCCAGCGGCGCAGTGCTTGCGAACATGCACAGCCAGACTCTGGGCGTCTTGCAGACTGCCGACGTCTGTGAGGCCGATGGAGATGCCGAGGCGCTGCTTGATGAGACTGCTTGCACGCATCAGCTGGATCGAGTCCAGCCCGCGCTGTGCCAGCGTCGCGCCTTCGCCTGGCGCTGCTGCCGCCAGCGTGGCACCGAGCACCTCGCTGATGATCTCTTCGATGTGCGCTGCAAGCTCGTCCGAGTGTTCCGTTTCCGCCAGCGCTGCCTGTACTTGAGAGCGCAGAATGTGCTTGCCCACGGGCGTCTCGAGGCTGTCCTCGCGCCAGAGGATCGGCAGATCCTTGCTTTGGCTGGCAAGCAGAGAAGCGCACAGGCGACGCTGCACCTTGCCCGACGTCGTCTTGCAGATGCTGCGAGGCGGAATGAAGACGATCGACGACAGTGGCACCTCGGTGGCGTCCCACACGCCACACGCGAGCTCCTCGGCAAGAGCGCGGCGTGCAGCGGCATCCGTCACGCGAACGTCTTTCGCGTCCCTGACCTCGGTCACGAGGATGATCTCCTGCCCTTCCGGATCCAGCGGCACGGCAAAGGCGGCCGCACAGCCGGGACGCAGAAGCTCGGGCGCCGCGTCCGCGACCTCGGCCTCGATGTCTGTCGGAAACTTGTTGACGCCGCCAAGGATGATCATGTCGCGCTCGCGGCTGGGCCATGTCGTATGGTCAGTATGCGCTTGTGTGAGGCGATGGCCGGACAACGCGGACGACTCACCCGCTGACGACCAGATGCAGGCGCTCGTCGCCGCCTCGAGGCACCAGGCGGCCCAGGTCACCGGTGCGCAGCCAGCGAATGGCGGGATCTGTGCCTTCCAGGCGCGCGTAGAAGGCAGTCTGACTCAGCTCTTGGCGGCCCCAGTAGCCGATCGCCAGACTCTGGCTCGTGACCCAGATCTCGCCCTCGCAGCCCGGCGGCACCTCCCTGCACGTCTGCAGGTCGACGATGCGGATGTCGGTGTCGCGGTGCTTGGCGGGGCCGAGCAGCACATAGCCCTCGGCACTGATGATGTCGCCGTCGATCTCCTTGGGGTAGTCGTTGCCCGTCACGTAGACGCAACTCTCTGCGAGGCCGAAACTTGGGCGGGCAGAGCTCGGCGAGAGGCCCATCGGCGCGTACAGCGCGAGGAACGCTCGCAGGGTGTCGGGCCGCACCGGCTCGGCGCCGTTGATCAGGATGCGCATGTACGACAGATCCAGCGGCCGTCCGTCGTACTTCTTGACTACGAGCGCGGTCGAGATGAGTGTCGGACGTGCGGTGCATGAGCGCAGCACTCACCTGCCAAGGCCCACGCGAAGTTCGGGCCCTGCGAGAAGCTGGCCTGGAACTTGGACATGCCCGTCATCCAGATCATCGGGTTCTTGATGAACTCAATCGGGCTCGCGTAGAAGCCCTGCGACGAGCCCCACAGCGCACAGAGGTACGAGCCCACGAGGCCCATGTCGTGCCCGGCCGGTAGCCTGGCGGTGCCTGCGTCAGCGGCGACGACGAGATGGTCCGAGCTGGCACGGCTCACCAGCTGAACACGCGGTCGCCCGGCACGTGCTTCGAGGCATAGCCGATGGCCTCGAGATTCGCACGCAGTGCCCGGTGGGTGACCATCACGCCTGGTCACACCGTCAGCACGAGCGTGGGAGGTGGCTGCGCTCATGGGCCACTCACCCTTTCCGCCGTCGCTCGTGCTGCCCGAGGTGTACTGGATGAAGGCCAGGTCATCGTCGGCCGGCCTGTGGAAGGCGCCGTAGTCGACGGGAAAGCCGTCGGGCTTGAGGCTGTCCGTCGTCTTCCACGTCAGCGGCGGCCACTCGACGGAGCGGCCGTTGCGTGCCACGAAGTTGCGCATGCGCGACAGGCCGCTCGAGACGAAGGCGGCGCGCCAGTACAGCACCGACGTCAGGCACATCTTGGCGCCGCTCTCCTTGGCGATGCGCGAGAAGGCCGGCAGGCGCGCCTGCAGCTTGGTCGGGTCGGGCGGGTACGCCGGCACGGCCACTGGCGGTACGTCAGCTGCGTAGCCTCTCGCGAGCCGGCTCGCACTGCCGCACTCACCTGCGCCCGCGAGAAAGCATCCGCAGAACGCCGGCCAGTAGTTGAGGCCGAACTCAAAGACGCAGAGCACGCGGTCGCCGGGCTGCACGCCGCACTCGTCGCGGAGCATGCGCGCCACACGCGACGCCTGCTCCCAGAGCTCGGCATACGTGAGCTGGCCGGGGGGCCGTCAGCGCTGAGCCACGGGCGGCTGCGGGCCAGTCTCGACACTCACCGAACGCGTCACCTGGAGGTCGTACTTGCCCTTCGGCTCCGTCCAGTTGAGCACCTTGTAGTCTGGACTAGTCTGTGCGCGCCAGCTAAGCACGGCGCCGAGGTGCGAGAGCTCGGCCGGCGGCATGAGCCGCTCGGCGAGCCAGCGGCGGTTGCGCTCCTCGTCAGACCAGCCCTCGCGCTCGTCGAGCGAGTGCTCGAGGGGCGTGCGAGGGTCATGCAGCGCGATCTCCATGGCGGACGTGCCGCTGTTGGATGGGTGTGTCTGTTGGTGAGCAGTGGAAGGCAAGCGGCGGGAGGCAGAGAGGTGGGTGAGGTGAGAGGGACAGACAGACGGCGCTGCTCTGCTCATGTAAGGCCCTCAGGGCTGCGGCTCTTGCGCCGCTTTCTTGCTCTCTGCGCCGGCATCTGCGAGTGAGCGCACGTCTTGTCCTCGCCGCCGGCTTCAGGAGTCAGTGTGGCTGCCTGCGCCGGCACCCCTGGCGCTGCACCTGGCACAACAGTGCTGCTGCCGCGCTGTGGGGCACCGTGCGCTGCTCTGCAAAACCTCACCGCCGTCGACGTGCCGCCATGACACCATGCGGCGCCCAGCTCGGCTCTCGCTCCCCGGCGGAGCCGCTCGATAGCGCCTTGCTTTGAGTGCGGCTATGGAGGGCGCAGTGAGTCGGTGGGGCTCGGGCGTCGCTTCGCGCAATGCGCTCGAGGCGTGCGCCTCTCGCAGCTTAGGGGCTCCGGTGCCGGCGGCAATCAGGGCCATCGAGTGCACTTGCAGTGCGACAGGGGCGCCCCTGAGCTGAAAGCGAGTGCCTCCTCGCCTCTGCGGCCAAGGCGAAGCGACGGCCGCCGAGGATGCACGCGCACAACAGCGACCCGGCCGGCGCTCTGCTAGCTGACCGGCACAGACGCGATTGGCACGCGTGTGGGTGCGAATGCGAGATTGTGGCTGCGGCTGAGCGCAAGGCCGCCATATTCCGCTTGGCTCGTTGTTGTGGTGTTGCGGTCAGGAGGCAGCGGCGGCGGCGGCAGGCGGCTCAGGGGTCGTGCCCGCTGCTGCTCTCCACGAGCGCGAGATCACGTGGCGCGCCGTCGGCCCGAGCCGGCCGCCGCGCCCGCCACGCCGAGCTTCCAGCCGCTGCGCCGCGCTTCCTCCACAGCGGCGCCGCTGACTGCAGCAGCCGCCGCACAGCTGCTTGCCTCCGCACCGCATCCATCTCACACACACAATGTCGCTGGCCCGGAACCCCGCACGCCAGCTGCTGGCACAGGCCTCGTCGTCGCTGCGTGCGCCGCGCAGCGCCGCGCGTGTCGCCGTCGCCGGCGCCCGCCTGCCGCGCGCCACCCGCCTCGTGGCGCCCATGTCGACCAGCGCGCCGCGCCGCCTCGCCGACGCCAAGGGCACGCCCGCCGAGGAGTCGGCCGAGAGCAAGGAGTCGGCGGTGGGCAAGGGCCTGGGCATCAAGGAGACGCCCGACGCCAAGGGCGCCGCCGCGGCGCCGGCGGAGCACGAGGCGAAGCTGAAGGAGAAGGACGCAAAGATCAAGGAGCTGCAGGTGAGTCGTGCAAGGGGCGAAGAGAGAGGCGCAGCGATGGCATCGTGGCGAAGTTCGAGCGGGCCAGTGCACGCTGCTGTCACTGCCGTGACGCAGAACGACTTTGGCACAGCCAGGCTCGGCAGCAGCGCGCCCTGCTCCCGAGGCACTTCTTCGCGCAGATGCTTGATCACTTGCTCAGCCAAGGTGCTGATTGCGCGACGTCGAGCATGTACATGAGCGCACGGACAGCGGAGCTTCTCCGCTCTGGACTCGCTGTGCGCAAGGCTGCAGCTGTGTAGTGATGCCACCAGGCCTGTGCCGGAGACTCGCGCGGCGTCGCCGTGCCTGCGAGCTTGTGCTGACCCCCAATCGCTGAGCAGGACCAGGTGCTGTACGCCAAGGCGGACCTGCAGAATATCCAGCGGCGCTCGAGCGAAGAGAAGACGCAGGCGTCGGACTTTGCCATCACCAAGTTTGCGCGCGACCTGACGGCGTCGCTGGACGTGCTGCAGCTGGCGCTCAAGAGCGTGCCCGAGGCGCTGCGCCAGGCGCCCAAGGAGCTGCCGTCGGAGGACCCGCGGCGCGCCGTGGCGGAGCTGTACGACGGCGTGGAGCTGACGAGCAAGAGCATCCGCGACATGCTCGCCCGCCACGGCGTCACGACGTACGACCCCACGGGCGAGAAGTTCGACCCGGTGCTGCACGAGGCGCTCTACCAGGCGCCCGTGCCGGGCAAGGAGCCGGGCAGCGTGCTCGAGTGTTCCAAGCTCGGCTTCATGATCAAGGGCCGCGTGCTGCGTGCGGCGCAGGTCGGCGTGGTGCAGGAGGCGTGAGGGGCGCCAGGGCCGGACACGACGGGTAGAGCCGTGGCGAGCGCAGCATGGCTGGCGGCCACGGCAGACGGGGCATCAGCACATGCCGTTGTAGCATTCGAGTCACCGCAGCAGGGCTCAATCCACCACCCCTCTTTTCGATGCATCTGCTGATGCGATCTGAGTGCGCCGGAAGGGCAGGCGCCACTGCCTGAGAGCGGGCTGGAGGGGTTGCGTCTGATGGTGAGCCGAGCGCTCGCAGCAGACGCAGCCGCAAAGCAGCAGCAGCAGCATGTGCTCCTCCGAGCGAGCAGTCTCGGGGTGCACGCTCATCCTCGAAGCAAGTCTGGCGGCCTACGCTGGTGCTGCTGTGCCTGTGCTGACGCTTGAGGGTGGACCTGCTGCACCTGTCGCTGTGTGTTCCCACGGCGACGCCTCCGATGCGCCCGACCTCTGCTTTTTTGAGTTGCCCGCAGGCACGCGCAGATTTCTGCGCGCGGCGGCAAGGAAAGTGCAGGCTGGAAGATGAGGCAGGGGAGCAGCGTGCGCCGCACCCCGGTGCGACTCCCGCAAGCGGCGCGCGCCGTCTTCTTGTGCGCGCGAGTTCTGCTGCGCCGCGCGCGCTCTGCCGGGCGCTGCTGCTGCAGCGTGTTGTCACTGGCGCGCCCCTCCTGCCTGCCGTCTCTCCACCACCACGTCCCCCCCTTTCCCTCAAAACCCCGTCCTCGCAGGCCCTCGCCGCGAGCTCCATAAGCCTCACAAGCACAAAAAACAAGGTGCGTGCCACTGCGGCGCCGTGTGCGCGCGGGCGAGGCGGAGGCGAAGGCGCAGCAGGGTCGTGGTGCCGCGAGGGCAGGGCGACGACGACGGGCGTGCCGCAGCGACGGCGCCGGGCACTCGCTCCATCCATGTGCTGGCCGTGGCGCTGACCCGCCGTGCCCCTGCGCGCAGCCAGAAAAAAGTTCAAAATCGCAAAAAGCCAAAGGGATCGCCGCGATCCATAAAAGCTCTCTCTAGCTCCATCACTTCGTGAGTTGTGCCCTGCCGACTGCTGCGTCGCTGCGGCCATTGCGGCGCGCTACGCTTGGTGCGGTGCTCACACTCCTGCGCATCCAGACGACAAACCTCTCTTCCCTTTTCCTCTATCCCCCTCCCCTCTTCCTCCACCATGTCTGCCACCAACTCTCCCGCCGCTGCGGCCACGGAGCTGCCCAAGCCTGCCGAGCAGCCGGCTGCCGGCGAGGCTGCCGCTCCGGCTGCCGCTGCTGAGGCCGCGCCCGCCGCCGAGGGCGAGAGCAAGGGCGAGGCGACCGGCTCGCCCGCCCCCGCGGCCGCTGCTGCGCCGCGCGAGCAGAGCAGCGCCAACAGCAACAGCAACAACGGCCAGCAGCCCAACACGTCGCTGTACGTCGGCGAGCTCGACCCCTCCGTCACCGAGGCGATGCTCTTCGAGATCTTCAACATGATCGGCCCCGTCGCCTCGATCCGGGTGTGCCGTGACGCCGTGACGCGCCGCTCGCTCGGCTACGCCTACGTCAACTTTGTCAACTCGGCTGACGGTGAGTCGCGCCGAGAAGCAGTGCGCGCCATTGCGGCAGCGGCTGACCCTCATCTGCAGGCGAGCGTGCCCTCGAGGCGCTCAACTACTCGCTCATCCGCAATCGTCCGTGCCGCATCATGTGGTCGCAGCGCGATCCCGCGCTGCGCCGCACCGGCCAGGGCAACATCTTCATCAAGAACCTCGACGAGGCGATTGACAACAAGGCGCTGCACGACACCTTTGCCGCCTTCGGCCACATTCTCTCGTGCAAGGTGGCCATCGGCGAGAGCGGCAGCCTCGGCTACGGCTTTGTGCACTACGAGACCAACGAGGCCGCCGACGCCGCCATCAAGCACGTCAACGGCATGCTGCTCAACGACAAGAAGGTCTTCGTCGGCCACCACGTGCCCAAGAAGGAGCGCCAGCAGAAGATCGAGGAGGCCAAGGCGCGCTTCACCAACGTGTACGCCAAGAACGTCGACCCCGAGGTGACGCAGGAGCAGTTCGAGGAGCTCTTCTCCAAGTTCGGCCCCGTCACGTCGTGCGCGCTCTCGTTCGACGACGAGGGCAAGAGCCGCGGCTTCGGCTTCGTCAATTACGAGAACCACGACGAGGCGGCCAAGGCCGTCGACGAGCTGCACGACAGCGAGTTCCACGGCCAGAAGCTCTTCGTCGCGCGCGCGCAGAAGAAGAGCGAGCGCGAGGAGGAGCTGCGCCGCTCGTACGAGGCGGCCAAGAACGAGAAGCTCTCCAAGTTCCAGGGCGTCAACCTGTACCTCAAGAACATCCCCGAGGACTTCGACGACGAGCGCCTGCGCGAGGAGTTTGCCGCCTTCGGCAACATCACCTCGTGCAAGATCATGCGCGCCCAGTCGGGCGTGTCGCGCGGCTTCGGCTTCGTGTGCTACTCGGCGCCCGACGAGGCAAACAAGGCCGTGACGGAGATGAACGGCAAGATGCTCGACAACAAGCCGCTCTACGTCGCGCTCGCGCAGCGCAAGGACGTGCGCCGCCAGCAGCTCGAGGCGCAGATCATGCAGCGCAACCAGCTGCGCCTGCAGCAGCAGGCCGCCGCCGTCGGTGCCATGCCCGGCTACCCCGGCCAGCCCATGTACGGCTACCCGCAGCCGGGCTTCCCGGGCCAGCCTGGCCCGGCCGGCATGGCGCCGCGCCGCTACGCGCCCGCCGGCATGATGCCGCAGGGCATGCCCATGGCTGCGCCCTACGGCCAGCCGCCGGCGCAGTTCCCGGGCCAGATGATGGGTGCGCCGCAGCCCTACCGCGGCGCACCGCGCCCGCCGCGCGGAGCCCCCGGCGTCGGTGTGCCTGCGGGCGTGCCGCCGCCGGCCGGTGCCCGCCCGCCGGCGCCCATGGGTGCGCCCAACGGTGCGCCGCGTCCCGGCCAGGCGGGCCCGCCCGGCGGAGCCCCCTCGCCCGGCCGTGGCCTGCCCAGCGGCGCGCCCGGTGCGCGTGCGCCGGCCGGCCGTGCGCCCGTCTCGCCGCAGCCGCAGCCGGCCCTCACGGCCGCTGCGCTCGCCAACGCCGGCCCCGAGGAGCAGAAGCAGATGCTCGGCGAGGCCATCTACCCCAAGATTGCCGCGCAGCACGCCGACCTTGCCGGCAAGCTCACGGGCATGATCCTCGAGCTGCCCATCTCCGAGCTGCTGCACCTGCTCGAGGACCAGACGGCCCTCGAGGCCAAGGTCAGCGAGGCGCTCGACGTGCTCCGCGAGTTCGAGGCTGGCGGCGAGCAGCAGTAAGGAGCGGCCGCTCCTCTCTTCCTTTTCCTTTCCTTCCTTTCCTCTTCACTTGTAATTTCTACCCCAAAAGAGAGTTGAAACGATAGCTCGGATGACCTCAGCATCTCTAGTAGCCCTGCTCTACGTCGACCACACCCTCGAACTCGCCGTCGCCGCGCGAGAGGGCCAGGGCGTTGCGCTTGAAGCGCTGCGCCAGCAACGGCGCCACCATCTCGGGCGTGTCGGCGGTGTGGGGCGCTGCAAAGGGCAAATTAGCGGAGCGCAGACATGCGGCGGAGCACAGCACAGCACAGCGGCTCACTGATGATGAGGTTGGCACGTCCAGCGCCGCCGCCCGGACCATGCGAGCTGACGTCCGGGTGGCTGCTCTCCAGCGTCCACAGCTCGTGCCCCTCGGGCAGCGGCTCCGGGTCCGTCACGTCGATGCCTGCGCCGGCGATGCGCCCCTCGCGCAGCGCCTCGACGAGCGCCGGCGTCACGACGTGCTCGCCGCGGGCGACGTTGACGAGGATGGAGCTCGGCTTCATGAGCGCCAGCTCGGGCGCGCCGATGACGTGCTTCGTCAGCGGCGTCAGGGCACACGCAATGATGAGCACGTCCGTCTCGGGCAGGATCGACTTGAGGTCGGCCAGCGCGCCGACGCTCACGTCGAGGCCCGCCGGCACGAGGCTGGCCTCGAGGCCCTCGTCGGCCCGCCGCCGCAGCACGGTGACGCGGTTCTTGAAGGGCGCGAGGAGCGAGAGGAGCGATAGCGTGATGCCGCCGGCGCCGAGCACCGTCACGCGCAGGCCGAAGAGCGAGAGGCCAGTGCTGTGCAGAGCTCGTCTCAGCGGTTTACGCGGCAAGAGCGGCAAGTGTGCCACTCACGCTGGCCCCCAGCTCGTGGCACGGATGCGCGTGGGCAGGTTGCGCAGCAGCGCAAGGGCCAAGGCGAGCGCATGCTCGGCGACGGGCTGAGCGTAGGCTCCCTGAGGCGTGCAGCTGTCAGCGACGCACATCTCCCTGACGTGCGACACAACACGCACCTTTGCGCTCGTCCAGATCTTACCGGGGAAGCGACGCATGACGGGACCATAGTGCCCGCAGCCGGCCATCGGCACGCCGACCCAGCCGATGCCCGGGAAGCGTGTCAGCGCATCCTCGAGGATGTCGAGGTGCTTGACGCCCGTGTCGAGCCAGAGGATGCCGCGCACGTCGTTGTTGAGCTGCGCCTCTCCGACGAGCACGCTGGCGCCCGTGGCGCCCTCGACGTCGGCGGCCAGCTGGCGCGTCGTCTCGCGCCGCGCCTCGGCGTCGCACACGGCCGACGGCATGACGACGAGCGGCGCCTGGCCCGACGCCGCCGGCGTGAGCTCGGGCGGCACGCGCGACGAGGGCGCGAGCACGGCAGTGTGCTGGGACATGGTTGCGGCGCGAAGCAGAGGGTATGTGTACAGGTGATGAGGAGCGGAAGGAAGCGACGAGCCTAGCACAGAAGAAGAAGGGGATGCGCGCACGAGCCAGTGACTCGCGCGGCGGAATTCGCGGAGCTACTCCGCCCTCGACTCGAAGTCCCTTGCGCGTGGATGCTGCGGCATGGCGTCGGGCTTGCGACGGGCGACTCAGCAATGTCTGGAGCGGCAAGGCCGACACATGTGCACTACTCTCGAGGCCCCTCATACCAAGTGGCACCGCCTCGCTCGCAGCGCCGCACGCCCTCGTACTTGAGGCCGGCAACGAGCTGCATGGCCGTGGCCTCGAGCTTCTCGCTGCGCTCGCGCTCGAGCGTCACGACGGTGCGCTTCGAGAGACGCGGCGGCGCATCGCCGGGCGGCGCACGTCCAAAGGCAAACGGCAGCCGCAGCGCGACGCTGTTGAGGCCAAAGCCGACGCTGACGTCCTCGGCGCGGATCTGGTGCGGCATCATGCGGCGCGGCTTCTCGGACGACTGCAGCTGCGCACGCGAGAGGATGAGGTCGGCGCGTGTGCCGTAGGCCAGGACGAGGTCCTCGAGGCGCGCCTGCGGCTGATGCAGCGCAAAGAGGTCGACGACGCCGTACGTGTCGAGCATCAGGTCCGACTCGACCTCGTCGACCTCGGACACGACCTGCCCGGCAATGAAGAGGTCCAGCACGCGCGTCTCGCGCCTCGCCTGCGAGTCGAGCAGCGCAGAGGACGAGGGCAGCGGGTAGTGCGCCGTGTGCGACGAAGACGGCGCGGCGCCCGAGGGGTACGGATCAGAGGTGAAGGGCGAGCGCACCTTGCGCAGGTAGGCGAGCAGATAGCGCGAGCGCAGCATGTGCATCGACACTGCGCCGGCGTGTGTCAGTGCATGCGGCGAGCGAGGCGGTGCAGGCAGCACGCACCGAGGTACAGCTCCTTGCAGACGAAGCGCACGGAGCGGTGCAGCGCCGCCCAGCCGGCGACGCTCTGGCGGCGCCCGGCGCGCGGCTCGACGACGTGAGCGAGGATGGCGAGCCAGAGCTGCGTCGGCAGGCGGCCGGGCGCCGAGGCCAGCAGCAGCGTCGAGGCGCTGCTGCCGGCGCCGCTGTACGCCGGCGGTGCGGCGGCGAGCACCTCTTCGAGGAGCGTCATGAGATGGCGGCGGGCGGTCGTGGCCGGGAGCGAGGCGGGCAGCGAGGGTGCGGCGCCGGATGCCAAGCGCTCCTCGCCGGAGTGCCGTGCCGCGCGGCCTTCGCCTCTGGAGGTGGGTCGGGTGGAGGCAGCGAGGCAGCGCGCCTGCTCCGCGTGGGAACGGCGGCGCTGTGCCGCGGGCGCATTTCCGCGCTGCGCCTTCGATTTGGCGCCAAAGGCAGCGGATTAAGAATTTGTGCCTCTTTCTCGAGCCGCCCGCTGCGGCTGCGTCTCAGCTCTGCACAACCATCATCATCAAAAGCAAGGCCGGCTCGTCGCGATGGCCGCCTCCACGACCAGCGCCGCGGCGCAGACGCCGCACCACCTCGTCGTCGGCGCCGGCGTCTTTGGCGTCTCGACGGCGCTGCACCTGCTCGCGCGCGGACATGCCGTGACGCTCCTCGAGCGCTCGCCCGACGGCCGGGCTGCCGTCGACGCTGCGTCCAACGATGTGAACAAGATCATCAGGGCCGACTACCAGGACAAGCACTACGCCGCGCTGGCGAAGCGGGCCATCTCGGCATGGCGCACCTCGCCGCTCTATGCGCCCTTCTACCACGAGGTCGGCCTGCTGCTGCACTCGGGCCCGCGCCCGCCCAAGGACGGCCGCGCGTACGTGCAGAACGGCATCGCCCGAGCGCACGCCGAGGTGCTCGAGTCCGACGGCGCCGGCGTGCCCTTTGTCGAGACGCCGGCTCCGGGCTGCGAGCTGCCGCCCAAGGCGCGCCAACTCAAGTCGGACGCGGACACCGATGCATGCTTTCCTCCAAGCCTGCGCGACCAGCTGGGTGCGGCACTGCGAGACATGGGCGGCTCTCAGAGCGCCTACGTCAACCCTCGTGCAGGCTGGGCCGAGGCCGGAAACGCGACGCATGCTGCGCTTCGCGAAGCCGTCCGCCTCGGCGCCCGCGTCGAGGGCAGCGCAGTCGTCACGAGCCTGCTGCGCGAGGGCGGCATCGTCGTCGGCGTACGAGCGGAGGATGGACGGGAGTGGCGCACGCAGCAGGGCGGCAAGGTCGTCATCTGTGCAGGTGCCTGGGCACACGATCTGCTGCGCCGCCTGGGCGCACCTGCACCGCACCCCTGCACGCCTTCGGCGCAGAGCGTCATCCTTCTGCAGCTGGACGACGAGCAGCGTGCCGCCTTCCGCAGCGCACCCGTCGTGCTGAACTTCTCGACTGGCTTCTACATCTTCGAGCCAGACGAGCACGGCGTGCTCAAGTGCGCGATCCATGGGGTGGGTGCTGCTCACTAGCGCTGATGACAGAGCCAGCTGAACCGTTCTCATGCAGTCTGGCTGGCCGCTCCCTCGTCCTCCATTGCACGCCGCCTCCTCTTATCCCGGCTTCACATCGAGCGCGGAGCCTGGAAGCATGCCTGCAGATCAGATCGAGCGCATGCTCGAAGCACTGTACGACGTGAGTCTGGAGCTGCGGCGGTTCACGACACGCACTGATTCTGCTCCAGGTCTATCCGAGCTTGCGCAGCGCAGAGCTGATCGGCTCGCGTGTCTGCTGGTACTCCGACACGCTCGATGAGAACTGGCTCATCGACGAGCTCGAGGGCACGCAAGGACGTGTAATCGTGGCTGGCGGCGACAGCGGGCACGGCTTCAAGGTGTGTGGCTTGACGCAAGCTGTCAGCCATGGCGCTGACGAAACGTCAGTTCCTGCCAACCATCGGCGAGCTCATCTGCGCTCGCATGGGCATTGCCGATGTTCCCCCGCTCACGCCGCACCAGGCGCGGGTGTTCAGCGCCAGCCACCATGCTGCGCTGCGCGCCGACGCCAAGGCCGCCGATGCCGAGCGCTTCTCGGACAGCATGCGCGGGCGCCTGTGAGTGATACACTATAAAAATACATTAAGCGGACGCCTCGCGACGGCCAGCCTCGGCGGCGGCCACACTTGCGAACGTGAGCGGTGCGGGCGAGGCGCTGTGCGCTCCGCCTTGCTCGCTGCCCGGTGCCGAGTGGACCTGCAGCGCTGGCGGCGTGCCGCGCGAGAAGCTGCCCATGGCTCGCGGACTCGATGTGCCCGTGCCCACCGCAGGCAGTGCGTTCGGACTCGTGGGACTGACGGGCGCCGAGCCGATGGGGCTCGTGGTGCCGTCGCGCGCCTTGCGCGCCGCTGCGGCCAGGTCCATGCCCAGCGGGATGGACGCTCGCGTACGCAGCGGAGACGAGGTGCCTGCTGCGCTCGGATTTGCGCCGCCCCAGATCTCGGCGCCGCGCTCGAGCGGCAGGCCCACCGTCGCGGCCCAGGGCGAGGAGTTGCCCGAGGGCGGGCCGGTGGCAGTCCAGCCGAATGCCTGCCCCGAGCCCGGCGCGCCCGGACCGAAGGAGTCGAAGTTGTCCAAGTCGATCGGGCCGAAGGAGCCTCGGCGTGACGAGTTCACGTCAAAGTTGACACCGGGCGCAAAGGGAAGCCCTGGCGGAGCAGAGCCCGGCGACGGCCCCTGCTTGATCACTGGAGATCGATTCATCGTGCTCGGCGAGATGCCAGCAGGGGCCGCGGCGCCATGCACCGAGTGTGTCAGGAGCGAGAGCGTCGGGTGCGGTGCGCCGTCACCGATGGCGCCTCGGGGAGCGAAGCGGCTCGCAGTGGTCGGTGACGCCGGAGCAGCGTAGCCAGCGTTGACCTGCGCCGCTCGGAACGCGCTGCTTGATGGACTGCTGGCCGAAAGAGGCGCTGGAGAGACGCGTGCTTTTGAGACGACAGGCGAAGCCGTGCTGCCGCCGAGCGAAGGCACAAACTCTGGCTTGTTGGGGTCCAGCGCCATGTTGCCTGGTGATGGAGCGAAGCTATGAGGCGAGTGCGGAAAGGCGCCGTGTCCTGGTGGCGGGAAGGCATCAGGCGACAGGCCAGGCGATCCGCCCGGCGCTCCTGCGCTCTGAAGAACTGGAGACGGGCCGAAACCTGCGAAGCCGCCCGAGTTGTCGGCGAGCAGAGGCGATGCGCCGCCCGGCCGGCCGCCGCGACGCTGCTGCGCGAACACATTCGGCCCACTCGTCGAGCGGCCAGGCGGGCCGCGGCTCGAGCCTGCGCCGCGTGCGCCGCCAGCTGCGCCGCTTCGAGCGCGCGGTAGCGCCTGCGTAGGCACGAAGCTTGCCGCTGTTGGCACTGGACGCATGTGCGAAGGGTGGTACGATCCGCCTGGCGGCGGCGGCGGCGCATTGAGGACTCGGTCCATCTCGTTGCGCAGCCGAGCGATCTCCGCTTCGAGCTCGACACGCCGCTCGTTGTCCAGCCTGTTGCGCTCCGTCTCCTTCTGCTCGACGGCGCGTGCAGCAAGCGCCAGCTCGCGCTCGCGCTCGCCCACCTCTTCCTCGATCTTGCTGATCTCCTGGCGATCCCGCTCCTCACTGGCCTCGACAGTGGAGCGCACCTCGGCGAGCTCCGCGTCGCGCACTCGCTCCTTCTCCTCCCAGTCCGGCCTCTCGCCCTCGGCCGCGACTGCCTCCTCGTCGAGCTCGCGAGCCTGCACCGTAGCTTGCCGAATGCTCTCCTGCAGAGCCAAGACCTTCTGCTTGCTGCGATGGTCGGGGCCAGCCATTCGCTCCATGCCACGCTTGATCGCCTCGATCTCGGCGCGCATGGCGCCTTCTGCGCGCTGTGCATCTTTGCGTGCCTTGCGCAGCTCCGATGCCAGCGCCTCGCGCTCAGCTGACGACGTCTCAATGTCGGAGAGCAGCGCTGCATGTGCGGCCTCGTGGGCCTGAGGTGCAACGTCTGCTGCGCCATTGGGCACGATGAGCTTCAGCCGCTGCGGCGATGACGTCGAGGCAGACAGAGGAGTGACAGGCACGACGTGTGCCTCGGACACGAGTGCCGAGTCGCTCGAGCCTGTCAGCTCATGCAGCGAGGCGGAGGCAGAGATGTCTGCGATAGCTGCAAGATATGAGCAGCTGGCGGCACTGACTCCGCCCGTGCTATGCTCACCTCGCTCGCCATCGACAACCTGTCCCACAGACACCTTTGCATCGCGGCCGCCGACACTCAGCTCCATCTCGTAGTGCTGATTCGGCATCAGGCCGTAGACGACAATGACCGCCTCGTCGCTGCCGCGGTCGCCCATCACCACCTGCGGCCACGGCAGGCCGTTGACGGTGACACTGACACCGCTCTCGAAGATCTTGCTGAGACGTGCGCCGTGTCCGGGATGTGCGGCGGAGCCCTCCTCGGGGCCGCCGGCCGTGTCGGACGTCTCCGAGTCGCTGTCTCCGCCAGCGTGCGGCGGAGCTGTGCGAGAAGCGTGGCCCTCGAGCGATGCCTCGTCGAATGCTTCGGCCTCAGCTTCGGCACTGTCTGAGCCCTCTTCGACGGCAGTAGCGCCGTCTTCGTCCCAGTCGTCGTGGCGGTTGGGCTGCGTCTGCGGCTGCGACGAGCGTGCAGCGGCACGAGCATGGGCGCGGCGACGCATGCCGGCCGGCAGCGAGGCCGGCGCAGCGAACGACGGGCGCGGCACGGGCGGGTACGCGCCGTGCAGCGCCGAGATGGGCGGCGGGCGTAGCGACCAGAGCAGCGAGATGGACACGGGCGTCACATCCTGCACGTGCAGGCGGAAGGGGTGGTGCGCTGCGAGGCGGTGCGCAGACGACGAGGCCGCGGCGGAGGAGGAGGAGGAGGCGTGCGGCGGCGCCGCGGTGCCGAGTGCAGCCGCGCCCGCCGAAGCCAAGGACGAGGCGGCTGCGGCGACCGAGGGCATGGCGTGCGATGCAGGCGTGCGGGGCGGAAGGTGTGGAGCGAAGGTGGGCTCGCGAAGACGGACCCGGCTGCGGTGCGGACAGCAGCAGCACCAGACAGAGAGTCGGCCGGCTGGCTGCCCGAACTTCGCGGCTGGCGCCTCGCAGCGGAATACAACGGGCGCGCCCGACGCATTTCTGCTGAAGGGCGTGCGCATTAGAACGCGCCGCGGAAGTTGTAATGTTGCGCTGCATGTGATCGGCGCCTGCCTCTGGGCTGCCCTGCTGCTGGCCTGCGCGCGCCGCTCAAGTCAGGCTCGCATGCCGCACGGCCCGCCGTCGTGTGCTTCGCAGTTGCGCGTCGGCCCCGAGACGCTCTTCCTCACCTCTTGCACCCTGACCCCTGCGCACTCGTCGGTCAGCACCTGCGCCAGCTGCACGCCTCTGTCCGCCGCCGCACGCCCTCTGCCGTTCCTGTCGCGCCGCCTGCTGCACCTGCGCTGCGCCTCGCCCCGCCCCGCCCGCCACGATGCCGCGCGAAGGCGCCGAGCAGACCATCAACGTGCCCTCCGATGACCCGGCGCGCAAGCCGGACAAGGAGGGCGAGCAGCACGAGCCGCGCGACGCCGCCGCCGACGACAAGCAGGCCGGCGCCGCCGACAAGAAGCAGGCCAAGAAGGAGGACGAGCTGAGCGAGGAGGATGTGCAGCTCAAGAACGAGCTCGAGATGCTCGTCGAGCGCCTCAAGGTGAGTGCCTGGCCTGCTGGCAAGTGATCTCGGGCGGCAGGAGCATGGCTGTGCGGTATGGGCAGCGCTGGTCGGCACTGCGACGCTGCGCATGTCTCCGCCACGCCTCTGTCGCGCTCAGCTCGCGCCGTGGCCGCAGAGGCAGCCTTCGCTGACGCCTGCCGCTGCCTGCAGGAGGACGACAAGTCATTGCATCGTCCGGCGCTCGAGTCGCTGCGCACGCTCATCCGCACCAGCACGTCGAGCATGACGTCGGTGCCGAAGCCACTCAAGTTCCTGCGCCCGCACTACCCTGCGCTGCGCGACATCTACGCCATCTGGAGCTCGTCGTCGGACAAGGCTCTCTTCGCCGAGATCCTCTCTGTGCTCGCCATGACGTACTCCGACACGGGCAAGCGTGAGACGCTTGCCTTCCGCCTCGCTGCCTCGAAGGTCGGCGAGGCAGAGGAGCCGGGGCTGTGGGGCCACGAGTACATGCGCCACCTCTCGTCCGAGCTCGGAGAGGAGTACACGTCGCGGCAGCTGGAAGATGACGATGCAGCGACGGAGGAGCGGGCAACGACGGAGGAACTGCTCGAGCTTGCCCTCAAGGTGGTGCCGTTCAGCCTCAAGCACAACGCAGAGGCCGATGCGGTCGACCTGCTGCTCGAGCTCGAGGCCATCGACCGGCTGCCGCAGTTCGTGGACAAGGACACGTACCAGCGGACATGTCTGTACATGGTCAGGTGAGTGCGCCAGGCCTGAGCGGCTGGCTGACAGGCACCGCATGCCCGCTGATGCTGACGCGTGCTGCGGCAGCTGCGTCAACCTGCTCGTGCCCCCGGATGACGTGCTCTTCCTGCGGACTGCGCACGAGATCTACCGCAAGCACGACCGGTATTCCGAGGCCATGACGATCGCGCTGCGTCTCGGCGACCGCGCCCTGATCCGTGCCGACTTCGAGGCGCCGACGAACCCGCTGATGCGCAAGCAGCTCGCCTTCATGCTGGCGCGCCAGCAGGTGCCGGTCGAGTGGCTGCAGGACGAGGACGAGCCGATGTCGGACTTCTCCCTCGTCGAGTGCATCTCGAATGCGCACCTCTCTGCGAACTTCATCTCGTTTGGCAAGGAGCTGAGCGTCGACGAGCCCAAGTCGCTGGAGGACATCTACAAGTCGCACCTCGAGAACTCGAGCAGCTCGCTGAGCACTGCCGTCAACTCTGCGCGTGGCAACCTTGCCTCGACGTTCGTGAATGCCTTTGTCAACGCCGGCTTCGGCAACGACAAGCTCATGGTCGGCGCCGAGGAGGGCAACAGCTGGATCTACAAGAACAAGGACCACGGCATGCTGAGCGCTTCGGCGAGTCTCGGCATGAGTCTGCTGTGGGACACCGAGGTGGGCCTGGGCCACATCGACAAGTACACGTACTCTGTCGATGAGAACATCAAGGTGAGTCGAGTGGGCTCGAGGCGTGTGCCCCTCGCTGACAGTCTCTTCAGGCCGGCGCACTGATGGCGTACGGCATTCTGCACTCTAGCGTGCGGACAGAGATGGACGCAGCCCTTGCGCTGCTCACCGAGCACGTCGAGAGCGAGAGCCTGGCGCTGAAGACGTCGGCCATTGTCGGCATCGGCATTGCGTACGCGGGCTCGTGCCGGGAAGACATTGTGCCTCTGCTGCTGCAGCACGTCGCAGACGAGAGCGCGCCGATGCAGGTGGCTGCGCTCTCGGCTCTCGCGCTCGGCCAAATCTTCGTCGGCTCTTCGCACGGCGAGATTGTGCCGACGATTCTGCAGACGATGATGGAGCGCGAGGCCACGCAGCTCGACGACAAGTGGGCGCGCTTCATGAGTCTCGGTCTGGCACTGCTCTTCCTCGGCCAGCAGGACTCGAGCGACGCGACGATCGAGACGCTCAGGGCCATCGAGCACCCCATCTCCAAGCAGAGTCAGGTGCTCGTCGACATGTGCAGCTACGCAGGCACTGGCAACGTGCTGAAGATCCAGCAGATGCTGCACGACTGCACGGAGCACCTCGGCGTCGACGCCAAGGATGCCGACGACGAGGCAGACGAGACGGACGCGGCTGCGGCGGACGCCGCCGCCGGCGCTGGCGAGGGCGCCAAGGAGGCTGCCGCTCCCACCGCAGAGGGCAGCAGTGACGACAAGGAGAAGGAGAAGGAGAAGCCGAACGACCTCTTCCAGGCCTTTGCGGTCATCGGCATTGCGATCGTGGCGATGGGCGAGGACGTCGGAGCCGAGATGGTGCTGCGGCACATGTCGCACCTCATGCACTACGGCGAGCCCGTCATCCGGCGCGCCGTGCCGCTGGCGCTCGGCCTGCTCAACCCGTCGACGCCAGAGATGGCGCTGCTCGACACGCTCTCCAAGTACTCGCACGACAACGACCTCGACGTCGCCATCAACTCCATCCTCGCCATGGGCCTCGTCGGCGCCGGCACGAATAACGCACGTCTCGCGCAGATGCTGCGCCAGCTGGCCGGCTACTACCACAAGGAGCCCGACAGCCTGTTCATGGTGCGCGTCGCGCAGGGCCTCGTGCACATGGGCAAGGGTACCATCGGCCTCAACCCGTACCACACCGACCGCCAGCTCATGAGCCGCACGGCCGTGTGTGGTCTGCTCTCGACACTCGTGTCATTCACCGACGTGCGCGGCTGTGAGTGTGGCGCGTACAGAGCTGCATGCGCGCTTCTGACTTCTCGTGCTCCACAGTTGTGCTGGACAAGTCGCACTGGATGCTGTACTGGCTCGTCTCGGCCATGTACCCGCGCTTCCTCATCACGCTCGACGCCGAGCTCAAGCCGCTGCCCGTCTCGGTCCGCGTCGGCAAGGCCGTCGACGTCGTGGGCCAGGCCGGCAAGCCGCGCGGCATCTCAGGCTTCCAGGTGAGCAGTGCGCATCGGCAAGAGGCGCGTGCCGTGCTGACTCTTGCGCACAGACACACACCACACCCGTGCGCATGGGCGTCGGCGAGCGTGCCGAGCTCGCCACGCAGGAGTACTTCACGCTTGGGCTGCTGGAGGGTGAGTGCGACTGGCGTGCTAGCAGCGAGAGCTTCTATTGACGCCGCATCGCAGGTGTCGCTGTGCTCGCGAAGAACGAAAACTACTCAGCGGACGACTGAGCGCGCGCAGGGAGATAGAAAGCGGCAGACGAAGCGCAATGATCACGTATTACTCGGTGCATCGCAGCTCATTGCGTTTGGAAGACGGTGGCGCTGCGCTCCGCCATGTCGGCCAGATACTCGCGCACCCACGCCTCGCGCTGATCTGGCACGTGCCTGAACGCCTCATAGCGAGCGTCGCCCTAGATCCTGTGTGTCAGCCTGAGTCGCACGGCGACCCTATCGAGCGCCACTCACGCGCAGCACACTGTGCACTTCGCCGAGATCCACGGCGCCAGCCATCTTCAGCAGGCTCGGCACATCCTCCTCGTCCGAGTCCGCAGCGGCCTCCGCACCGCCGTCTTCGTCCTCGCCCGCATCGCCGCGGCGCTTGCGCTCCTTGCGCAGCGAGCCCCAGAACGAGACGAACGACGACTCTGCGGGCAGTGAGCATCAGCCGAGTCGCAGCGCGGGACAGCCGTCGACCTTACCCTTGAGCATCGCAAAGAACGCATCACGCGCAGCGCGCACGCGCTCCTCATTCCACTCGTCGAACAAGCGCTCGAGCGTCGCGCCGCCTCGCTGGTCCTCCTCCTGGAGCCAGGCGCCCAGGCCGCGCTCCATCTCTTCGTCGTCACGCACGAGCGGCAGTGCCGTCTCTGCCGGCACGTCGAGCTGCGGCGCACAGCGCGCAAAGATGGCATGCAGCGCGGCACGGCGACGTGCATCGAGCTTGCGGATGTGCGCCGCAAAGAGCTCGGCTTGCTCGCGCTCGTGCAGTGCAGAGCGACCAAAGCGAGGGTCATTTGAGAATCGAGAGGCGAAAGAGCTAAACGACTGATGCGGGGAAAGAATTTGGTCGATGAGGAGCTGCCCAAACTGCACAACGCTGCCAAGGCGTCAGCGTAGGCGAGTTGCCTGTCGGCGCGAGCCTGGCTCACCTCTCCTCGTGCGTCGCAGCGCCGAGCGCACGCCGATTCTCGCCCTCGACCTTGTCTTTCTGCCTGCGCACTGCCTCCTCTCGCTCGCGCAGCGCCTGCTCGGCATCACGCGTCTTGTCTCGCGAGCCATTGGCCGTCTCCTTCTCCTGCGTCTGCACCGCGCCGCGCGGCTCGCCACGAGCCCACTTTGCAAAGAGCTCTGCGCGCCGACTTGAGCTGCCTACAGCCTCGTAGCGTGGATCGACGTCGAGGCCGGGCTCCCGCTTCGCCTTGCTCCAGGCGTCGTTGGCCTCGCTGCTCGTGGCTGCGCGCGTGAGACGTGCAGTGTGAGGCAGGCGCTCGTCGAGCAGACGAAGAAAGGCCACCTCTGCCTGCTCGGCCGCGGCGCGCTTTTCTGCGGGTCAGAGGCGCGATGTCAGTACGACGATGCGCCGCCTCACGCCACAGCGCTCACGCTCGCCGAGGTCCCGCAGCCACTTCTTGAACTCGCGCTCGCGCTCGCGATCGTCTCTGCCGTGCGCAAAGAAGGCGCGCTCCTTCTTGTGTGCCTTGCGGAAGTCGTCCCACTTCGCACGTGTCGAGGTCACCTCGCGCTGCAGCAGCGCACGGTAGGGCGCCAGCGTGTCCTTGGCCTCGTCAGCGGCTGGCGGCGGGGTGGACGAGGCAGCTGAGGCCTTTGCAGCTGGAGCAGGCGAGACGCCCGAGCCGCTGGCCTTTGCCATGCGCCGCTCACGCAGCCGAAGGCGGCACCATTCGTTGAAGGCATTCTGGCGCTCGCGCAGGTTCGGCACTGCCGCATACTCCGGCCGATTGACGAACTTGGGCAGCTCGCGATCCCACGGTGCCATCGGGTTCACCTCGTCGGGCGTGCCGTTAAGGGTCGTGAGCATACGCGAGAAGAGCGCCTTGCCCTCGTCGACCGAGAGCTGCGGCGGCGGCGCAGCCATCGCAGGCGGCGGATAGTTGGGGTACACAGACGGCGGCGGCCCGCTGTAGCCGCCAGAAGGAGCGATGGGCGGAGGCGGTCCGGAGTAGCCTCCTGCCGGCGGAGGCGCGGCGAGCGGCGGTGGTGGGCCGCTGTAGCCGCCTGGAGGTGGGACTGGCAGTGCAGCAGGCGGCGCACTCGCTGCCTCCTGAGCCGCTTCAGCGGCAGCCTCGGCCGCCATTTCGGCAGCCATCTCGCGCTGCCATGCTGCCTCGTCATCGTCGTCGTCGTCGTCCGCCTCCTCGACAGCTGCTGCCGTCTTTGGCCGCTTGCTGTCCGACGGCTCTGCAGAAGCTGCGCGTGACAGCAGGTCTGCCGCATCTACGCCACCCTCGACGGGCGCGGGCTCCTCATCGACGTCGAGCGCCTCGCCACGCTTGCGCTTGCCCTGCTCGCGCAGCTCACGTGCCCGCTCCTCCTCCTCCTTCTGCAGCCGCTGCCGCTCGGCGTCCCTCTCGAGCTGCTCGCGCCGCTCGCGTGCCTCTTGCTCGCGCCGCTGCTGCTCCTCGGCCGCCTGCGCCTCCTGCGCCAGACGCTGCTCCTCTGCCGCCTGTGCGCGCTGCGCCTGCTGCTCGCTGCGCTCCATCTCGCGCACCTGTGCGGCGATCTCGGGCGGCACGCTCCACTCGCTGCGCCCCTCGGCGGGCTGCGTGTAGAAGACGTTGTCGAGCGTCGTGGTGATGCGCAGCCAGCCGTCGGTGCCGGGCACGGGCTCCTTGCGGCGCGGCTTCTCCTTCTTTGCCTTGCCACCGGCCGGCTTGGCGGGTGCGGCCGCTGCCGCGCTGGAGCCGGCGGCCGGCGCAGCAGACATGGCCGGAGGCGGCGGGCCGGGCGGCGCGGCGCCGGGCACTGCCGAGGGGCGCACGTACGTCGACTGGGCGCTGGCGGCGTGGTGCCAGTAGGGCACGCCGGAGGGCGCCACGTGCTCGCTCCAGCCCGGCGGCAGGGGCGCGGTCATGCTGAGGATGGGATGGGGGTGCGGCAGGCAGCAGCAGCAGCATCAGGCGCGCGAGGAGCTTCGTGCGCGCTGCACGACGCGGCGCCTTCGCCGAGATCCGACGCCGCTTCCGCATCTGCCTCGCCGCCGCCGCGTCCATCGCCTCGTCGCTGCCGGCCCGCCGGCCGCCAGCGCCACTCGGTCTGGCGCGCCTACAACGGCGCCGAGCCGCAGAGCAGCGGATGCTGCATATTATGGCGGCATCCCCCGCCGTCTCGGGGCCGGCGTCGCGGCGCCAGCGGCCCGCGTAGGCGCTGTGCGGCGGCGGCGGCTGCGGCTGCGACCCGGCGGCGGCGCGTGGGAGCAGCGCCGCAGGAGGCGTGCCGCATGCGCTCCTCGTCGCACCGTCGCGGTTCGCGGGCCCGCCGCTGCTGGCTCGGCGCCGGCCCGCCGTGGCAGCGCCCGCCTGCGTGCTGCTGGGCTGACGCTGCCCCCGCTGCTCCCGACGTCATCCACCCGCACCACACCACACCACACCACTCCACACACACCCGCCTCGGCCGTCGTCAGCCACCTGTCCGCTCCGTCTGCCGCGCACTCGGCGTGCCTCCGACGCCCAGCATGGGCTTCCACGGCAAGGTGAGCGCAGCGGCGCCGAGGATGCCATCCGCTCAGCGAGGCCCCACGCTCACGCCGCCGCCGCCCGCAGCTGCTCGTCGCCGGCCTCGCCGTCGGCGTCACGGCGCTCATGCTGTACAAGATGAGCAAGAAGCGCGAGCAGGAGCAGCTCAAGCTGCATGCTGCCGCTGCGCCGCCGTCGCAGCAGCCGCACGGCACCAACTGGGGCGCCGTCGCCGGCGGCGCTGCGGCCCTCGGCGCCGTCGGCTACGGCGCGCACGCCCTCGCCTCGCACTCGACGGCGAAGCCATCCAGCAGCACCGGCGACGTGCCCTGGTCGGCGCTGCGCGACTGGCGGCACATCGCCGCGCTGCTCGCCTCGTGTGTCATCGACCAGCACCTGTACCCCTTCTACGCCTGGCACCAGATCGCCACCATGTCGCAGCAGATTGCCGAGGCGGGCGTGCTCTACTCGTGCGCCGAGGTGCGTTCGCGCTGACACGAAGCTTCTGCGCTGCCGCTCACTCGCCGCCACGCAGGCCTGGGAGCTGCCGCCCGTGCTCGCGCAGGATCTCGTCAAGCTCGCCCTCTTCGACGTGTGCTTTCTGCTCGACGACTCGGCATCCATGAACGCACGCGGCGAGAAGCGGCGCGAGGCCCTCGGCGCCATCGTACGTCGCGCTGCCGACGCTGCTGGTCGTCTCGATCCCGACGGCATGGAGGCTGCCTGGCTGTGTGCCAGCGGCGGCCACCGCATCCACAATGCGCAGGAAGCTCGTGCGCTCGTCGAGGCGTGCGCCTTCAACGGACAGAGCACGCCGATGGGCAGTGCACTGCAGCACAAAATTCTCGAGCCGCTGCTGTACGGCAAGCTGGCGAGCAACTCGCTGCGCAAGCCCATCCTCGCCATCGTCATCACCGACGGCCGCCCGACGGGCTCGAGCGAGCGCGACAATCTCATCGTCAAGGTCATCCAGGAGGCCAAGGCTCGTCTCGCCAGCAGCCCGTACGGCGAGGACGCCATGAGCATCCAGATCGCCGCCGTCGGCAACGACAAGGAGGCGCAGGACTGGCTCGACAGCATCGACTCGGACCCGCAGGTCGGCCAGCTCGTCGACGTCTGCTCCGACATCCGCGTCGAGGCGGCGCAGGTCAGGAAGCGCACGGGCATCGAGCTGACGGAGGACCTGCACTGTCTGAAGGTGCGTCGAGCGTGCTCTTCATCCCGAGCCTCGCTGAGACTCTTGCGCAGATCATGCTCGGCGCCATCGACTCGGCCTACGTGAGTCGGGCTCCATGCCGGCGATGTGTCTCGCTGAGCACCTCCTCTTCTGCAGGACGCTTCGGACGAGCCTGCGTCGCCCAAGTTCAGCCGACGCAAGGACGACAGCCTGCGCAAGGCTCAACGCTGGCAGCAGGCGCGCGCACAGCTCGAGCGCGAGCGCGACGCTGCGCTCGGCGCGCACGCCTCGGCGACGGCGCCCAGCATGGGTGGCGCCTTCCCTGCCCAGCAGCAGCAGCACTACCAGCAGCAGCCGTACCCGCCGCCGCAGGGCTATCCGCAGCAGCCAGGCTACCCTCAGCAGGGCGGCTATCCGCAGCAAGGGATGCAGCCCGGCTACGGCGCGCACGCCGGGCAGCAGCAGGGGTACGGCGCCGGCGCAGGCGGCGCGCCAGGCTACGGCGGCCCGCCTGCAGGCGCTCCGCCCGCGTACGACTTCGCCGCGCCAGCCTTCGCCGACGCTTCGCGCGCTGGGCCGCCGGGCGGCGGCGCCGGCGGCTTTGCGATGCCCACGCCGCAGCAGCACCCGCCGCCAGCGCCTCAGGGAGCGCCGTACCCGCCGGCGGGCGCCGGCTTTCCCTCGCCTGGCCAGTGGTGAGCACGAGCGAGAGCGCGCAGACAGGCAGAGGCGGGCGGGCGGATCGGGCGTGGGCAGCGGCGCGGCGTGCCGGCGAGCGCCGCGTCGCGTGCGCGGCGCCGGGACTCGGCACGCGACGCGTCTGCCTCCACTGCTCGCCGCCTCGCCTCTCCTCCCGCCCTCGCAGCGCCCTCCTCCACACGGGCAGCGCATGCGCCGGGCGCTCGAGTCAGCCGACAGCGGGACAGCGAGCTCGGCGAGAGGACGTCGCACTGGCGACGAGGGAGGCGCACTCGTGGGAAGGTTCGACTGCAGCTCGCATTCCACGCCCAACGGTCGAGCGAGCGCGCGCGCACGCAGCGCGGGCACCAGAGCACGGACTGCAGCGGCGGCGGGCACGAGAGCACGGCGCCGCGCTCGCACAGCTTGCGCTCGCGCTCGCCTCGAGGGCCCGACTCGTGGCTATAAGAAGAGGGCCTCCCCCCGGGCTCCTCTCGCCGCGCCCACTTTCTCTTCCACCACACACACTCGCGCCAGCTGCGAAGCATCCACTCGCTCCTGCCGCAAAACCAACCAATCACTCCAGCAGTCATGCTGCCCATCGTCGCCTTCCTCATTGGCTTCAACCTGCTCCTCGCGAGCATCGTGCAACCTGCCGCGCGCCCGGGCATCTGCCTGCGCGGCACGCTTGCGCTCGGCGTCACTGCGGCCGTCTACCTGGCGCAGACGCCTGACGCCGACGTCTTCGACACGTTCTAGTGAGTGGCATCGATCGCGACGTCGCAGCGCTGCGCCGAGCCGTGGATGCATCCGCTGCGGCGTCGAGAGATGGATGCATCCGCTGCGGCGCTGACTCCCTCTCCCCAGCTCTCGTGTGATGACGCCTGGCGACGTGTACGACACGTTTCACGCCGCATCGCTCCTTCAGCCGGCTTCTGCCGACGAAAAGGACGCCATCCACCACGCCACGGCGCAGTCTGCGTTCGTCGGCGACAACGAAGCGCACCAAGCGCACCAAGCGCACAACGCGCACGCGCACGCTGCAGCGCAGTCGTCTGCCTTCGTCGGCGGCGCCCAGGTGTACATCACGTACGCCACGCCGGCCCCTGCTCAGGCCTCTGCCTACGTCGGCAACGACAGCGGAGCGCACGCCATCCACCACGCCACGGCGCAGTCTGCGCTCGTCGGCGACGACGAAGCGCACCAAGCACATCAAGCGCACCAAGCGCACGCCGCAGCGCAGTCGTCTGCCTTCGTCGGCAGCAACAAAGAAGCGTGCCTTCTTCACGCCACGCATCCCGCCGTGACGCTTCTTCACGTCACGCACCACGCTACGATGCAGTCGTCTGCCTTTGTCGGCGACGACGAAGGAGAAGCGCGGCCTCTTCACGCCACGCACCACGCCGCGGCGTCTGCGTTCGTAGGCAACAAGCGAGCGCACAACGCGCACGCCACGCACCATCCCGCAGCGCTGTCGTCTGCCTTCGTCGGCGACGACGAAGCGCACGCCAAGCCTGCTGCTGCCTTCGTCGGCGACGACGAAGCGCACGCCAAGCCTGCTGCTGCCTTCGTCGGCGACGACGAAGTGCATGCCACACACGCCTCTGCCTTCGTTGGCAACGACGAAGTGCGTGCCTTCGCCTCTGCGTTTGTCCGCAACGACAGAGCGCATGCCACACACGCCATGCACGCTGCAACTGCGCATGCCGCGCACATCGCGCCGGCCTCTGCCTCCAGCGTCGGCAACAACGAGCCGCACGCCACGCACGTCATGCTGGCCCCTACCTTCGTTGCCGTCGCGCCAGCCACGCCGACTCTTGTAGCAGCCACGCTGGCGCCGACGGACCTCGGCACTGTTGCACCGGCTGCGTGAGTGAAGGCGTGCATGCGGCGTCGCGATGCTGACAATCCTTCCCCTCGCTAACCTCTGACCTCGCCCCTCGCCTTGCTCGTCCACCTGCTCTTCTCATCCTGCCCGTGCTGCGCTCTGTCGCCCTCCCTCCCTCCACTTCACCTCAACCTCTTCTCCTTCACCTCAACCTCTTCTCCTTCACCTCAACCTCTTCTGCGGCACGCGTGCTTCATCTACATCATTATACCTCGATCTCGCTGCGACTCTCCTGCCTCGTTCACTCCTCCTCGCCGCCGATAGATCGCCTCGCAGTGCCACACCTGTCACGCAGCCAAGCAATGACCGTGCACAGTCCTTCGCGTCAACGCTGCTGCTGCTGCAGCTGAGCGTCGCTGTCGTCGTCGGCGTGCTCATCGGCGCTGTGCTCACAAACGTGCGGAGCAAGCGAGCGCTCAAAGCTGAACAGCAGAAGCAGCTGAGCGTCGCTGTCGTCGTCGGCGTGCTCATCGGCGCTGTGCTCACAAACGTGCGGAGCGAGCGAGCGCTCAAAGCTGAACAGCAGAAGCGTGAGGGTCTCCTCCAAGCGCAGCTCTTGTCAAGCGAGGAGAAGCAGCGTCACGCTCTCCTTGCGGCGCATGCGGCGCACGCAGAGGAGAAGCAGGACTGGCGTGCAGAGATGAAGGACTTGCTCAAAGACAAGAAGAGATACGAGGCCTATGAGAAGGAGGCAGACCGGGTTGTCCAGCAGACAAGAAAGGATGCAAAGGCAAAGATTGCAAAGAGCGAGGCAGCAAGAAGAGCAGCTGCACAGGCTGATCAAGCCGATCTCGAATCCGAGAGGTTGCTGCATGCAGAGCAGCGCGAGGCCGTCTTCAAGCTGCTCGACGAGGCCAGGAGGGAGCGCAACTCTGCCCTGGAGAAGGCCAAGAAGCTGAAGGATGAGCTAGAGGCGAGAGACCAGGATGACTACAAGTAAGCAAGTGGGAAGCAGGGTGGCTGCAGTGTCGATCAGGCGGCGCGGCATGAGGGCCCTGCCCATAAGCCCTAGCCACGACCGGGAGTGTTTCCACTTCATATGCATCTGCCCTGCGACTCGCTTGCTCGCTTCGTCAAGCGGCTCTCTGCCCTGCACCTCCAGGCTCGGCTATCTCCAGGCTCGGCTATCCATCAGCCGAGGCAGCCCTCTTCGCTCGGCTCTCTGCCCTGCACCTTGCGCTATGTCTTGACCCACAGGGGGCAAGTTGAGTTGGGAGACAGACCCACAGGCTTTGAATCTCATCATTGCTGCGCACCCCACCATCTGACCCGTGTGAAGCGTGCTACTGACATGCGCCGCGTGCTCGAGCGTAGAGGAGCACGCGCAGGCGGCAGCGAGGGGGCCGTGCGAGGCAGCACCGTCAGCGCAGCGGTGCGAGGCCGAGCGATGAGGCCGTGTCGCGAGGGGCCCGTCGACGCGGCGGTGCGAGGCCGGGCGATGCGCTGAGGCGGCGTGATGTGGCCGTGCGAGGCAGCGCCGCGCACGCACGCAGACGCACGCGCGCGCCGTGCCGATGCGAAGAGGTGCGCTGGCAGAGAAGGCGGTGGCGGAAAGAGCGAGAGAGGGATGAAGTAGCGCGTAGCGCAGGCGGGCAGAGAGGCGAGACAGCCGAGGCGAGGGTGCGGCAGAGATGGTGGACGAGAAGGAGGCGCGGTGCAGCCCCACACGGCTCGCCGGCGAGCCGGAGAAGCGGCGCCGCGCACCGTCCCTAAGGCGGGCGCGCGCGCGCGCGCTCTGCTGACAAACGGGCGCGCGCAGCGGCGGCCAGCACGCCTTCGTGCCGTCCGTGCTCGCTGCGTCTTCCTGCCTCCCACCTCCATCCTCGCTCCCCACCCGCAGCACCGCCATGTCGCTGCTCCGTCCCCGTGCCTCTCTTGCGGCCGCCGTCCGCGCCGGCCTGCGCACTGCGCCGCCGGCTGCCGCGCGCCGCACGCTCAGCAGCGCCGCCGCCGCCGCCGCCGCTCCATCCTCCACCCCGGCCGCGCGCGCCTCGGCGCCGCCCGCCGCCCGCCCGCTCGCCACGCTCGCCTCGGCGCCGCGGCCGCCGACGGCCGTGCTGCTGATGAACATGGGCGGGCCGTCGACGCTCGACGAGGTCGGCGACTTCCTCTCGCGCCTCTTCCACGACCGCGAGCTCATCCAGCTGCCGTTCCAATCGCGCCTCGCGCCCCTCATCGCCGCGCGCCGCACGCCCAAGATCCAGAAGCAGTACGCCGCCATCGGCGGCGGCAGCCCCATTCTGCGCTGGACCCGCACGCAGGGCGCCGAGCTCGTGCGCCTGCTCGACGAGCTGCACCCCGCCACGGCGCCGCACAAGGCCTACGTCGCCTTCCGCTACGCGCGGCCGCTCACCGAGGAGGCGCTCGACGAGATGGCCGCCGACGGCGTCACGCAGGCCGTCGCCTTTACGCAGTACCCGCAGTACTCGTGCAGCACGACGGGCAGCAACCTCAACGAGCTCTACCGCCAGATCAAGAAGCGCAAGGAGGAGGGCATGCAGGGCGCCGACATCAAGTGGAGCGTCATTGACCGCTGGCCCACGCACGAGGGCCTCGTCGAGGTGAGTGCGGCGCGACGTGTGCTGCGCATGTGGCGCGGGCACAGCACTGACCGCACGTGGGGCAGGCCTTCACCGAGCGGCTGCGCGACGTGCTCAACACATATCCCGAGGACATCCGGCACACGGTGCCCATTCTCTTCTCGGCACACTCGCTGCCGATGCAGATTGTCTCGGGGCGTGGCGATCCCTACCCTGCCGAAGTGGCAGCGACGGTCGCCGCCGTCATGACGAAGCTGGGGTGGAGCAACCCGTACCGCGTGACGTGGCAGAGCCAGGTCGGCCCGAGCGCCTGGCTGGGCCCGCAGACCAGCGACTCGGTCAAGGGCTGGGCAAAGCAGGGTGAGCAGCACCAAGAGGGTCGCGCTCGTGCCTCGTTGCTGACGTCTCTGGCTATGCACAGGACACAAGCACGCCGTGGCTGTGCCGATTGCCTTCACGCAAGACCGTGCGTGCTTGGCCCGAAGCTGTGTTCCTCTCGCGAGCTGATGTCGAGCGCCACCGCAGACATCGAGACGCTGTACGAGCTTGACCAGGAGCTCGTCGAGGAAGCAGCCGAGGTGCGTTGCCATCTACCTCTTGCCCTGCGTTCGCGACACTGACGACGACGCTCGCAGCACGGCATGGAGCTGCGTCGCGCCGAGTCGCTCAACGACCAGCCGCTTTTCCTGCGCGCTCTCGGTATGTTCTCTTCTGCCTCCTCGTCCTTTCGGTCACTCCGCTGACGCTGCAGACTGTCGTAGCGGACATAGCCCAGCAGCACCTGCAGTCTCTCTCCACCTCCGCCGACGCCAACGGCGCACGCAACGCAGCCTATCCCTTCGCGCAGTGAGTAAGCGGTACGTCCTGCGCTCGGCGATGCAGGGTGCTGACCGCTTCGCGCTCCCTCTCGCGCCTCCGACAGAGGCAACTGCTCCACGCAAATGGGCCTGCGCTGCCCGGGCTGCGTGAACCCGGTCTGCGCACAGCAAAAGGCCTTCTTCAGACGCGGAGGCGGGCTCGCTGCGCTCGAGGCAGAGACGGCCTGAGGCACACGCACATCGGCAGAGGGACATTGTCATATGTGCTCGGCGTGCGCGACTTGTGTGTCTCGAAGACGTGCTCATGCGACGTAGCGGTACACGCCGCGTTCGCCGTCGACGCGCTGTGCGGGCAGGCATGTGCGTCAGCGCTGCGGCGGCGGCATGCAGTGCGGGCGCAGACACACCTCCATGTACTCGCGCTCGATGAGCGACGAGATGCGTGCCTGGCGTAGAAGGTGCGTCAGCAGCTCGCCGCCGCTGGCGTGTCGTGGAGGAATACCCACCTTGATCTCCTTGACATCCGGCGCGAAGCGGCTGAGCGATGCGAGCAGACGTCAGCGATGCCGCGTGTGGAGAGCGGCGCAGCGACTCAGCGCACTCTTTCGTCGCGCCGACGACGTCCTGCACGAGCAGGTTGTGCGGCAGCGTCTGCTTGGCCTTCATGATGCGCACCACCGCCGCGTCGAGGAGCATGTTGCGGTCGAACATGACGCGCTCGCGCGTCGACGTCTGCTCCTCGGCCTGTGCGGCACGAGCACTTCGCATCAGCGCGACTGGGCAACACGTCCGAACGAGACGAGGCGGCACGCACCGTCTCGGCCATCTGGATCTGGTTGATTCTGATGCGGCCGCGCTCGTTCTTGAGCGACGGATTGACGACGAACTCGTCGCTGTCGTTGACGTCTTTGCCCTGCGGCTCCTTGCGCAGAACGCGCGTGGGGATCTGGCCGCATGCCAGCGACTGTCCAGGTCGTGGCGATGTGTGAGCGCTGAATGCAGACGCAGGCCGAGGTGGCGTGGAAGAGCTGCTCACCTGCAGGGTCCGGCGCAACTCCTTCTCTTCCAGCCCGACCCGCTCCCGGATCTGTCCGAACGACAGGCGCTCCTCGTCGTTGAAGAGCAGCAGTACCAGTGCCTGGAAGAGCGAGACGTGCAGCTCCTTCTCGCCAGCACGAGGGAGCACCGCCTTCAGGCTGAGCGTGCCGAGAGAGTGCGCCCACGCCACTCGCCGGCCTGCGTTCCTTCCGGTGTAGAAGGTGCGGAAGCGCTCCAGCGACGCAGACATCTGCAGCTCTTGACGTCAACTTATGGCGTCGAAGGGACGAAGCGCGACAGACTCACGTCGGCGGGGAGACGCAGATCGACGGGCGGATACGTGGGCCACTGAGCGGCGGTGAGGACGTGCACCGAGAGCTCGAACTGCTCGCCTTCTCCCTGTCGCGTGGCCTTGTCTTGCACCAGCGCATAGGACTTCATGATGTCGTCCGAGACGCTCATGTCCTGCGAGCGCATCATCAGCAGGGCTTGCGTCGCCGTCACTGATGGCCAGAGACTGACCTTGAGCATCGTCTCGAGCTTGTCGGTGAACGCGGCGCCGCACTCGCGCTTCAGCTTGAGGAGCATGCTCAGCTCAGCATCGGACGAGGCAGAGCGATTGAGCAGCAGACGCTTGGCGAAGAGTCGCTTGTAGAACTCTTCGAACATGTCCTTGTCTGTCGCTTACAGATTAGCCGGTGCAGATAGCATCAAGGAGATGATGGCGTGCGCACCGTGCGTATAGCGGAACAGTTCCAGTGCCTCATCGAGTGTCCGCTCCATCTCCGCGTCAGACATCGTCTTGTTTCCACTGCGCAGCTTGGCGTCCAAGAATTTGGCTGCGGTGCGTCGTGAGCGGCAGCACACGGCGACAGCCGAGTAGCAGCGTACGTACCGACGTCCTCTGCGACACTGTTGCCCTTGGTGTTGAGCAGCTGCTCAAAGGCTTCCTGCAGCGCATGGCGCATCTTGTCGTCCTTCTCGAATGCATCGCTGAGCACGAGGTCGAGCTTGCGCTTCAGCTCGAGCAGCGCAGGAATCGTGCCTTCGGAGCCTGCACTACCGCTCGTGCCGAGGGCGGAAGTAATCAGCTCGCGCGTGACCTTTGCCCACGCGGTCCGCAGAGGCGACAGTGCGTCAGGCGAGACTCGTTGAAGCAGAGCGTAGAGCGTGCGGAGTGCGGACGTCGCCGGCGAGGAGAGAAGCGACGGCAGGTCTGTCAGGCGAGATCGTCAGCCCTACCCTTCGGAACAGCACAGGATCGCAGACGAAGGGAGATGAGAGCCTCGTCTCGAAAGATTGCAAATGCTTGCCGCCCTTATGCTCGAGAAACAGGAGGCGGGCTCTGCACCGAGATGCCGGGTCCGGCACGCCTCGTCTCTCGCCGGTCCATCTGATCTCCCAGAACCAGCTGCCACTCTCCCAGTCGACCCTTGCAAACTCTTGCCATGCACTCACGCGAGATCAGGCCTTCTCCGTCGCCGCCCAACAGCTCCTTCATCGCTGCGTGCACCACGTCTTCCCTGCCAGTGGCTAGCAGCCGCATGGCACGCGCCTGCTCCTCCTGGACTCTGCGAGCCACGTGCTGCAAGAACACAGTGATCTCCATCGCCTCCGGACGCTCCTGTTCCACGACGTCAGAAGCGCTCGGCGCGAAACGAGCAGCCTCGCGCGCGTAGTCGGCGGCCGTGTGCTGCACGAGCGACTCGGCGAAGATGTCCTGGCTGTCGAGCGTCGTGAATAGCGCCGCGAGCGCCTCGATCTGCTTCTCGTGGTCCGCACTCGTGACAGAGCCGGTGGCTGCGCCGCTCGTGTGCGTGAGCGACCGCACGGCGCTCAGCTGCGCACCCAGTGCGTCGAGCGTGCTCTGCAGCAGCGGAGCGTGCAGCAGCACATGTTCCTTGAAGAGCTCGGCGCAGACGGCCTCGATGCGATCCGAGTGTGGCTGAAGCGCATCGAGCGGGAGGAACATGTCTGCAACGAGACGCTGCGCCTGCCGTCAGCACACGCCAGGCAGGGTGCGCAGGCGCACGACTCACGCTGCGCGCCGTCCAGGCCTGCCATGCCGTCAGCAGCGCCGGCATGCCGCCGAGGGCAGCGGCGTCGCGGGTGCGCAGCACTGCGCGTGACAGCTCTGCCCTGACGCCGTCGCTCAGCGCCGACGCCTGGCCGGCGGCGACGAGGCGCTGCGTCTGCGTGTAGACGCTGTCGGGCGACAGCGGCGCGTCGGAGAGGAGGAAGTGGCGCAGCGCGCGGAGGAGCGAGGGGCACGACGGCTGCGAGCTCGACGCAAGCACGGGCAGCGCAGCGAGCGAGGGCAGGCCCGCCGTCGAGCGCGCACTGCGCGGCGCGAAGAGGGCGGCGAGCGACATGGCAGGGCGTGAGGACGTGCGGCAATGTGGTAGTCGAGTCGGAAGCCGCCGCGCCGCCTTCCCTGTCCGTTCCCGCCTCATCTCGCGCGGCGCGCGCGGCATCCTTATCCAAGCGAGATCGTCCTGCTCAACCCTCGGGCCTCCACGTCCTCTCGTCGCCGCAGCATCTCTCACGCCTGCTGCACACGCTTCCCACTCTACTTATCCGTATGATCTCTCTGTCGCAAGCCAGGATCTTCTCGGACTTGCCTTGCATCGACGGCAGCAACCAGCTCAGGCCGAGCAGGGACAGGGTCCGGCGGCGTTCGCACGCACGGCGCACGGGCCGCGCGGCGGCGCGGCGCACCATGCGCGGCGCGGCGCGCGCTAGCTCTCCTTAAGCCCCTTTCCTCGCGACTGTGAGGAGCGCACAGCACGGCACGGCAGCCCTCCATCACATGCGCCTCGCCCTGTTCCCGCCCACCATCCCGCCGCCCACGCAGACGCCGCCGTCCGCCATGAGCGCCGACACAAAGTGGCACCAGCGCCTCTTCCGCAGCAAGGACGAGGGCGAGGGCGGCACTCAGCAGAGGCACGCTGCCGCGTCTGCGTCCGCCCCGCCGCCCGCGCCGCCGCCGCCGGCCGACGCCGCGCTGCACGTCTTCCACTTGCGCCACGGCGGCACGAGCGTCGTCGTCGACGCCGCCACCGCCTCGCTGCCGAGCGTCGTGTACTGGGGCGCCGACCTCGGCGGCATGAGCGCCGCCGAGCTGCAGGACCTCGCCTCGGCGGCCGTGCCGCAGCGCGTCAGCGGCGGCCTCGACGTGGTCCCGCGCCTGACGCTCGTGCCGCAGGAGTCGGATGCGTGGCAGGGCACGCCCGGCCTCGCCGGCCACCAGGTGGGCAGCGGCCACTGGAGCGCGGCACTGCACACCACGGACCTCTCCGTCACGGGCTCCACTGCTGCCATCACGGCGCAGGACAGCGAGATCGGCCTCAGCCTCCGCATCTCGCTCGAGGTCACGGCCGAGGGCCTCTTCACGCAGCAGCTCAGCGTGACGAACACGGCCAAGGCGAACTACATGCTCCAGTCGCTCGCGGCCACGTTTCCGGTGCCCGAGTCGGCCAACGAGCTGCTGGACACCTACGGGCGGCATCTGCGCGAGCGTGCTCCGCAGCGCCACGCCTTCACCGTCGGCAAGCACGAGCGCGAGAGCCGGCGCGGCCGGCCCGGCGCAGACGCCACGCTGCTCCAGGTCGTCGGCGCCAAGGGCTTTGGCTTCGAGCGCGGCGTTGTGCATGCTGTGCACCTTGCGTGGAGCGGCAACCATCGGCTCATCGCCGAAAAGGGCCCGAGCTATCCGCCCTTCATCCAGGTGTCCGACCTGCTGCTGCCTGGCGAAGGCCTGCTCCAGCCCGGCGAGACGTACACGACGCCCAAGGCCATCGGCTCGTGGGGTGACGGCCTTTCCGCCATGTCGCACCGCTTCCACGCCTACGTCCGGGCGCTGCCTGGCTATCCGAAGTCGACTCGCCCGGTGATGGTCAACACCTGGGAGGCCGTGTACTTCAGCCTCGACTTTGACAAGCTCGTGTCGCTCGCCAAGACGGCCGCGGCGGCCGGCGCCGAGCGCTTCATCCTCGACGACGGCTGGTTCAAGGGCCGCCGTGGCGACACCGCTGGCCTCGGCGACTGGTTCGTCGACAAGGACGTCTTTCCCAACGGCCTGCAGCCGCTGTGGGACGAGGTCGACAAGGCGGGCCTGCAGTGCGGACTGTGGTTCGAGCCTGAGATGGTGAACCTCAACTCGGACCTTGCGCGCGCTCACCCCGACTGGATCCTGCGCCCCACGGCCGACCGACTGCCGGTGCCTGGCCGCCAGCAGTACGTGCTCGACCTGTCGAATCCAGACGTTTTTGCGTACATCTTCAAGTGCATCGACGACCTGCTGACGGAGTACAAGCTCATCAAGTACATCAAGTGGGACCACAACCGCGACCTCGTCGAGCCGAGCTCTGCTCTGGCCAGCTACCGCGCCGCTGTGAGAGCCAACGTGCTCGCCGTGTACCGGCTGATGGACAAGCTGAAGAAGGCGCATCCGGAGCTCGAGATCGAGAGCTGCGCGTCAGGAGGCGCGCGCGTCGACCTGGGCATCTTGGAGCGCACCGACCGCATCTGGACGTCGGACTGCACCGACCCGCTGGAGCGACTGACGATCCAGAAGTACACCAGCCTCGTCGTGCCGCCAGAGCTGATGGGCGCGCACATCGGCCCTCCGGAGAGCCACACGACGGGCCGCACACACAAGCTCGACTTGCGCGCCGGCGTGCCGCTGCTGTGCCACCTCGGCATTGAGTGGGACCTCACGTCCGCCTCGTCGGACGATCAAGCTGCGGTGAAGCAGTGGATCGACCTGCACAAGAAGTGGCGCGACGTCATCCACTCCGGCAACCTCGTCTTCGTCGACGACACGGCCGACGAGCACGCCGACGTGCGCGGCGTCGTGGCGAAGGACCAGTCGCGCGGCATCTTCACCTTCACGCAGGTGCGCACCGCCGCGTCGTATCCGCCGCCAAAGTTCCGCCTCTGCGGCCTGGACCCCAGCAAGAGGTACAAGGTGTCGCTGCTGTACGACCTTTCCTTTGCGCGAGGCGGAGCGGTGGGCCAGAGCGCGCTGCAGTGGGCCGGAGGCGTGACCCTGTCGGGCAAGGCACTGGACTTGGGCGGCCTGGCGACGCTGACGATTGAGCCGGAGCGTCTGTATGTTGTGGAAGTGGAAGCGCAGTGAATTTGGATATGCTTTGTCTTGGCACATGCGCTGCGCTGTGCGCCGAGAAAGGAGCGTGAGGATGGGGAGGTGATCGTGTTCGCGGCGCAAGCAAGAGTGCGGTGCTTGCAGGCCTCGCTGGGCCTCCTGGGCTCCGTGCAATCACCCGCTGCTGCTGTTTGTTGTGCTACAGCTGTGCTTCGAATCGCAGCTTGCCTCAGCTGGCCGCTTGATGTCAGGCAGTGAATTGGGCGGGCGGCGCGCGTGCAGGAATCGGCCTCGGCCTCGGAGGCGACATTTCTCTTGCAGCCCCCGTATTCGACACCTAGAAATCGAGGCGATTCGCACTCTTTCAACGCCTCCCCAAGCACGATTTGCCTCCCCGCTTCACCACTAGGAAGGACGTGATGGGGGCATGGCGGACGACGTCTGCGCCTGCTGGGTGCGAGCATGATGGCATTGTCCTGCAGTGGGCCTCGCCGCGAGCTTTCTGACGAAAGCGCACACGGCGCCGCGCCTCTTCATCCTGCCTCACCTCCACATCTCCTCCTCGCGCACCGCACACGCACACACGCCTGCCCCTCCTGCTCCATTGCGCCTGTGCGGAGGCAGCATGGCGCACGTTGAGGCCGCCGAGTTTCACGGTCAGCGCCGCCGGTGTGCTTGCGCGACCGGCAGCTCGGCTGATGCGACGTCGCAGCGACCGTGTACGACATCTGCCGCCTCATCCCACATGGTCGCGTCACGTCTTACGGGCACATTGCACGGGTGAGCGGCGGCGGACTGTGTCAGCCACGGTGCACGCTGATGCCAGACGCCAGCTCGCCGGCTATCCGGCGCACTCGCGCATGGTCGGCGCTGCCATGCGCCTCCTGGGCCCGTCGAATGCCGTGCCGTGGCAGCGCGTGCTGAGCTCCTCGGGCGCCATCTCGCCGCGCGGCGACGACGGCGGCGGCGCCCGGGCGCAGGCCGAGCGCCTGCGCGGCGAGGGCGTCGAGGTCATCGAGCCGCCGGGCATCAGCGCCTACCGCGTCTCGCTGGCGCCGGCGGCCGGCTATGCCTGGTGTGAGTGTGTCTCGCCGCATAGCTGCACCACGCTCAGCTCAGACGCACCCTCAGTCCCCGCAACGCTTGCCGAGGCGCGCGGCGAAGCCCCAGAGGAGCCGGCGGCGGAGGATGAGGATGAGGATGAGGATGAGGCAGCACCTGCGGTGAAGGAGGAGCACCCAGAGCCAGACGGCGCCGTGCAGGTCAAGGAAGAAGAAAAAGACGGCGGGCAGCGCTCTGGTCAGCAGCGCGCCACTGCCGGCGTCAAGCGGGAACAGGAGGAGCAGGGCGGGAGAAGTGGCTTGCGCAGGTCCGCCAGGCGGCGATAAGGCGCAGCACACACACAGGCGGCGCAATGCTATGCTTTCTCATTGCTGTCGCTCTCCGTCTCTCAGTGCGAGCCTGAGCCACCGCCCATCTGGTCGACCATCTCGCGGAACTGCATGACGGGAACAGCGGTCAGCGGCGTTAAGCATCGGGGCCACAGAGATGCTCACCTGCTCGACGATTGCCTTCTCCTTCTTCGCCTTGGCCTCGGCTTGCAGCTTGAGGATGCCGCGGTGCTCCTCCGCGCTGATCACCTGGTTCTCCTTTCTGACACGCACGGCGTTCATGCGACGGTGGCGCGAGCCGCTCATGACGTATCCGCTCTTCTCGAACTTCTCAATCTGCTCCGAGTCGAGGCCAATCTCACCGCGGCGCGGGATGCGCTTGCCTTCGGCGGCATACGCAGCCATGGCAGAGCCCTCGCCAGGGAGCAGTGCCTTGCCGTACTCGCGCGGGTTGACGGGCGCAGCAGGACCGGCGAGGGGCTCGTCGTCCACCGCCGGCTGGGGCAGCGCTGGCCCGATGCGCGGCTGCATGCGTCGTGTGCGCTCCTCGCCCTCTGACGCCGTGCCGCTTGCAGCGACGGGTGTCTCGCTCTTGGCCACTCGTGCCACCTCCTCGTTGCGCACCTCGTCGGCACGCGAGACGCTGCGCTTGTCCCGCGTGGCACGTGCAGCTCTGCGCTCCTCTTTCTCCCGCTTCTTCTCCTTCTTGCGCCGGCGTCTGCGCTCCTCCTCTTCGGAGTCAGAGCTCGACGAAGATTCGGAGCTCGAGTAGCGTCGCTTGTGCTTGCGCGAGGAGCCGTGCTTGTGCTTTCGCGACGACGACGACTTGTCCTTCTCTCGTCGCGAAGAGGACTTGTGCTTCTTGCGCTCCGAGTCAGACGGCAGCGGCGAGCGTGGCGACTCAGGCCAGATGGACAGTGTCGACTCTGCGCGCTGCTTGTTGCGACTGCGAGACAAGGGTGAGCACAAGACGCAAGACACGTGCGGCCGCTGGGCCGTGCTCACCTTTCAAAAAAACTCGTGCCGCCCTGCTCGCCTCCGTAGCCCTGGCCCTGCGGTGGTCCTCTTCGCCAGCCGCCCGGCGCGCCGCCGCCGAGGTCTTCGCGGTATGCGTCCGGCCCCTGCTGCTGGCCTCTGGCGCCCCAGCCGCTGCCCGGCTGCATGTGCGGTGGCGGCCCATAGCCACCGGCACCGTGCTCGCGCGGCGGCGGCACGCGGGAATCGTAAGCTGCGCCCGCAAAGCCCGGCGGCGGGCCGGCGGCGTAGCCTGGCGGCGGAGCACGAGCCTGCCATCCGGGCGGCGGGCCGTGGCTATGCTGCGGCGGGCCGTCGCGCCGCTCGTCGTGCGTAGGGTAGGCTCGCGCCTCGCGCTCGTCGTGCGGCCGCTCCTCGTCGCGCCGCCCGTGGCCGTGGCGCTCGTCAGCACGGCGGTCGTCGCGGCGCCCCTCGGACGGCGCCTCGCGTGCTGCAGCCAGACGGGCGCGCAGCTCGGCCTCGCGGTGGCTGGCGCCGGCGCTGCCGCTGCTGCTGTGCGCTGGATGCAAGTCGCTCATCGGGAGGGTGGCAGCACAGCGGAGATGGAGGTGCAGTGGGCGGGCGACTGAGACGCAGACGCCAGCGGAAGCGCAGCTCTGACTGTGCGACGAGAGACGGCGCTCGTGTAGGGACAGAAGCAGTGGCAGGGACAGGCAGCGACGTGGGAGTTGGTGGTCGGGAGAAGAGCTCGCCGGCGCGGCGACAGCTCTAAAGAGCAAGGGCGCTGCCGCAACCGCGCCGCGTGGGAACACGTCCGCCTGGCTGGCCGGCGTCAGCCTGCGCCGCACACGACAGCGATGAGCGCCGCTTCGTCTTCCGCACCCCTGCCTCCTTCGCATCTTGCCGCTCGCCGCTTCTCCGTGTCGTGCCCGCACCCTTGTCCTGCTCGTCGTGGACCGCGCTTATCGTTCGGCCCGCCTGTGCCCCACCACGCCGACGCTCGCCCGTGCCCGTGCGCTGCCACCCAGAGCCCGCCTGCCCGCCGCTGCCACTGCCCGCCATGCCGGTGCGTGCAGCTGCTCACCCAGCTGTGCATCCGCTGAGGCCCTGCCCACATGCTCCATCAGAAGCTCGCCCTGCAGATCTCTGCGCAGCTCACCAACGTGCAGAAGCTGCGCCCCGCGACCGACGATGCGGCGCTGATGATGCGCGTCAAGTGCTCGTCGTGCCACGAGGAGCACAAGAAGGAGGTGTCCTTCTCGCCGCTCGACGAGGTCGACGTGCAGGGCGGCAAGGGCAAGGCCAACTTCGTCATGAGCTGCCAGGTGCGTGACTCAGTGGTACCCGCCGTCGAGAAGTGTCTGGGCGGAAGCTAGACTGGAGGCCGGGCCGTGGCAGCAGCAGTTGCCGCAAGAGAGCCGGCGCAGCAGTGGTGCTGCAGGGTGACAGCAGTGCGAGTGCACCGTCCGAGCCTCGACTGACAAACCAGCGTCGCTGCGACGCACTCTTGCGAATCTGCTCACACGTTCTCTCGGACAGTTCTGCAAGCGGCCAGCATCGGCAAGTGAGTCCGCTCATGTCTCTCGTGGGATCTGAAGGCTGACACCAGTTCCCTGCGCCAGACTTCGAGACACCGACCGCGAAGGCACCGCTCTACCAGCCGTACGATGGGCCCGACTTTGCGACGCTCTGCGTGCTCGAGTTCCGCGGCATGGAGCCGGTGGGCTTCGTCTTTGAGCACACGACCTGGCGCGCTGTCAGCGAGGCCGGCGCCGCGTTTGCGGAGCTCGAGTTCGAGGACGGCGAGTGGACGGACTACGACGAGAAGGGCGGCTGTGAAGTCAGCGTCATGGAGGTGGAGGCCCGCTGGGTCCGTGCATGAGGGCAGCTGCAGGCTTGCGCAGCAGCGCAATCGAATGCAACGGCTGCGCTCGGGCTCGTGCGTGTGAGAGGTGTCGCGAGCGTCGGAAGCGACGGCCAGACACGATATAGCAGGCATCGATGACGGAGCCACGGCTTCCACTGTGCGCAGCAGGCGCCGGCGCCAGCTCATGCTGCTGGCTCCGCCGTCGGCGGTCGTGCCGACTCGCCGAGCTGATGGTAGCATAGAAGCGCAATGCCAGAGGCGCCGCAACGCTCAGACTTGAGGGCGAGCGCTTCCGTTGCTGCCTCGCCGGCCTGCTTCCTACGCATGCGTGCAAATCACCCTCCATCTGTACGAGCGCCTGCTCACAGCTCGACTCGGTAGTGCTGGAGAAGTCTATTGTCCGGTGCACCTCACTGCGCCATGCGCTCAGCCTTAAGCGCCATCTCCTCGAGCAAGTCGTACTCGCCGCTGCGCTCGCACAGCTCTCTGAAGGCGCCCTCGGTGCGGATCAGCTCGGCAGGCGAGCCGAACTGCAGCACCTTGCCCTTGTCGAGCACAAGCACACGGTCGTGGTCGACGATGGTCTTGAGGCGATGTGCAATCACCAGGATCGTCAGGCGCCGGCCCGCCGCCTCGGCGCGAATCGTGCGCTGAATCGCCGCGTCGGCGGCAGCGTCCAGGCTCGCCGTGCTCTCGTCGAGCAGCAGGATGGGCGACTGGCGCAGCTTGAGCAGTCCTCGGGCCAGCGCAAGCAGCTGCCGCTGGCCGGCGGACAGATTCTTGCCGCCCTGCATGATCTCCATGTCCAGGCTGGTGATGACCGTCGAGGCAGGCGAGTCGTCGTCGCCGGGCGTGGGCGAGGCAGAGCGACTCGGCGCTCGGCTCACCGCGCGTGACTGCGACGAGGAGACGAGCTGGCAGCGCTCGAGCACGGCCCACAGCTCGCCGTCCTCGCAGCGGTCGAAGGGGTCCAGGTTCGAGCGCACCGTGCCAGAAAAGAGCTGTGCGTCCTGCGGGATCACCGTGAGGCGATCGCGCAGCGTTGCCAGCGGCACTGAGCTGATGTCGATGCCGTCGATGCTGATGCTGCCCTCCTCGGCCTCGAGGAAGCGGAAGAAGGCCAGCGCGAGCGTGCTCTTGCCGCTGCCGGTGCGGCCGACGATGCCGATCTTCTGCCCTGCCTTGACCTCGAAGCTGACGCCGTCGAGCACGCGGCTGAGCTCAGGCGAGTAGCGCACGCAGAGGTTGTTCACCACGATCGAGCCCGAGTCCGTCGGCCACGCAGCTGGCGGCTCGACGCCGCCCTGGCGCTCCGGCGTGATCTTGAGGTATTCGTCGATGCGCTCCACGCTGTTGGCCTGGATCTCGGCGGCCGTGTACATGCGCAGCACCCACAGCACCGCCTCGACGAGCTGGATCGTGAAGCTGAGCGTGAAGCCGGCGAGCGGAGCGTCCACTTGCGGGCTCAGCACGAGGAAGAGAGCCATCGCCATAGTCACCACCGTGGCCAGCGAGTCCACGCGAATCGAGAGCCAGCGGTTGCAGTACCACAGGAAGAAGAAGGGCCGGTTCGTCTTGTCGATGAGGCGCAGGCAGTGCCGCGTGAAGCGGCTCGCGTCGCCGAAGGCGCGGATGACTACGGCACCGTTGAGCACCTCACCCACGGCTGTGAAGATGGGCGAGCGGCTGACCGACTCGAGACGCTTGAGGTCGCGCGAAGAGACAATGTACAGCGAGCCGATGAGGTACGCCGCTGCGATGACAAGCACCGATGCGCCGATGAAGGCCGGCACCGCGTAGCATGCCACAAGCAGGATCACGACGCTCTGCAGCATGACGTCGACGAAGAAGATGAGCGTGGGCGCGACCTCCTGGTCGATCGTCTCGATGTCCTTGCTCAGACGGTTCATGATGCGTCCGACGGGCGTGCGGTCGAACCAGAGCGGCGGCGCGAGCAGGATGGAGCCCATCATGCGACGGTATAGGCGGCGCGAGGCGGCCAGCGCGCCGAACTCGCTGATTCCGTCGCGCAGCATCGAGAAGAAGATGAAGCCGAGGATGAGCACGGCGTAGACGGAGAGGTAGTACGCCGTCAGATCGCCACTCGGAAGCTCGGGAGCCGAATCGACGCCAAAGATGAGCTGCGGAGGCGCAGCGGACGCCTGGGGTGCGCTGCTGAACCACGTCTGCAGCGGCCCAACGAGCAGCGGCGTCGAGAGCGAGGCCCCACCATGCCAGTGCCCGACGCTTGCGTGCGGCGCGGATGCGATGTCGAGATGCGCGCGCTCGCCGCTCTGCTGCGCAAAGAGCATAGCCCAGCGGCGCAGCCATGCGGCGCCACCGACGTCTGCGGCGCGCACTCCGACGAACACGGCGAGCGTGGCAGACCAGAACAGCATCAGGCCCCACCACGAGTCGGCAAAGCTACGCAGGTACAGGCCGTACGGCGCAAAGCCGACTGCGCCCTTGCCGTACGTCTCCTCGTTGAGATGCTGCGCCTTCTTCTCCTGCTTCTTGAGCATCTCGGCCTGCTCAACTGCACGGGCGCCCTCGTCGAGTACCTCGATCGTGGGCTCTTCTTCCGTGCCTTCGTGCCGCTCTTCTGCTGTCTCCTTGCCTGGCGCAATGTCGTCGTCCAGCACGCCCGAGGCGCGCACCTCGGCAGCCGTGCCAGACGCCACCACGCTGCCGTCGTTGAGTGCCACCACGAAGGCGGCGCCGGGCAGGCAGAGTGCGACGGCATGCGTCACGAGGATCACGGTGCGGCCGGCCATCAGAGGACCCTTGAGACAGTTCTTGTAGAGGTGCTTGGCCGTGTGCGCGTCGACGGCGCTGAGCGCATCGTCAATGAGGAGGTAGCGCGCGTGGGAGTAGAGTGCCCGCGCAAGCGCAATGCGGGCCTTCTGTCCGCCCGAGAGTGCCGTGCCGCGCTCGCCGACTTCGGTCTGGTCGCTGTACTCCAGCACCTTGAGATCGGGCTCGAGGGCACACGCGCGAATGACCGCACGATACCGCGCGTCGTCAAAGCTGCTGCCAAACGTGATGTTCTCGCGCACGGTGGCGCCGATCAGCCACGGCGACTGCGGACAGTACGCCACTGTCTCGCTGAGCCCGGTGCGGACGTCGACGTCCACGAGCGCACGCGCCACGGGGCAGGGACAGTACGTGCGCCCGCTGAGCTGGCGCGCCTCACCGAGCAGCGCAAGCAGCGTGGTGGTCTTGCCCGAGCCGACGGGCCCGCAGATAATGCTCAGCTCGCCCGGCGGGAATCGCACGTCGAGCTCAAGCGTGAAGGCCGAGCCAGCCTCGATCTCGTCGTTGTCGTCCGAGTACGTGAAGCGCGCGTCCTTGAAGCCGACGTGCACGCTCTCGACCTGCGTGCCCTCGCTCTCGCTCTCGAGCTCGCTGTCCTCGTCCTCGTCCTCGGGCCGCAGCAGCTGCTCATACTTGTGCGTCTCCTCTTCGCGCAGAAACGCGTCGATGCGGCGCAGCGACACGAGCGAGCTGAGGATGTTGACGACCATATCTGGCAGCGTGTCGAGCGGGTTGCGCAGCGCGTTGAACAGCGCCAGAGCGGTAAAGGCCGTCTCGGCGGGCAGCGGGCGGTTCAGCACCTTGGTGTGCACCGCAAACGTGACGAGCGTGACGATCATCGGTGTGCCGAAGAAGGAGATTGCGTTGATGATCCAGGCAATGGCGCGCCGCCGCAGCACGCGCATCTCGGCGTCGCGCGTCTCGTTGAGGCGCCGCTCGAAGGCGCGCTCCCAGGCGAAGAACTTGACGGTCTTGATGCAGTTCAGCACCTCGGTCGTCAGGTTGAGGCGCTTGTCCGTCGCCTCGAGCAGCGCCTTTTGCACACGCACGAAGAGGCTCGCGGTCAGCGTCTGCAGCGGCACGCTGAAGAGCAGCACGGCAAAGCCGGCTACGGCACTCGAGCCGAGCAGCCGCACGAGCAGGTACATGGCGAAGCCCACCTCGATGGGGCTCTGCGGGAAGAGAAAGTGCAGGTACGCGCCGATCTCCGACACCTTGAAGACGTCGACGGAGACGAGGTTCGTCACCTCGCCGTCGGAGGCGCGAGACTCTGCAGCGCCGGCGCCGTCCACAGCCGGCTTGTCGCTCTTGTCGGCACCGCTCGGCAGCGCGTCATCGTCATCCTGCCCGGCGGCCTTGCGCGAGCTGGAGCCCGTGTCCTTGCGCCGCAGCGACTTGTTGACAATCTCAAAGATGAGGATTGCGCGCAGACGGATGCAGATGCGCCGGCCGACAAAGAGTGCCTGCGACTGCATCACGGACGCCACGAGCTGGCCCACAGCCATTGCCAGCACATAGAGCACTGCAAGAAGACGTCAGCTCAGCGCCAGAGATGGCCAGTCGCTCACAGACTCACCAGCCATGTGGTAGCTCAGGCCGCCCTCCTCGCCCTCGGCACGCTTGCGATCGCGGTCCGCAACGAAGCCAAGAATCAGACGCAGGCCGATAGGCGGAGTCATGACGGCGAATGCGCCAATGGCGGCGAAGATCTGCTGACTGATGATGAGGGGCAGGAAGTGCCGAATGAGACGCCAATGCAGTGCTCCCTCGCCAGGCGCGAGCTCCTCGACGACGCCTTCGGCCTCGTGCACCACACCCTTCGAGCTGCCGGCACGGAAGCCGGCCACGACGGAGGCGGCATGATCGGCAGGCGCCAGGTCCGGCACGGTCGCCAGCGTGAATTGCTCGCGGTAATGCCGCCGAATCGCCGGCGTGACGAAGCCGAAGGCGGCGCGGGAGTAGAGACTGGCGCGCACCTCTGGCGATGGGATGAGCGGCACCTTCGTGCCAATGCTGGCGACGTTTGCCGGCTCCAGCGCGGGCGTGGCGTTGGAGAACTCCGGCCCGCCCGCGCTGTGAGAGATGGAGGGATGAGGAGCAGCGTGCACTGCCTCGCCCAGAGACTCGTCTGGCACGGCGAAGGCCGCGTCGTGCGCTTCGAGACGCGGGCTCGGGATAGCGGTGCCGGCCTCGGCAAAGATGTCGCGCGGCCGCATCGACGCGTGGATCGCACGCAGGCGCAGCGGCAGCCGTGTGTGCATCGGTGCGAAAAGAGTCGGCAGGGCCAAGAAGAGGCTCAGTCCGCACTGTACTGCCGCCAGTCTCCACGCCTGCCGTGCGAGCACAACCGACCGGAGCTCGGACAGCGACACGAGAAAGGCGACGAGGATCAGAAGTCCCTTGTGCAGGAAGAGCGAGCGCTTCGTGGTGAGGGAAGCCATCGAGATGATTGCGATGTATGCCTGGCGTCGCAAGCAGCATCAGCGATGCGCCGCCCGACCGCCCCGCACCGCACTCACCCAGAGCACTGTCCATGCCCAGCCCTTGTCGTGCACGTCAGCCGCGTGCAGGCCGACCATGACGATGCTGCCGGCGCACTCCACCGCGCGCTTGGCGATCTCGGCGCGACGGTCACTGGCAGCCTGCTCAGGCGTGGCAGCGATGAGGGGCGTGCGGTGCACCTCGTTGACGATGACCTGGTTCTCGGTGCGCCAGACGAGCAGCTGCGCCTGCGTCAAAGTCGACGCGGGCGGCGGCGCTGTCGTGCGGGCCGCGCGCCGCGGGAGCAGGCGCTGCGAGTTCCAAGGCAGGAGCGTCTGCAGCGCACGCACTGGCAGCGAGCGTCGCACTGGCGGTGGCACAGAGGCAGCCCGAGAGCGAACGGTGAAGGAAGAGGCCTGAGGATCGAGCCCGGCTACGGCGCCGGCGGAGCGCTGGCTCCGCCGAGACGACCGCAGCTGATGCGTCACGAGCAGCGCGGCGGAGAGGGCAAGGGCGAGGAGGGGCAGGAAGCCATCAAGCACTCTGCAGGCGGCGTGAGCGCTGCTCGCAAGCGCCAGACAGTGGCGATCTACTCACTCGTGCCGGAAGCATGGCGTCCAGTCCTCGGCGCCCCATGGCGGCCAGGAGCAGTGCGCAAGGTGTGGCGACGGAAGCATGATGTGAGATGACACGGGGGCCAGGAGACGATGAATGCTTGCGATGCAGATCTTTCAGGACGGCAGGATGCGGAGCCAGGGCGTCCCGCCGCCGGGTGTCGGTGCAGAGCTGTGCGGTGGAGCAGGCGAGGCGAGAGCGGCAGAGGCGTCACGATGAGTCAGAGTCGCGAAGGGCGTCGAGGCGATGAGCGGACAAGCGAGCGGGAGCGGGAGAGACGACTGCGGGAAAGCGAGGCTGGAGCGGGAGCAGAGAGCAGCGCCTGGGCAGAGCGCGTCTAGGAACGAGAGGGCGGGAACGAGAGAGGGGACGAGGCAGGGTTGCGCAGAGCAACAGCAGCCGCAGTGACCGGGAGGCACGGCCGGCGTGCACGCCGGAAGCCGCGGCGAAAGTGCCGTCTTCGTCACGTGCACGCCTGCCCTGCCGTCCTTCCAGCAGGGCCGGCGCCGGTGATGAGCCCGCAGGCCGAGGGGCGTGAGAACGGCGCGTCGCGCAGCCGCCGCCGCGTCGCGCGCCGCGTGGCGGCCGCCGCATCGCAGAGCGCAGCGCTCCTTGCCTTCGCTCCACCATCTCCGCCTGCCCCGCCAGCAGTGTGCCACCTGCCATCCACGCCGCTGCGCACTGCTCCCTCTTCACGCCGCTCACTCTCGCGCCCGAACTGCTGCACTGATTGCACTGCAGAGCGCGCGCCCTCGCCCCGAGCCGCCGCTCCTGCTGTCCGCTGCGCCGCCATGTCTTCGCTCGACTCGATCATGCCGCCGGCCGCACCGGCCCCGGCCCCTGCGCCGGCTCCTGCGCCGGCCCACGCCAACGGCGACGCGTCGAGCGGCGCGGAAGCTGTGCCTGGAGCACACGAGTCTGCCCATGATGTCAAGGTGGAGGGCAGTGCGGCCGAGGGACTGGCGGCCAACGGCGCATCGGGTGAGTGACTGCTGCGCGGGGCCATGCAGAAGGTCGCTCGTCAGCTGCAGCGCAGCATGCGCGGCCACAGTCTGCGACTCTCGCCTGGCCTCGGCGGCGTGCTCTTCCCCTGCAGGGGCGCTAACGCCGTGCATCATCCTCCAGACACGGCCGCCGCGACGAATGGTGCCGCTCCAACCAAGCTGAGCCCGGTCACAGTCGGCGGCGAAGCAGCGGGAGAGCCAGTGGCGCTCGGCTCCAGCCCTGGTGCAGCGGCGGCGCCAAGTGATGTTGCCATGTCGGACCCCGTGCCGGCCTCCGACGCAGATGCCGCCTCGGGCCCCATGTCGTCCGCCATCGACATGCCGGAGCCCGCAGCGTTCGTCGCCGCTGCTGCTCCCGCTGCCAGCTCTCCGAGCGGCCCCGCCTCCTCGCCGCCCGTCGGCGCCAATGGCGACGCCACGCCTGCGGCGAAGCGCCAGCGCAAGTCTGTGGCGCCCTTTGAGCTCGACACCACTGCGCCTGCGTCTCCCTCCGTCACCTCGCTCGCACCTGCGTCGGCCGTGGGCATGACAGCCGCGCAGCTCAAGTTCGCGCAGTCGGTCATCAAGTCACTCCGCAGCCGTTCTGAAGCACTGAACTTCCTCGAGCCTGTCGATCCCCAGGCGCTCGGCATCCCGCACTATCCCAGCATTGTCAAGGAGCCGATGGACTTCACCACCATCGGCCTGAAGCTTTCGTTTTCGTCTGCTGCGCTGAGTCGCCGCCCGACCGAGGCGATCCGCAAGGCTGCCCTGTACAAGCTCGACGCGACGCGCGACGTCTATGGCAGCGCGAAGGAGTGGGAGCAGGATGTGCGCCGCATCTTCAACAACTGCCGCCTGTTCAACGGGCCCGATCATCCCATCTCCCAGAGTGGCGACACGCTCGAGACGCTCTTTGATGGGCAGCTGCCGAAGCTGCCGCCTTCCGAGACCGCACCCACTGTGAGTTCGGCGCGCAGAGTGGGAGCTGGACAAGAGAGGCGTGCATGATTTATCTGCCGCTGACTGGCCGCTTGTGTGCGCGCGCAGCCCGAGGCGAAGGCCCGGCGCGTGAGTGGGCGACGTCCGCTGTGTTCGCCGGGCCATAGAGCGTAGCGCTGACCTGTCTCTTGCAGTCGTCAGCCTCCGTGCCCACGATTCGTCGCTCCTCGGTCGACACGACTGGACGACCGAAGCGCGAAGTGCACCCGCCTCCGTCGCGCGACCTGCCGTGGAGTGACATGCCGGGCGCCGGTGGTGCTGGCGTCAGCACTGGCGGGCGCAAGGCCTCCGTCTCGAAGCGCAAGGGCAAGACGATGACGCCGCGGCAGCGCGCACACGCCGAGCGCGTCGCCGCAGACGAGCTCAAGTACGCATCCAAGGTCGTCTCGGCGCTGCTGCGCGAGAAGGGCGCGCGCGAGTTCACGTGGGTGTTCGACTCGGTGCCCGACAAGTCCCTGGACTTTGCGCCAGCGTACTACGCGATGATCAAGCGTCCCATCGCGCTCGACACCATCGACGGCAAGCTCAAGCAGGGCGACTACAACGACCTCGCCGAGTTCGAGGCCGACATGAACCTGCTCTTCGACAACTGCTTTACCTTCAACACGCCTGGCTCGGACGTGTTCATCATGGGCGAGCGCACGCGCGCGCTGTTCCGCGAGCGCATGAAGAAGATGCCCAAGGCCAAGGAGATGTCGCCCGAGATGGAAGACGACGAAGACGAGGATGCGCTAGGAGAGGATGATGATGAGGGTGAGAAGCGTCTGTACGGCCTTGCTTGCAGACGGACCGGCTGACGAGAGACGCAGACGAGGGAGACCGTGCCGCTATGCTGAAGCGCCAGATTGCCGCGCTCAAGGCCGAGCTGGAAGCGACGGAGAAGGCGGGCAAGACGGCGAGCAAGGGCAGCACGAAGGCACTGGCCTCTGCCAAGGCCAGTCTGGCCTCAACCGCGGGCAGCAAGGCCGGCAAGAAGCGCGCGGCGAGCGACGCAGCCGGCAGCAGCCCTGCGGCAAAGAAGAAGGCGCCGGCGCCGAAGAAGGCCAAGGCTTCGGGCTCGGGCGCGCAGGCTGCGGCCTCGGCGGCCGAGGAGCCCAAGCAGCCGAAGGCGCACAAGAAGAAGGCCGCGCCGAAGAAGGCTGGCGGAGGCGGCGGCGGCGAGGAGGAGGAGGTGCGCGTCGTGTCCTATCACCAGAAGGAGGAGCTGGCTGCAAAGATCACGCAGCTGCCCGACGAACGCCTCGAGGGCGCGCTGCGCATCATCGCAGAGGACAAGCCGCAGACGTCGGCCGACGACGAGGAGATCGAGCTGGACATCGACGACCTCTCGCCGCGGACGCTGTACCGCCTGTACCGCTACGTCGTCAAGCCAAAGGTCAAGAAGGCGCCGACGGGCAAGGCCGCTGCGGACGGGCGGAAGCGAGGCACGGGCGGCGTCAAGAGAAAGAATCTGGACGAGGGAGAAGAGGCGGCACGCATTCTGAAGCTGCAGGAGCAGCTCATGCAGTTCGACAATGCCGAGGCTGGTGAGTTGTGCGGCAGGCGGCCGCGCGCGCTGCAGCTGCTGATGCCGACTGCGTGTCCTCAGGCGGCTCTGCTCAGCCCGCAGCGGCGACGCAAGCAGGCGCACACGACGACCACGTCGAGAGCAGCTCCGAGGAGGAGTCGGACAGCGAGTCGGACAGCGAGTACGAGTGAGCATGTCTGGCCGCTGCCGCGGGCCTGTCTCCTGCTGGCGCTGCGCCTGGTGCAGCTGCATCGGGGCGCCGAACCGCGGGCCAAGCAACCTCCTCTTTCCTCCTTCACTCCTTCATCCTCAATCCCACGCACCTCCACTCCTTTGCACCTGCTCTCTCCTGTGTCCCCTTGTACTCTACTTGAAAAAGGATCTTGGGCGATCTCCTCGATCTGCCCGCGTCTTTCGCGTGCGCATGACCGCATGTCGCCCTGCGCGCAGGGACGGCTGTCCCTGCGTCTTCTGCGCCACAGCCTTGAACAACGCAGCTGAGCATCAGGCTGTGGCCGCCCGAGCGCATGCAGCGTTCACACATGAGCAAGCGAAGCTGCGGGTTGTCGTCACTCTGACCTGTGACTGCTGGAATGGGGCGAGGCAAGGTAGGTCTGTGCGGTGCCGCTTGAGAACGCGGCCCGAGTGCCGGTGCCGCTATCACGGATGCTGATGCCCCCTGCTGCGCCGCGGCGTGGAGGCGAATCCTAGCTCAGCACCACCAGCACTGCACCGCGCCCCGCCGCACTCTCCGGTCCACCTGCACCTCGCTGCTCTGATCTCCTCGCGAGACTACGGACACGCCCAGCATGGCTGAGATTCCTGTGCCGCTAGGCGCCATCTACCGCGGCGGCAGCGCCGACGCGCTCGCGGCCCTCCGCGCGCGCGAGGAGGCCGCCGGCACCTTTGCGCCCTCCGTCTTCAGTCCCGACACGCTCGCTGAGAAGGGCCTCGTGCGCGTGGCACACAAGCGTGTGCCGGAGGGCAAGAACAAAGAGCCGAGCGCCGATGCGCTGAGCAAGGGCGCGAAGCTGCCGACGGCCGACCCGGGCTTCAATGTGTACTACGAGCGGCACGGCAAGGGCCCGCGCAAGGTGGTGTACATCATGGGCCTGAACAACTCGTGCTTCGGGTGAGCGCTGCTGCAGCGTGTATGCTGGCCGGTGCTTCAGCTGACAGCCGCACAGCTGGCTGAAGCAGGTGGAACACTTCGGCGCCGACGAGCAGTACTCCGTGCTGGTGCTCGACAACCGGGGGTACGGCAACAGCGACACGCCGGCAGGGCCATACTCGTGAGTGGCGCGGCAGAGACGCCGCAGCGCTTCTGCTGACGTCGGTGCAGCACGTCCGAGATGGCGCTCGACGTGCTCGAGCTGTGCGACCACGTTGGCTGGAGCGAGGAGCGGCAGCTCAACGTCGTGGGCGTGAGCATGGGAGGCATGATCGCGCTCGAGATCGCCAAGACTGCACCGCAGCGCGTTGCGAGTCTCTCCCTCATCAGCACGACGAGCGGACAGGGGCGCGGCGAGAAGAACATCCTCACGTCGCTGCCGCCGGTGAGCTGCGCCAAAGAGCGCTCGACGCAGCCTGTTGCTCACTCTTTCTTGCTTGCAGCTGTCCGGCGTCCAGACCATCGCGCGCATCCTCGCCGGACGCATCCTCAATCTCGACTCCGACCAATACCGCGTGGAGCGCGTATGCGACATGCTCTTCCCCGCCTCATGGCTCGCCGAGCGGGATCCGAACGACAGCAGCCGCACAAGGCGAGAGGCCACATGCGAGGTGAGCAGCGGCTCGCGCGTGCAGCGTGAGCGCTTGCTGATGCCCTGTGCAGCTCTTCAAGTGGCGCTTCGCCTTCACTCGGCGCCAGACGCTCGCCGGTGCCTTTGCCCAGCTGCGAGCCGTCGCGACACATCGTGTCTCGTCGGCACAGCTGCGCGAGATCAACGAGCACGTCCCGGCGATGGCCATCCTGACGGGCGACGAGGACAACCTCGTGAACCCGGCGAACTCCGAGTTCCTGCACAAGCACTTGCCCGCGGCCGAGTACCACATCTTCAAGGCCGCAGGGCATGCGCTGCCGATGCAGTGAGTCGAGAGCTTCCTGACAGCCTTGCTGGCGTGCACTGATCTCGCCGCGTCGCTCTTCAGACTCCCGGAGGAGGTCAACGCTGCCCTGGCCAGCAACTTCGAGCGCGCCGCCAAGGCGACGTCCTCCTGACCAGCGCTCGGCAGCGCCAGGCGCCAGTCTATATATCCACCATGTGCATTGCAGTGCGTGCAGCAGCGTCTTCCTCTACAGCTTGGCCGCGCCCGGCGTGCCCTGCTGCTGGAGAAACTCGTCGATCGACTCGCGCCAGTATTTGCCGGGAAGGAAGTCGAACCTGGAGGCGCGGGTCAGCGCTAGGAGGGAGCGAGTCAGGACGACGTGGCTTACCAGAAGTGTCCGATCTGTTGCCGGTGCGACATCGTCAGCAGCGTGCACACATGCACTTGCCGCGCCAGCCACGCACCTGGTCTGTCGGCGTCTGCAGGCGCTTGGCGTGCTTGATGTGCTCCATGAGCACCTCACTCTCGGGATACGCGACCATGCGGTCGCGCAGCCCGTGAATGACGAGCACGGGCAGGCTGCGCGGGATGCGATGCAGCTCCGGCCGCGTGTCGACGTTGGAGATGGCCATGATCTGCAGGCCGATGATCTGCTGCGCGTCAGACTGGCGCCGGCTCGGGCGTAGAGCATGGTGGTGTGCTCACCTCCTGCGGCCGCTTGGTCGCCAGCGAGACGTCCACTCGCCGGCGCACCAGGTCGCGGTCTGCACAGCGCCACGCTCAGCAGTGGTGGCAGACGTAGGCCGCTGCACTCACTGTCTTGCGAAGACTGCAGCCACTCCGGGAAGTACTCTGCGTGGCGCCGCATGAGCCACAGCAGCGCTAGCACGTCCACACCGGAGCTCACGGTACTCCATCAACATCTGCGACATGATGCGCTTGCGCTGGTCCTTTGGCGCCTTGGCAGCTCTGCAGGCGGTGTGCAGTGGGTGAGCATGCCGCTCGCACCCGGTCGAGCGCTACCTCACTCACGCCTCGGCGATCATGTCCGGGTGGAAGTCTCCTCGCGGCAATTTCTAGTAGCCACCTTGTCAGCGCCATGGCCCGAATACCCATGCTGCACATGCGCCTCACGGTCATGGTGCCAGTGAGGATGGCGTGCGCCACATGGATGCCCTCGACGTCAAGCCCGCCCTGCTTGGCCTCCTTGGCCGACGGCAGCGTCAGGAGCACCTGCAGGATGTGGCCGCCCATCGACCAGCCGAGCATGTCGACGGAGCGCCACGCCTTGCCGAGCGAGGCGACGAGGTGGAGCACGTCGAGCGCCATGCCCTCGTGCGAGAGGTCCATGTCCCACTCGGGCGGCGCCAGCGAGGCGCCGATGGCGCGGTGGTCCGAGATGAGCACTGCGGCGCGACATCGTCAGCACGCTTGTGCCGTACATCTGGCACACGTGTCGATTCTCGCCGCCGCCGCTGCCAGCCGACTCACCGGGCCGGCTCACGGCGAGCGCCTCGACGAGCGGCGACCAGTCCTCCATGACGCCGGACATGCCCATGATGAGCACGAGCGGGCGCACCGAGCCCACATGCTCGGGGCCGTGCACGCGGAAGGCGAGCTGGGCGCCGTCGGGCGTCTTGAAGGTCTGCGTGGCGGGCGGCATGCTGCGGCTGAGGTGTGGTGGTGGTCGAGCGAGGAGCTGGGCAGCTCCGGGCCGGCGCGCCAGCCGGCTATATGCGCAGGCCGGCGCCCGCCGCGTGATACCCCGCACTCGCACACAGCTTGGCCGCGGCACGAGCAGGCGGCGGCGGCGGCGGGCACGCAGCATCAGCAACAGCAGCGCTGACAGTGAGGGGCGTTGCGATTCGCAGCAGCACGGCACAGCTGCAGCCAGACAAGGAATGCAGAGGCGCCCCAGGAAGTCGTCCTCTCGCTGCGGCTGTACGGACGACGCCAGACGCAGCATCCAGACACTCAGACTCGCAACGTTGCGGGTCGATTCTGCAGCTGCATGCGCTGACACCCGACTAGACTCGAGCAGCGGCAGCTGCTGCTCTGAGGCACTCAGCACACCCTTCGGCTTCCTCGTGCCGCCGCAGTACGTGCTGTCAGCGTGCCGCTCGAGCCGCCTCGCGAGATATCAGGTGACATTAGAAGGAAACGCAGAAGAACACCGAGGCGAAGGGAGTGGGGATGCGCGTGTGTCGAGAGAGTGGTGGGGGCGCGGACTGTTGCCGTTGCGAGAGAAGAGAAAGAGTGGCGCGCCGCAGCTTCCCATGTCGAGGCGCTCAGGCGAGCAGCCTGGCCAAAAACAGTCCGGCGAGCAGCAAGAGGAGGAGGATGAAGCCCATGCCGCGGCCCGTCGCCATGGCGCCCTGCAGACCGTTGGCGCCGCCCATCTGCGGTGCCGCTGCGCCTCGGGCTGCCGGCGGCGGCAGCACTCGTATTGGTGCTGCGCCAGGCGCAGTCGGCCGAGCGGCGCCGTTCACTGTTCGAGACTGAAGCGTCAGCGTCAGCTTGAACCCCACGTGCGCACACGCCGCTGCTGCCAGTCCACCTCGCTCGCACCACTCACCTTTGCCTCGCTCTTCGTACCCTCGCCCATGTTCGGCAGCTCACGCATCTCCGCCTCTGCGTACTCGGGAAAGACGGAGGCAAACTTCTTGTTCGCAGCGTTGAAGGCGTGCGAGCGAATGGCCAGGGCCTTGCGGTCGGCGGTGGAGGCGTTGATCTGCGAGGAGTGTCAGCGAGAGAAACTAGCAGAGGGCACGGGCGGCACTGACGCTGCCAGTAGTGACTGCCTCGTCGGGCGACTCGGAGACCATGAACGAGAGCAGACCAGTGAGGCTGCAGGGATCCACAAGGCAAAGAGAAATAGAAAGCGCAAGGGCGGTCAGCACGACGTGCGGCGAGCGAGGCAGTAGATGGCGAGGGTACGCACATGGTGGCCACGCTCCAGGCAGGGTTCCACGAGCCGGGGTGGAAGTCAGACATGCTCATGCAGCTGTTGGGTGGGCAGGCGCATCAGCCAGCGTGTTCACTGCACGTCATGCCGCGAGAGATGGCGCACATCTTGGTGTCTGTGAGTGAAGGGGTAATTGGCGTGAGCGGGCAAGGGCTGTAGCAGCAGCGAGCACGACGACGCACCAGGCTTGAAGCGGCCGCTCGGCGTCGACATCTTGATGCCCGGCGGCTTGAAGGGATAGTCGGCCGCTGCGCAGCCGCACGACTTCAGCATCTGCACGAGATGCGCCTCACCGCTCCGCCCAGCTCGTCTTCCACTGAACGCATGCGCCTCGCTCGTGCTCGCCGCCAGCGCACCACTTACGGAAGATAACCTGGCCCCAGTACTCGCCGCCAGCAAAGGGCGTCTCGGGCGGGCCGCGCAGGATGTAGTGCCACTCGAGGATGTTGTCCTCGCGCGGGCGCGCAAAGATGAACGGCGGCGGGTCCTTTGCGATCATCTGCGACTCCTTGGCCAGCTGTGCGGCGAGGAGCAGGCGTGAGCGCAGATGCGGGCAAGGCAAGCGTGCAGCAAGACGCACACGCTTGTTCGACGCCTTGCTCATCGTGGCGGGCGCTGCGACGGCGTGCGAGCGAGAGGAAGCAGCGAGGAGGAGAGCGGCGGCGCAGGAGCGGGGCAGCGCACGTGGGCGATGTGGTGCGGCGAGAGGTGCAGAGGTGTGCAAAGAGAAGTGCTGAGGGCGTGCTGACACGAGTCGTGCAAGAGGGCCGGTGGAGAGAAAGACAGAGAGACACACTCGTTCCGTTGCGGTGGAGGCTCATCTGTGGTGCGCGCTGCACGTGACGCAACGCTCGGACCAGCCCTCCAGAAGCCCCACCGGGTACCTGGAAGTTGCGCCGCTGCTGCAGGGGCCTGTCCTGCCGCCAGCCTCGCCTTGCCAGCGCACCTCTCTTCCCACCACCACCTCCCTCACACCCACGCCCGCCAGCATGCCGACCGACACCTGGACGCCGCCCGTGCCGCTCTGGAGCGCGACGGACAAGCAGTCGTGAGTGGCTCGACCCGGCCTGCGCGCCATGTGCGGCCCGCTGCGACGCTCACCTCCACGCGTCCCTCGCGCGCCGCAGCTTCGCATACGAGAGCACGGCAAAGCGCTGGCCCGAGATCGTGCGTGCCGTGATGCATCCCCGCTGCGCCACGCAAGCTCACCGCCTGTGCACAGCTCGCCGGCGTCATCTCGGCGCTGCACAATGCCGCACACGCCCTCTCCTACTCGCATTCGTCGCAGAGCGACAAGATTGCCGAGGCGTCCGTCATCATCGAGCGCCTCAGCAAGCTCAAGCATGACATGGGCCGCGACCACAAGCTCGAGCCCATTCCCGACGACGGCGGCGCCAGCCCTGCCGGCTACAACGACGTGCTCCAGCAGGAGGGCTGGACCTGGTTCAATGCGCCGTGTGAGTGGCTCCAGAGGCCTCAAGGCGGCGCGCAGCTCACGCAGCGCACCCAGGGCTCTTCGCCGAGTGCTACCTCTACCGCCTGCTGCGCTCCTTCTTTGCGCAGTCGAAGCACTGGCAGACGTGAGTCACGCCGCGCTTCTCCGCTCCTCGTGGCTCAGCTCACGCGCTCCTGGCAGCTACGATCCCTTCTCCTCGCAGAAGCTCTCCGCCTTCCGCTCCTCTGGCTCGGCCATCAACCAGCTCGCCACGACTGTCGAAGAGCTCGTGCACAAGGCAGAGGCTGCCGTCTCGAACGGCGGACGCGCGGCGACGAGCGGCGATGGCTGGCGCGTGAGTGCGCTCCGCTCACCGGCCTAGAGTGACAGTGAGGCTGACGCATTACACCTGTCAGACGATCTTCCACCTTCTCGCACAAGCCTCGCTCTGGGGCAATGCGGTGCGTCTTGTATCATATGTCTTCCTGCCCTGCGCTCACTCATCCTCGGCTCCAGACCGATCTCTCGCTCCTCACCTCGCTCTCGCACGCCGACATCCAGACGCTGCAGTCCGGCGGCCTCTCCGCTGAGGCGCAGGCCGAGCGCGCCCGCTTCATTCTCACAGGCACCGAGTCGCTCGACGAGGCATGGGCCCGCATCGAGAGCGAAGAGAACGGCCGAGTGGACATTGTGCTTGACAATTCGGGCTTCGAGCTGCTCACGGACCTGCTTCTGTGAGTGAAAAGCGCGCATGCTTTGCCTGTGTGGACGCTGAGTCGTGGCACACAGCGCCGACTGGCTGTTGTCGACTGGTCACGTCACGCAGGTCGTCTTCCACCCCAAGGTGAGCAGTGGCAGCAGCAGCCCCCCTCGAGTGCCCTGCTGAAGCTGCGGCCGTGCAGAACATGCCCTGGTTCGTCTCGGACGTGACGCCCGCCGACTTTGCGCACACGCTCGAGGCGCTGCTCTCGCCGACGTTCTTCTCGCCCGCCGCCGCCACGGGCTCGAGCCGTGGCCGCTCCGAGTCGCGGCAGCGCGCCTTCCAGGCATCGCCCGCCGTGCTGTCCGGCGAGGCACGTGCAGCAAAGGGCAGCGGCGCGCTGCAGATGTCCGAGGAGGAGATCGAGGAGCGCAAGAAGCGCGGCGAGAGCCCGCACCCGCGCGGCTCGCGTGGCCTCGTGATGGATGCGCAGGGACGCACGGGCGAGATGGAGAAGCCCAAGGGCTCCATGGGCCTCGCGCTTGACCCCAGCTACTTCCAGAGGTGTGTCTTTCGCCGCTGAATAGCGCGCAGAACGCCGAGCTCACTACTGCTCATGTGCAGCGCACGCTCGAGGACCGTCTCGCCCTCGCGCTCCTACGTCGTCGACGCGTCAGTCACCTCCTTCTCTGCGCTCTACGAGGAGGAGAATGAGGATGCGTCGCGTTCTGGACTGCCCTCGTCGACGTCCGACGGCTCGACGCTGAACACGCTCTCGTCTGCAAGTGCAGGCGGAGCCGACGAGGAGGAGCGCGGCCGCTCGCGCCGGCCCGACATTGGCACGCAGTCGACGCCTATCATGCGTCTGGCGCAGCGGTGGAAGGCGCACGTCGCCGCAGGACGCTTCGTGTGCGCCATCGAGCCGTCGACGCCGCTCGGTGCAGAGGTTGCGGGCGGCGAAGGCTTCTGGTGCAGCCACCACGTGCGTCAAGTGGCTTGGCTGGAAGCAGGAGCATGAAGCTGACACGCACATCCGCGCAGAGCTTCGCCGACCTGCCGACGGCTGCGCCCGAGCTGCTCGCCGAGCTCAAGAAGTCCAAGCTCGTCATCTTCAAGGGCGACCTGAACACGCGCAAGCTGCGTGAGTCTTCTCGGCTTTGCCCTCACTTCAACTTACTGACGCCGGCCTCAGTCTCGGACGCACGCTGGCCGAACAGCACGCCCTTCGCCGTCGCCATGGGTCCGCTCGCGGGCCACTTTGCGACGCTGGTGCTGCGCACGTGCAAGGCCGACGTGTGCGCCGGCCTCACGCAGGAGAAGGAGAAGTGGGTCGAGGCCGAGGACGCCAAGTGGCGCGTCAACGGCAAGTGGGCCATTGTCGTGTACGTCGCGCCGACGAAGTGAGGCGACATCCAGCTGCGGAATGCCAGCCTTCCTGTACTTCGTTGCGCACTCTATCAAGCGATCGATGAAAGGACAGCTGTGTCGGTGGAGGGGCGTGAAAGGAGAGCAGATTGAGTCGAGATGCGAGGCACGCGGAAAGCCGAGCTCAGGCCTGCGAGCGCCTTGTCCGCGGCGCGGCGCCGGCAAGCAGCTGTGAGCTGGGACGCTCCGCTTCGTGGATGGCTATTCGCATTTCGAGCCACACGAGGAGCTAGCTTTACACGAGGCGTGAGATCATATGAGTGAGGTGTGCGTGGTTTTGCGATGGAGAACCGGAAGCGAGAGGGGGGGAATGAGGGCTGGCAGGAAGGAGAGAAGAGCGTCGCGGCGCGGTGCTCATCGCCGGGCACCCGGCGAGTTGGCGCCGTTCTGCCATGCGCTCCGCTCCTGGAAGCGCGAGCGGCGCGCCGGGCTGGCGGCGCCGGTGGGCGCGCCAGGAGCGCCGGGGCTCGTCGGCGAGAAGACTGGGCTGGCGGGACTGTAGGCCTTCGGGCTCGTCGGGTGGTACGCCGGCGACGCCGGGCTGAAGCGCGGGCTCGTGGGGCTGTATGAGGGTGAGGTGGGCGAGTAGGACGGCGACGTCGGGCTGTACGAGGGCGACGTGGGGCTGTAGGAGGGCGACGTGGCCATGGCGCCCATGCGCGGGCTCGACGGCGAGTACGCGGGTGAGGTGGGCGAGAAGGACGGCGACGTCGGGCTCCAGCGCGGCGACGCAGCCATGCCGCCGGCGCCGCGCATCGTCGGCGACGTGGGCGAGAACTGCGGCGACGTCGGGCTGTAGCCGGGCGACGTGAGGCCGGCGCGTCCGCCGGCGCGCGGCGAGAGCGGGCTGTACGACGGACTGGCGGGCGAGAAGCTCGGGCTGCTAGGCGAGAAGTTCGGCGACGTGGCGCCGAAGTGGATGCGCGGAGACGTGGGCGAGTAGCCGGGCGACGTGCCGCCGGCACCGCCGCGCACGTACGGGCTGACGAGGGCGGGCGACGTGGCGTACGCCGGGCTCGCGGGCGAGTAGCCCATCGGGCTCGTCGGCGAATAGCCGAGGCCGGCGCCGGGCGACATGCCGCCCATGGGCGTGCGCATCGGCGTCATGCCCGGCGCGAGGTAGTCGTTGAACTGGTCCTGCGGCAGCGCCATGGGCGAGAAGGCAAAGTTGCCGCCGTCCTGGATCGCATAGCTCTCGCCGTTGGGACTCGACGAGTCGTACGGCGTCATGGAGCCGCCGGGCGTCTTGGAGCCGGTCGGGTCGAGCGCGGCCTGCATCGCCGCCTGCACCGGCATGCGGTAGTCGACGATGACGTCCTTGAGCATCTCGACGTCGAGGCACACCTCGAAGGCACCCGTGCCCATCGGCGCCATCTGGCCGAGCAGCACGTTCTCCGCCACGCCCTTGCAGTCGTCCAGGTTGCCCATCGACGCGGCGTCCATGAGAATCTCGACGGTCTCCTCAAACGTGCAGCGCATCAGCGCGCCCTGGTTCGTACGGTTGATGCCGTGGCGCGTGATGGCCATGAGCTTGCCGCCGGTCGTCATGAGGTCGCAGAGCAGCGCCAGGTGGCGGTAGTTGACGTACGAGCCGTCGAACTCAATCACCGCCTTGGCCTCGCGCAGCACCGAGTTGCGCGCCGCCTCGATGCCGAACGTGCGGTAGATTTCGACGCAGTTATTTGAGATGGTGCGCACCTTGTCGACGCCCTCGACGGCCAGCACCTCGTGCAGGTTGCTGCCGTCGGTGTCGAGCACCCACTCGCGTACCGGCTCCCAGGCGCCCGAGTCGGTGTTGATGCGCTGGTACGTCTTCTCCTGGTGCACGATGAACACCTTGTGGATGCCCTTGACGCCCTTGAGGTTGATGTCGGAGAGCATCTGCGCCGCCAGCTGCCGCAGGAACGCATCCTCCTCGCCAAACGTCTCCTTGTTCGGGTCGTGGTCGACGACACGGATGCGCAGCACGAGGCGCTCGGCGTTGTCCTCCGAGTGCATGACGAAGATGTCGGCGCCGAACATCTGCGACACCTTGGCCGCCACCTCGGCCATGGTGAGCTCGGCGTTGAGCATCTCCTTGCGGCTGAGGATCAGACGCAGCAGCCACGACGACTGGCTCGGCAGCGACGCCTCGACCTCCTCGTCGGGGATGGCAAAGAAGGCCTCGACGAAGTCCTTGTCCTCCTCGATCTGCGTCGCCGACGGGTCGGGGTCGAAGTGGATCTCGACGGCCTCGGTGACGGTGCGCAGCGTCGTGTGCGTCAGGTTGGCCGTGATGGCCTTGGCCGTCTCCTCCGACTGGTTGTACTCGGGCGTGAGGTACACGGTGAGCGAGGGCGTCTTGATGTTCTCGGCGCAGTTGATGATCTCCTTGAGGCGCGGCACGCCGAGCGTGACATTCTTCGACGCGACACCGGCGTAGTGGAACGTGTTGAGCGTCATCTGCGTCGCCGGCTCGCCGATGCTCTGCGCCGCCAGCGTGCCGCACATCTCGCCCGGGTTCACGACGGAGCGCGCAAACTGCTGCTCGATCTCGCCGAGGATCCAGTCGTACGCCTGCGCGTTGATGCGCAGCCGCTCGATGACGTTGCGCGTCGAGAAGTAGGAGCGCACGTGGATCTTGAAGAGCAGCGTGGCGTTGTACTGCGCCTCGACACTGATGCTGTCCGAGCCGCGCACGACGACGAGGCGCTCCAGCACCTCGCGCAGGCCCGTGATGATGGCCGCGGGCGACAGGTCGGACGGCACGCGCGGGTCGATCGCAAAGACCTGCTTGGCATTGACGACGAGGCGGGCGACGTTCATCGGCAGGAAGACGTCGTTGCGGTCCGTCTTGAAGATGCTGGTGCGCAGCAGGCGGCGATCGTCCTCGAGCTGCTCGTACTCCGAGTCGAGCAAGTCCTGCAGCTCCTGCGACCAGTCGGCCAGGCCGGGCGCCAGCGTGCCGTCGCGGAAGCCGCCGTCGGCCTCGGCCAGGTCGACGCGGAACTTGCGCCGGAAGTCGGCGTCGGTGAGCGTGTGCGTGATGAGGTGCTGCCGCTCCACCTGCGCGCCGTCGATGCCGTCCTCGCCGTATGCAAACTGGATGACGGCGTTCGTCGAGTTGCGCACGGTGCCGTCGTAGTGCACCATGACGTCCTCGAGGGCCTTGACGAGGCGGCGCTGGATGTAGCCCGTCTCGGCCGTCTTGACGGCCGTGTCAATGAGACCCTCGCGTCCGGCCATGGCGTGGAAGAAGAACTCCTGCGGCGTCAGGCCACGCAGGTACGAGTTCTCGACGAAGCCGCGCGACTCGGGCGTAAAGTCGTCCTTCGTAAAGTGCGGCAGCGTGCGGTGGCGGAAGCCAAACGGAATGCGCTTGCCCTCGACAGACTGCTGCCCCACGCACGCCGACATCTGCGAGATGTTGATGAACGAGCCCTTGGAGCCGGCGATGACCATCTGCTTGACGTTGTTCCAGTCGGGCAGGTCCGCCTCGGCCTGCGTGCCCACGGTGTCGCGCGCTTTGTTGAGAATCGAGTTGACCTGCGACTCGAACGACTCGCGCAGCGTCATGCCGGGCATCGGCTTGAGCTCGTCGTTCTTGGCGCGCTCGATGAGCTCCGACACGGCCGCCTTGGCGCGGATGATCTCGTCGGTGATCTTCTTGGCCGTCTCGTCGTCGGCGACCGTGTCGCCGATGCCGATGCTGAAGCCGTTGTGCAGCAGCCAGTTGTTGACGAGGCGCTGGATGCCGCCGAAGAAGTCGCGGCAGATCTCCGGGCCGCGCTCGCGGAAGATGATGTGGATCAGCCCGCCGGCGACGGCGCCGACGACCTTCTTGTTGATGACGCCGTAGAGAATCTCGCCGTTTTCGATGTTGACGCCGTCGTCCTTGACGTTGCACGTCGTGGCGTTGGGCGAGGCGCCGGCGACGACGTTGATGCCCTTGGGGATGCACATCGACACGAGCTGCTTGCCGCTCCAGTACGGCTTCGGCTTGAGGATGCACGGCGTCGGCACCACGCCGTCCCAGCCCGTGACCCAGAGGAGCATGTTCTGCACGGCCTCGTAGTCGAGCAGGCAGTCGCGCAGCGTGAACTTGCGCACGCCGCACAGCGTGTCCTGCACGATGCCCATCACCGGCTTGTTGGCCTGCGGCGAGACGATCTGCCGCGGCACCCACGCGATCTGGCTCAGCTCGGCGCGTGTCTCCTCGCTCTGCGGCACGTGCCTGCGGGTGGGAAGTCAGCAAGTGGCCTGGGGTGTCGGCGCATGGGCGACGCACAAGTTCATCTCATCTCCGTCGAAGTCGGCATTGTACGGCGGCGTGACGGAGAGGTTGAGGCGGAAGGTCGAGAAGTCCATCAGCTTGACGCGGTGGCACATCATGCTCATCTTGTGCAGACTCGGCTGGCGGTTGAAGAGGATGAAGTCGCCGTCCTTGAGATGCCGCTCGACGGTCCAGCCGAACTGCAGCGCCATGTCGCCGCGCCGGTTGTACTTCAAGTCGACACGCTCGCCACTGTCGCGGATCACGTAGCGCGCGCCCGGCCACTCGTTGGGGCCGCGCCGCACGAGCTCCTGCAGGTACGAGATGTTGTACGGCGTCACTGCGGGCGCGTGTCAGCCTCGCACATGCAGCGCGGCGCAGCCCGCGCCACTCACCCTTCTCCGGGTAGGTCAAGTTGCGCGCGATGCTCTTCGGCACGCCGACTTGGTCGAGCTCGAGGTTCGGGTCGCCCGTGATGACGGTGCGCGCCGAGAAGTCGACGCGCTTGCCCATCAGGTTGCCACGCAGCCGGCCCTCCTTGCCCTTCAGGCGCGCGCGGATCGCCTTGACGGGCCGGCCCGTCTTCTGCAGCGCCTGCGGCACGCCCGCAATGTCGTTGTCCATGTACGTGGCGCAGTGGAACTGCAGCAGGTCCTCGAACTCGGACACGATGTGCGCCGGCGCGCCCTCGGACTCGAACTTCTTCAGCTGCACCGACGCCTTGATGATGTCGGCCAGCTTGTACGTCAGATCGTCCTCGCCCTTGCCCGCGCCGCCCTCGGCCACGCCGGGCCGCACCGGCGGCGGCGGCACGGGAAAGACGGAGAGGATCATCCACTCGGGGCGCGCGTCGATGGTCGAGAGACCCATGCGCTCAATGTCCTCGTCGCTCATCTTCTTGAGGATCTGCAGCGCCTCGCCGGCCGGCAGCGCCTTCTTCTCGGGCTGCGAGATCTTCGACGACTCGCCACCGCCCTCCTCGTCGTCGCCCTTGCCCTTGCGGTACACCGTGAAGAGCTTCAGGCCCTCCTTGCGGATCAGCGGCTGCGCATGGTTGCAGCCGTGGTGGCCCGCAGGCTCAACGTCGTCCAGCATCGCATTGTCCTCGTCCTTGGGCGCGTCGGGCTCGCACAGCATGATCTTGGAGCAGTGGTCCCACACCAGCTTCTGCCGCCGGCCGCGCAGCTTGGGCCCGCGCGTGCGGTCCATGATCTGCTTGAAGATCGGGTCCGTGTCCTGCCGCCACCCACGCGTCAGGCGCGCTCGCTTCGCACGCATGCCCAGAAGGACTCACCTCGTCGCTCTTCAGCTTGCCGCAGTGAATGCAGATGCACTCGAGGATCTTCTTGACGAGCTTCAGGAAGCCGTTGTGGAAGACGGGCCGCGCGAGCTCGATGTGGCCAAAGTGGCCGGGACAGTCGCTCATGCCCTCGCCGCACGTCTGGCACTTGTAGTTGCGGTCGATGGTGCCCAGGCGCGGGTCCGAGAGGCCGCCGACCTTGTACTTGCCGTTCTCGTCGAGCGTCTCGGGCGAGTCGATCTTGAGCACGGAGATGGCGCGCTGGCGAGACGGAGAGACAATGCGTTTAGCGCTGCCTGCTTGCACCGCTGCGCGTGGCACAGAGGGGCAAGCGAGGGCAGGGGCGCCGCACTCACGATTTCATCAGGACTCATGACGCCAAACTGCACCTCGCGCACGATGCGCTGCTTGGCAGCGCTCTCGGTGAAGCGGCCATGCGCGGCCATGCTGGGCAGTCAAGAGCGCCACGCAGTGCGCAGCAGCAGGCAGGCACGGGGTGAGGCGCTACTGGCAGAGCGCTGCAGCAGCCGAGACGCAGTCAAGCGGACCGGCGTGAGCGCTGGACACGGCCGCAGGACACTCGCAACGGGCGAGGCTCGCGCACTGGACGGTCTGCGACGGCCGCGAGCTCGAGGGCTGGCAGACCTGCGAGACGTGACGCCACGGGAGGCCGAACGCGCAGTCGGACTGCGGGGTCGCCTGAGCCGCGTGCTCCTTGCACAAGGGCGGCTCGCGGCGAGGCGGCGCAGCGCGGACGAGCAGCAGGAGTGTAGGTGGGCGCGACGCAGGGAGGGTGCGCGAGAGGGCGAGGAGCAGAGGGTGCGCCGAGGGATGCTCGAGATGGAGGCCGGGACGACGGCGGACGGGCGCGTGCTGCTGCTGTATGGGCATGTGCGGATGGTGGGGCGCGCGACGAGAAGCCCTGGCGTGCTCCCACGGTCGCGAGAGCGACGGGGCGCAATACCGTCCGTTGACGCGTCTTGCGTGTGACGCGCACCGCCGGCGATGGCGTGCGGCGACTTGATCGATAAGCACGGCGCGCGTCCCTGTGGGGCGGGGCGGGGCGGTGCTGCTGCCATCAGATGGCGGCGGGCAGGGTGCTGATCCGTGAGTCAGCGCTGCGCACCCCACTTCCACCCCACCACCACCATCCTCACACACCCAGCATGGCCACCTCGCTCCTCTCGCGCCGCCTGCGGCTGCCGCGCGCCGGCCTCGTGCGCCACTACGCCGTGCCCATCAACCCCAGCACGTCCGTCGACGCGCTGCTCGGCGTTGCCGCGCCGCCGCCGCCCTCGCTCGCCGCCGCCGCCGGGCTCGACGACGCCGCCGCCTTCCGCTCGCGCGAGCTCATCACCGGCGCATCGCGCCCCTTCAACCCCAACGACCTCTCCTCGCTGCTGCGCCCCAGCGGCAGCGGCAGCAGCGGCCGCTCCTCGTCCGCCGCCGCCGCCTCCACTTCGTCCAGTGGCGCCACGCGCCGGCCGTCGCCGCTGCACGCCATCCCCACGCGCAACCTCGAGCTCGAGGGCGCCTTCATCGCGCCCGAGCCGCCGCTGCCGCCGCCGGCTCTGCCGCGCGAGAAGCCGCATCCGCTCGACCGCAGCGCACCCAACCCGCTCGACGAGCGCATCCTCGCCATTGCGCGCAGCCTGCACGCCGCGCAGGCGCAGCAGCAGCAGCAACAGCAGCAGGGCGACGCACGCGTGCTGCCGCGCCTGCTGGCCGAGATGGAGGAGCACGCGGGGCGTGTGATGGACTTTGAGCTGCGCTACGAGTCGCGCCCCGCCGACGCACGCCGTGTCAAGCCGGCGCAGGCGGCTGCCGACGACGGCGTGCTGCTGGTGGCGTACGTGGCGGGCGTGGACGGCGCACGCGGCCAGGAGCGCATCTCGCTCTGCTCTGGCTTTGGCGTCGAGGGCGGCGAGGCGCTGGCCGACGGGCAGGGTGGAGCGCTGATCGTGACATGCGCGCACACGGTAAGCAGCGCAAGCTGACCTCCACGCTGAGATGGGTGGCTCACGATCCGCTACCCCGCAGCTCCAGAGCGCCCTGCCGCGCACTCCGCTGCACTCCTCCACGAACCACTCGGACGGCGCGTCCGTCGCCTTTGTCCTGACGCGCCGCGGCTCCGTGCTGCCCATCTCGCGCGTGCTCTCTTCGCAAGTCGGCGCCGATCTGCTGCTGCTGCAGCTCGGCGCGCCCGTCGGCGGCGCACCAGACGTCTCTGCCGCGCCGATTCGCACACTGCCCATCTCGCCCTACCCCGCCACGGTCGGCACGCATCTGCACGTCTCGACGTTCACGGCCTTTGAGGCAGACGTCAGCACGGCAGACGACGCGCGCGTGGAGCACGACGAGAAGCGTGCAGAACAGATGCAGCGCCTGCAGGCACGGCGCCGCTGGGGCGAGGCGCGGCTGGTGGAGTACAAGGACCCGATGGGCCAGGAAGCACGGGTGCGTCGCGCGCTGTCCGCCTGCCTCACTCTTTCTCCGCGCTTACAGCTGCACCTGCAGACGGGCACGTATGACGACCTCTCTTCGCTCGACTTCCAGCTGCTGCCCTCGCACGCGCCCACACTGCACACCTCCTTTCCGCCCGCCGGCTCCTCGGGCGGCCCGATCGTCGATGAGGCCGGCGCCGTCGTGGGCGTGACGCGCGGCAGCCGGGCCAGCGTGCTGGACGGCATGCGCGGCTTTGCCACGCCCAGCGAGAGGATATACGAGTGTGAGTGGCGCGCTCTTCCTCTCAATGGCGAGGTGCATCGCTGATCACTATCTCAACGTCAGTCTTCGCGCTGCCGGGCTTGGGCAAGAAGAAGACCTAGACGCACTCTTGCACAGCATCTCACCCACATCGTCGCGCTCCAGCCTCATCCGTTCATCTCCTCCCTGTCTCATCCCGCTTCTCCGCATCTTCCATACCATCGCCCCATCAGCTGAATTCTATCAAGTTACGCCTGCACGCCCGGCACCTTTGCCGCCTCTCCCGCGCCGGCCAGCACCTCTTCCCGCCGCACGGGAAAGCCGGCCTGCTTGAGCGCCGCCTTGACGTCCTCGATGCGCACCTCTTCGCGGTGGAAGACGCCCGCAGCCAGTGCTGCCTCGACAGACGAGGGCGCTGCACCCTCGCGCAGCGGCAGCGGCTCAAAGACATCGAGGAAGTGCTGTGCCTTTCCCGCGCCTGATGTCGCTTCGTCAGCATTGAGAATGAGAAAGGGGGGGGGGGGGGGGCAGAGGAGCGAGGCACTAACCAGAGCTGGCGACGACGGGAATGCCCACGCTTCGCCGCACCAGATCAATGAGCAGGCGGTCGAAGCCGCGGCCCTGGCCGTCCTGGTCGATGGAGTTGAGCAGAATCTCGCCGGCGCCGAGGCGCTGCACGCCGCGCGCCAGCTGCACGACGTCGAGGTCGCGCGTCTCGCGCCCGCCCGAGATCGTCGCCGTGTACCACCACTGCCGGCCCTCGTCGCGCGAGCCCTTGGCACCCTCGACGATGGAGCGCGCGTGCGGGTGCGCGGCAACTTCGGACGCATCGACGTAGACGCGCTTCGGATCGATGGACACGACGACGGCCTGTGCGCCGTACGCTTTGGAGATCTGCTCGATGCCCGTGCTGCCGCTCAGCGCCGAGTCCTTTGCCAGCGCCGGATCGCCTGCCACGCTGGCGCCGGCTGCCTCGAGCAGCTCCAGCACGGCCACGACGGCCTCGGAGCCGATGCTGACCTTGTCTGCGCCGGCGCGGAAGTACGCATCGGCCACCTCCTTTGCGCTGTGCGGCGTGCCGTCGGGATCCACGCTCGCCTTGATGCCGCCGCCGACGGTGAGCGGCACAAAGACGGTCGCCGCCGCGTTTTCCACGACGGCCAGCATCGGCTGGTCGCGCAGCGCCGCGGAGCGGAACGAGGTGATGTTGAGAAAGACGACCTCGTCGGCGCCCTCGGCGTAGTAGCGCTGCGAGAGCGCCACGGGCTTGCCGAGGTTGCGCACGGCGCCCACGCCGCCGCTCGAGGCGCCGGCCGCCTTTTCGCGCACGTCGTAGCTCTCGCCCTTGGTGACGACGAGGTCGCCCTCGTCGTTGCTGCGCACATCCAGACACGCCACGACGCGCTTCGTCAGGCCGTCGGCGGCGGCTGGCGAGGCGGCGTGCTGCGGGTCCACGAGCCAGCGCACCTCCTCCTGTGCCGCCGCCGCGGCGCCGCCCTCCAGCCAGGCACGCAGCACCTCGAGCCCGGCGCGGCCGCTCTTCTCGGGGTGGAACTGCGTGGCAAAGACGTTGTGGCGGCGCACCGAGGAGAGAAAGACCTCGTCGCCGTACTGCGTCGTGGTGAGGGCCCACTCGTGGTGCAGCGCCGGCTCGTACGCGGCGCGGTAGGAGTGCACAAAGTAGAAGTGCGTCTCTTGCTGCTGCTGCTGCGAGCCCGTGGCGGCGGCGGCGGCGGGGATGCCGAAGTGAGCGGCGTCGGAGCGCAGCGGCCGCGCCACGTTCCAGCCCATCTGCGGCACACTCTTGGCGCCTTTGGCGGCGTCGAAGCGCGCCACGCGGCCCGGCACGACGCCGAGGCCGGCGACGCCCGGCGCCTCGTCGCTCGCCTCGAACAGCGCCTGCATGCCGATGCAGATGCCCATGTAGGGGCGCCCCGAGGCAATGTAGGCCGCCAGCGCCTCGGCGTAGCCCGAGGCGCGCAGCGAGGCGAGTGCGGGCCCAAAGGCGCCGACGCCGGGGAAGAGCAGCGCCTGCAGAGAATGCGTGAGCAAGCAGGGCAAGGGCGACAGCGGACGTGCCCACTTGGACACACGCACCGTGGCCTGGTCGAGGTCGCTGGGCGAGGTGACCCAGGCAAAGTCGTGGCCGAGCTTGCGGATTGAGTTTGCGAGGCTGCGCACATCTGGCGGGGGGCGTCAGCGCTGGGCACAGTGGGCAGCGTGGGGGGCAGAGGAGCACGCACTGCCTGCGCCGTAGTCGAGGAGGTAGAGCATGGCTGCGAGGCGAGGGAGAGGAGGTGAGGGCGAGAGGGGCAGAGATGCGAATGGGCGAGTCACTCACCAAGCCCAAGCCTCGCCTCGAGAAGCTCGGCGTTTCCGGCGCGCGCGGGACTCGGGAGTGAGAGGCGTGTGTGCGCCATGCCGCCTCGTCCTTCTCGCCCTCACCGTCGCTCCACTCCCTCTCGCTCTCTCCCCTCGACGCAATGGCCGACGCAGGCTTCACCTACGTGCCGCTGCGCTCCGCACGCCGCAAGCGCAGGCCCGGCGCCGCCGCCGCCGCCGCTGCTGCTGCCGCTGCTGAGCCCGCCGACGCCGCGGCGGCAGCGGCGGCGCAGCTGGCGCGCCGCCGCGCCATCGTGCTCGGCAAGCGCCGCCTGCTGGACGAGGCGCCGCTCGGCGAGGCGCTGCGCGGTGAGTGGTGTGTTGGGCCCTGTGCCTTGGTAGGGCAGGAGTCGGGGGCCGTAACTGACCTGCGCACACACAGCTTGTCTGCGCACGCACCTCGGCTTGGTGGCGCCCAGCGACGAGGCAGGCGACGTCGAGGCGCTGGCGGCGCAGCTGGGCGCGCTGCGCACGCAGCCGGCGGCGAGCACGATGCCGGCTGCGCTGCTGCCCGCCCCCACCACCACCACCACCACGCCTCCTCCAACGCCGCCGCGCCGCATCCTGCATCTCGGCCTCGGCCGCGTCGCGGATGCGCGCGTGCCGCAGGTGCAGCTGGCGCTGCTGCTCGTCGTGCGCGACCTGCTCGTGCGTGTGTGTGTTGCGCGCCCCCCTTTCGCTGCAAACCC